TGTCCCTTGAAATATCTGTTTATCAAAGTTTCACTGTATTTAGTTTTAGTGATTATAAATATCAAGAAATAGTTGTTGATGATGTCATGTTGATTATATCCTCGATTCATTTAATTCCCATTTGCTGTTTTGCAATTATGCTTCACTTATGTCGTAAATGAAAATTTAATTTGACGTTGCAACATGCTTTGGGATGTAAATTTTCATAAAATCATCAACTGAGAAAATTGCGGAAAACTGTGAAAATTTATGTGCATTCATTTTCAGTTGAAGCTTTTGGCTATACTTGAAGTTGTTTTTGTTTTTGTTTCTTATGATTTTCTCATTTCAAACAAACAAATTAACATCAACTGCCATGAATAGTAAAATGGAAACTAAAGCATAATTAAATATTCTCTCAGTAAAGTGCTAAACAAATTTCATGTTCTCTAAGTTAAAGTTGATACTCATAACGTTTATAAATATTTCTCTCAACTAACAACATGACATCAACTTCAGTATTCATTCAGTAATAGTAATAACTAAATATAACTAAAAAACTTTTCTTAAATATTCTTGTCGTTTCAACACGAAAGGATTCAATTGTTTTTTATGATTTGATTTTATTATCGCAACTGCACGCTTGTAATTTTTTTTATTTCATTATTTTTTTGTTGTTCTTGTTGTGTTATAATTACCTTAGTCGTTAAGTTTTATATTTTATGCTGTTTATGTATTTATTCAGATTTTTTTTCGTTGTTATTATGTAGCTTCCTTAATAACTGATAATTTTATGTAAGATGGGGCGGAAAGTAAATTTATTAATAACTTGATTAATATTATTACTAGACATTTCATTACTTTTTATGATTATTTGCTAAAATGGTAGCGAAAAAGAAAAACAAACCAATAAGAAAATATATAAATATTAAAAGCATTTTCCTTCCACTAATTGATTGAAAATTATTTTCAAGATTGACTTGATTGTTATTTCCACTCAATTTGCAATGAGTTTTGAATTTTCAGAAAATCATTCTAAAGTATTCGGTGATCGTTGTTGCGGTGTCTGCTGGGTAGTGCATGATTTGATTTTTTTTTCTTTTTTTCCCTTTTGTAATTTATTTAAGTTGGATGAAGAAGCTTTGACAAGTTTTTTTTTATAATTCGGCGTTTTACTGCAAGTAATTAATTTTCGTTATATTTCGAAAACTTTGAACCATGATAAATTATGGAAATTGTTTCCCCACAGGTTTACTTATGTTGTCGTGCGAACAACTGCTTGTAATACAATTCCCTCGTCAACGCCACCCACACGAACCGAACCCGTTAGTCACATTCCGACCATAACGAATAGCAATAAGCTGATAAAAAGCAAGCAATCAAAGGAAGATGGAATAAAACGAGCGTCTGTACGACGAACAACCTTGGGACGTTCGAGACTGTCGCGATCACCTGTGAAGCCAATGACTTGTACTGTTAATTCATTGACGTCAACGAATCAAACTGTGACAACGACTATTGCCAACTCACACACTTCATCACCAGTACACGAGCGTGTCGAGATTGACGACATTATTGGACCAGTAACGAGAAGTCGAACGTGTCGTTTTTGTACATCAAACGAAGATAATGGAAATGAAGTGAATCATAAACGAGGGAAGCGTTCATTGAGTAATTCGAGATTTCATGACAAAAAGAATAAATTATCGAGAAAAGCTCAGATTCTTGTTCCATCATCCGTAACAGGAAGCGCAATAACGACGAGAAAGTTGAGAAAAGAGACATCATTAGATTCAGCGTTAGCTGATGTAGCATCGCCAGACACTCAAGACAATTCATCGTTATCAGAGTCACCCACAAAGGAAGTGACAAAATCTCGAATGAAAAAACCCACCGTCAGGCTGAGTTCGCAGAAATGTCTAACTTGAAAGACTTAAACATAAATGATGAAGAAGGAATTTCATTTCAGTGGAAAGTGCACTTTCAAAACATTTAAATGGATACACAAAAACTAGTTGCACTCGTTCATATCTCTCAATGTTGCTACCCTTCCAGCCATACATTCAATTCTTGCCATAATCTACACCCACGCTTCCAAACGGATCAACGAAATAAAATCCATTGACGGAAAATCCATTCTTACGACGAAGCTGAAAAGTTTTTTTTTCAATTGAAACTTTTTCCCTACATGCATGCAAAAAATGCTGAAAAACTTTTTTAACATTCAACTCGACGATATTTTCTATTTTCCTGTGGTGATTTTTTAAATAGATATTCTGAGTTTGACTTCTTTTTTTTCTTTTACCTTCTTTAGTATTTTTTTAGTTGTTTAAAAAGAAATTTTCAGCGAAACTTTTGTTTTAGTCATTTTTAATTGAGAAAGTTTAGTTCTCAAGAGTTTTGTTTGTGACGAAACTTTCCACATGCTGATGCTCGCCAATTTACACCAAACTTTGTCCAAATTTACAATAAAATATTCCATTCCGAATCCTTCCACAATTTATTAACTTAAATAACAATCCATCGAAGAAGTTTTGCATCAAACAACTCTTGAAAACTTCATTTTCACTTCGCTATTTTACAAAACGGTATGCAATATATTTAAACATGACTAATAGGATTAAACTCTTATTTTATTTAACTTTATTTTATTTAAAAAGAAAACTTATTTAAGATTCTTTTCTGTAAGAAAGAAAAAAGATTTTCTGGGATTTATCATCGAGCTAAGATATTTTCTTTAGTCTAGACATGAAACTTGATATATAATGAACATAAATAAATATTAAGTGAGTTTATTCGATCATAAAACAAATTCCCTTCACATGATGAAAAGTACTAAAGGATCGATAAAATAAGAAAAACTTCAATTGATCTCTTTGAAAAATATCTCCACGCTCGTAAACTTACGCAATACATAAAAAAAATTCTCATTTGTTCTTCTTCTCATCAATTCGTGTAGCGAAGATGAATCAAAAACTCTTAAGACAAAAAGTTTATTAGATTTAGATGAAGTCTTGTAATCAATAAATTTATTTGTGAAATGATTAAAAAAATTCTATATATTTGAAAAAAGTGAAAATATTTAAATAAAATTTGGAATTTCCTTGAATACAGAAAAAGAAAATTTCGCTCACTTTTTTCCATTTAAATTGAAAATTGAACTTCCGATGGCTTACTGAGTCAACAATTGAAATCAGCATAATGGGCACCACGGGAGAAGAAGTCGCTTTTCTACTTATGTTCCGCCGGTTTCAGATGCTTCTACCAGCCATTTGTAATCTTCGTTCATTTTCTTATATTCAAGAGATTCAAGGAATGAAATGTTTCTCATCATTTCCAAGAACATCCACCTTTAGTAAAAGAATCTCAGGTTTAAATTTGTTATTTATGACACATAGAGATAAAAAATCAAGAAAAATGCAATTGAATAAAATTTTCATCATTCTTTCTCCCCGTTTGCAAGAAAATTGCATGTCGGGAAAGGAATTATTTATAAAGATTGAGTTTACGTGACATGCATTCGATTGGATTTAGTTACTGTTCAAGTTGGTCGAACTGAAATCTAACTTCGGAGCAGAGCTTGGAATATAAATTAAAGTTTATATTAATTTTTTATATCAATTCCAGTTACTTCCAGTTGAGGTTCATTTGTAAATAAATTGAATTTCTGGTTCGTAAGTTTTCTTCTCCAACATATGGCGATATTCCAAATTTTCTTCTTATCCCTGATTCAAAGCCTTGACTGCAGACAGGTAATGCAAAAAAGTGTTTTTAAAGCTTCAATGTATTCTCTTTGCTAACATTGAAGTTGAGTGGAAATCGATGAGATTGCTGGTGAATTATATAATTCAATTTCAGCACGTCTCGCCATCAATACTCTTTATCTTCCCTTGAATTTAAGTTTCACTTAGTGTTGATTGAAAACTTTATTCGTCCTAAATTTGTGTGTAAAGAGCAGTTTCATTATTACATTTGATGAAGAAGGATGAAGCACATTCAATGCTTTGAATAATAAACACGTCAATTCATTGTAAATGAGAGGAAAATTGGGTGCGGCTTTAGTTGCGGTGTCTTCCCTCCACATATTTGATTGAAAGAGGCAAACGTAAGGTACGAAACAGGAAGGAAAAGTTTTCCCACTATCTATGTAAGTATTTACACCCCCACCCCACATCACCCTCATTTCAGTGACAAAAATTATCTCAAATTTTAAATTCTGCGAACCAGTAAACGAGTCTTGTAAATGATGCCATTTATGGGGGAATGTTATATTATTCATTATTTCAAGAGACTTTTACCAAAAATAATGGAGCAGAATAAGAATTTCCTTTTGTTATCCCCTCCCCTTCCCTGCCCTCCCCCCACCTACTGCTGTCACTTGAGAAGCTTTTGAAATATTGAGTGAGTGACGTCAGGTGAATAATTTTATAGCAAAGTTTTGGAGAACTTTTTCTCGCTTATTTGTTGTTGTTGTTATGTCGTCAGACTTCTTTTCTTTCTTATTCTGCTGTTATGAAAACACGCCACCAATGATACTTCCTAGACCGATTAAATAATATTTTGAATGTTGGTGAAGTCAACAGAAAAGTTTCAACCTCATTTAAATAAATTAACATTGGCCTAGATAAGAAAAGCGATGTAGCATAAGTCAGAGATGAGACATTATTCTCGAGAAAACTTTTCTCATCATGTTCAGATCAAACCCCGTTGAAAGGAGGAAGGGAAGAATTAGAAACGTTCATGGATTGTGAGCGGTTGAAATTGAATTTTTTTTATGTTTTCCAAACTTTCTCACGCTTCCTTTTTCTGCCTTTCACTTTAATAAAAAAAAAGAGTGAAGCTTGTATTTCAAATTGTGGTTACAACACCGACGATGCATAATATCCGCTTCATATGCCCAAAGCAGTTTTGATTAAATTATGGAAATTTGATTGCTTTTTTCAAGTCTGATAAAAAACATATCAATTTTCTTTATGGGAATGTACACAAATAATAGAAAATATGTTAATACGATATCCTTCTCGTTTAATATTTTCAATGCTTGACAAATTCCATGTTGATAAGCTTTGATTTCCATCTTATGAAATTACCCATTGATATGAAAATTTACTCACTTAATATAATGAAAATTTTTTATTCAATCAAAAGAATGAAATTAAATTTAAACAAATATTTGTCTTATTACGCGCTTAAGGCAAGGCAATCAAAGCATATTTTGATTCATAACCTTTTTTTCTCTTCTTCAAAGCACAGCAAGTAAGATTGCTTTAATTAATTTTTATGAGGAAATTATAATATAAATAAACATCGAACATCATGTGAAGAGATATGGAAGTGAAACTTAATGATCACAAATTGGTTACCAGGTGGAGCTAAAGTTATAATAAATGATTGAAGCTTTTACTTCACGAGGAGAGGGCGAAGTAAACGTATTCAGCTGTTAGCGTTAATTAATTTCCACCAAATTTGTCACGTATTTTAATGTCGAAACAAGTAAGGTAGAGTGACAGAAAAAGGGCGATTCGTTAAATTTGCCATTAACATTGAAAATATTTCCATTTTTTTTCTTTCCCTTGATGGTTTTTGGTGTTGGTGTGCGCGGAAAAGCGTGGGCTGAAGCTTTACATCGATAATTGGCAGATTTAGCAAATTTATATCAAAAAATGTTGGGCAAGTGAAATGATTCGTGTTAAAAACGACGGCAAAGTTCCAAAGTTTCTGCTAAAATTTTGTTGTTTTGGTTTTAGCTCGTTTCTTGTTCAACCAATAAGCAGTCATCCAAATTGCAATGAAGAGAAACTTTTTAATCAAAATTCATGGAGAGTTTATAGAATTAAAACTTTCACTTTGAAATCCATAAAAATTATTCTGGATTTTCATATTTCTAACAACTTTAATAAGTTGGTGGACTTTGATGTTAAAAAACATAAACTATGAAGCCTCAAAGGCACAAAGTTTGTTTAAATACAATCGTAATATTTGCTGAAATAGATTTCATGATAATTTGCCAGTCCTCAAAGCAATCATTGGAATTCGTACATCACGGTCTCGTACTTACTTAACTTGATTATCTACAGCACGGAACTTTATGTTAATTATCTAAATCTCACTAGAAGTAGAGAAGTAAAAAAGCACAATTTTTAATTACGGTTTCACTGTTTTAATATTGTTAACCATGAACTCCGACTTTACGTGACGATAAGTCGTCAATCATTCGACACTGTGAGTAACGAAATAAAATAAAAGAATAAATAACTTTGAAAATTCTTTTCTCACTCGGGTTTTCATACATTTTTTTTAACGCAACAATAAAACCTCTTTTTGTTTTTAATTTCATTATGTTAGATATGTGAAATTAATTATTTTCTCCAGCTAATATTTCACATTTAATTCCCGACTGTTTTTAATTTCATCACGTTAGTATGCTGAATGAACACAGTTAATAGGAACATTTAATGCTGATTTTTCAACAACAAGATTGCAAGCTATAAACGAGTTTGAGGGATTTTACAGAACAGCTTTTAAGAATTTAAGATTATTTAATTCATCTTTGTTCATCCCGTCTATGTGTCGACTCTTCGTTGTAACTATAAAAATCCTTTTAAACTTTTATGAACTTCATAGCGAACTTTTACCATTACAAAAACGAAAATGATGATTACAGAAATGTTTTGAAGAAGCGACTTTTACGATTTTACGAACAAAAATCTTTGGATAATCTCAGGAAATATTGCAAAATGATTACGCGAATAATATGGTAGAAAAATGTTTTTCTTGTCACGATTTTGAGCACTGAAACATTTGGGATCGTTGAATTGACTCTTGAAGAAGAAAACGTGTGAATGCATCATTAATATTTTATGGTGTGAGCTTGAAGTCGTTATACAGTTGAACATCAAAATGAAGAGAAGACACCTACGCTAAAATTATGAAGATAAAAGGTTTCCTTGTAAGCTTTCAATGCAGCAAATTTTTTCTTTTCTTGGCTGACATTCAATGATGTTTTGAATAACTTTGAAATTCGCTTCATTTCTTTGAAAATTCAGAATGAAACGTTCATTCTTGTATCGTGTGTCATATTGAATAACACTTTACAATATTGCCAAAAAGAAAAGAAGAAAATAAATGAAAGTAAGAAAGCTCTCATCGCATTTAATGGAAAAGTTTTGTGACAACCCTTTCTGAAGTGTTTCTCGCATTTCATAGTTTTCCAGCTCATGCGAGTACTGAAGATGAAGATAAAACGAGGAAAAGCTTTTATGGTGTTACAAATGACAATGAACAGTAGAAAGGTCGACCTCAAACCTTTCCTGTTTCGAACCGCAAAGCTCAAGGGAGAGCCTCAAAGGAATGTATGTATTTGTGGCCAAAAAAGCTTCTGCACTCTTTTTATGATTATTCGATGACTTCTCCGATGAAAAGAAGAAGCGATATAAAAGTTTTGTGAAAGGTAGAAATATATTTCTGCCATGTTGAAGCATCTCCCTTTAGGATTCTTCACATGAAAGCGTCTTGAGGCGAAGGTTTAATGGCGTAGAACAAGTTATCATGAAAACCGCTCTTAACGAGGAAACGAGTTAATACGTGCGGGTCAGTCAATAATGAAACCATTGCCTCGAAAAATTTCGAACTCAAACAAAATTCAACCCCATTGTTGGTTTGTCTTTATTGCCATCTTTAGAGACTGACGGGATTATTGCTTTCAATTTCTTCACATCAAAACATTATTCGATTTCGTGTAAGGAAGAAAGAAAAAGGCAATTCTTAAAACCCATGAGAACATCGATGATACAAACAACATTCAGCTTACAAATGAAAGAAATTACTTTGGATTTATTTCTAATCGTTTCAAAGAAGCTTTATCAGTTTTGTGCCATAATAAAAGAAGGAAAGTAAAAGTATCAAAGCGAGCTCACACCTTTTCTGACCTCCGCGATTGTACTTAAGAAGAAGCTCGTTCTATTGAAAAAGCAAGAAATATTTATTGTCGTGCCCATGCCACTATCAAATAATTCCAATCGGAATCCGTTGTAATAAAATTCGCTGTGTAAATCTCAATATGAAGGAAGAGAAGGGAAACGAGCAAGTGGAATTGTATATTTGTGTCTAGGGGAATGTTTCAAGCCGACAAAAGCCCCGAAAATAAATTGTAAGTGAAGCAAAAGAAAGGCAAATTCTTTTATGGATCTCAAAAAGTTTGCTGTGGATTCACTGGCTTATCCTATCCCCGATTCAAGCCTGCACTTAATTCAGCTTTCGAAATGATAAGACTGGATTCCTTCACGCAACGACACGATTTATAACATCACGTCAAAAAGTATTTTGTTCTGTTCCTTTTAAAATGAAATTAAGACAATAAGCGAATGAAATTATCAGTGTTGGAAGTGACGCAATGTGTCGAGTTTAATGTTTTTTAATTGCCTAACATCTTCTCATTTGAAGCATGTAAAGGGATGCGTTGGGTGCGAACTCAACCGGAAAGAAACCTTTTGATTTCCGCTTTATTTTCGTTTCATAAATTGGGAAAGTTAAAAAGCGTGGGTGGGTAGGAAAACATCAGAAACAAGACTATCATTGTCTAAAGCTTTTATCTGTTGTGAAATCGTCGACGTGGATGCTGGAAAAGATGAAAAATAAGATGAACAATAACTTTTAAGGCTTGTCGTAAAAATCAACGAGCATTCACTGACAAATTTTTCTTATTTTCTGCGATTTCATGACGAAATTTGCTCTTTTGAAAGGAAAAATCAATCAAGTGTGATTTCACCTGCTCCTACTGAAAATCGATTCGATATGAAGAAGCAAAGAGAATAAATATCGTGGGCGGGCGTCAATGTTTGTTTAGGCTTTTGACTTTTCTGAAACCTTCAAACAAAATATTGAATTTCCTGTTGTTTTAACCTTAAGACAATCTCATAAACCATCTTTACTTTATTTATCCTCTTTTCGTCTAAAGAAAATGAAAAGAAATCCAATCATAGGTCTTTGGAAATATTTATCAACATTAGAAACTTGATACAAAGTAAAGTTTTGTTGAATTAAGGAAAACATTATTCTTAATCGATCGAATAATTAAGAAAATTAATAATTCAAATCTGTACGTTGAAACACGATAAAAATTAATTCATTGTCTCGTACTGAGAATGTAAGGAAAGGCGGAATTGCGTGACAACTCGCTGCTTTCAACAACCACTCATCCGTCTCGCTGTCTTCATTTTGCATGCTTTGTTATATTTCGGTACGGTTTTCGATTCATTCAAAATTCACATGACGTAGGAACTTGCAACAAGTTGCAATAAAAGAAAAATTTGAATAGAAGGAAATCGATATCTAAACAAATTAAATTATGGCAGCGAGCGAGTATAAATTTAATTCATTCGTGTTTGCTTTTATGTTTATTAAAATAAAAAAATATTCTAGACAGTACTTGACGTTGCATATTTCTCATCTGTTTCAGCTCGAATTGTTATAGTTTTATTCTTACTTGAATGTGATTGCTGCCAAAACATGTCAGAACTTTTAAAAAGCATAATATATTCTAAGATTTTATATCTTTAGGCAGCTCGATTCATATGTAAATATTGCTTTTCCATTAAAAAGAGACACGAGGAGATTCTGTTGCCTTAATTTCAATTCTGCCATCAATGGCATATATTTCAGATGAATATCTGGTAATGCTAAGGAGATAGGAAAAGGTTTCACTTCACGTACATTTATTTATTTAACTGCCGAAATCGATACAGGTTTTCAAGATGATCTGATTTTGAAGAGAAGGGTTCTCTGTTGTTTTTAGGTATCGTAATTTAAAGGACTCCAGGGTAATCCGAGATTAGAGATTCGAAACCATAATATTTTCTTCATTATCTGATAATTCGTCTCAATGGATTCCAAGAAGAATATTTTTTAATAACTTTTCTTCTTTCTTTTTAATATTTATTCCCCATCTCTTTAACGTGTTGACATTAATGGATTAGCTTGCTTTCACTTAATCAAAACTCATTTCATCCTTGCGATATGTTCTGAATCTGTAAAAGGTGTGAGTTTGCCAAATAAAATTAATACAGAAAGCATACAAGTTATGTAAACATAAACGAAACACCTGAATATAAATATGAATGATACTCTTTATGTTTATTGTTTTTATTGGTTTTTCAAAGCCAACTTTCTTCCTTCCCCCAATTTTGTTCATATTGAGACACAACTTTCATAAATATCTCATGCGTGATGATGATACATAAAAGCATTTTCCTATCAAAAGCCTGAGACTTGAAAACTTTTCTTTCCAGCATCACAACACACAGTGATAAGAAGCGAACGCTTTTAAATTTTTTATCTCATGTAAATCTGAGAAATTCATGTATAACGACTCTTTCCTTACACTTTCGCTTTAAAAAGAAATAATTTTAAACAGATTGTTTAGCAGACTACACGAAAAAGAGAAAGAAATGGAAGACGCGACTGGTGTGAAACGTAAAAAGCTTCCACAACTCGTGACATGCGATTATTTATAAAATTTATTGTAATTTAAATTTATGGTTTATTGTACGAATAATCCCTTTCGCTTCATCTCTCAACAGGCTTAAATTCCCAAGAAGGAAGGAACACACTTTTGTGGTTTTTAACAATGTTTAAAGGACATTTTTCTAACTCATAAGGAAGATGAATTTATTTAATGACTTCACAAAAGTGCCACACACGATACATCTTATCAATTTAAAGCTTAAATGGGTAGGCTTTGTCGAGCATTAAATTAAAATTAGCTAAAATCAACATGTATTAATGTTGAGGGTGGCTTACGTTTGAAGCGAAGAGAAGAAAAAAAAAAATCGAAAGCGGGTTTTACGACCATGATTTAGAGTTTTTTTTGTGTACTCCTAAAGTTTTATGGGTTTTCAAGATACACTACGAGACGACAATTTGGATTTAAAAGCACATGAAAGCTTATGGAATAGAATAGAAAGGAAAAAAAATTATTGTAATGTCGCCGAGGAAAACAAAGAATGAAAAAACATTTCATTGCTTGCTTCAAAGACTTTCGGCTTAATTGCGACGTGAAGAGAAGCTGATGATCATTAAGTTTCCGAAAAGAAACAAAACAGCCGTTTTATTCTATCAGAACAGATAATATTCGCTGACTGAAGCGGAGACTACATTTCTCAATGAAGGAACAGTTTCATTGTTACGACACAAATAAATATCTCGGCTTAAAGCTTAATATTCAAACTTTTCTTTCCGTTTAAATTTCAACTCGAAACTCAAATAATTTAAATTCTTTATGTTAAAGGGAAAGTCGTAAAGCCTTGCTAATTCTCATTTTTTCTACAAGTATTTTAAATGAAATTTTAATTTAGCATAAGCTTAAGCAAGCTTATTTATTTTTCGTGCTTATGCCTTCCACCTTATTTAATATAATTTTATGTTTCATCTTCGAAACTTCATTATGCCTTAAATATTCTTTAAGATACTGTAAATAGCAACAGACTCAATTTATATTTATATCAAATTATAAACAAGAAAAAGGATTTTTGGCTTTATATTTTTTACGTGATTAGGAAATTGTCCCAAAAGCCTGGTTTTTGGTATTTAAGCGCAACGCCTTAAAGAACTCAGTCGGAGTATTAATTTCATTTCATTAGATTTCATTGCGTACCTAATTTCATTTTTCTTGTGCTGTCTTCTCTTGAAATGTTAATTTCGTATCCAAAGCCATTTGTTATGAATAGAGTCATTTCCTTCTTTTGTGTTCTTTTGTTTATTTGCTATAAGTTTTCCATTCTTGTTGTGTTCTTCATAAGATTTCAAATAATAAAAACTAAAGGACGAACAAGGACACTCATTTACATGTTGAAAGCTTTCGTAGATTTTCTAAAAGTTTTCTCTTGCCAAATAGTTTAAATGCCCAACTAAGTGCAGAAATCGTGACAAAATTATTCCCAAAAGAGTTCTCGAGTGAAAACTTCTGCTATATGTAATTTCATGTAGAAATATGTGACGAAAAAACGGGTTCCTCTAGGATATTTATGTTTCTGATATAATTGTAATTACTAGGGAAGTCACATACATGAGTGCCAAAATTTTCATGTTTTCCAACTTTCGTTTACTTTGAGAGCACGTCTCCGAGTTGACGACAATAAACTACAAGAAGACAATGGTCATGTTATTACTAATCACAATTAGTTTGCATTATCGCTACCATAAGACGAAGGGGGAAAAGTTTTGCTTAATTACTTTCTTCATCGCTTTATTTCTTTCTTCTTTAATGCTTCGGCTCCGAGACAAATAGATTGGCGAAGCATAAAAAAGGAAAATGCTTTATCACTTCAATGAATTAACGGTGGCGTTACCTTGAAAGGCGACCGAAATAGCCATAAAGAAGATTTATGAAAAGAAAAATAAATTTATGTCGTTGTTTGGCGCGACGTCATGCACACGAGAGAAAAAGCTCCACAACCGGAAATTTTAATTTATCAACGGAGTTTGATCTTCTTCCTTGCGTAACATCTCGGAAATGGTTGTAATAAAAAAAAGTGTGGAAACGCACAGGAAAGAAATTTGATGCGAATGGAATAAAGTGAAAGAATAGAAAGTAAAGGTCAGAAAAAAAAGCATTGAACACGAGAAATTCAAAGTCATGACAGTAAAATGAAATTAAATGAGAGCGGAGCTTCTTTTTTTCTTCTATTTTTTCAGTGGCGCGGCATTAATGAACTTACCAAATTAAAGGACACTGTAATAATGAAATTTGTGAGCAGTGAAAAGAAAATGGAAAGCAATAAAAAAACCATTAGATGATGGCAATCCAAGCCTAAATGGGAAAAAGAAAAAATCCAATAATTTTAAAACAAAACTCATAATAAATCAATATAAATAAATGTTTTCAAAACATTTCGCCGCTGCTTTTTCATTCTCCAAGCGATTCGAATATTTTCCTCGTCTTTTGATTTTAATGAAATTATTCTGAAGTTGTTTCAGGTTCTCATGAAACTTGACGACACAATATGACGATGATAAAGAAATTACTTTAGCCCCGGGAAATCGATCAAGTTTTATATAAACGTAACTCAGCTTAGCTATATAAGTTTCAATCCAATTGATTATATTGAAACATTTTCGTCGTATTAACTTCTGATATTTTTTTCCAGTTGACACAAAAGTGTTTTCATATCCGAACGAGAAGAAAAAAGCTTTTTAAGCGCGAATTCGTTCTTTATGTTTACGCAATGAAGAAAATATTTTCTTATCAGACGGACGACGAGGGAGTCTTTTCTTTCTTTCTTCTTTTTTTCATGAAAATAACCCAAAATTTTCCCAGAAAAAATAAATGGCTTTCTTCTAGCTGCGAAGGTCAATAATATGTAGTGAAATTTTCATCTCGAAAGCTTGGCAAAAAGAAAACTTGGAAAACTTTAGATTGTGAGAGAAATGAATGAGAGAGAAGAGCGTAAGTTTTAAAAAAATGAGAGAATTTTTGGTGGGGGTAGAAAGAAATTCAAGAAAACTTTTAGGGGGAAGGAAAGTGAGCAACGCTCCAGGACATTTGTGAGCAAACATTTTATATGCTAAGAAAAAGAATAATGAGATTTTATACGTAACAGTTTTTTTCTTCTCTTCCTTTTCACAGTTTGATGTTAGGACCGAGAAAAATCGATGTTCAAACTTCATCGGATTTTGTCTGTGGTGCTTGTTGGGAAGATAAAAGAAGAAAAAAAAATTTAAAAATCAACGATGATCGTAAAATGCGAGAAAATGTTTCGCCTCACAAATCCATTAAGAATTCATCGGAAAATTTTTCGCAACTTTTCCTTTTTAAAGAATGTGAAAGATTTTATTTGATAGTCAAATGTTTGTCGTAATCTCACACATGTAAGCTTTGATGGAAAAACAAGTCAATTTGTGAGCGATGTGGCATAACAATCTCGCCTACAACATGTCTATCAGAATGATAAAACTAGTAGGAAGATATTATGAATTCTTCTCATAACACGATACGCCATAAATTAGGTGAAGGTTGCAAAATAGAACAGCACAGATGTGGCAATAAGCATTTCTCGCTCACTTGCTATGCTCTTTTGCCTGTTCTTCCACCCTCCCGAACTTTTATTTTATTTTTTGCGTTCAGCATCAGAAAGTTGACGCCAAAAATTGTGGAAAAGTCTTCGATTTTTCTATATAATTTATTTTTTTATTTCTTGTTGTTGTTGCTTTGTTACTATTCTTGAACCTTTTTCAAGTCTTTCTTTTTGCTATCGAAAGCGACCGATATTTTTTCGCTCCCGTCTAGTAACTTTTCATACATGATTCGGTAGTAAGTAAGAGAGTTGAAAACATAATTTTTTTTTCTTTTCTCGTCCTTTGTTATTGTCGATGGAAAGAATATGAATAAAGATTCAAGACGATGATAAACAATGTCGTATTGTTTTAGTTTTGTTTTTCAGTCGAACCGAAAATTCAGTAACGGATGAAAACAAATAAAACGACATCATCAAAATTTATCGTTACTTGCCATCGATGCTCGAGTCAAACTATAAATTTTCTGATAACTTTCCTTTATTCGATTAACAGCGAAATAGATTTTTGATGTCATATTACAAATCGGAAAGTATCGCGAGTCGCGAGAAACCAAAATGAATTTATTCTCTCAGCAACAAATGCTATTGACGTTAATGGATTTAAGAGAAAGGGAAAATAAAAAGTTGTCGTCGTACGTACATCGATCGCTGTAACGAGATTTATTTCCAAAACTGTTCCTTTGTCCTTGATTTATTTTCACTTTTCTTCCACCGTTCATTTTCTTCCGTTCTCTAGGCTTCATTGAGATAGAAAAAATGTAAGTACGCGGATTAGCATTTGATGATTTATTGTTGTTTTTCATGAAATTGATATCTAAAGATTGCAATGAGAACGCGGCATTAAATTTCAATCAACTTTCAATAAGACAAATAGACGGAATATGAGTAACTTACAAGTTGTAGGAAATTGTTGTTTGCCTTTTTGATTATTTTTTCCGTAAAATTTTATTTAACATCAAGTAAGTATTTACAATACATAACAATTTTCAATATCGTTTAGCAGTTCTAAATATGTAAACAACACTGCATTCGTCAATATGAGAAGTGAAAATATTTATTCTTGCTGTTGATAAAAATGAAGCAAACACTCGATGTAATGATACTCGATGGAGCTTCGTGAGTAACATAAAATGATTAGTTAGTTAAAAGAAGGAAAGTAAGTATGAAGAGAAGGAGAATGTTGACTTTGCTTCAGAAGAAAAATGTTCTCTTATGGTTTCGATACATGATTGATTTATGACGAATTCTGGTTTAATGGATTTGGTGACGAACACTAGAAAGAAGGAAATTTATCTTAATTTTCGAGTTCAATTTAAATCTTGTAGATTGGTATGCGTAAATGGATCAAACGTTTTACTTTTAACATGTCTTCTTCAGCTGCAACAACTGCAGGTCTTTTCTCGATGCCATTTTCCGCAGGTGCTAAATGATGGATCGTCCGATAAGTTTCCGAGTTTTTCAAAAAGCTTAAATCTTTCTCAGGCTTTTGATATTTTAAGAAGTTTACTCTAAAGAAGAAAGAAAAAAGGTAAGAAAAATAATATTTTAGAATTCAAGGTATAAATAGCAGTTAAACGAACTTTTTATGCTTATCTATCTAAGAGTTCTATGTGGCGTGATTAACGCAATTTTTAAAATTTATCAAATAAAGAATATCGTGAAAAAGAAATTTTTAAAGTTATGATTGACATACAGATTATTAGAAATACTAAAATGAAGTTTGTGTTCTCATTCAGGTGAAATATTTAGTGAGATGTAAAAGACGCCTTTATCTGCATGTTCATATTCTGAGAATTTTAGATGAATTTCAAACTAAAATTTTAAGAAAAATTTATTCCAGAATTTTTTGTTTTAAAGATTCGATTGATGATATTTTATGTGGTGTTTGTGATGACAAATGTAGATAAAATTTTGCATTGACTCTTCGTATGTAGTGTGCAATACATTTAAGGGTTTACCAAGAACTTGAGTCACAAATAAATCTTATCGGCATGACATTCCAAAAAATGTCCAACTTAATCAACAAAAACTCCTTATTATTTTATTACGCTGTCTCATCCTACTTAAATTTCAAATTAAATTCGCGAGTCTAATCTAACTATATTCAAGTTATCTTCAATACATTCATGCAACGAACTGAAAAACATTCATAAACATGACGAATTTAGCTGAGGTGAATTTAGTTCCATTTTATACTGACAATGGAGAAGTGGATTGGAAAAGTTGCTATTGTTACCGGTGCCTCTGCTGGAATTGGTGAAGCCATTGTAAAAAGTTTAGCCAAAAATGGTATTCACGTTGTTGGACTAGCAAGAAGAAGTGAAAAAATTGACGAATATGTTAAGAAACTTGGAAAAACTCCTGGGACGATTTATTCTCTCAAATGTGATGTGTCCGACTTGCAATCAGTGAAGGAAGCATTCAAATGGATCGAAGAAAAGTTTGGCTTTATTCATATTTTGATTAATTATGCTGGCGTTGCTTATAAAATGCAAATTCTCGATGAAGCCGATGTAACTGAAAAGATTGATTCCATTCTCAAGACCAACGTATCTGGATTAGTTTATTGTACAAGGGAGGCAGTGAGATTGATGAAGAAAGCTGATGATTATGGAATGATAGTGAACGCTGGGTCCATTGTTGGTCACAATATTCCATTCCGTTCAAATTCCTTTAACATGTATGCTCCATCAAAATATGCAGTGACTGCTATTTCTGAAGTTTTACGTCAGGAATTAATTACTCAAAACAACCATAAAATACGGGTGACAAATCTAAGTGGAGGCTACGTTCGTACACAAATGACAACTCCATTAAATGTCGATCCAGATGAATATTTCTCCAATAAACCAATACTGATGACGGAAGATATTGCTTTGACAATTAATTTTCTTCTTGAAACTCCAGTTCATGTAAATATTTCTCAACTGACTATAAAACCGGTCGGTGAGCAATTCTAAGCCAACAACAAAACATAAATCATCAACTTACTTCTTATCATACACAAAAGATAATTTTCATCTGTTATCTCTCTAAATCGTTTTCGACTCATCGAAAAAAATGTCATTTAGTAACCAAACTCTGATCGAAAAACATAAAAAAAAATAAAAATTAATATTACATAGGACATAAAACGTTTTAAATGAATGCGTGGACGGGAAAAATTGCTGTTGTTACAGGTGCGTCATCAGGAATTGGATTTAACGTGGTGTAAATGTTATTAGACTAGCAAGAGTTAATCGAGGAAATTTTCAATTCCTTAAGAGAAGTTCTTGGTATTTATTATCTACCCTCGCTATTGCACCAAAACTTTCATGGGCAAATGTTTCATATTTATGATTGTACATGTTTAAGTTCACATCATTTGCAATTCATGTTTGCTATTTATATTTCCAGAAATAGCATATCGATTACCATGAACCTTTTGTCTGAAAACAATTAATATAATTCAATCTATTACTGTCAATACCCGGACAGGAAACGTCAAAGTAAATGGTCTAACAAGATCAATTATATTTAATTGCACGAAACTTAGTTGTTACACTCGTAAACCTGATGAAATTTTACGAGAGAAAATTAAGTGAATGCCAAACATTAAACATTAGTCAAACAATGGATGGTAGAAAAGAAAATTTCATCAATGAATATCAAAATAAAAGAAAGACAAAGAAAATATTTATGAAATATATAAAAGCTTCAAAATATTATTTAGTAATGAGAGCAATTTACCTTTCATCAAAATTCAAAAACGGACTTTCATAATAGCTTCTGTATGAAATGGTGAAAGAATGATTGCATGAAAAATGGTAAAAATGAACGAGCGATGAACAAAGTTATGATATGAAAGAGTTTTATTAAAATTATAATTAAAACTCACCCTAATGTTGAACCCATAATGAGCTCGGCTTGTGACGATATAATCTCGGCTATCATTTCTTCGTTCATTGCATCCTTAGCGTTTCGCCACTTTCTACCACCAGGTAAAGTGATTGGACGTTCTTGTGGTTGTAAACCACGAAATCCTTTCGCTTTCTTTTGCTTCATGTTTCTATCTTCGGTAACTTTCTGTTTTAACTCGGCCGATAACTCAGTTTTAGCATCTTTCGGCTCCTGCTACGTAGCGTTGTGGATTTAATGTTTTTATTGTGTTGTGTGCGTGGGTGTTTATGGGCGGGAAAAGATAAAATATATGCAATATTATAATTTAACAAATGACGATGAAATCACAAGCATGGTCGGAAAATGCAAAAAAAAGGAAAAACGAGAAAGGGAAATATTTTAGCTCATGAAAATTTCATTGTTTTCTTTTTTTAACTTCAATCTCAATGAGCGTCGTAAAAGTTTATGAAAATGGATGCAATGGGGAAAAATTGTATTCTTCTTCGTTATTATAGTTGAGCATTGCGCCTAAAAATCACTAAATTTTTTCGGCAGGGGGACAACAAAGTGATAAATTGGAACTGTCTTCACGCAGTTTGGATCTTCCACTTCTCTTACAGCTTTTATTGCCCAGGGTCCAATACTGCAACGTAACTTCTAAGCATTTGTGTGTTTACATGTTTTTATTTTCGTGAGCGAAGAATTTATATCAAGAAGCAAAAGTTAGAGTTAAAAATGGGAAGAAAAGATAACAAAGAATAATTTTCATAAATGCTTGATTCTGTTGTTTGAAAACCGCAGTGCGGATGATCTTGAAAGGTTGTTTCATAGCAAGAAGAACAGGGATTTATATAATCCTAGAAGAAAACTATTGTCACGAAAAATATCGTTTAAAACTTTAGTGATAATCAAGGAAAAAGCTCAATTTGAATAATTTCAACAAGTCTTAACATCCTAAAATTTAAGACGCGCATGAATCCCTGCAAGAAAAATGTTTCCATTCAAGAATATCCGTTACGGCTCATCCAACAATAAAAGGTCTTAAAGGCAAGCATTAAAGTAAATTGTGCAAAGAAGCTCAAGCATATTTGAACAATGTTTTACTAAACATAATAAAAAAATGTAAAGAATGGAAATCCAGCAAATCTTACTTTTTCACGCTTTCTTTCCCAAAGCTCACGGAACTTCATTTGACATTCTTCGTAATCTTCGATTTCTTTTTGTGATAAGAAGGAAATCGATTCTTCACATTCTGATGGTTGTTTTTGTTCGCTTTGAATTGTTTCAGTAGTTGTTTCCACAATATGTATTGTTTCACATGTCATCTCAATTTTTGTTTCGGTCGATTCGTCAACATGAACTTGAATGTCTGTCAATAATAAAAAGGAAAAAGAAATATTCTCGTGATCTGTTTACATTTGTAATCGAGGAAGTTTATTTTCTCAATTACCTTCACTTGTCACATTTATTTCTTCTTCTTTCTCATCAACTTTTTTTTCAGGTTCAATTGATGTTTGCTTAAGCTTTGATGGTGGAATCAATGATTGAAGCTGCTTCGTTATATCATCGAGGGTCGATTGAATAGTTTTTGGCAAATGACTCAATGCCATCAATTGACTTTGAACATTAGCAAGCTGCTCAGCGAATGCGGAACTGAGAACGCTAACTTCTTCACTCTTGACCTCTTCTTCAACCAGAACCTCATTAACTGATTCACCTGTTGCATCAGCAGCAAGTTCCTCGAATGTCACAACCTCTTCACATGATGTTGTTGTCGTCGTCGTCGTTGTGACGACAGTTTGCGACGACACCTCCGCTTCGTAGAATTGACATTCAACCTGGTCTTGAACATCATTTTGTTCAACAATTTCTGTTTTTTGTTCAGTGACACTTTCGGAGAGATGCTCAATTTGTTCTTTAACTTCAACCTGAGGCGGCTCCTAAAAGTGAAAGCTCTTAAAACACTCTTAATTTTCTTTTTCCCCACTCAAACTTACTGGTGTCGCTTCTCGGTAATCGGGCGCACACTTCGGTTTTGGCTGCTTCACAATCAATGGTTTGTAAGTGTTTGTGAGTGTGTGTTGAGTTGCACGGAGAGGGGGTGGACGTTTCGGTTTCTGTAAGAATGTAGTCCATTGATGCTTTTCTTCACGCTCCCTCTCTGCCTTCGTTTTAAGTTGTTCGTCGTTGAGGACTTGAAAAACTTCACTTTGCTTGAAAACACCCGCCTTTGGCATCATTTTCTTAAAGTTGACGCTAAGTGAATGGAGCAAAAAGTTGGAAATTTCCTTTTGCTAAACAGATTTATGCTACGTAATTACCCAAGCACACCATGTCCTTTTAAAACTTCAGCTTCCCCGGAGAGCAGTTCAGCAATTTCTTCATCAGTGACCGAAGCATCCGGAATAATTTTATCAATTCTTGCTTGCTCTTTCTGAACTTCAATCTCAGTGGGCGCAACAGTTGTCACAGTTGGTGCTTCTTCAACAATTATATCGACCTCGGGCAAGACATTCGTAGCTCTATTGAGATTAGGGAAAGACAAACCAAAGTATCAATTTGTTATCATGAACACATTTCACAAGACAAAGCACAAATGTATCAGCTGAGAATATTTTCATTCTCATTTTCATTTCATACCTCAAGACCCCAAGAGTAAATTCATTTCCAGCTGCTACCAGTTCAAAATGTGCATCTTCATGAGTCATATTTATGGTTGGCTTATCATTAATTCTAACCACCACATCCCCTTCCTGCAATCCAGACAACCCGGCTGTGCTGCCTTCAATCACCTAAACCATAACAATGGAAAACATTTAAAGCGAAATTACTTTCATTTAAGAAAGAAGAAGAATGAAAGAAATTGCTGTCAACTTGAAGTTTTATGTTATCTCAGTGACAGGTAATTTCGGAAATTACATTTTCTTTCTGTTTGTTTCTGTTTTATTTTTAGAGACATTACAAGTTAGTGATTCAATTTCCCCACGTGTGAACTATTTTCTTGTTGGTTGAACAATTTTAAACAATGATTAAGATGTCGAGAGAATGACTGATTCAGTAGTTTTAAAACTTATAATTGAAAATTATTTTTCCAAGGAAAAATGTGAAAATTTGTTGATTTTACTGTTCGTGTGCCATAAATCATGACACATTTTCAGATGGCTTTTATTGCAAAACTCTCGACAATTAATATAATTAAGCTTCATGCAGTGCTTCATCATGTTTCAATTTGACTTCTTTTATTTACTGCAACGTTGTGTGAAAATCATTTTAAGCATTAGATAACAATTTTTAGTTCTAGGACGAAACACCGCTTTGGCATTAAAATAAAAATTGATAACAACTTTAAATTTGCATTCTCTGAATAAATTTATAAATAAAATGAAGCTGGCGTTTTAATCGTAGACATGTGATTTAAAAATAAATTCAGAAATAAAGTTTCAATTGAATCAGTTGCTTGTTGCGCAATCGTAGATTTTGCATTTTTCTTTTACTTTCAGTATTTTTGTTCACGAAAACTTTCTTCATTCACAACTTCGTTTAATCCATGACAATAAATTTACTTAAAATTTTCAACGCTTCTCTTAAAAAGTTTTATAATTTTGCATATCTAATAAAATGCAAAAACTTTTACTATTAAATTAGCTTGAACTTACTCTTGAGCAAGTTAAAGGGATTTCAAAATCAGCACCACCAATCAAACGAAATCCAAATGGTTTTCCATCTTCTTTACATAACTTTATATCGACAACCATTATGAACTGTGCTTTTTAATAATTTTAACTTTTCTTTTTTTTCTTCTCTGATTATTTTTATCTCGATTTCTTAATTGATTCCTTTTTAAATCGATAGTTGAAAGTAGACTGAAAGTGAAATGAGAGATTATCATTTTCTGATGGGATTCAGCCACGATTTACAAATTTCAAGAGTTGTGATTCGTGACGTGTCGTCGTAAAATTTCGGTCGATAAAATTAATGATCCGAAGAGAAGTTACTCATGAGCACGTAAAGTGTTTTGTTGAGAAATCACTACATTTCATTCAAGTAGTGATAATAACTTCATGACAAAAAAAAGCTTTCATTCAACAGTTGGTTTGACTGTCATTTCAAACAACTATTGAAGAAAACAATTAAATATAATTTAAGTTTGAAATAATAAACTTGCATGTTTAAGACACTTTAAAGTTTAGCTAATGTTTCAAAAAGCTCCTTTAATTAAATTAAAGTTGAATTTGTAATTGGTATAAAGTGGGTTAAAATGTTTGCATCCTTTTCGAAAATGTCAATAATAAACATAAAATTGTCGAGAACAGTCACAGGTTTGGTTTATCTTTCATTTCAGTTAATTTTCAAGGTCAATTATTACGCAACTCTGCAACTCTGCACCGTGCAAATCTAAACTCTTATCTTATCTTTATTGACAACAAAGTTAAGGTACCCTGAGTACCTGATAATTATACTATAAATCAATCAGTTTTCTACGCAACAAAGCATTAAGATATCACAAACATACATACGTATTGCATCTCGTGGGAGGTTTTCAAGTATTAGATAAGTTGCATTATAATGGCTAGTGCATCCAAGATTTTTTATGGATGCTAAGTTTATAAAGTTTAAATGATAATTCACATACTGAAGACAACACTACAAATCGGTCCAAAATAGTTTCTAATTGTCTTTAAATTTGTTCTCGAGAAAGATGAAGATTTCTCAATAAAAGATTAATTTTGAAATCGAAATTGAAGTTTTTATGGATTAATTTGCTAACGTCAATCAAACGTTAAGCCTTGAAATTAATCAGATTATGGACATTTGGCATTATCGTTGAATGTCCAACTTCCACCACTTGGAGTGTTTCCATTCAAAAAAAAATTCAATGATAAGATGATAAGATTGCAAATTATTGATAAATAAAATTATATAAATTGAGAAGTAAATGCGCACAGTCCATGGTCTGTCTTTGATTATTGTGAAACCACAACAGAGAAAAACTAGAGTAATAAAGATGAAATTCTTAGCCGTTGTTGCAATTTTATTAGCTGTGAATAGTGCATCAGCTTTCTGGACTGCATGCCCTGGAATTGCTGCACCAACTCGAGTTGCATCTGGTCAATGTACAGCAGCTGGTTGTACTGTAACACGTGGAAGTTCACTTGTAGCGGAATGTGACTTTGTCCCCACTGCAGCACATGGTTTCTTGGAAACGAGAATGACAGCCACTGTTTTAGGTACTCAGATTAGTCTTCCTATCGATGATATCTTCATTAACGCCTGTGATCATCTTCGTGGTCGAAGCTGCCCGACAACAGCTGGACAAACTCATACTTGGGATTGGAGCCTTACAGTTCCCACCACATTCCCACAATTAAGCAACGTTCCATTCAGAGGTAATTATGTGAAATACTTTAAAAATAATTGCAAGCTTCAAAATTTATTCTATTTACAGTTGAACTTGTTGACCGTAATACTGGAGCAAATGTTGTCTGTTTCACAGTGCAAGCCACCATCAACTAAACATTGTAAAATAACATCATACAAAATTCATGTTAAATTATAAAAAAAGCCAATAAACAAATAATTTTTTTTCAAAATTGAAAAATTTAATTGATTCAAATCATAGGAACAACCCGCTTACTTTCAACCCGCTTGCTTGCTTAGGCTTGCCTTTTTTTGTCCGTTAGCTTGCTTGCTTAGCTTGTTTTTTTTTTTCTTTCGGCTTGCTTGGTCAGCTTGGCTTGTTAGATTTTTTTCGGCTTGTTTTCTCGGCTTGCCTTGGCCTCCAGAATATTTCAGCTTGCTTTTTCGGCTTGCTTTGGTGAGCTGGCTTACCTTGTCCCGTGACTCTACATTGTCCCCACTTCTCTTATTTAATTAAAAAAAAATTTCCAACCGGGATTCGAACCCAGGACCTCTGGCACAAGTTCTTGCACTCGTACCTCGAGGCCAAATCCTTCTTCTCAAACGAATGGCAAATGTCCTATATAAACTATTATTGTTTCCAAGTGAATTTCAAAAATTTTTTCTGACTTCAATGCACTAAACCATTGAAGCCAATTTCTCATATTTTAATGAATGACAGATTCTCTATATAAAGTTTTGAAAGCATTTGCAAGCGACAAAATTGAATGAAACCTAAACTATAAGATTTAGGTATAAAGTGTCTTTGGGAAAAATGTTCCTTAGAACTTTTTGCAACTTTCTTTAAGACATCATAGTTCAATAGAGTGACACCAGAGGGCGCTAGAGGCAATTTTATATTTAATTTGCTTATATAGCGCTCTGGTTCCATTCTATATAAATATAATGTATAAGAAAAAGTTGCAACATGTATTAACGAACAACTTTCTCATACATACTTTGTACCTGCAAAGTTGTTGAAAGGCAGTAAGAATTATTATGTTCGATTCACTTGAAATTTCAAATCAACGGACATGCTTCTCACTCTGAAATTCCCAGGTTCAAATCCCAGTGAGTTATTTCTTTTATTTATTTTTTTATTTTTATTTTTCATTTATTTAAGAATATATTTCTTCTTTCTTTACTTCTAAGTGAAAAAAAAAATTATGACACTCAATATAAGTGATACTTGTTCTTTATATAAACATAATAATTCTTACTGCCTTTCAACAACTTTCCAGGTCAAAAGTATGTATGAGAAAGTTGTTTGTTAGAACATGCTTCAACTATTTCTGGTATATCATATTGCAGTACGATGGCACCAGAGGGCGATAGAGACGAATTAGTTATAGAAACGTCTCTAGCGCCCTCTAGTGTCACTCTATTAAAATACAGTGTATAAAAAAAGTTGCAGAAAGTTCTAAGGAACATTTTTCCCAAAGACACTTCATACTTAAACCTTATAGTTTAGGTTTTATAGAATTTTTTCGGTCTCAACTGCTTTAAAACTTTATATGGAAAATCTTTATATGAAAAATTCATATAAATATGAGAAATTGGCTTCATTGGCTTAGTGCAGTGAAGTCAGAAAAATTTTTTGAAATTCACTTGGAAACAATAATAGTTTATATAGGACATTTGCCATTCGTTTGAGAAGAAGGATTTGGCCTCGAGGTACGAGTGCAAGAACTTGTGCCAGAGGTCCTGGGTTCGAATCCCGGATGGAAAAATTTTTTTTAATTAAATAAGAGAAGTGGGGACAATGCAGAGTGACGGGATAAAAAAGCAAGCCGAAAAAGCAAGCTGAAATATCCTGAAGGCCAAGGCAAGCCGAGAAACAAGCTGAGAGATATCCGGATCACAAGCCAAGCAAGCAAGCTGAGAGAAATGTGGCAAGCCAAGCCAAGCCAAGCTGAGAGAGAAAAGAGAGACACAAGCAAGCAAGCAAGCGGGTTGTGGCTATGATTCAAATATGCATTAAACTTTATAATTTATTTTTGTATTTATTTTCATTAAAGTTAGATATAGAAAATATCAAAATGAATCAAAATTTAATACGTGCTAATCACATGGATTAGTTTCATTGCACAGTGCAAAAGTTAAGTAAAGGGATATGAAATTAAAACTGTGGGTAGTAAATAAAAGTGTTATGTAAGAAATGAGGATTTCCCTTGATAAATTTAATCTTTTCAACTAAGTATTCGTTAGATAAGAACAGGGGTCTAAAGCAGAAGCTTAAAATTAGCAATGGAGATTATGAAACTTTTTTTCAAGTTGTGCATTTCAATTTACATTCATATAGCTATTTTGAAATAAAAAAACTTATAGTTTATTGAACATTACGAACAACAGGAAATCACATTAGAAGGTGGAATAAGAATAATTAGTTAAATTAAGATCCAATTAAGATCCCGATTTTATTATCTACAATCAACAAATAATAATCAATGATAAGATGATAAGATTGCAAATTATTGATAAACAAAATTATATAAATTGAGAAGTAAATGTGCACAGTCCATGGTCTGCCTTCGATTTTTGTGAAACCACAACAGAGAAAAACTAGAGTGATAAAGATGAAATTCTTAGCCGTTGTTGCAATTTTATTAGCTGTGAATAGTGCATCAGCTTTCTGGACTGCATGCCCTTCAACTGCTCAACTAACTAATGTTCAATCTGGCCAATGTACAGCAGCTGGTTGTACTGTAACACGTGGTGGTTCACTTGTAGCCAGTTGTGACTTTATTCCCACTGCAGCACATGGTTTCTTGGAAACGAGAATGTCGACAGTTCTTTTGGGTGAAACAGTCAATTTTCCTATTGATGATACTTTCATTAATGCCTGTGATCATCTTCGTGGTCGAAGCTGCCCTACAACACCTGGACAAACTCATACTTGGGATTGGAGCCTTACAGTTCCCTTCACATTCCCACAAGTCAACAACGTTCCATTCAGAGGTAATTATGTAAAATAATTTGAAAATATTTGCAAGCTTAAAAATTTAATCTAAATACAGTTGAACTTGTCGACCGTGCTACTGGAGGAACTGTTCTCTGTTTCACAGTGCCAGCCACCATCAACTAAAAATTGTAAAATAACATGTTGTGAAATTCATGTCACATAATAAAATACGTAAAAAAATAAGTTAAATGATGTGTTCTCTTGAATATTTCAGGAATGTTTAGTGTACCGTACATAATCCTTAACATTATTTGTTCAAAATTATGGACAGTTGAACTTGTACGATATAAAATTTTCGATGGATAAATGCATAATGAAACCTTCGATTTTGAAAATTTACATAACTTCTTTTGTATCTATTTCCATTATGAAAGGAATTTCTGGATTAATAGAAGTTTAGCACAATAATCTGAATGATTCTTCTGCATGGTCGCTTGGCAATGAAATAATTATAGACTAATTAACGTCACATGAATAAGTTTCACTGCAACGTTGCACAGTACAAAGTTTAAGTGAGGATTTATAATTCAGCTGAGGGATATGAAATTTAAAACGAAACGGTTGGAGGTAAAAAAGACTGTAAGTAAGAACTGAGGATATCCCTTGATAACTTTAATATTTTTATTTATTGATTAGATAAGATAGTTTCATAAAATGCTTAAACTCAATTTATCTTCATTTCTTTTGATATTTTAACAGCCATAAATTTATTGGACATTAAAAACAACAAAAACTCTCATGAAAAGATTAAATAAGATAACAAAAATCTAAAATTAGAATAATTTAATTTTTCACAACAACTTGATTGATTATAGCTTGAAAAAACGAAAGAAATATTAAAGAATTTCATGTTCACTAATTGCAATTTAAATATTAACAAGAATATTTATTGTAAATTTCTGATAGCAATAAAAGAATATGAGAAATAGACAAGAATTCAATTCACTCAATATTTATTCTATATATCAAAGATTATTCGTTATAATTTTTATAAAGGCTGGTGTTTAATAGGAAACATCGTCCTCGAACTTTGCAGGAAGATAGGAAAAAAAATTCTCCCCTCTTAATAATTTTTATAAAATTGTAGCCGTTACCAATGCACACACAACTGATTGATTGTTCTCCAAAAGCTCAGCTATGAAAAATAATATTAAAAACTAATTCAACCAAAAAAAAGATAATGCTAACTTACCCCTGACTTGAGCGTTAGCAAAAGCAGGTACTTGTGTAGGAATTGGTGAATTCATGTCCCAAATAAATGGAACATTTGCTTGTGTTGGGCAGGTCATTCCACCTCCGAGTTGATTACATGCATTCTCAAATCCAGGAGCATTAGGAAGTTCCACTGGAAGGCCAAGAAGGAATGCAGTGAATCTAATAAGCAACTGGCTGTGTGCTCTTGGCGAATTGATTTGTGCTTGAGCAACCAAAGATCCCCCTCTGGTTACTGTACATCTAACAGCATCACACAATGGAGAGGTAATAGATGTAGGAGCTAAAACTCCCGCACACGGGCCCCAGAAAGCCGATACATTGCTCACAGCCAGAAGAAGAGTTAAAGCAATTATTATCTTCATCATTTTAATATCAAATTCACACTCGTATAAGACTCAAGCACGTCAACAGAAGAACTGAATGAAAAATAAAATTATGAATGATTTTATAGTCCAACAGTCAATAAAGGTAAAGCTACAAATTAATAAAGGAATTAAAGTTATCATGATTAATTATTTTATTCGTACACTTCACTGATAATGTATCTAGTGAAATCTTTCGTGGGGGTATGTTAATCAATTTTGTTTGAGTCTTATTCGTATTTGTCTAAGTACTCATGGTTTCAAGCACTTTTCAAATTTACTGTGTTACAATGTAATTAATCTGGTTATATGCGTCCGTCAGCTTAGGTTTTTCCTAGCAGTTCAAAATATTTCTTTTCAGCAACTCTTATTTCAATGTTATCTATGAAAACTAAGCGCCAAAAACAGTCAAACAAAATTTAAACTAAACATAGAATTGATATAAAACGCAATTATTTGTAGTTGCAGGTTTATGAGGTTTGCGTAATTTATTAGTTTTGTTTATAAACTTTTGAGAAAAACTTTCAATTGAATATGTTATAAGAAACCGTTGCCAGAGTTGTGCTTTGACCCATTGACATACAAACACTTACGTAATTCAATGTCAGACAAACTAATTTTTCATTAACAACAACTCATTTTCGACAAGTGATTCGTAAACTGCCCCTTGAATTAATTATCTTATCTTTTGTTTTGACAAAAAATTAAAGTAATTGAGACGTGTTAATCTTTTGTGATAAAAAGTTAAGGTGGCATTTACGATTTTGGTATAAATATTAATTCTCTTGAATTTGAACTTCAGTTCTAACTCTTCTAGTCTGTTTACTATTGAATATGATCAAGTTCACGTCAATTTTGTTGTTTTTGGCTACTGTAAATTGTTGTTTTGCTTTTTGGTCTCCATGTCCAGGTGGATTACCAGCTCCATCACGTGTTGTATCTCCTTTTTGTGATGCTATAATTTGTAACGCTCAACGAGGAACAATTTTGACTGCTGAAGCAGATTTCACAACAACTGCTGCGCACACTTTTCTGGATACTCGGTTATCAACAACAATTCTAGGTTTGCCGGTAACATTACCGATGGATCCTGGTATGGAAGATGCCTGCCAATTCCTTGTGCCAGGATGTCCTACACTTGTTAATGGAATGCACACGCTTATGCTGAATGCACCAGTGCCTACAGGATTTCCAGCCATTTCCAATGTTAACATAAGAAGTAAGTCGAATTAATATTCATGCTTCTTATTTGCTAATTATCCTTTTTTTTTAGTTGAACTGGTAGATCCAACAATGAACCGAATTGCCATGTGTGCAATTGTACGAGCCAACATTATTTAAAGTTTATAAGTTTTCCGCTCATTTTCTATCGCGCACATGCTGTAAATTATCTTTTTTTTGTTAATATAGATTGATTTTTAATAAAATTAATTAATGTACTATCCTCAATTGGTTTTGAAATGATAATTTGTTATTAAAATGTCATCAAGTATTAGAGAAGAAATTATCTCTGTTGTAATGCATATAATGATGGATAAGTGAATGATAAGTTATGTTGACTTCTATTTTCTACCTAATTTCCAACCCCTCAGCTTCAGAACCGGCAGATTGCAATTTACGCTTAGTGGAAGGAAATTTCTTTTACAAGTTGGCGCTTTTGGATGAAGCGTAAGGAAAATTATTATTAAAGCCCTTAAGTTGCAGCAGATAAGATTTTTTGAATGTGTTGTTGCATCCAAACAAATGTTTATTATTTAGCATATAAACCTTTTTAAAATCCATGATCTTTTGATGCCATCAAAATTCTATTTATACTTACTTGAACTGAATTAAAAACAAATCTTGATATTTTTTTCAAATGTTTATATTTTGTTTACCTACTTTAGAAATTCCACTAAATCTTTTTTTACTGTTTTCATTCATTATCAGTATCATTATTTTATTGAGTTTCCTTAGTTATTGAGTCAATAAAATAATTGATCAAGATATTTTTAATTCTTCTTTAAACTCCAAACTGATTGAGGTTGACCAATGAATAAAAGCTTGAACGTTATGGACTTATTTTTCAGTCCTTCTGTTTACTCACTTAACTAAAGCAAAAACGTCTATTCGGTTTAAAAATGGCGAAATTAATAATCGCTTTATCATTTCTATTGATTGTGAGCAATGTATCAGCTTTCTGGGGTCCGTGTGCTGGAGTTCCATCTCCAGAATGGATAACATCTCAACAGTGTGATGCTGTTAGATGCACAGTAAGCCGAGGGGGAACTTTAATAGCCCAGGCTCAATATACTTCACCAAGATCACATAATGAGTTGATTGTTAGGTTTACTGCATTCCTTCTTGGTCTCCCAGTGTTCTTACCCATCCCACCTGGATTCGAGGATGCGTGCACACAACTTGCAGATGGAATAACTTGTCCAACACCAGCAAACTTTCCAATTATTTGGAATATGAACGCGCCTATTCCTACAACAGTACCTGCCTTTAATAATGCTCCGGTTAGAGGTAAGTTGACACTAAATATTTGTTTTAAATATTTTGATTACTAAATAGACCTAAAAAATATTTTTTTCACAGTTGAACTTCTGGAGAACAACCAATCAGTTGTGTGCGCAATGGTTACGGCTACAATTTTATGAAAACTTACATCGATAAAAAAAAATTAACAAGAAAACTATGAAAACAAACGAAAAACTTAAATATCCAATGAAATGTAAATTAAATAGATAATTAAATATTGAGTTAATCACTTTTTTTATTGGGAGGGTTAAAAAAGAAAACTTGTAAAGAGCCACAACTTTTTTTTTGCAACTTTGGAATTGCAAACTTTCTTATCTTATCACTAACTTTGAGAGCTTTGAATATAAAAAAGTTAAAGGCATGAAAACTTGTTTTACATAATACATATTTATTAATAATAATGAACCTACATATTTACATGAAACTTTCGTATGAATTGTTTTATATGCCTACTACACAAATCTACTGTTCGATCACAATTCAATAATTCTTCGTAAAATTAAATTCCTTTGCACCATTTTCCTCGGTATTTCCTTTTTAATTCTTTGCTGATTAATAAAATCTTAGCTTTTTGACATTATCAGTGAAGTTTATTTATAAAATAATTAATCATGATAATTTTAATTCTTTTATGATTTTGAACTGAGACTATAAAATAATTCAGATTTGCCATTTATACTTCAGTTTTCTTGGATACGTGCTTGAGTCTAATATAACTGTGAAATTGTTATCAAAATGATGAAGTTAATAGTTGCCTTAACTCTTCTTCTGGCTGTGACCAATGTATCAGGAAATTTCTGGAGAGATTGTGGTGATGGAACTCCAGCTCCTAATTGGGTAACATCTCCATTTTGTGATGCCGTTAGATGCACAGTAACCCGAGGGGGTACATTATTGGGTCAGGCGCAACACACTTCACCAAGATCATACAGCCAGTTGATCATTAGATTCACAGCATTCGTGCTTGGTATCCCAGTGGTTATTCCAAATACCCCTGGTAATGAAAACGCATGCACACAACTTGCAGATGGAGTAACTTGCCCAACACCAGCGAATACCCCTATTGTTTGGAACATAAATTTACCGATCCCCACAACAGTACCTGCCTTGAATAACGCTCCAGTCAGAAGTAAGTTGACATCAAATATGAATTTTTTAGGTCTGAATATATTTTAAATATTTCTTCACAGTTGAGCTTTCCGAGGGCGGTACATCCGTTGTGTGCGCTATGGTTACGGCAATAATTTTGTAAATATTTTGATGGATATTCTCTAACAAGAAAAACAAATAAATATTGAGAAACTAAATCCTATTTTTTTTACTGAATCTTCTTATTTAAAATAGGTAAAAGTTATAAGAAAACATTTTGTCAAATATCTTTAATGCAACGTTACATGATCAAGTCTCTTCTAATCGAATTAAATTAATTCAGCTTATGGAAGATATTTTATTTACTAGATTTCAATGTTAGTAAAAATCACAATTTTTCTGTGATCCAATCAAGACGAAATCATAACATCAATAATTTAAAATAAGAATTTCTTATCTTTTCTCGTTTTAATACATTAGGCTACTTATTGCGTTATGACGTTATCAGTGAAGTCCACTTCAAAGAAAAAATAATCAATCAAGATAATTTTAATTCTCTTATAAATTTGCAACTGATTAAGTTGGCCAAGGTATAAATTTTAAACTTATTTGATTATTACTTCAGTCTTGCTTAATATTCAATCGGAAATCGTTACAAGTCTGAAATTGATATTAAAATGATGAAGTTTATAATTGCTTTAACCTTTCTTCTGATTGTGAGCAATGTATCAGCTTTCTGGGGTCCATGTGCCGGAGTTCCATCTCCGGAATGGGTAACCTCTCCATTGTGTGATGCTGTTAGATGCACAGTAAGCCGAGGGGGAACTTTAGTAGCTCAAGCTCAATACACTTCCCCAAGATCACATAATGAGTTGATTGTTAGGTTTACTGCATTCCTTCTTGGTCTCCCAGTTGTTCTTCCTTCCTCACCTGGATTCGAGGATGCATGCACACAACTGGCTAATGGAATAACTTGTCCAACACCAGCAAACGTGCCACTTATTTGGGATATGAATTCACCAATTCCTACAGCAGTACCTGCTTTTGATAATGCTTCGGTTAGAGGTAAGTTGACACTAGTTATTTGCTTTATTTTTATTACTCACTATTTATTTATTTTTTCATAGTTGAACTTCTAGAGAACAATCAATCTGTTGTATGTGCAATGGTTACGGCAAGAATTTTATAATCACAACAAATAGATATTCTCTGATGTTTTAAAAAAATATTTATTGAATAAATCATTTTTGTTTGAATCATGTTGCTCTAATCTATTATTTACATTGAACGCATTAATTTAGGCGACCAATTCAGGTTGGAAAATTTATATTATGATATGCCTCAAGTTTTTATTTAATGTACAATTTTTTCAAAGCTTAGCTGTTTTTTTTATGGAAGTTTGAGATGGTATCTTATCTAATCAAGAATTGATTTATATTTATCATACTTAGTTATATTTTCTTACTGATTGTTACACCAATTCTTAATTTATAGATGCAACAAACTTAAAGGAGAGCGGAACAGAAAATATGTTTGGATTCATTTAAACTTTTCGAATAAAATAAGAAAGAAATTAAGTAAAATTCTTTTTCAATCAGCAGAAAAACAAAGTTAAGTTTTTATTCACATTTTAGTCATTCATAAATCATGCTTTGTACACTAAACTTATTTGTCTCAAACATGAGCACAAGAAAAATAATTTAAAATCAAATTTCAGAGTGAAAGTGACAAAAGTTATTGAAAAAATAAAATCAATATTTTGCAATGAAACATATAAAGTTTGATATGTTTGAACATTGTGAGAGAATAGAATATTGAATGAGAATCATTTTTATGAAACTATTCGATAAGATTATGCCAACATAAAGTTTTAAAAATTTGGCTCATGATGAAACAAAATGCATGAACGTCAAACGCCCAATGAATTCAAGTTCTAAAAATCTTGTTCCAGATTAGAAATTTATCTGTCTTAAAAATATGCATGGATTTGAAATATAAATATTTAAGAAATCTTCGATACTCGCTCTCAAAGATTAATTCATCGTGAAACTCTTTTTAGATTATGTTACATAAATGTTGAGTTATAATTTTTTTTTATTTGTAATTTGAGATTCAATTCAAATACAGAGATTAAACCTCACTTATAATAGTTGCTTGATGATGATTATTACGAAGCTCTCTAAGGTGCGCTCATTTTCGACAGGTTTCAGGGTGATTTTATTTTATGCAAATAGAATAAGAGATTACTATCTTCCTGTGTTCATAAAAGCACTGTAAAAGCATATATTGTCAGTACCCGCGTTTCTATATATAATTCAAGATCACAATCTCAAAGCACCTGATAAATTCTTTTACGCATTCTTGGCACATGCCTAAACTCATTTTTCCATTTCACATCTCATAAGAAGTACTACCGGAAGAATACAAATTATCTCGCCCCTATGCTTGTAAAATGAAACTCTCGATTCAAAAATATGTGAATGCGGACGAGAGAAGTTTGAGAATGTTTATTGAACTACTCTTTGCATGTCGAATTGAGGTTTGATGTTTGTTTATTTAAAACATTTTGAAGAAAATCTTGTTTTTATTGAACTGATCTGAACATCATAAACGATTTTAACAAATCTTAAAAAAAACTGAATTGAAAAACTTTTATTGAATGAAAGCTTTTAAAGTAGTGGGAGGAAAAAAATTCTCCATGAAATGGAATGACAAAATGCGCATGTACAATGAAAAAAATGAGCAAAAAGTGCGCGCATTATTTTTTCTCGGTTATGCTAAGCTTTTTTGACTGAAAACTTTGAAAGGAAGTCAATGTATGAAAAGATACTTTCGATGCATAAGAGGATTGAAAATTCTTTTCTTATTGTTTATACATCTATCATAATTGTCAAGCTTTATAACAGATGAGTTTGTGAAAAAAAGATGCGAAGAAAGAGAAAAGAATGATGTTGAATGAATATTTTCGATTTTATAATGAGGGTCGCAATTCAACAAATTGTTGCAAGCCTTTTTCAGGCTTTTTAATCCATGAAAATTGATGATCTGATTTAAAAAGCAATATTTCAATTGCAATACTTGAGTTACCCACCCACGCACATGAGGAAAAGCTTTGTTCTTGCTCTTACTAACGAAATGTAGAAAAACATAAAAAAAATTAAAATTATCTCAATCAGTTTCAAAGCATTTCAACCAGCCGTGAAATTAGATATCGATTTTGCATGTATGCATGATACATTCTACGAATATTTATGGCATTCTCTTATATGAAGTTCTTTACTTTTCACTGGTGTGAATCCCAACGGTGTTAATGTCATGAATGGAATTATAAGAAGTTATGCTGGTTTAAAATTTATGATGCCACATATTATAAATATAAATACGTTTTTTTCGTTCTTCACTTTATAAAAAGATATTCACGAAAAATTTGACAACATTTTTTTATGTCGGTGGCTGAACATTTTATAATAAATATCATTGTTAACTCTCATTTCATCTGTCTAATATTTATTTGGTAGCTCTTTCAAATTTAGCACAATTTATATAGCTAACATTTAAATAAAACTTCATTCTGAAAGCTATCATAAATGTCCGACCATCGTCATTGAAACAATCGACAATCCCGAATATACATCATAACTTTCCACAATTAATAATAAATATTTACAACCTGTAAACACATGAAAATTAATGTCCAAAAAAGTTCTGATAATTTATTGATGAATTTTCTCGCTCTTTTATTTTCATCTATAATAATTGATAACAAATATTGGAATATTAAAAATGAAATAACAAACCAACACTGACATCGATAAACATTATGTGATGATAAAAATTCCAGCTTTTATCCATGAAAATTTAAGTTCCTTTAAAGCTTCTCACATCCAGTAAAAGAATGAATGGTGAAAGAATGAAAGTTCCCTTATCGTTTGGTTTTCATATAAATATATTGAAACGTAAAAATTTCATAATCTTTGTTTCACATATTTTTTCCCTTCATTCCCAATTTATGAATCCTTAAATTTGAAATTTCCAAAGGGTCGTGTGAATTCGTAGAAAAATATCTTAACTTAACCTTCGTCATACATTGCCTTTTATCAGGCCTTTTATGTCTCAATATTTCTTTTTACGGCTCAAGCTTTAATATTTGAAAGGTGATGAAACATGATTAAAAAAAATTTCTCAGACTTTTGTGAGGTCGGAAGACGTGAAGCCAGGATTAGAAGCTGTTAAGGTTACAGGCAGGAAAAGGTTTGGCTTTAGGGTTTATGAGTCTTCATAAACCGACTTCATTTCCTGGTACATGTCAGACGATTTTAACACGTTGACTTGATGCTTTGAGTAAACATTCGAAAATCTCGTTCATAATGGTAACCTTGTCTGTATTCAGCTTGGGAAAAGCTTTTATTGTATGCTGATTTTTGCTTGCTTTTGCTTTCGTTACAAGTCTTGAAGAAAATCTCTCTGCGAGTTTTCCATGTCGGTCGATAAGATTAGATTAGTGTATAAAGCAAAATTTCCAATTTAATCAACTTGTTTGACGTTGATAAGCTTATTGAAAATATACTTTTCAGCAAAACCCAATCTTATATATTTCAATTAGTTTACTCCAACTATTCAGCTTTATAACAACAGTTTAGCATCGTCAAATATTTTTGAATCAGAAAAAAATGAAATTTTCAATTTTTGCATTTTTTTTGTGCATCGCTGTCGTGCTTGCAGATCCAATTAAATTTAACGACAATAATGTCAACGATATCATCAATGTTAAAGCAGATGCGAGTCTAGTTTTAAGCAGTTTGATAAATGAGGATATCGTGAGTTTGATTGGTCTTCTCAAAAATCAACAAGGATTAGTTGCTGTTGCTGACGGTGCAGGTGCTGTTCCCTATCAATCACCTGCAACATCTCCTGAAATGCCTAAAATCAACATCCCACCAGCGCTCATGGGAAAACTTTCACAATTGTTGCTACCAAAAAATGAATGAAAAATAAAGTCACAATCTTAATATAAAAATCAATTACAAAATGTTAAGTGCTTTAAATTTCTAAAATAATTTATATTTATTATCCTATTATGAAATTTGTCATGTTCTCAACTTTATCTTGAAAAATATAAAATCTTGCTTATGCCAAACAACACGCTTTCATGAAGTTTTATATATCTTATCGATCAAAGTTGTAGTCCCAATCAACTAAGTGAACAATCAATCACTTTTATACACTGCAAATCCACAAGTCAGATACACCTTAGCTAAAAAGAAGTTTTAAGTGCGATTGACCATTTGGTCATATAAGGCTGAAAAGGTCATAAATCTTGTTTCTTCTTAAGAATGCATGCACACAATAAAAAATTGATTTTCTCTTTTTTTACGATTGGAAATTTTTATTTTATTCTGATTCAGAGGCAGGTTCGGCCATGGGCATGGCACCTCCACTTGCGGCGACGACAGCTTGTTGGTTCATGAGTCCAGCAATCAAACTAACAATATCCAATTCCACAGCACTGCTAAGTACTAAATTTGCTTGTGCATCAATGTTGATAATGTCATGAATGTTATTGTTACTGAATTCAACTGGATCGGAGGCTCCAAAAGTCACAGCAGCACAGAAAACAATAAGCGCAATCAAAGCAAATTTCATTTTGACAGATATATTGAAAATTTTACAACTCGGATGTTCTAACGTTCAACAACGATTGAATAGTCTCAAGCACATCGAAATTGTCGATTGCTTTATAAAAACACTTATCGACAGTCATCCAATGTCAACAATGAGTAAGATTACTCACTTGATTGAGTAAATTGCTTATGTTATCAAACCTGAAGTACGTTAATGAGATTAGCTTCTGAACAACAGCTTCGAGCTATTGCGACACTTTGACGAATCAAGGATTTAATTGGGGACGAATTTCATTAAGTTATTTGGTCACAGAATTCATCTGAACATTGAATTTAACTTTTGTAAGTTTCAAAATAAAATTTCAAGGAGAAATCTTACACAATTTCATATCAATCTTAATATATTCCTTTTATTGTTTCACTCAAAATGTTAGTTACATTATCCTTTCACTTATTCTTCAATCTAGGTACTGTTAATTATCATCTAATTTATTAACACGGTACAATTCTGTTGAGAGACTAAATTAGCAAACATTTAAGATTTGTTTCGTTAAGATATCACATTGTCTTGTAATCCTTTGATCGCCTGTTTCTCTACCAACTGATTGACTAAGTAAAAGTTACATAATAAAATGCAAAATTGTAGAAACCTTTGCATATCAGCAACTAATAACAAATTCGTTCTTAGAAATCAAAGGCTTTTTCATCGTTCAAACGATATAAAGAACTTCTTTTATTTGATTCTCTTTCCAACTTTTAATTTAACAAAATTCTAATGGAAAAAAATTATATTTCCGGTTCATTCCCAACATAACGATTACTGAACAATTCTTAAACTTTTTTATTACAAAAAAAGGCTACACCAATGGCCACAAATCCATACAAGGTTTTAATTGCACGCAATTTTCATTCCATTATTTGAACGTAGCATTTAGCCCGTTACATAGTCGTTAACGTTCATATCTATTCATACATATATCCAAAGCTAAATTATTCCTTTCGTATTTCGTTTCTCAATACTTTTTTGTTTCACTTAACAAATGTCAGTTCTCAAAGGTACTTATTGTAGGCGTTATCTTTCTATTTTTAGTTTCTTTGATTTTGCGTTCTTTTTCATCTTTTACCCATTTTTATTTCGAATAATTTATTTTTATGCTGCGAGAGATCAATTGAGAAATTTCTCAACGCGAAAATGAACGCATAAATCTTCAAAGAAATTTTTGTCTTTAATTATTTATTCGACCTTAAAATAAAGCTTGGATGAAAATTAAAAAAAAACTTTTGCAATGCTGATCTAATTTCTACGAATAAATTGAAAATCTTCAAACTTAAAGAAAGTTTTTCTTCTCGTATTGCTTACAAATTTTGAATTTCATTTTGGTTTTAACTAATCAAATGACAAATGGTTAAGTGATAAAACAATTAATTATTGCTTGCAAATGATTTTCATGTTTAAATCTTTAAAATGTCTAGAAATAAAGATAAATTAATTCATTTTTCACGCAATACAATTCAAAATTGATCCGCTCGACTTTCATTAAGATTTTTGATTCCTTTTGTTAAGATTTGTATGTGTAAATGTATTACAAAACTTTTTTTCCAGCAATCAATAAATTTGCCACTTAAATGATCGCAATATTTTCCACTACATAATAATCTAATTTATTCGTATATATTTTTATGCTAGGCATTTAAATAAGTTTTTTTGTTTCTGAGTGGGATCATAAATCATTTTCTCGTCTTTTGATTAATAATTCTTCTCCGACCATTTCATAATCTGCAGTTAAGTTTTAATTGAGTTTATCTTAAAGCTACTTAGGGTAGCTTTTTATTTATTTATATACAAAGAAAGTGAAAATAATTTCAGAACTTTCATGTTGTTTATTGTGGCCGAACTTTTGTCATTAGTTATTTCGTAATTTACTTTTCCTGTACAAATTTCAAATCAAATCACATGAATAAGCATAAACACTTGAAAATGTTTTATGAAAAATCAATTTGAGAAGTTTTTCCTTCTCGTTTATTTATCGGTGGTTTATAGATTTTTCAATAAATAAAGAGAGCTTTACATAAATCTATTTCAAACTTCTGATTTGAAATTCATTGAGTACATTCATAGCGGTATTCTGAAAACCAACTAAAATTAAATCTTTCGTATAAATTATTCAACTCAATATTCACGTAATTGAGACCACAGCTCGTGAAATGAAAACGGTTTTTCATCATAATTTATAACTTTTCAAAGAGAAATGAGAAAACTGTTATCATTAAAACTGTCATTGTAACTGCTAAAGTGCTCATGAATAATAAATTACGAGTGTTTTTCTTATAATAAAAACTTTGTTAATTGTTTTTCACAAATAGATGAAAAAATAATGAACATCTTATGCCACGAATCCTTTCCAGGTTCATTACCATCATTATTTACATTATAAAATGAAGAAAAAGTTCTTCAAAATCGCAGCGTGCAGAAACTTAAACCGTTGACATTTCATTATTGAAGTTGCTTGAAAGCAAAGGACATCAGATGCTGCTCGACCTCCCATTTCCAGTCACAAATCCTGATGTGCTGTGTTGGTGAAATTGCTGAGCGACAGCCAGCTTATGTTGGGTAATGATGGGTTGCGTTGTTGTCAATCGAAACTGAAGGAATGTGTTAGAGAAGACAAAAAAGATGAGAACTACATTGAAATCATTGAACGGAGAGACAATTCATATCATTTCAGTTTATTTCATAACAGTCAGCAAGAAATTGCCCAGCAAGATGTAACATTTCGTCACATTACAATCAATCAAATAGAGTCTTCTCGAAGCTGGTAAGCAGTTCACTGGAGTCAGCAAATTTTATTACTCAAGCTGATATAAAAAAAAAGATTATGATTGCGAATTATATTTGAATTATTGCTTGGACAAAAGCGTCTTTTAATGAAAATTTCTTCCATAAAACATGAAAATAACTTTACGAGTTAACATTAATCATCATTTTTATTACTTCTGATTTTTGACGGCTGTTTGATAAAAGCGTACACTTCATGAATTCAATCGAATTGAAAGTATGAAAGCTTGATCTATTTATATACTCACGGCGAAGACCTTCAACTAGGTATTAACTTACATCATTATTGCGTTTAGAATTGCTCTTATCCCCACACCACGGCCACTTCATTGTTTTCAACAGCGTGTTGCGAAAGTCTTCACTGAACAAACAATAAATGTAGAACGTCATCGAGTAGTTCAAAAGTTCTAATAAGTTTGCTAGAGCACGAAACACCTGATGGAGACGAAATTAAATGGAGAAAATGAGCCGTTATTAGTATTAATTTATCACTACTTTATGTAAATTTGTTAAGCACAACACGACTGTTAGAAAGCAAATTAGTAAGCTTTGTAGAGATTTAATAAACATTGTTGAAGTTGTGATTATTTAATTGCCTCAAAACTTAACATACAAATAAAGGGAAAGTAAATAGGAAAGTCGTCGGAAATTCGATAGACTTAATGGGAAGAAACATTAAAACTTACACAGAACGAAAATAAATAAATAAATAAACTCACTTGATAAGAATAGCTCGAGAGATTTTCTGCAGATAAGGTTACGTGTAGAATGGCCATGGGTGAGACGCAAACGAGAAAAAGCAATGAAGTGCTACCTAAAAAGACATTAAAGGTTAATTCCACTTTATAAGCCACTTAGATATCAAACAACAACATTAAATTGCTTTCCCCCAAAAAGATATGAAAATGTGAAGGAGATGTGAAGACGTGAAAGGAAAAATGATAAATTTGAATGATGTATAAGAAGATCAAAATTTTATGGATTTCATACAGACCTAAGAGAAACATTAATCTTCTTTCTTCAGCAAACTTTCTCGAATCGTCGTCTTTTGTATGAGACAATGTCATCCTTCGTCGCTTATTGCATGTTTGGCGATAAACAATCATTATTCGAATGTTAAGGCTTGCTATTAAGAGGGTCGGTGCTAATTTGAATACAATTTCCAATATGACTTTGTATACCTAAGTGAAGAGGAAAAAGGTAAGTTAAGTTTGTCACTTTCATGGTCTCATCCGTCAAAAGGAAAACAAAAAAAGGTTTTCAATTTTAATATTTATCCCATCTGTAAGACATACCGAGTAGAATATTGTTTGTAGAAATTCCGTATTATCACGTTTGTAATAAGTAATTGATCCATCAGCGAATAAGACACATTTCACGACTTCATATCGAAATAAACTTGGTAGGTAAATTACGAATGTCAGGATCGGAAGTAAAATGACTGTTACTCTGTAATTGAAGAAACTGTAATTTTTCTCATAATTTTTGATCGATTAAGTAAGGAATAAAATGTTTAACTCTACCTTGGTGGTCCAAGTGCCGGTCTCATGTGGGATGGATGGCATACGCTGACATATCGCTCGATTGTTAAAACTAGAAGCATTAATACACCAACACCTGAAACAATACGTAAAATATGAGTCAGTTAAGAAGTAGAGAACAGATCAATCAAAAAGTTTTCTTCATCATTCTTTCTTTATGGAAAAATAAGAAATTCTCTTAAGAATTTTTTTTCTCGTGAATATAACAATGGAAATCTTATGTTTAAAATTTAAAACAAAACAAATATTAATTTAATAAATTCAAGCGTAAATTAAAAATATGATTAGAAAATCTTACCTAGACACGCATTCCCTAGAAATAATTCAAAATGTGCCGTATAAAAAGCTTCACCCAAATGCTGCCATCTTCCGCCATCATGGTGAAACAATAAACGAATTCCAAAAGGAATTGCAAATATTATAGCTAGAAGTGCTGATGCTGAATATCCTGAAAATATTATGGGAAAAGTTTGTTGTTTTTTTTTATAGGAAAGCTCAACGGCTATTTCTATCTTTGCTATAAAAGTTTTGAAACTTCACTAAAAGCTCCTTGAAAGTTTTTCATTTTCGTTAAATATTTGGTAACAGGAAACGAAATCTTTTTTAAGTATGAAAATTTGATAAGGCTTTGATATATATTTTAATGTTTTCATTTAAAGCAGAAAACTTTTCTTTTTACTTCTCGAATGATGCAGAAGGATTTGTAAGTATCAATTTGACATGGCAACAGTAAGATTAAATGAAATTTCTGTTCTCAGATATTGAAATCGGTCCCATGTGTGTATGTAAAATAGAATCCAGTTCAAGGTTGATTATGTTCACTTTATGGAAAATTGAAACCCGAAAATGGAAATTATAAGCGTTTTGAGAAGAGTTAGCTTGAAGCACGTAATGTTTTATCATTTCTTTGTATTAAAGTTAATATTTAATCGCTGGATAAAATTCATTAAAAATTAGTATACATTGTAAATAATAACTTTTAAACGGTTTATTGCAAATAATTGAACGGATAAATTTAAACATTGAACGAATAATTTTAATTGAAGTATTTATGATATCAACACGTTCATAAATTTCAATCACTGGCGTTTAATAATGGACTTTAATCTCATTGTTGGGTTAATTACATAATTCTTTGATATAAAAAGCAAGGTAAATTAATTATTCATCGACAATGTGACCAAACAATCAACTGTTAAATTTGTTATTGAATTTTTTAACATTTTTTAATAGATCAAAAAAACTTAATTAAAAAGTGTAAAGGCGATGAAGGACATCAATCAGCTTTTGTGCATAGCGCTTTCAATTTTCCATGTTTTTCGTGTTAATCAAACTAATGTAAGCGAAACATTTATTACTCCATGTTCCTGGAACAAAGCTCACAAAACTAAAAAGCGCTTCAATGATGCTACATTCAACACTTTTCAAGCAGCACAAAATTTGTGTGATAGAAAATTGTTAAATAAATAAATCTATTATTATTATTTGAATAATAATTCATGGCTTTAAAGTGTAAAATTTAATCCTGATTAGATATTCTAAATGTCTTCACAAAAATATTTAATTCCGCTTCATGACGAAACATCAGTAATTCTTCAAGTCTCATATTCTGTTTAATTTTTTTTTCTATTGTTCTTTTCCTCCTACAGAGTTTATTCACCTCTTAAGCTCTTTAAATAAAATTTTGACGCAATTTTAATGTTATTAAAAAAAGTTTTCTGTTTCATACGAATTTTCAATCTGGGAAATTTGATGAGAAATCTAATGACAATTCTTGAGAATTTTTCTGTTATTGAAATGATTTCAAACGAAATTTTATTTTGATTATTTTCTTTGCAATGTCTTTGTTGATTGTGACAGATGAAAATTCACATTTGTATAATGATTTAATTGAAAGTTAAGTAAAATTAACAAATCCTTCATGAGATCCTGTTCTAGGAAATACTTCATGATGTGTCATTTAAATATAAGCTTCAGGATCTTTGGAATCTGCAGAAAAACATTTCTTTCTCCGTTCCACACACAAGGCATACAAATACAACATTACGGATTAAATATACAAATGTGTTCACTAAGTTACTCCCTCACTCGCAAAGGCAATAAAAAGAAATCCAACATTTTTATGAAAAAGATAAAATTTTCATGATTCAAGTCATGTTCATCGTATTTTAATCCATGACATTTACGACTTCTAATTCGCGTTAAAATTAATCGCCTTTGTAGGAACGTTGATGATTTAATGCGAACATTTTTTTGTAATTAAAGATCAAATTGATTTTTTTTAACCAAGTTTGGCTTTAAGCCTTCGAAAAGGAAGTGCATAAGTTATAAAAGGGAGTTGAAACTTTATCTCTTTTCTTCTTTCTTTCCATGTTTTTTTTTGTTAGTAAAAGCTTACAAGATGATATAAAATAATGGCAATTATCCAATCATTCTTTTTGTCCTTGTTGGATTGCTTTTTGATTGCCTTTGTTGGGGATTGTTTGTCGGTTATTGATTACACAACTTTATATGTTTTATTAGGGTCTTCAAGATTTATTTTGTGTTATTAAAGTATCAAGTGACAATCGTGGAACAAAAATTGATATTTTATGAACAAACATTGTTGCTCAAAACAGAAGAAAGAATATTTTTTAAGAAAGTTTTGAGTTTAACTTACCTCTCATGTAGATGTAGGCTGTCCCTCTCATGTTTCTTCTTGTCAAAACTATGAGATTCAATACATTGCCCAGTATTCCTAATGTACAGATAATTGGTAATATCACTCCATAAGACAGTTTCCTTAGGTTTTCTGTCCGTGGATCTTCGAATGGCTGTGAAGTGAAATGAAATAAAAAGTTCATTTATCTATTTTTGGCATCTACGGTCTGACAAGCTGATTGTATACGCATTGTTATCGGTGATATCTGCTTCTTACTTTTACTGAATCATGAAAGTTCAAAATAACTCGATACATCCAACCTTAGCAGAAGAGGCGATGACCGGAGAGATTCTATTAAATTTTGCTTGCAGAAACTCATCTGAGCGTATAAAGCCAACATTAAATGTATCGTCTCATTCATGTTTGGTCTAGGTGTTGAAAAAAAACCTTTTTTTGTCACTTTCATAGCTTATTTTAATATGTAAGCTTATAAAAAATCAGCAAAGCTTCTTCAACTGAATCATTAGTGGGAAAAAATGATGCGAAAGATAACAAAGTAACAAGTTTTTCTTTTTCTAATGAAAGAGGAATTTAATTATATTTGTTCATCACTTTCAAAGATTTTTTGATTAATTCTTTTAAAGAATTCCAACAATGTCATGGCTTTTCTTAAAATATGCAAAGCTAGTTAAAGGAAACTCAAGCAATTTTCATGAAAGCTTTTAATAGATAATATAAACACCTCAAAACCACAGCTTAAAATATTAATGCAAGATTGTAGGAAATTATTTATTGTCTTTGTCTTAAGGAATCATTAATAAGAATCTTGAGAGTTCTCATTCACAACATTTGAAAAGATGAATTTTGTCTGGCATTAAATATGGTAAATAGTTGAGAAAGAAGTGCAGTAACTCTCCTGTATCGTTAGATAAGTGGAGTTAAATTAAAATTTCAAATGTTCAACTAAATTCACCGTCTTCCAGACTTTTATAATTGTTGAGATGTTGTATAAAATAACTTTAAGATAGCAAATGTTTAGTTCGTCTGTTGAAAAGAAAAAAAAGTAATTCTATTTATCTACTTACTTCACTCTTGGGAATGTATGGCGAAGAGAAGTTTGATCCCCAAACTTTGGAGCAGAATACTGGCGAATCATCCAAGGAGTATAATTTGGACATTATTTTAATTAAGTTTTTCGTTAAAATCACTAAATGATTGCACCAAGCCCTGGTTTATTTTCTACAAACTTTATTCATCCTTTTTTTTTCATAAGCGTTTTCTTTGTAGATTGTTTGTGAACGACAGGCAGATTTACCAATCAAACGAAAACATTCACAACATTTTTTACATCATTGATCATAGTCAAGCAATTTATCACTTTATCACGACACTTTCCTGGTAACGTTTTGAGAACTTTTGATTCCCCAGAATTTTCATTTTTCATACTTCAATCGATTACTGTTGCTACGGTTAATGTTTTTTGTGACAGCTACAAAAAGCTATTAAAATTTAATTGAACATTTCACTCATTATCATCTCATGCAGAAGGAGAGAAGACCTTAAAAGACGTTTTCGTCTCCTTCTAGTAAATTAAATTAGTTTTTCGCGAATGAAATTTTCTGGAAGAAATTTATTTGAACCTTTCGTGCTAAGAATTATTTTCTCATTGGGCAATTATAAAAGATTTTTTATTGTCCTCGATTCTTGCCGATGCTGGTGATGAGAAAATCATTATAAAACTTTCTGACAGTTTAAACTTGAATCTGTCAATAAGAGACGACATTGAATGTACCAGAATCAATTACAAGAAAGTTTGTAGAATTCACAGAAGATTTCATTAAAAGTCCTGAAGTTTTATTAAGGAAATTTATGATGACAAAAAAATTTAATTAATTTTTCTGTGGTATGTGGTTTGCTCTTAGAACTTTAAGTCTCGTACACCAGACGCCTTCGAATGATATCTCTCGTCTGTCACGAGAGTTTTTACATATTCCGATCAAATTCCTTTCTCACCACCGTCACGTTTTCATTTCTAGAGTTCGAATCAAATATGTTCATAGAAATTAGCTTTACTATTCATAAAGCTGTTATTCAAACGTTTATCACTAAAAAAGTTTCTACTCTGCTGCATTAAAGTTTATTCAACTTTCCGAAATAATTTTCAGTAATTTGTTAAGCCGGTATGTAATTGAACGACGCTTTATAAACATTTCTCATTCCATTCGTAAACAATATTAATTTTCTAGCCCCGTTTATTGGCTTATTTTTCTCTATTTAAGCGTTAAATCAAAATCACTATTCATCTGTGCCAGAAAAAGAGTGAAGACAATGTGAATGAAGACATAAAATATGTCTACTTATAAAGCGCCTATCGTGCAGATTTGTATATTTTCAACAGCACTTCTGTGACTAACTTTAAAAATAGGTCAAATCAATAGATCTATTGTTTGTTCCATGCCTTTTGAGTAACTACCAAGCCGAAGCGTTTCAAATGTAAGGGAATTTTCAATAGGGAAAATCAGCATTCAGAGGAGAAAGAGATTGAAAAAAAAAACAGGGAAATCTGGCATTGTTGTTTCAACAGGAAGCGAGGAAAACGAAGACAAGTTGTCTATCTATCTATCGTATGATAGTTGTTTTGCTTAGTAAATTCTTATACAAATTTCTTTTATTTTTCTGGAGAAAACGTAATCGACAACATACAGATTTTTTATGAGAAATATGAGTCGGATGTTTGTTGTTGTATGAATTACAAGATTTATAGTGTTTACCAAAGTTCTTCTAATCATTTGTAAACAGCAATGATTGAAACTCAGAAAGCAGCAAAAGCTTTTTTAAATATTTTTTTTTAAATTCACTCGAAAGTATTAAATGAGAACTGTTTTAATCATATCATGCCCAACTAAAATGCCAGTTATTATCAACGGAAGGGAGAGAAAAAAGTGAACAAGAACATGCATTGAATAATTTCCATTCATTTTACGAATGCTTACGTAACTGCCTGTTCCAATGCTTTTTGTTCTTACACATTCACGTTCAAAGCGCTGTAATAACATTGTTCACATTATTTATGAGGGTTGATAATGGGACGAGCTTAAAATTGTCCCAGTTTCGCTTTATCGTATAGCTTTAGCGTGAGTCTCAGCATAGCCAAAAAAAAAAGTTACTTCAATAGAAAAGAAATGGAATAAAAAATGCAGACAAAGCAGAGAGAAATGCTTAGAAGGCAAACACTAATCGTGACCGGACTTGTTTTGAAATTAATGAAAGCGACTTGTTGCTATTATTTTTAATAATCTCTGATTTATTATGGTGACGATTTATAGCTCAACTCCTAAAAGTCCATTTAATCTACATAATGGAATAAAAGGGAAAAAATTTTCATCGAAAACCTTTTACACTCTTGCACAAGATTTATCTTCAAGTTCATGTTCACGTGGTGCCGTTGAGGGGTAGAAGGAAAATGAATTCCCAAAATAATAAATTAGCACACACTGGGAAAGAGTGTTAAATCAGCAGGCTCGAGCGTAATGTTTCAAAAACTTTAACGACATGTGATGATTTTGGGATTCTGTTACTGAAAATGACGCAATTCACGCAGCCTATTTGTCTGAGTCGATTTTTCTTGTTTAGGCTCTTAAATCACATGAGAAAAAGTCTCTAAAGGATTAGGGTAGAAATTTATAGGACTTTGATAAGGTTAATTTCGGAAGGTAGACCGGAAACTTTCTTTTAAATAATTCTGACTTCAAAGCGATGTTATAAACACAGATTTAACGGTTAAAAGCTTTTGTTAGGCATCTTAAGAAGAAAACAAAAATTTTGTTACAAATCAAACCTTTCCTAACTTCAACAATAAGAATTTCTGTTCTTATTACATGATTTTTCCATCTCTTTGATATTGTTTTTCATTATAAACTTTTAAAATTATTAATCATTTTTATGTAAATTTACGTTGCTGTTCATTACGTTTCGTTTTGATACTTTGCTCTGTAAATGTTTCTGATGAATTGGCCACAAATGTTTTTTTTCGTTTTAAACAAACTTAAACTTTATTTAAATTCATTTTATCACAACACCCATGGGCCATGGGTGATTTATTTTCTTGAAGAAATTGTCCCTTTTAGTTTTTGTTTAACTTAATATCTTTCTGATTTCCAAAAAAATAAATTTTATTTTCTTTCTTAAACTTTCTCAAAATCTCAGCATATTTTTTTGACAATGAAACTTTCGATATTAAGTATCTCTGATAAAATCACACTTGATGTTTGCAACGATTTCAACGCAGTTTTGGTGATAACTGAAACCGTTCACTTGCTTCAACTTCCATTTATTGAAAGAAATCGAGTTCATTGATGTTAAGAAAGAAATATTTCAAATTCTCTCATTTGTGCAATGGAAAGATTGGAAGGATGGCAAGCAACAGGTGTCGATTCATTCATCATTTCCTCAGAGTGTTTACGTTACTACCACGTTGTCGCAACAACAAAGCTTTGGAAAAACTTCCACTGGAAAATATGTTTCGCGCTCATTTCATTTCATTATTGGAAGGAATATCTGTTTAATCAAGAATTGTTCCTTCATTTCAACTTCACATTTTACGACTATAGCAACGAGATTGATGTGAAACTGATAAAACAAATGAAGGTTGTTGAAGTGAATGGAAATTTTAATTCAATTCTCATTTTACACCGCTTACGTTGCTATCAATAAAAATCTTCCCGAAAATGAAATTAATTAATTTCTCTCATACAACACTCAAGAGGAAAAAGTTTTTCGGGATAGAATGAAAGTAAAATCCCCCGTTAGTATGAATTGAGTCAGCTTTTATTATTATCGTGAGTTGAGCGAATAAAAAACAGGAAGCTTCAGGCGAAAAACGATTCGCCGCCCATAACGAAGAGGAGAGAATAGAAAGGCAAAGGGAAGAATGAATATAGGTCACTCCGTCAATTTTCATTTGGAGTCGTCTGATGCTGGAATCATAAAATCTCCTAGCGGATCGTATATTTATATTACTGTTCACGAGAATATGAGGGTGGGAGAACAAGCATCAATTTTATTTCTTGTACAATAACTTCTGAAGTTTCTTTTTCGGTGTGGTGCGCTTTCGTATGAAGAATATAAAACAAAAAGAAATATCCTGGAGATGGGAGATTCTGGAACAACTTGCGTCAACAAAGTTTTCGATTAATGGCAAAATCTTTGGTAATTTATTACCACACATTGTTATTAACGATCTTAGCTGTGATTACGGTGAACGAGAATGGAATAAAAGGGGAAAATTTCCTTCCGGTTTCAAGGATATTTATTTAATTTGTTTGTTTACGGTCTCAGCGCGTAAGACATTTAAACGTGCAATTTCTTTTAATGTATTCAGAAATCTAGAAAGAAATCACAACGCAAGTTGAATCTTTTATAAATATCGGAAAAAATTAATATTTGATTCATGTAGCTTTTGTTTGCTGATGTTGAACTTAAATTGTATACTCCTGGGAATTTTCCCTTCGATTTTATTTACTTAACTTTTTTGCGTTACTTCAAATTGAAGATTTTCTCATAATTTTTATTACCTTAAATTTTCTCCATCATCACTTTTTCTCGTGACGTGGTTTCTGTATGATGATGCAGACTACTTTATGAGCTTATGGGATATAAAATTGAAGGTCATAAAGCAAGAAAATATGAAAAAATGGTGAGAATTGTGATATTAGTGGTAATCTATATGAAGCTGAATAAAATGTTTGTGAAGTAGGACACTAAAGATTATCTTTGGATTGTTATGAACAACCCTCTAGGAGCATCCAATTTTCACCCAATAAAACATACACTTAAATAATAATAATCATCCAACCCGAATCCAACCTTGCCAAGGCCAACTTATAAATAACTACGCAAAAATTTCAATTGGCGCCTATTCTATTTAAGAAATTTCTTAAGAAATTTTATTGAATTAAATTAACTATCAATTGACGAGAGGGTTGGAAAATCTATCATGTTCAATGAAGTCTAATGCGAAATTAACTTTTTTTCACAGCATATTAACTTTGTTTAGCTCTTAATAAAAGTTTCTCGTCTCTCTTCATTAATGATAAACACTTTTTATGATTTTTCTTCTTTTCCGCATTGAAAACAGATCACTCGCTTCAGTTTTATTTATTTATAAGTATGTAAACAGTATTTTTTACGACTTTATCATATTCAATTTTCTCATCATCACACATTTGTCGGACATCATCGAAGGAATGAATCTCAAATGTTTCTTTACAGACAATTTAAAAGTTGAAGATTCAACGTCAATAAATCATCAAATTCAATTAAAAATTTATAAATGTACTTTCTTTAATTATTTATGCATGAGACGACGATTTTTTGCTACCTTTGATTAAAAAGTTCAAAATTATTTCTCTTTTCACTTTTTATAATTTCACAAAAGTTTTTCTTAAAAATATCAGTAAAACTTTATAAATTTGAAATTATCTAATATGCACTTTTATCTACGAAGATTTAAACTTTTCAAACTGTTTTCTTCAAATTTTATCGACAGACTGTTTTGTATTTCGAAACTTTTCTTCCTACCAAGCAATGATGTGTTATTATGGGAAAATGTTTCTCAATTTTCCAATGGAGAAATTCTACTCAAACCGAGCGAAAAATTGAGAGAAAGTGGAAAACAGAATTTCATTGAATTTTATTTTTCAGAACGGCTGATAATTGAAAAGTGAGAATTAAGAATAAGAACGTTCGAAGATAGAAAAGTATCTGAAAAATATGTTTATTAAACTTTTGTCATGAAAAGAAATTGTTACTAAATACTGAATCAGTCATTTGATTCAGAAGAGAAATATTCAAAAATGGTATTAAGAATATTTTATTACTGATTGAAACTAAAGTTATCTATTTACAATCGTTCAACTTGAATAATTGGCTTGTTTCTGCATCGTTTATATTCTTATTCAAAATCATTCAATAAAGACTATGGAATGTCTGATTTATTTAACAACAATAAGAATTTTTTCCTCTTTCGAGGAATGCGAAAATAAATCAAGAGCTGAACATTGAACAATATTAATAAAAACTTTTAAAACGATTTACTCGAAATGTTTTTGTTTTTTGTTGTTTCCGAGAAGCTTTTTATCAAATGAAAAGATTTCGGTTGATGAAACTCTGGAAATGTTTATCGTTATGATGTGTAAATGGAAATTTTTTTTAGCGTTTACGAAGATATTCCAATTTAAGGCGATGTCAAACATTTATTACACGTACGTGATAGAAATTAATAGCTATGATGCATAAAACATTGGAACTTATTTTATCTTAAAACATGAGCATCCCATTTTTCGCGGGTGTTTACAAGCGATAAAAATCATTTGGCCAAAAAACGCGATTATCGCAATAGAAAATTATATGAGTGACGAGATCTATTTATTTATTATCAACGACGTGATAAAGGCGAGAACCTTGAGTATAATCTCAGCGACAAAAGTAATAACGCATTTGTTTGTTCAGGACAATATCTTCGTGATGTCAAAGGAAGCAAATTTGTACGTGGTAGTTGAAGGATTTCAGGAAATTATCGCCTGAACACGATTTCATTTCCTCGGTTTAATGGTTTTACTTTATTCTAGCCAGATTGAATCTTCTAACGAGAAGGAGAGATAAAAGAATTTGAAGTAAAACTTTAAAATCCCGGGAAGATAATTGGGAGGAGAAAATCTTTGAAACTTCTTCAAGTTTCCAATTCTAGAAAGTTTACGTAATAAATTGTGGAATATTTTAAAAGATTCAAAATTTCAAGCAAAAAAAATTTGAATAGAAAATCTAATGCAGGTACAGACACTGGACTTGAAGCTTAGGACAAGATACAAAAACTAACAAATGATTACGAACTTCAAAGAATTTTCAGCCCTGCTTTGATGTTTTTGTTTCGGATCTCTCAATTTTTTGTCGGAACTTGGACAAGCGCATATAATTTACTGCTTAATGTAAATTTTATTCATTAAACCTTAATCTCTGAAATTGCCTTTGTGTTTTTGTTATTCTGTTATTGCGAGTTAACTTTTTCTTCCCACAACGCGTATAAAAAGTATTCAGAACAACTTTTCTCTTTTATATTTTTTCCTTTTTCAACTCGCAAATATCTAAACAAAACAAAAAATTCAATCACATTTTTCCCGACGATGCGAAGCTTTTTACAGCTTCCTGATATGTTTTTAAGTATTCAGGTTCCTTTTTTTTGCTGTTAGGTGACTGAACTTTTTCATCTACAAAGGAATTTCTACTCATGTATGAAAATAAATACTCAACAATAAATCTCGCGGTTATTAACTTTGATATGAAGGTTGTTTATCGTTGTTTTTCCTTGAAAAAGTTAAGGCATAGCAGGAAAAGTATTTTTGAAGTTCGCTTAATGACAGGAAACATAAAATTCAATTTAGGAAAGGAAACATTCTGATATCTCAAAAGATATCAATATGTCCTTGAATATTTGTGTCGTATTGAAAGATCGCTAATCAAAACCCTTGAAGTAATTTTTAAGGGTTGGAAAATTCCGATGATGATTTTAGATTGTTTGTCTAGGAATTTATGTGGGTATGAAGGCAAAGAAAATCATTGAAACAAATAAATGAAATAACAGCATTCAGCATCGTCATGTTTCTTAATTAAAAGAAATTCTTTTTGAAACGCCTGAGGATTCAATATCACAAGACAAGACAAAGCACATCTAAACAACGAAAGAATTTGAAATAGTAAAGGACAAAAAGAAGAAATTTCCTGACCTATATAAAAGAAGTTGGCGCCATCGAACAGCTTTCATTTGGATTTATTTTAGTGTTTAACAAGCTTAAGGTAAAATTCAAGAAGAAGTTGATATTATCATGTTAAAAGCTTTTTATTTTGTAATAATCATGACACGGTCGGCTTCATTGTCAAGTCACGAAAAATTGTCGATTTACACGTCCAACGAATCCGCTGTGCTTCAAGAGTTGTCTCAAGCTGTTACAAAAATTGTCAAGTCACTGGAAGGCGACAAACCATCTGCGACTCATATAATTAAAGTTACAACACATAAAGCTGATGCGAAAAGTATTGACCCATTTATCGAGACAATTGTAAAAGGAATTAATGGACTTTTAGAGTTCTACATTTGAGAATACGATAATATGAAGGCTACAACAGCGAATGTCCTGCTTATTGTGTCGAAAATTATGTCGAATCGTAAAATGGAAAAAATTTTATTATCGTGCAGCGGCACGTCTCAACAAAAGTTTCTCATCGTTCTACTCAAACCATTTGGAAACAGCATAAAATTAATGTTGGACATCATGTGGCGAAAGTTTATTTTAAATGTTCATGTTGTTACGCTTGAAGCAAACGGTGACGTTGCATTGTACACTTACTTCCCATTCACCAAGGACTTTTGCGGTCAAGTTCATCCGGTGGTATGGAATATTTATAGAAATGGAGCGTTCGTCACGCAACGCGAACACTTCCCGCGGAAAGATAAAAACTTTTTCCGATGTACTCTCGATGTTGCTGTGTTTAACGTCCCACCATTCACACTTTTCATCAATGAAAGCACAAATTTCGATGTCAGTGGTGTCGATGGAAACCTTATCAAGGTCCTGTCAGTGGAGTTGAATTTCACAATCAATTGGATTATCGTGTCAGATGATTTAAGATGGGGTGAAATTTACGCCAATTACAGTTCAACAGGAGCTACAAATCTTGTAAGTTTAATTAATTTTTAAGCAATGAAAATATTGAATATCGTTTGTGCACTGTTTTAAAGGTGATGAATCGAAAAGTGGATTTATCGATAGGGATGTGGTCAAGAACATCGAGACGAACAAAAGCGCTTTCATTCTCTTCAATTACTTACGCTCAAGGAGGCTTAATTCTAATTGTCCCTCCCGGTGCTGAAATATCATCATTCTCGAAGTTACTTCAACCATTTAATCCTTCTGTATGGTACTTTGTTATTGCAACATTGTTTATTGTAGTCATCGCAACAATCTTTTTAAATTATTCACCAAGAAAAGTTAAAGACTTTGTATTTGGCAAACACATTCGCACACCATTCTTGAATATAATCATTGTGATGATAGGATCGCCAATGCATCATGTACCTGGTCGAAACTTCTCAAGATGGATTCTTACATTGTTTATTCTAATGTGGTTAATTATACGTAACTTGTACCAAGCTGTGCTTTATAAAGAGCTTCAGTCATCCGAAAGAAATCGCCACGTGGAAAGCCTTGAAGAAATGATTCGCCAAGGATTTCATTATTACATGATTGCACCTACAATAGAAAACATCATACATTTGCCAGAGGTTTATGAAAGACGGATTATTGTCTCACGAGTTGAGTCCGATTTGATTGTGAGAGGAAAGTTCAACGACCCGACAGTGAAAGCTGGATTTGTAGCTGGTTTCCATACACTTTTGTATATTAACAAAGTAAATCTTTATGGTTTCCACTTGAACTTTTGCAAAGAACCGCTGCTGTTGCGTCAATTCGGAATTGTTTTCCCCATGAATTCATTCCTCGTTTCAAGCTTCGATGAAAAATTAATTATTCTTGTTGAAAATGGTTTAATTGAGTATTGGTTGATGGAGAATACAGAAAGTGATGGATTTGCTTTGCCAGAAGTTCGAGAGCCAATGAAGCTTACACTCAATCACTTATTAAGTGCATATCAAGTACTTGGATTGGGATTAAGTCTCGCCACAACGACGTTTGGATTTGAATTGATTGTCCGAAGAATAAATTTCCTTCAAAAATGTTTGTAATGAAGGAATAAACTTTACCGACCTTGTAAGTATTATCACAATTAAATATTCAGAGAAAACAAACAAATGTTCAAAGTAAAGTTTATTTTCTTGTCAATTGATATCAAAACAACATGCGTTGTTTGTACCTTACTTGTGAGTAAAAACATTAATTTTCTGTGACATTCTCTCATGTCAAAGTAACAGAGAAAGTTTTGAAATTAGGGTTTGCCAACTTTATGAATGTTTCTTCTTTTACTTAGGCATCAAATTTTAATTTTAATTAAGTTTTTATTCAATGTTATATGAGAAGAAATTATGGTTACATGAAATATTAACGACAGCATTGCTGATTATTTTCTAAATATTGCAAAAATCTTAATAAATATTTAATCAACAGGAAAAAGGAAATCTCTGAAGAAAGTTTTCCGAAGAAATGATCATTTCAAAGTAGCGAAGAAGCGATTAATTTTAAGCTTATTCATGGATGTAAAATAAGAAATTTCAAGTTTATTCACTTTCACGCACTTTCTGTTCTGGAACAGCGAAAAGGGCCAAAGACAGGGAACAAAGTTCGCCTTCACGTTTCTCATCCCTGAAGTCATAAAGTTAATAACTTATGAAATAAGAAATGAGAACTAGAAAAACAATTATTTCTATGGAATCCTTTCCAATGGATCGCATTAATCATTCCAACAAAAATTTAAGTGATTATTCTTCAGTTATTTAATAATCAATTAACTAATATCAAGATAGGATTGTTCAAATAATTAAACCTCTTGAATAAAACCGTAAAATATTATATCATTCACTCGTTGAAATAATGTTCGGTCACAAGAGAGTTCTGATCGTTCTACTGTTAATTCAATCTTCTGTAGCATTTGAAGAATGCTTTAAAATCAAACATTCTATAATAAATCTGATTAAACATGCATATTCGTCTCAGAAAATTTATTTCTTTGTTGATGGGAGTCAAATGGATCTGCTCAATTCAGTGATAAGTTCAGTAACAGATGTTTCATTACAAATAGAAAATATCAATGAAATTCAATTGCAAAAAGAAAAAAGGAGATACATTATTGCATTATTTGATTCGTTTGAATCTTTCGTGCTGTTTAATGAAGTGTTAAGTGATCAAAACTTTGATTTTAAAGGATATTTTCTAATCATCAGTTCCAACATAACATCCAAAGAAATTGATAAAATTTTTGAAACGCTTTGGAAGAAGTTCATCTACAATGTCGACTTTTTAAGTTGTGAAGACATCGAAATACAATTAAAAACTTTCATTCCCTTTAGTAATGAAAAATGTTTTGACACAAGTGGAAAAATCATAAACATTTTCGATGATGAAAAGTTGCAGTGGAAAACCAACGAATTCTTCCCTGAAAAGTTTAAGGATTTACACAATTGTCCGCTAAGAGTTACTTCATTCGAATATCCTCCATTGATAATCGTAGAAAGATTTGAAAATGGATCATTTGGATTTAGTGGAAGAGACATAAATGTTTTAGAAGGATTAGCTGATGTCGTGAATTTTCAAATTGATATGATTTTCTTACCTAATTATGGAGATTGGGGAATATCATATGAAAACGGAACAGCTACAGGATCTCAGAAACAATTGATGGATAACGAGACAGACTTAGTTATTGGAGGTTTTTCTTTAGTATATTTCAGAACATTTTTTCTTTCTAATTCGGAATCGTATCTAACTACAGCAAGAACATTTGTGATTCCATCAGGAAGAGCATTCTCAGCTCTTGAAAAGTTGTTAATTCCTTACAATTTCTTCGTTTGGATTGCTTTCTTGCTTTGTCTCGGTATCGCAGTCATTGTCATTATAACAGCTGAACAAAGGCAATCTAAACTTCGAAGCCTAATAATCGGAAATGAAATCAAAACTCCATTTATGGAACTTTTAATCGTGATTTTTGGATCGTCGTCACATGTTCTGCCTTCAAAAAATTTTTCTCGCTATCTCCTTATGATGTTTTTGCTGTTTTGTCTCGTAATGCGAACAATTTATCAGAGTGGATTATTCAAGTTTATGCAGTCAGATAAAAGGAAGCAAGGTGCATCAACAATCAATGAATTGATGGAACAGGAATACGATTTTTATCTATTCGAATTTGCTTTTAATATTTTAGATGACGATTCGAAATTTATGAAGAGGTGATGAAAAGTTTTAGTTTTGTTTTTCCAATGAATAAGTTAAATATTTCAATGTTTATTTTCAGAGCAAAAATTATTGAACCCAGTGAAATGTTCGAGTATTATGAAAAAACTTTAGATCCTAATTTCAAAGGAGGAGTGTATGCGTTACTAGATGAAATCGCATATTACAACATGAAAAACATTAAATCACATACATTTCGTGTGTGTAGAGAGCCTATAGTGACAGCCCAACTCGTTGTTTTACTTCAAAAAAATTCTTACTTGCAAGAAGCTTTTGACCAAAAGCTTATTCTGTTGAAAGCTTCCGGATTAATTGATCATTGGATATCTGATTATTATAATACTAAATACATAAATATTAAAGAAGCTAAAAAAGGCGCTGAGCCATTGAGTTTCAAGCAACTTATTGGAGCATTTCAAGTTTGGATTTTCGGCTTATGTCTTGCGATTTTAACTATTTTGATTGAATTTATATTCAAATATAAGAAAAATGTCGTATTGTGTTTAAGAAAAACATTTTGTAAATGAGAAACATAAAAGCAATGTTTGAGTTTGAGTTTCCATTTATCTAAATAAAGTTTGATATGAAGAAAAAGGTTTAAGAATTGTTTGATCAACGAGAATGTTTCCACAGCAGAAATAGAATCTGAACACATTTTTGTGGTGTGAAAGTGTCATACATGACCTCAGCTATACGCAATTGCACAAAAGAAAATATAATTTAATTCATATGATATGAAACATTCTGTTGATGATATTAAGCAGGCAAAATTTTCCACATTTGTTACCAGCCAAGCTACTGACAAACAACAATATTCTTCAATGCCGTTTCTACCCTAGCCTTATGCCTCAAGCAAAATAAATGTATTAAAAGATTTGTGATAAACATTCTGATGTGAATAACACGTTCTGTTGTCGAGGAGTAGTCAAAGAATGCCGTGTGAAACCTTCATTCATTGAATCACTTGTATCGTTTGGTTGAAAGCAGAAGTCGGCTTCACAGGAGCTTTCATAACTTTAGAAGAGATGAAACTGACAATACTCGTAAACAAGTTATAAATATACATATAATTTGTTGCTGACTTATAAATAAATATTTGTTTCTTTTTACTGCGACAGATCAAATAATAGATCAATTCAATAGTGAATAATGTTGGCAAATATAATCTATTTGATTTCAGAAATATTTATAAATGTAGCGTACGAGTTTAAGACGAATAAAATTTATGATGAATTCAGTTAAGCATTTAAAAAAGAAACATTCACAAATGGAATCCCCCAAAAATCTTTTATTATTGTTGCCTTTAAAAGAAATAAAATCGCAACACTTAAGAACAATCACAGCAAGAAACAAATTCTCAGAAATTAATCTTCATTCAAAGGAGTGACGTTGTTTTCTCGTATCGTAGAAAAATTAAGTGGAAAATCATGTAAACATTTTGCTTCCAATTCTCATCAATAACTCATGGAAAGTTTCTTTCTCTGCATGAAGATTGCCTTTGTTCTATTTTGTTATTTAATATGCATCATGAAAAATTGATAAAACATGGAACATTAATTAAAAGCAAACGTTTTGGTTGGGGAGGAGACAAAAAAAGAAAAAAACGAGAATCACAACGCGACCATATTGTAAACAATGAAATTGATGAGTCAATGTTTGTTTTATCCTTTTCCTTTCATTTTTTGGGCAAAAAATTATTATATTCGAGAATTTTTGATTGCTTTTAACGACGCTGAGTTGACATAAGGAGACGTTTTGAAGGAAAAGGAAATTTTTTAGCAATTTCCGTGCACGGCAAGCTACAAGTGTTCTTCCTTTTTTCAAGGATCTTGCAAGGGTTTCCTTTTTTATTTAATTCATTTCTTTGATCATTTTTTGTGGAGCAATGTCAATGAACTCAAGGTGAATAAACTTGCGATGCTTAATTTTCTTGAGCTTAAAACTAAACAGCGACGGTTTTATATCAATTCGACCCAACATTTTGAATATCATTCAATTAAAGTTATGCCAATATTAAGCCCTAAACAGATTATCTTAAATCTTCGAAAAGTCATTTTTCATATTCATCCGCCCATTCGATTTCAGCCTGCTGCTTGCTTCATAAATCACTTAGAGGATATCGCCGCAAAATGCTTTCCGTTAGCTTTGAAAAGGCCTTCAATATAAAAGTATTTCAAACAGAATAAAAAGTGATAATATTTATCTTTTGTGTAAGTTCCGAGAATTGCTAATGGTTAATACGAACTTACAAAAACGAAAAGAATTGGGATCTGTTCAATAACCCTCGAAGGAGAATTGATTTCTTCACTGAAGAAGAAAAACAAACCCATGAAACATTTTGACACTTAAAGACCGTGAATTTATTATTTTGCTTGAGCCAACTTGAGCTCACATTCTTTGAGCACTTTTATATATTTTTATTTTTGGAAATATGTATTTAGTTATTTTATACAATGTTATGGGAAGTTAGAATCTGTTGGAAAAATTAACAAAGCGTTAACATTCATTCTTTGATACATAAAATTTAACATTCATCTAGTGAAAACATATATCAATGAACACAAAATTGCTAAAACTTGAGAAAGTGATCGAATTTTATTTCCGCTTGTGTTAACGGTCGTGCCCTCAGTGCTTAAGGTTACTTCAGAAGTTTTTCCAAACCAATTTCTGATTTCCATTTCTTGTTGACTCTCATACCAAGCAATGTTCTTTTGAATGATCGTAGCCGCTTCATTTAATTGGTGTTCACTGACATTAAATATCCCCATTGTTGAATTAAACTGAAAAGAGGAAAAAAAAAGAAGATTTGAAACTCAATCGAAGTTTATTACATTCACTTTACCTTATCAAAAAGCCTTTCGTTGAAGATTTTCTGTGGAAGTGAATGAAGGAGAACTTCAATTAAATCAGGTTTTTGTGAACGTCTCACGGCATCATTTTGAAATTCAATCAGGAAGTTCAATGTTGCTTCAACACCTTGTATTGTGGTTGAATAAACAGCATGTATGAGTGCAAAACTTTCAGTTCCGTAATATCGAGCTTCTCCCGTCGAAGCTAAAATTGTTTCAAGCAAGTCAAACAAAACTTTTACATCACCGTAACATCCTAAAGAGTTGATGATACGCAATCGATATTCTGTGTTGTCAGATGCTTGCAATTCATTCCACAATTCAACAATGAGTCGAGAGCCTTCATCTGAAAATGCTGACGCCATTAATCCGTAACAAAAAGCAGACGATTCTAAGTTGACAGGCAATTTTTCTTTATCGTCGATATGGGATTTCAGTTTCCTCTGCATTTGGTTTAAACAATCTTCTGACTTCATACGACAAATGAAATCGATCATTTGTATCCTTGAAAACTTATCCATTCCAGAGTCTGTGGATAGCTCATCGATTCCAATAAGAGTCATGTAGCCTTCAATCAGATAAAGCATTAAATCCTATTGGAAACAATAAATCAAATTTAACTTTTAGAAACTTTCAATTCAACGTTTTAAAAAAATGAAATTCACTTGAAATTCACCATGGAAATCTGTCTCAACCAAGATATCGTTCAAGTGAAGAAGATTTTTAATTGCTGCATTCCATGGTAAAAATGAAGTCTCGTTCTTCAGCTCCATCATCAAATCGAGAGCAATTCCATAGGGAAGTAAATTTTCTTTGGCCATGTGAAAGGCATCATCAATCAATTGCGCTCTCGTTACAGCACTAAAGACTTGTGAATTATGTCTTAAAGCATTAATTATCGCAATCCAATTATCGGCATTGTAATTGACTCGATAAAAGGCAAATTGATCAATATTAAGGAGAAACCAGTCATCACTCTCTAACGAATCAATAATCAGATATTCTTCAACGTTTGTGTTGTTCAACCACTTGATATCACTTGGTGATGCCATTGAAGATGTCATGTAATTAAATGGCAACAAAATTGGTTCCTTCATAACTTTCAAAACGTTCTTCTCATAATGATGAACATTAAGAATTACTTTGGTTTCCATCTCAACAAATCCTGCAATGACATCAACAAGACTGACTTCAAGTTCAGCATGTTGTTGTAGAGCTTTAAAGAACTCTTCCGCGTTGGTCGATTTAAAGATGCTTAAAACAAAATGATATAATAAATCATGAGCTTTAACAAGCTGTAATTGAATATGCTTCACTCATACTTTATCTGTATAAAGCTTCGAAGTGTTTGTGAAAAAGCTTCGCTCCCAATTGCATAATAAATCATTCGGAAAGTGCAAGCAACTGCGAAAAAAATTACAAACAGAATGAGATTGAAAGTTTGTTGGGGCAGAAGTGAAATAATGAGTTGAATAAAGAAATGAGAATATTTTAACTATACATGTACATTTCCCGTAACCCCAATTTCATTTCTTTGCTATGTTTAAAAAAGAAATCAACAATGAGAACCTTTTTCCGCATTTTCCACGTTGAGTGCATTGAAGACAGAGAAGGAAGAGTCTAGTGTTGGATGAAGTACTTCGCTAATGAACATTTCATTTGATTCAAAGTCGGAAATATTTATGAGATACTCCAAGAACGTTATGAGCCCATTGAAAATCCAAACGTCACTTTGAGAATCAACAGAAACAATATTTCCAAGAAACTGTGACACTATGGAATTAGTCACGTATTTTGATATAGTGAAAGTTTTGATGTCAGCTGATATAAGCGGATTAAAGAGAATGACATCTTCACTGCAACAAAATGAAATAAAATTCTGAAATTTTTTAACATAAAAGTTAAGACAGAAAATAAATCTCAAAGCATACCGATAATAGTTGAAAGCGTAAAAAGATTCAACTTCCTTATCAAAATTTGGAAGTACAACTGAGTGTAAAGTTTTCAGATTCAAGCTACTCAGATTCAATCCCATAAAAGATTCAACAGCTTTGAGAGTTGAATCCATAATATCCAAAAGCTTTTTTGTGTTCTCCTTTTCTCTTTCTCTGACAGAAACGATAAGTTTTATGCCATTGGAACTTTCTTCTTCTATGCTACTAAAGCCTGATATGAAGAAAGCCAAAGAACATGGAGAAATTAATGGCGTCTGATAGAATATGGTTTGCATACGAGAACCCTGTAATGATTTATCGAAGCTCAACGTATTTGACAAAGCATGGTATGTTGAGTCATGATTAATGATGACTTCGAAAGCCGCTCTGTGTTGATTCTGCATCGAGAGAGAATTTAGTAAAATGTGCACAGTTTTATGAAAAAAGAAAAAAATTGCCTCTAAGGTATCAAAACATGGAAAAGCATGACGTGCTGAATCTGGTTTGAATTGCGTAGCAGCTTGCCTTCTGTTGATATAACATTCAATTCGAAGAATGTTTTTACTTATTCTTATGTTTAACTTACGTGTAAACATCGTTTCCTTCCACTCTTTCGACATAATCAGAACGGAAGAAGCCGTTTGAAGATAGCAATAAATTTCCTTGGTATTGAAGCAACAAATCGTAGCTATGGCCAGCTTCAAGGGTAACTTCTGAGGAAAAGTTTATAACATTTTCGTCAATTCTCGAAAACAATAAACCGGAAATTGGATTGAAATTCTCAAATAGATCAAAACTATTTATTGTATGTCCTCGACTGTGAAGATAAATCTGATTTGTGTCTTCAACAACTAAAAGCTTTAAACTTAAAACTCCTGAAAATCTTGTCGCGGCATTTGGAACATTCGTTGTTATTATCAAAAGATAACTTTCTGGTGTTATCGAATCCGGAATAAGAAATTCTTCACTCTTTGAACTTGATACTCTCAATGAAAGTATTACAATAAAAACAAAATATTTTATTTCCATGATAGCTTTTCACACTGGTTAGACAAACACTGAATAAATAACACGATTCGATGACAAAATGAGTCCATAAAATTGGAGAATTTCTTATCTCAATTGCTTTTGAACAACTTCAAGTATTTCGTGATTTCATTGAATTTTAAATCCGAGAAGTTTTAAAGTGTAGCTCAAGTCCATTGATAAGATTTGAAAGCAATTGGTGGCTTTGTTTGAATAGAATCATTTTTATTGATTATTATGCAACGTAGCTGTAGAAAGCTTTCAATGGAAACTTTTCACATGCATTTAATGTTAATTTCTTAACCACCTATGATTGTCTTTAATCTTAATTTTTATTCCTTTAAGTATTAATTACAGAAATTTGCATTCAATTCAGTTTTGTCAACAGTACAAAAGCAACTAGTTATAATATAACTTATTAGTTAATCTTAATCGAGCTTTCATATCATTCATAAAGATTCTCAACGACATAATCTGAAAAACAATTTTAGAAATTCCTACAATAATTTCCTATCTGGATATTTAATTTTCAGATGTCAAGTAACTCGTTTTTATTTCTTCTCTTGTAAACTTTTATTGACTGTGAAAATTTGCTTGTAAATTGCTACATTATCTATTGAAATAGATTGATGAATGTATGGATTGACGTATCTCTCCTTACAACAGGTATTTTGCCTTGAAGCTAGGAAGAGAATACGTGACATCATGATACATTCTTATGCAATATTACTCGTTATATAATAGAGATGTTTGATTAAAAAATTTGTATCAAGTCAATCAGCAGAGATGATAAATTCATCAAATGATAGCGATGAAGAAAATGTTGATTTAATGTCAATGCAGTTGATTTCTAACATTAAAAGATATGAAATTGATTCAAATGCCCAACACAACATACGTTCTCATGTGCAGTGACTCGTTCAAAACTTCTCATAATATATTTTACATATCTGTATATCATCTCTCTGGCAGTTTAAGGAAGAAAATATTTGAAATTAGCATTTATATAAGATTGAAATTCAAAATTATGTTAATTGGAATCCTTTCACAAGCAATTTCTTTTTATAATGGCAGTCACATCTAAGATAGCTTCTTCATCTCATATTGATGTATTCTAGAATATATTGGATATAGCTTCCAGATACAGAGCTTATAGTTGAAACATAAAGAGAACGTTATCAGCGGTATATTTACATACCAATCTAACTTCGAAGTTATTCGTGATCTGAGAGAAATATCAAAAAACTATTCAAATGTGAAACTTTTAAGGAAAAAAGTATAATAAAAATTAATTGTAGATAACTTTATGTTAAACATCGGTGAGTCGATAGCGTACACTTTAATATTTTTAACCTATTTCTGTCTTGGCAAATGTAAGATTTTCATTGCACATCCACTAGACTTAACAATAAGAACGTAATACTCAAAGTAGTTTTCTCTTAAAGAATATCTGTCAAGAGCATTTCAATATGCATGAAGTATTCCTTCCCTTGCATCGACTGTAAAGTTTCTTTTAAAATCTGTACAATTCGCTTCTATAAAAATCACTTGTTCCCTATTGTTCTGGTTCTTAAGCAATGTAATGATAGTGTCGTTGTTTGTAGTTTCACAATCGTTATTCCTGCATGCGCGATGAACTTTCAATGACTATCATCTTTCAAAGCCATGCATCTTGATGCAATATGCAAAAATTATTATTGAAAAAGGATTTGAATTGTACAACTTTTTCAAGCATGTAACATAGTTTTAATTTTGTTATGGCGATAAGAGTATTTATATGAATAGACATAGGAGTTTATCTTGGTGAAGTGATGAAAGAAGTTTAAATGATTTTTGTTAACTATGTCCACAAGCAATGTCCACAAACTATGTCCACAAAATATGTCCACAAACTATGTCCACAAACTATGTCCACAAAATATGTCCACAAACTATGTCCACAAAATATGTCCACAAACAATGTCCACAAACTATGTCCACAAAATATGTCCACAAACAATGTCCACAAACTATGTCCACAAACAATGTCCACAAAATATGTCCACAAAATATGTCCACAAACTATGTCCACAAACAATGTCCACAAAATATGTCCACAAACTATGTCCACAAAATATGTCCACAAACTATGTCCACAAACTATGTCCACAAACAATGTCCACAAAATATGTCCACAAAATATGTCCACAAACTATGTCCACAAACTATGTCCACAAAATATGTCCACAAACTATGTCCACAAACTATGTCCACAAAATATGTCCACAAACTATGTCCACAAACTATGTCCACAAAATATGTCCACAAAATATGTCCACAAACTATGTCCACAAACTAAAAATGTTTTGTTGTTGTGACCTTGAAATATCTTTATAATAAAAATATTTTCAAATTTTGCGCCAAAAATCACATAGTTTACCCATATGGACATGAGTGCATTCAGAACGAACACATCATAAATGACGTTGCAGTTTTCCAAAAATTTGAGTATATCATAAATGACATCGCTACTTCACAAAAATTTGGGTGTTTCTTGAGTGACGTCTATAATTTACAAAAAGTTCACGTTCCTTCATTTTCATTAAAACTTTCTCTAGAGAAAGGAGAAGGATCTTAAACCACACTGTCATCAATGCTGAGGAGCTCGCGGAGGTGGATCTGGAGGATCTTCTCCTCTTCATGAGGAGAACGGGTGTCCGATCCACCTTCTTTCGACTTCTTCGGCTGACAGTGAGATCAGATAGATGGCTGGTGAGGGTTCTCATCTTCAGAGAATTTTATCTCTGAAGGTTTGTAGAATAAATCCCAAATATCCCCCATCTTCCTGATTTTCGCGTTCTGAGATCATTGTATGGATTATATGTTGCTCAATACAATAATAATAGCTAACAAATTTTTCATAGTTAAACATCAGTCATCAAACGACGAGATACAGGGAGCGAAACAAGATGGGGTTTTTTTCACTCCTTTATTCTTAATCGCTTTAGTGTACTGGTCAGTACACTCCTTACTCTGATGATGATGATGAACTTTATTCATATGATGTTCACAATGCTTAGAATTCATCTCTAAAAGGATCTTCGTTGTCCACAAAATATGTCCACAAACTATGTCCACAAAATATGTCCACAAACAATGTCCACAAACTATGTCCACAAACAATGTCCACAAACAATGTCCACAAAATATGTCCACAAACTATGTCCACAAAATATGTCCACAAACTTTGTCCACAAAATATGTCCACAAACTATGTCCACAAAATATGTCCACAAAATATGTCCACAAAATATGTCCACAAACAATGTCCACAAAATATGTCCACAAACTATGTCCACAAACTATGTCCACAAAATATGTCCACAAACTATGTCCACAAACTATGTCCACAAACAATGTCCACAAAATATGTCCACAAAATATGTCCACAAACAATGTCCACAAAATATGTCCACAAACTATGTCCACAAACTATGTCCACAAAATATGTCCACAAACTATGTCCACAAACTATGTCCACAAACAATGTCCACAAAATATGTCCACAAAATATGTCCACAAACAATGTCCACAAAATATGTCCACAAACTATGTCCACAAACTATGTCCACAAACAATGTCCACAAACTATGTCCACAAACAATGTCCACATATATAGATAGAGTTGAGATCGTCAAAGTCAAAAGAAGTAAACATTTTTGGTCTACAATTTTAATTAAATTATCAATGAAATAGGTTTCTAAAATTCTGCATTTTGTTGGCAGCATATAAATAAAAGTATTCTTCATCAACTTTAAGTGAAAACATTTCAAAGAAAGTGAATTTAATCAATAAAATCAACAAATTGAAAAAATTCTTAGCTGAAGCAAAAGTGACACGTTTTCGTCTTTTGTTCATCAGGTCTAAGACAGGGTCTAAAAAGACCCACACCCGCCTGTTAAAACAGTCGGGAGGCAATAGACATTTGTGGCAAATGACAATGACAACACTTTCCAATTCCAGCGGAAATTGTTCTAACATCGAATGGGAGATTCCTCTAATAACCTAGAAAATACTGACGAAGATTCTTATCAACATTAAACTTTAATTTAATACATAGTGAATTTTAAGTTTTTGCTCAGGTATGTATAAAAATGCGGTCTTAAGACTTCCCGCATCATAAACAAAGAAATCTTTGCTGATGGTTTCAAAAATTTTTCTGATGGCTTCAAAAACGCTGCTGATGGTTTCAGTAGCAACTTTAGTGATGGTTTCACTTCTTGGCTTTTATACGGTGTCGTAAATCGACACTAAATAGAATTTTGTGCAAAATGTTTTGTTGTTGTGACCTTGAAATATCTTCATAATAAAAATATTTTCAAATTTTGCGCCAAAAATCACATAGTTTACCCATATGGACATGAGTGCATTCAGAACGAACACATCATAAATGACGTTGCAGTTTTCCAAAAATTTGAGTATATCATAAATGACATCGCTACTTCACAAAAATGTGGGTGTTTCTTGAGTGACGTCTATAATTTACAAAAAGTTCATGTTCCTTCATTTTCATTAAAACTTTCTCTAGAGAAAGGAGAAGGATCTTAAACCACACTGTCATCAATGCTGAGGAGCTCGCGGAGGTGGATCTGGAGGATCTTCTCCTCTTCATGAGGAGAACGGGTGTCCGATCCACCTTCTTCGACTTCTTCGGCTGACAGTGAGATCAGGGAGATGGCTGGTGAGGGTTCTCATCTTCAGAGAATTTTATCTCTGAAGGTTTGTAGAATAAATCCCAAATATCCCCCATCTTCCTGATTCTTTGCGTTTTGAGATCCGTGAACGGGTTATATTTTGTTCAATACAATAATAGTAGTTAACGAACTTTTTCATATTAAACATCAGTCATCAAGCGACGAGATACAGGGAGCGAATCAAGATGGGGTTTTTTACCCCTATATTCTTAATCGCTTTAGTGTACTGGTCAGTACACTCCCTACTCTGATGATGATGATGATGAATAGACATAAGAACATGAACATATCGATTGCTTCACAAATTATTTACGTTAATTTTTCATTAAACAAAATTTTTGGACTTCTTTAATCTCGTGATAAATTTTTGTATTTTCCTTCGTCGATCCATCAAAAATATCGGCGTCAAAATGAAACTATTCGTCAATAAGCTTAATCTTGATTCCATAGTAATTTTTAGTATCAAATAATGTTTATTTAGTTTGTAAATTTTCATACATTGTTTAATGATGATTAATAACTTTCAAAAGGATGGACAAAGTGCTAAACAACTAACATAGATGATGAATGACTTAGAGGTGACCACACTTTAGTAAACTGATTAAGTGAAGAACTCAATTATTCTTTGCAATCGTCGAAGACGCATTCGTTTCGATAAAATCTCGAAAATATAAATGATGAATCCAATAACATATCCAAAGAAAAGAAGTTCAAATCCACCCAACAATTGTTCAATGCTTAATTTTCTCGGACCATCATAACTCATTTTCATGTTGAAAAACTTCATGTCGATGAAAAACGATGCCCAGAAATCAATGAGTCCGCTCGTTTTGTAACTGCTGATTTGTTTGTTAAATGCCTGTTCAAGATAAGAATTTTTTCTCATATAAATTCCATATTGAAATGTGAACAAATATTCTTTGCACACAGTTAACGTCATAGTCTTGTAGTTCATCTTATTGAAATATAAAATTTGTTCGAATGAACTCGTTACGGCAAACTTTGATCTAGGATTTGAAGTCTCTCGCTTGCGTTCTTCCAATACCGTTCCTGTTACTACGACTCGTTGATCACGAAACTTCATATTCTGAGTATGTTCGAGTGATGACGCCATCATATATACATCAAAATCCTCTTCAACTAACTCATCAATTGATTGAACTTCCTTACTTCTATCATCTGATTGTAGAAATTGAAAGAGCGCACCTTGATATAATGTTCTCTTTACAATTGAAAATAGAAAAAACATCATGAGAAGAGTTCTTGCAAAATTTTTCGTCGGCATGCTCGTCAACGAACCACCCACAAAAGCATTCAAAATATTCAAATATGGTGATCTATTGCCAGCTCCAAATACAAAATTTCTTACTCTAGGCGATTGAAATTTAACAAACGTAACTACACCAACAGCTGTAGCAAAAGTTATGAGAAGTAAAGTCCATACATCAATTTGAAAAGGTCTGAAAAGCTTCTCGAAAGGAGAAAGCGGAGCTCCAGGCGGAACAATTACGATGAATGGGACTGAATAATATAAATGAGAACTGGTCATAAAACGGGTACGGAGATAAGTTATCGTGTACATTCCCAGTGTCAAATCAGCTTCTTTGTTTATGACCATGGCTATGGCACCTTTTGAAGTTCCGTTTTCGTACAAAGCTCCCCATCTAAATAAATATAAAACAATTTTTATCTCATCAAATAAGAATGAAAATGACGAAAATTTATTTCATATTTTGATTTACCTTATCAAATCAGAAATATGAATAAGATCAATTTTGAAATTGAGCTTTTTTGATAAAAGTTTCAACATTTCGCCATCGGGTCCTTTGAAGTCGAAGTTTTTATCTTCATCGTACTTTATCATCATCATTGGTGGACAGTTAAATGTCACGACTTTAACTGGACAGTTGAAAAAATTTTCCATTTTGTTAGGAAAGAAATCTTTGTTCTTGGTGAAAGTTTTGTTGAAAACGTCGATGACTACGGGCTTTGTGTCGCCACAGTTTTGAATGCAATTTTCATTATCACATTTTGGTTTTGAGAAGGGTATAAATGTCGAGATATTCAGTTCATATTCAGTCTGTGCTAAGAAGGCTACGTTGAAGATAAAGTTATTCCACAAACTCTTCGTGATTTCCCCCAGTTCATCAATTGGTCCATTGATAAAAATCATCAAGAAATATCCATCAATCACGAAATATTTGGACGTCAAACGACGAAACAAACGAAGAAATGATTGGAAGGTATCGATAAATATCACGTTATAAAGTCGATGACGTTTAGTAATAACATCAATATCCTCAACAAAAACAACATCGCATTGTGCAATGAGATTATTTATCAAAAAACTTCGTTCACACTTGGTTTCATTTGTCAATGCGGAAATGAAATTTATTGTGACCGCATTCGATTTGAAATGATTGGAAATTATTTCACTAGCAGCATCGACCAAATCACTGGACATTGGTTGTAAATTATCGATTGTGAAAGTCCCATAACATCTGTTGGCAAACGCCAAAATGACTAAAGTCACAATCATAGTGCTTAGAAATGTTGTAATAGCTTAGGATGATTACGTGAAATGACTTGCTATAAATAAAAGCCCGCAGAGTTAAAGTAACGAATGGTGATCCTTAGAAGTGCCATAATTCAACTTGAAAAATTACTTTGTTAATATCGAATGAATCTGGACAAATATTTACGCAACTCGTTTAAGTTAATTAAGCACGAGACAATTTCTGACAGAAGATTGTATAAGTATGATTTCGGCTACTGAAGGCTTCAACACATTGGCCCAATTCCCTCGTAATAAAAAGTCATAAACTTTCTGGAGTGGGATAAGATTACTTCGGTGATAAATGAGAAGTTTAAGAGCAAAACTTTTTTCCTTTCCTTAACCAGTTGGCAGCTTCCTAATGCGAAGAAAGTTTTACAAGAACTAAAGCCTTGAAGCTTTTTAACGATAAAACACTTTTGATGTTGACGTTTAATTGCTAAGTAAATAATTGAGCATTAAATGCTTGCAGTGACCATCCTTTGTGAATCCCTTTCAAACTGTCATCGAGCGTTTATGTTGATTTATGGTTAAGTTAGGAATAACTATGGGTGTTCCAATGTCTTCTAATTCCATTAATTATCGTACGTTTTCATTTTGATGTACAATATAATATTGAAGGATTTTTATACAGTCACAAAAATTTGTTTTATTAAATTAGCAAGAAAAGTTTGGACGAAGGAAAACACTTCCAAACTTTTGAACATTCAAATATTTTCTGACACTTTCAGTAGTCTGACTTCTGACATATTTCTTGCGACTTGAAATATACAAAAGAAAAATTGTTGTCTATTAAGTGTTGATGTCGCTTTGTCACGTTTCTTTTGTCACGATCATTTGTGAAACTTATTAAAACTCGTTTCTGTTTAAGTAAATAATTTAGTCATTACCGATAGAAATAATTGCAAAGTTACATTTATTTGTCCCAAGTTGTGTAAGAAAAATTCAAACTAATTCATTCTTCAATTACTTAAAATCGACCTAATTATGCTGTTCCATTGAATATTTCTTTTTGTTACATTCTGGTAAGTGTAACTTAATTTTGTGATAACCATTCAGGCTATTAAATAAGTGGAAGGATTTTTCATGTTCAATACGAAAGAAATTTTCATCTACAGTTGACTCTCTTAATAAATGTGAAAATATTTCATAAATTTTATCGAATGATTCTAATTATTAAAAAAATATTCAATCGTGTCCAAAACTTTCTTTTCTAAGAACGTCTTTCATATCGAGAGTGCACTGTGAAACTTCTTCAATGACCACTTAATAATTCATTATTTGATATCAACAAATATTATTCCGCGTGAAACTGCCTCTCATTACATTTTCCGTTCAAATTTACGATTATATTCCTTCACAATAAACTCCGAAAAGTCTCAAGACTCTCAGCTTAAAGCTAAATGAAATATTAAACAGATGTCTCGAAATTTAAAAATATATTTGTTTTTATTCTCTCCTCGCTCTGTTGATTCAGTTGTTTTATTGAAGCCCCAAGGGAATTTTTGAAAGACTTTAATATTTTATTTCTTCAGTATTCTTGTGAATTTGGTGACTTGAAGGTTTCACAATAAAATGGAAGATATCAAAAGCGTTAATCTGCCGCAAGAAAGTCAACCGGAAACCATACAAGAAAAAGTTTTCGGTCCTTTCGATCAGATGTCGGATTCATTGGGAAACATCAAGCAGATGCTTGAAAATGAATCAAATGAAATGACTGCTGATTGGTTTCTCATCTCGTCACCAGTTACAACTGTTTCTGTGTTTATTCTTTACGTGCTTTTCATAAAAGTGAGTCATAATTTATTCCACTTTGATTTCCTGAGGGAAACTTTTTTCCCTTACGTATTTCAAGATCATTGGCCCTAAAATCTCGAAAGGAAGAGAATGTTCCGATGGTAAAATATGCAAATTGATGCTGATCTTGTACAACATATTTCAAATTGTGGTGAATTTAAGTATACTTAGCACTCTTGTGCTATCTGAGTGGCTTCAGAATCATTACAGCTCAGCCTGTCAAGAAAATGCTGTGGCCAATTCAATGGTGAAATTTTCACATTTTTATTCATTTATGTAAATCATTTAAATTATTTTTTCTTTCAAGATGGTCGAAGTGTTATGGTATTATTATTTATCCAAATTCTTTGATCTATTCGACAACGTTTTCTTAATATACGATAGAAGAAATGCTCAAATCTCCATTCTAAATGTCCTTTACGATGGCTTCGTTCTTCTCAGCAGTAAATAACAAAAAATTGAAAATATTTCTTCAATTTTTAAAGACTTTTTTAATTTCAGTTTGGCTGATATTGAAGATAATGCCTACGGGTCATATCTCCGTGTTCATGTTACTTGACACAACGAGTCATGCTTTAATTCACATTTTTTGTTTATTTTCTTCTACGAAGCCTCGTTCAAGTTCAATAATCTTAACATCACTGCACATTTTGAAAACAGTTGCCATTGTTTGTCATGGTGTCGAGTTAGTTCTTTATAATCGATGCCATTTCCCTTTCATTCATGTTTGGTTTATAGTCTCACATGCCTTGTTCCACATCATCCTTATTCGAAGTAGATTTGGTGGAGGTCGAAGGACAAAGGTTGGCTTTCCCTTTTTATAAGTTGACAGATATTATTTAATTTTTTTTTTCTTTTTTAGATTTCGAAAAGCGAGTCTGAACCCTCGTCTATAGCAATGAACAGTTATATGAGCCCCGACGCCACATATGTAACATTTAATAACTTCGGCGTTACCCAAAATGACGTTAAGCAGCGCTACCTAACAACAATCAAGACGCCAGTTTGACAAATACATCGAATACGAGAAGAGAAATCGATTTATAAATTGCGCTATTTCGTGTTTAAAAAGCTATCAATATCCACCACGGGAATCTCCAAAAAAAAAAATCTAATTTGTATTCAAAAGAAATAAATTTTCACTGAACGCTTTTTTATTATGAAAACATTTTTTTTGTGCTCCTTAGCCTCGCATAAAAAAGGTTCCCACCGCGAGTGCTCATAAATTTCTTGTAGCATTTCTCATTTATCATTCAACAACATCGTCGTCATTAAGTGAGCAGAAAAAGTGATGCGGAAAAAATGAATGAAAGAAAAAGAAAAATGTGTTGAATTGAGATAAAGACAGGAAAAAACAAGAAGGTAAAAGATTTGAGTTCAACGATACTTTCAACCATTAAGTTGCGAGTTATTAAGTACTTAATTAGCTGTTCAATACATGTGTTAATTATATTATATTGGTTGGAATTTCAGTGCTTAAAGCAGTTTATGTTGTCCTATTTTCCTGGTTAATAATTTTTGTGTTTCCAAGTTTTTCAGTTTCCATGCCTTGAGAAGCATGAGTGCAACTAATTTGGTCGGTTATGGGCTTAACATAAAGTGTTCAATCATTCGATTCAATGCGTTGGTTTACATTGTATTTATAATTGATTAGCAATGAACATTCCCAGCAATTATCGTGATTGATATGCTTTACTTAATTTTCTGGACAGTGAACCTTATTTTCCTCAACCTTTACGTTGATATAAATTATGTTTTTATTCTGAGCATGACTTTACTGTTTATTATACGACACTTATTGAATTGAAATTAATAAAAAACAAGGTTGAAATATGCTGAGGTGTCACTTCCTAATCTCATTTCAGCATGAAGTTTCTAATAAGTTTTTGCCTTTTCTTTGGCTCGTGTTTCATAAAAGTTTCGACAAGTAAATTCGCTAACGAATTCATTAACGCTTCGAATAACACCATTGTGGTTATTAATATCGATAATTCGTTAAATGAGAGTTATAATTTTATTACCAACTCTGACAAAGCATTTTTAAAGTTCAATTTTCAAAGCGAAAGTTTTTCGTATCTTGAAAAGTTAAAGCGTGTTGTTCGACGCAAACACGTGGCATTGACAACTCAACTGAGACGTTACCGAGAGTTCATAATGTTGAAAGATTTCATCAAAATTTTAGATTGTTTAAACTGTGATTACATAATTTTCTCATCAACGCTTTTCCTCAACTCGGTTTTGAAACTTTTTGTGAATTCTTTCGGAAACTTCTTGGTAATTCTTATCGACAACAAAACATCGTTTTCTCAACAAGAGTTAATGGATGTGTTGAATAGAACTTGGATCGATAATATAGCTTTAAAAGTTTCACTGGCGATTAATGATAATGTTTATTCTTTCGATCCATTTCACCGAAACCCAAATGGAATTTTTGGTAAATTGAATCAGTTTAAGCAAACAACTTGTTCTCAAAGGATTAAAAATCTAAATGGATATAATTTGAATGTCGAAATGTTTTCTTCGATTTATTCTGCTTTATCCGTGAAAAATCCTAAAATTGTCGAAGACTTTTACGGACCTGACGTCAACGTTGCAACATTCATAAAAGAGCAGTTAAATGCAACAAGTAAGAAAGAAAACTTAGAAAAGTTTGCAAACATTTATTCATGGCTTATATTTATTTAAGTGACACTTGTGGTAAATGACGGAGAAAAATTTGGATTTAGGAAACCAAATGGAAGCTTAACGGGTGCTCTTAAAAGCATTCAATCTCGAAAAGCTGATGTCACATTTGTTGGATATTTCATAAAGGATTACGAAACGCAAGATGTTGAATTTTCATCGTCAATCTACTCTGATAAACTTTGCATTGTCGTGGAGAGAGCAGGCAGAATTCCTCAATTTATTCTACCGTTGATTATTTTTGATAATTCTTTGTGGATATTTTTAGGAATCGAAACAGTTTTAGGTAAATTTCTTTAATAATATTCAATAGCAAATTATTTAGATTTTCATCTCACTCAAAAATTCATTAAAGACGTAAAATTTTATTCATTCAAATTTTGATTCAAATTTACAAAAAAAGCTTTTCTCTTTTTTCCACCACCCTTCAGGCATCCTTTTTTGGTCTTTTCTACGGTTTCTGAACAACAAATTGTACATAGAATGCTATGAAAAACAAATTAAGTTTAATCTTCCATCACATACGAAAACTTCTCCGACATTCCTGCAGTATATTCAAATTATTGTTGATTTCACAATGCTTCTTTTTGGGACACCAATGAGACGATTTCCACGAGTGAAAAGCGAAAGAGTTTTTATCAGTTCAGTTTTTATATTGAGCTTAAACATCGTTGCACTGTTCCAGTCGAGCTTAGCAATGGTGTTTATAAAACCAATGTTCTACGAAAACATTGATACCCTCGAGAAGCTTAGCGAAGGGAATCAAAATATTATTATAAAATATCCAGCTATGCTAAATGACCTTTTTCCGGAAGACTCTTCGGATACTTTCCGTGACTTACACAATAAAATGAAGCTGATAACGAAGAGTTCTGTTGGTCCAAGGGAAATAATTGAAAACCTACACATGGCAACAGTTACGAGAAAACAAAACTTCAACATGCATTCGATTTATAATGACTACCATATGGTTGCTGAATGTCCGAAACATTACAACTTGGCTTATATCTTCGCCAAACATTCCATTTACAGTGAAGTCATCAACGCTCTTATTTTAGATATCGTTCGGTTTGGACTCATGAATAAATGGATAAATGATGTCGAATATGAATCAAAACTTAAAAATAATTTAGGCATCCAAGATGTTGTTTCAAAGTCTCTCACCCTTAATGACCTACAGCTGCCATTCTTCACTGTGATTTTCGGTCAAGCTTTAGCAGTTGTTGTTTATATAATTGAATTCTTTGTGAAGTTTAAAACCAAGGCTGAACATGGGATTAAAACAGCAAATTAATGAGTGAAACCTCTTTTTGCCTCTCTTTTTTGTTTATAAAACCATTAACCTAATTTCAAAAGTGCTTTTATCTGATTTTCCATCACAAAGTTCACTGAAACAATTTTTTAACGCTTTACGTCTTTAGAAAGTTAACAAACATTGAAATTATTCTTTCGCGAAGGTTGAGGAATATCTTCATATAAAAAGATACCTAAATCTTGATTCTTTGTCTTCAACTTTGATAAATAGAAGAAGAAACTCTTTTCATAATTTAAATAGGCTAATTTGAAGAGGCAGATAAATCAGATGAAGCTTTTATGAATATTACATCTATCTAGATGTCTTTAATATATTTAAATCAAATAGAAATTTGAATCTCAAACAGCAATCTTGGAAGTAAACTTAAATGAACAAATAACAAACTTTCTGCATTGACAAGAATGAAAAATATCCTCGAGAGAAAGTTTTCAGATGATTAGAATAAGGAAGACAGCAAAATTGTATTGTTTAGATTATTTAGAAGAATTTGTTGATGTTGTATTGAACTGTTGTTAAAATTTCCTTGTCACGCGAACAACGTTCATCTGCTTTGACGTTCATTTGCTAATGTTGTAAATTTATCTACCTATTCCTGTCTCTCGAAATATTTTTAGATTCTATGTTAATACTAATTCAATCATGTATAAAAATCCCTACCTTAAAACGTATCCCAGAATTCCTTTAATCCAGTTACATGAGAAAAATTGTAATCATTCTCCATTATACTGTCAACATAGAGGATTACTTTGTGTCCCTTAAAGTCAGCAGGAATCGAATTTCCTTGAAATTCCCCAGGGATAGAAATGAGCGACACTAAATATAGTCTAGAAAACTTATAAAATAAAATGAGAGTTTGCGCCTTAAATTATTTGTAATGATGACGTTGACTATGAAAAATGTTCTTGAAATAAAATCATACGAAGTTCAATACATTTTTTAATCTTAAAAATTCGTCGCATTGTAAATGCAATTAAGTTTCAAGATATTACAATCAATCGATTCTTTTCTTGTGCTGAAGTGAATTAATTTTTATTAAACGCTTTGCAAAAATTCAATCTGAAGAATTCTCAATATTGAGAGTTGCTTACATCAAATCATTTTCATTCTTCATTGTTGTTTTCTTCATGATTATAACCTCCGTGAAAACCTGGTGGTCTTGGCATGCCAGCACTATGTAAGGAACTCATATGTTGTCCTCCGTGCATGTGTTGTGAATGATCAGTATTAGATGAATTTGAATGTTGATGTTTCATCTCGGACATTTGTTTTCTCTTTTGAGACATATTGGAGTTTTGATTCGTAGTCGATTGGCTTGCAGTGTTGCCATTGCCACCACCTCTCTGACTACGTTGGTTTCCTCCATTTCTTTGCCCATTTCTTCTAGGTCTTTGTTGAGCTTCGCACTATTCATAGGGTAAAAAATAAAGACAATGAAGATCACCAATGATTTGGAAATTTTTCTTACGCAGACAACAATTGACACTATCAGACAGATTAGAATTAATTTGTTCATTGCTTCACTGCTCGGGCAAAAGAATAAAGAATTACCTAAAACATTAATTCTGTTTTATATGGCCTTCAACAGGAAACTGAGTTTAAATTACTGTCATTTTAAGAATTCTGTGTGATTAAATCTACAAATTGAAAATTTAGTTTTCTTTTTTCATCTATCAGAACTTAAATAAATTATAGCTTTATTCGACTACTTTCGAGAAGTTTTAGTATTCGAAAACTTATTCATTCTACTTGATTGCGTGTCAAGCCGATAATTTCAAGTGGCAAATATGTAATTATAAATACTTTGAATTCGCTCTGAAGCACTTGTTTGATTGTGTATTAGATTTAACTTCATTATATTAATCTATTTATTCGCATTTGGTTTGGAGCTTGCAAATTTGAAGGAAATAAAGTTATGTACTTTAAATTTGTCAAATAAACTGAAAAATTTATGATGTTTTCATTAAAATAATTATGATGATGTACAATCTGTGATCCACAACTATTCACAAATTAAAAAGCGTGATATTCATCCATTAAAATCAATTTTGTGTGAAACTTCTTCGAACTGTTGATTGATTTGAACTTCACAGGATATCATCGAATATAATATTAGTTGTTAAAGAAACATCAACATAAAACTATTATAACTTATAATGTACACAAAAATGATATGTGTATGATAAGGACATAACATGATATGCCATTGTTGTTAAATAGAAAGTAGAAAAATAAAAAAATATCATTCAAGCTTTCTTTTCACATTCAATATCATCATGAGGTTGTGTGGTGTTGTGATAAATATTTTCGGATTGTCTTTGAATTTTCTTGGAGTCAAATGTGATAGAAATCAAATAACTGATGACATAAACCATGGAAGGAAGAGTGAATTTCAATTCAGCGAATTATTAAAAACTTTCTACTGCAGTAACACAACTGTCGTTGATGTGATTTTCAGCAATGAAAACGAAGAAATTTTGGACGCTTTCAACTCTGTTAGTGTTCACTTTGGCTCATGTACTTCATTTCAATTCGATTCACTAAACAACGTTAGCCGTTTGCATAAGAGAAAAAGAACTTTCAATGTGATTATTCTTGAGAGCTTTGAAAGCTTCAACATTTTGATGAACAACATTTCCAACTTCGATTTCGACTTCAATGGATATTTCTCAATGTTTTTCATAGACATTGAGACAATCGAACTCAATCGTGTGTTTGAATTTGCATGGAAATATTTCATGCATAATTTTATTGTTTTAACTGGAAATGGAACTGAAATAACTTTGTCAACTTATGATCCTTATCAAAATAATAGAAGTTGCGGAAATACACAAGCATTGTCTTCAGTTTTCAATGCTAATACTGATTCTATTAAATTATTTCCTGATAAGCTGGCGAACATGCATAAATGTCCGCTACGTTTGCCAAAGTTCGAATATTACCCTGCAACATTCTATGAAGAAATTGGAAATGAAACAATGTTGAAAGGAATTGATGGTGATTTGGTGATGACAATGAAAGGACTTTTGAACTTTACTTTGGATTTTGTGTCCCTTGAGAATCCAGATGAAAAATGGGGTGAATTATAGAATTTAAGTGAAATATAATTAGATTGAAATAATTATAAAATATTCTACGTGATAGGCTCAATAACTGAAAACGGAAGTGCAACAGGAGCAATGAAGATGGTAGTAGATGGAACAGCTGATTTTACAATTGGAATGTACGTCATATCTCCGCTGAGACTTAAATTTATGGACAGCACGATATCGCATGTGTCATTCCCTTTTGTTTTAATTGTTCCACCTGGGCAAAAGTACACATCATTTGAAAAGTTGTTCAAGCCATTCAGTTGGAATGTTTGGATCACAGTTGGAGTAACTTTTTTACTTTCGTCTTTGATAATATTGTTCGTGAAAAGATCGAATAATCAGAAATTGAAATATTTCTTTTTTGGTGCGGGTTATAATCCTCCATATTTCTACATAATCGACGCATTTTTTGGTGGATCATTGCAAACGTTACCCAAAAGCACTTCTCCAAGAATACTTCTGTCGTTCTTTTTATTTTATAGTCTCATCCTTCGAACCATTTACCAAGGAAATTTAGTAAAGATTTTACAATCTGATGATCGCTCAAGGCCCGTAATGACAGTAGATGAAATGATCGAAAACGATTTTCATTTTTATATGTATCCAACATTTATAGAACATAGTCGACATCTTAAATTCTTTTCAAGGTAAAACTGATAATTGATCTTAATCGAAAATTTATGCTTGATGATAATTCACAGGAGAAAAATTTATCCAACAATTGAAAACGAAGAATATCTCTTGAAGACATTGGATCCGTACTTCAAAGGTGGTGTGTGTTGTACACTTGATGAAGTTGCAGCTAAAAACAAACAGAACCGAAACAATTATACGCTTCGTGTTTTGCCTGAGGACATCTACTTGTTCAAAAATGGAATTTATTTTCGTAAAAATATGCCTATTGTGGAATTATTTGACAAGAAAATAAGTTTGTTTCATTCGTCTGGATTAATTAATTTTTGGGTATCAAAATATTTGGATCTGTCATATGCAAAGATTTCCGTAACAAGTGAAACTCCGAAGAAACTAAGCATTGAACAACTTGAAGGAATTTTTCTTTTATGGCTTTATGGTTTATTGACAGCGACAACTTTTTTAGTTTTGGAGAATATTTACTCAAAGACTTTGATAAATGTCAAAGAAACGATCAGAACAATAGTCGGGAAAAGAATGTAAGCGGGAAGCTTGACTGTTCTTGATCTTGAAGTCGAAATATATTCAGAAAGTCATAAATTTCTTCAAAAATCACATTTTGTGTGTGAACAAACTTTGAAGAGATTAGAAATAAAATCTTTTTGACAGAAGAAAGAATTTCATGAAATTCGTAAGTGGAAATGTGTCGTAATATGAATGATTAGGCTATAATAAACAAACTGAAATGTTTATTTATGACTTATTTAATATTTTCTCAATTTAATCGTAATAAGTGAGTTAACCACTCGTTAATTTTGTTCCGTTCAATATCTCATCAGTTTAATTTGAAACGATGATGAAAAAGGTTCTAATTTTTCTAATCTCTAGATGTCTGTTTAATTATGTAGTCGAATCAGAAAATCATCAGAAAAATCTTTTTAATTTTCATCAAAAACATTCAAGTTTTCCGGTGTTTAAAATTCTTGAAACATTTTACTGCAAAGAGTCATCAGTTGTGGACGTTATTTGTAGTAATGAAAGCGAAGAAATTTTGGACGCTTTCAACTCCGTTATTGCCCACTTTGGCTCATGCACTTCATTTCAATTCGATTCACTAAACAACGTTAGCCGTTTGCATAAGAGAACAAGAACTTTCAATGTGATTATTCTTGAGAGCTTTGAAAGCTTCAACATTTTGATGAACAACATTTCCAACTTCGATTTCGACTTCAATGGATATTTCTCAATGTTTTTCATAGACATTGAGACAATCGAACTCAATCGTGTGTTTGAATTTGCATGGAAATATTTCATGCATAATTTTATTGTTTTAACTGGAAATGGAACTAAAATAACTTTGTCAACTTACGATCCCTTTCGAAACGGAATATGCGGAGATACTAGTCCTGTGTCAACAGTAATTGATATTAAAACTGATATACATAATTCAATTGATTTGTTTCCAAACAAAATGATTAACATGAATAAATGTCCATTACGAATACCTTTAATAAATTACTTGCCTGCAATAAATTTTGAAAGTTATCGAGACGATTACATCATCACTGGAATTGAAGGTGAATTATTATTAACGATGAAGGATCTTTTAAACTTCACCATCAAAGTGTTGCAACTAAAAGGTGAACAATATTGGGGTAATTAATTAAGTTTAAACTCCTAGCTTAGATTGAAATTTTTAGATTGTTTCTATCAGGTGTAATAGAGAAAAACGGAAGTGCAACGGGTGCGATGAGAATGGTGATAGAAGGTGAAGCCGACTTAATTATGGGAACGTACGCTATGACTTTGTTGCGTTTGCAATATATGGACAGTTCATTATCTCATCTTGGATTTCCTTTCGTTTTGGTAATTCCACCAGGAAGAAAATTTACTCCAATGGAGAAGCTTCTCAAGCCATTTCAAATGGAAATATGGATTGCAATTCTCACTTTTTTGGGATTTTTGTTCATGTCCATTTTAATTATTAAGAAAGGAAACATCAAAGCTCGTAAATTGACTTTATTTGGTGAAACTTTTAGGCTGTCATATCTTACTATGATTGACTCATTTCTTGGAGGATCCTTCAATTTACTCCCTTCAAAAACTTCTCTGAGATTTCTTTTCGCTTCGTATTTTATATTTTGTTTAATTGTGAGGAATCTTTATCAAGGACTTCTTGTCCAAATTCTTCAGTCAGAAGACCGAGCCAAACCAGTTAAAACAGTTGACGAAATGATGGAAAAAGGTTTCAACTTTTACATGTATGATTCGTACCTTGAGCATACTGAACACTTAAAATTTTCCTCGCGGTAAGTTTTCATGCATATATTTATGTTTTTACTATTAATCTAAAAAAATCCCTTACAGACGGAAAGTTCACAAGTACAATGACAATGAAAAATATTTAAAAATGACTTTGGATCCCAATTTCAAAGGCGGCGTTTGTAGTTCTCTTGATGAAGTTGCTTTCCTAAATAAAAAAAACTACAAAAATTTTTCTTATCTGATATTACCTGAAGACGTGTACTTGTTCAAATATGTGATATACTTTCAAAAACATTCTCCTTACGTTAAAAAATTTAATGAGAAGATAAGTTTATTTAAATCCTCTGGATTATTAGAATTTTGGTTTTCTAAGTATATGGATCTGTCGTATGTGCATGTTAAGGAGCCAAAAATGGTACCAAGAACGCTAAACATTGAACAGTTAAAAGGTGGTTTCATATTGTGGTTGTGTGGTTGTTCAATTTCTTTATTTGTTTTTATTTTGGAAGCTATTTATAGTGTTGTCATAAAGTATTTATTGTGAAGAAATTGTAAATAATTGTCTAAATGATGTTAACCAAATATTAAGCAATTTATGTCATAATTATAATTAATGTTTTTGTTTTATCATCTGTACAATAAGCTTGCTAAGTGAGTTAGTAGAAGCATTCAGAGTTTAACAATTTTTAAAATGAATGTTATTGCTCTAAATGCCCATTAATTTAAAAAATTAAAAACGTACATTTTTTGCTATTAAGTGATTCAAATACAATAAGCAAAATGTAAATGTTGAATAGATTTGAGGTTTCGCATTGTGGATTTAAAAGCCTATTTATTCATAATAATTTAAAATCGTTCAATAAATATTATGAAAGTGTCTAGACATTTAAAATTTTAGTTTCTTTATCATTTGAATTTCTTCATTTTTCCTAATTAAGAACATTTTCATAAAGATTTGCCCTATAACATCTAATCGAGAGTTAAATGTTAAGAATTCGACTGCGTGTGATACTTTTGAGATGAAAAGTGGCTATCAGTCGTGTACATTAAAAATAAAATTGTTTTCTTGTTTAATGTAACATGTTTCGATGCCTTATTGGCATCATTTCTAAGCAGCTGTAATTTTGAACAAATTAATTGCATTCAATTTAATAATTTTGTAAAAGGATTCCTACTTACTGTGTAAAAGCAATGTATGGTCCATTTAATATAAAAATATTTTATATCTTATCGGTAGTTTTTCAACTGTCTTAATGAAAGATTATTGAAATATGACGACAGTGGCAGCTTCTTTCACACAATCGTAAGAAAGTCCGTAACAGAATGTATAGTTTCTGGTTCATTTAAGATCCTTTGCCGTCATAAGAAAAAATGTCTCTAATTAAACAAAATTTAATGAGCACACTCAAGCATCCAGTTTAACATTCTTTCAACAAACTCTTGATCTAAATGCGACGTATTTGAAAAATTAAAACAACTGATTCAAGTTCACAGTAATTAAAATAGAATGTGTACGCAGTCATTGTCGTCATGATTTCGTGATAGTAGACGGGATGGATACCTGATTGCATCTTACAGATTAAAAATCAATTTTCAGAGTTAATTTTAGATTCTTATCTATTAAGATAATTTTTATCATTGGTTTGATAACATAATAATTATAACAAATTTAAATCTATTAAGAATCTTATTAGGCTGCTTTGAGAATCCTAAGAATCCTTCTAGATACTTCAATTTGACATTTAACTTTTTTATTTTTATCCAACAACATTTCTCTTGAACCTTTCAGCTAAATAAAACTGAAAGTTTTCAATTATAAAAGAGATTAAAGATATAGCAACACCTATTGAGTATAAATTGAAAACACTTGAAAGATGATTAAGATTTAGAATTTTCGGTCCCTTTTTTTCTTTCACTTCCATCCGATATTGAAGTTTTAGAAAATTTTCAATCCAATGTTTGATGATGCCTGAAGCAATTAGTTGACTTAGCTTTTCATTGATTGCTTCTATCAAATAGAAATGCTTTGAGAAATAAATGACGATATTGTCAACACGCATTGGTTCTTTTAATATTTTATGCGTGAAGTCATTAAAATGACGTTTGTTAGAAGCAATTACTTCAACGAGGGGCATCATGATGACTGCTTTGTTAGATGACTTCAAAGGTTTGTCGAGAAACTTTTTAGTGTTGATAAATTTTACTCTGCTCAAAAACATGCAAAGAAATAAATTTAATTTCATTTGAATAATTACAGTAAAATATTTCTTACCGTTTTTGAATATTAGGATAATTTTCAAGAATATCAAAATGAGCTGAGTAGATAAAAAAGTCAAATCCTCTCTCATACATTTCGAATAAATTTTCTACATTTTTCTCTAACTCATGAGATTGTAAGAAAATAAATAAAGATCCTTGATATATGCTTCGTAGCACCAGACAGAAAAACGAAAACATTATGAACAAAAATCTTGCAAAGTTTCGCTTTGGGAGCTTTCGTTGTGAACTTCCTAGGATAATAATCGTTAAATTTACGACTGGGTTCTTTACTTGATGTCCATAAACAAAACTTCGTAACCCTTTTAAATAAAAGTTGATGATTAAAATCACACACAAAGCTGTGACTAGAATTATTGATAATAATATCCAAACTTCTATGCTGTAAGGTTGCAGAAGCTTCTTAAACCCACTCAACTCTTCTCCTGGTGGAATTATAAACATCAATGGTAAACTATTATAAGAAATACTGTGATCTAGAATTTCGATACGGTTTGCTTTCAAAAAATAGTTTCCTATTCCAATTTCGGCATTCTTATTGACAAGCTCTCCCAAGGCACCAGTCACTGTGCCGTTTTTTGCTACCATCCCCCAAGGCTCAAATGTATCCAAAAATGTTATGTTAGGATGAAAGTTCATCGATCTCGACAACCCATACAATATATCAATATCACTTCCTTTCAGATCAAACCTACCGTCACTCTCATTGACTTTAAATATAGAAAAACTGTCTTCGAATGTTATAACTTTAATGGAACAATTCTGAAGATTTCTAAACTTATTAGGAAATAAATTAAAAGTTTTAAATTCATTATTATTAAATGTCTCAATTAACACAGGTTGCGTGTTGCCACAACTTTTGTTGGAATTAAAAGGCATGAACGTGTACAAGGAAATTTTCCCACAATTATCAATAACAACGTCAACATTATAAATATTTTTCTTGAACATTGCTGTGAAAATTTCTTCAAGATCACTTGACGAACTTTCTATTAAAGATATCAAAAAGAATCCTTTAAAATCAAAGAGACTAGGAAGTAAATTGCTTTCAAATGTTCTGAATGAACTAATTTCACTTAACAAAATAATGTTTTGTGTCCTTAGACTTTCAGCTTGTTTCGTGATATTTCCGCAATCACTCAACTGAATTGAACGTTTTTCTTCATTTGAAGTGAGAACATCGTTAACTAAGTCGTTTAATATATTTTTCATTCTTTGATTCGAAGAGAATAAAATGTTTACAGTTGGCCAGTCTCTTTGAAATTGTTTCTCAGCGATGAATTTTATTGCCGAGATGAGATTTGCTTCGCTCCCTTTATTGATTGAGATTCCTTTAAACGCTTCAGTTATTGCAAAGCACAGTAACAATATAAGATGTGACTTTCTTGGACACATTTTGTCGAATGATTTTTATGTTTAAGCTTATAATTAACTTCTACCAACAAAGTTGTCTAGACAAATAACATGTTGCACAATAATTTGGTAACGTTTATTGTTCTTAAGAGAATGTTGAAAACAGTTTATGATGTTATCTTTAATTTGTTGAATAATCGAATGTAGATAATTTTAATTATTTCTTACCGATAGATTTTAATTACAGGAATGACAGTCGACTTTTTATTGACATTTGAAAATCCCAAATTTTATGCTCGATGAATATGAAGATTAGTATCAAATAGTTAATGAATAGTTATTGTCGATCTAATTAAAATAACTTCTGATTAACATTTGGTAATGAATTTATTGAATATTCATTCATTTGGCTTTCGATTTTTGTTCTCCGTGGATGTTTACAAGCAGTTTAATTTACTGATATGGAAAATGCTTCCGAGAAATCAAAAAACATTCACGTTTATTTTTGTCTCTTTACACAAATTATGGCAAACCTATTTTGAGGTTTCCTTTTGCGATCTTGACGAAAGCATTCAACTATTCAACAGTCACTTACGTACATGAGAAATAATCTTAGTAATAAAAAATAATAAAATAATTTGATCAAATATATATGCTTCAAGAAATCAAATAAAAGTAAATAAAATGTGATTTAAGATTTTCTTCCTCAAAGGTCGCTGAACTTACGTGAGGATTTTTTTTCTTCTTTTTTAAAAAATTGAATTTTGAATGATGTGATTTGTCGCATCATGAAACAGCAGATGTGTTGACGTAAAACGCTTATGAAAACTTTTAAAGCTTCATGAAAAAAATCAATGTTCCTTTATTCGGAAGAATATTTACTGCAATATATAAGTATTCACAATGGAAGGTTCAATGAAATGTATTTTATATACTTTTATGATATAAGAAAGAAATTGTTAGGTAGATAACAATGCCTGAGGTGGATAAGAATCAGCATTCGTTTATTACGCTGTCACACTCGAACATTTTCCTTGCTAGAATTTCCCTTCAAAAATGTTTTTCCTTCAATGAAAATAGGAAGTTAACTTATCAAATAAACGATGTCAAAATTATTCTCGTAAGTATCTAAATATCTAATGAAAAACGACAACAAACATTTCATAACATTTGATAATGTTACAAATCAAAAGTGATGACAACTTTAATGATTTTTGTTGTAGAAATGATGCCAATAAAACTTTTTTCCCACAATATTTTAAATGTTGATAATCATTTAGATGATCAAAAGTGTGAAAGCTTTTATACTTGAACTTTTTTATTCATATTTAATGGAAGCAATGTTGATTGATTAATTTTTGTGAATATTTATGGAGAACCGAATTACTTTTTATATCACTTCTTCTCAAACTTCTTCGCATGGAATCTTTACTTATGATACTAACTAAGACAGACTGAATGCTATTATGGACGGCGGAAGATTAAATATTCAACGTGCATGTCAAACATAAATATAAGAAATTCTTTTAACGAATGAGATATTCACATGAGGCATCTCTTACTGTTCACGTCAGAAAAAGGAAGCATGAATATTGAAATCACTTTTTGTATCAAGAACCAGCACATATGTAACATGAAAACCGAATAAAACTTTTTTTTATCATTCTGTTTAACAGTTTCTGTTATCGATGCGCAAAGAAATGTAATTAAATCAATGTGACATAAACAAAAAGATGTTTTGATAGCTCACGTTCGACCTATTTTCAAAGAAAGCACCAACTGTCATGATAAGACTTTGTAACTTAAAACTTTAGTAAAAAGAAAATTATTTCGGAACAATTAAGAAGAAAAACATTTAAAAATGAAATAATTTTTCTACTAGAAATGAAAAAAGACTTTCAACGTACTTAAATGTTTATAATAAATAGACACATTTGAAGAGAAAGGATTGATGGACTTCTCTCATTCATAAAAACTTCAAGTCATTTTCTATGGAAAAATCATCATCATTAGTGCTGCCAATCAAAAAACTTTGAATGTGTGATCCAGATTCAGAGACTTAACATGTAATAGGATTTTGGAAGTAGGTTGAACTCTAGCAGCTTAATTTTTTTTAAAAAATCTCGATCCTCGATGATGACATGCAAAAGCCTCAAAAACACGCAAAATAAATTTAGGTTTTGAAGAGATTCTTGCGGATAATACGACAAATATGATCATAAATCATGTGTGACACATTAACCTAAATTTAACTATAAAAGTATGATTCCTTATTTGATGTTTTCCTTTTCTCAACAAATAAAATTAACTATTTTTTTTATTGCGCGTAGATACCACATTGTTGAAAAATGAATATCGAGATGATTTGGCATCATCTAACTGGGAAATGGAGAATGGAGAATCATTATATATTTACCATGTCTGTATTATACGGCACATTTTATAATCTAAATGAGTTTGAGTTTTGCAATTTAGAAATGCCATAAAACTAGACTGCATCAACGGCATTGTCATGCTATGATATTTATCAAGTTGAGCTTCAAGACATTTCAATTTAAATTAAAATCATGGTGTATGTGATGGAAGCGCAACCTGATTATATTTTCAAATAAAATGAAAAATTTGAACAAACATTCTGGGGAATTGTTTTTAATCCAATCATGAAACGTGTGAACATACTTACTTGTTTGAAAACATTGTATGATGCTGAAACTTTTGCTGTTTAGGGTCCTCCAATTTTTATTGCTGCTGTCTACTTTGGTGCGGTTGGTGACTAGGAAAACTCTAGTTTTGATGACAAAACTTTATACTTACCTACATATAATTTAAGCATCGAAACATGCTTAATGTTTGTAAGAATGTTTTACTTAAAAAAAGTGGAAATATGTAGTAAACTTTATCTTAATGTGTGTCACTCTAGACAAAGTAGAATTATTGCTTGTATATGATAAAAGACGTAATATAGTCTTTCCTAATGATTTTCCCTGCAAATGACTATCATTGTAAGCAGGTTAATTGGATATGTATAAGCTTAATGAATTCACTCTCTTATCCGCCTACTTCATACAGATGAATGAAGTCGAGATGAATAGTTGAAAAACCTTGTAAAAGGAAAAGTAAATTCTCAATTCAAACAGCACTTATTCTCATTTTTTTGGCACGTACCGCTGCCAAATCGATATGTGGGTCAATCGAAAGCTTCGAATAAGAATGAAAGATTCAGGCAAAAAAATGTCCATATTAAAGTAGATATTTGACACAAAATTTTATCTAAAGTTTTGGCGTGTCAAAGCATACACGTTTATTTACTTAGGTCACTTAGTTCAATGTTGACCTTATCGATGAATATAGAAAAGCTCACTAAAGTTATCAACAGTTATTTTTGATATGTATGTAAGGAGGTCAAGATTTTTCATGCGTGCATAAATAAATGTAGTCTGGCTTTGTCAGAATTCTCGATAAAATTGAGTTTCATGCCTGAGCTTTAAAAGAATAAACGTAGCAAGTAACGACAACCCACATTTGATGTGCGTGCTTTTCCATAAAATGTATCGTGTTACTTTATTGGTCATCCGGCTCTCTCTCTATAACACATAATCAAGAATGTATACAAATCGACAGTCTTTTCCGCCTTTTTCCTTTTCAAGCAGGTCAAGGTTTGTCAAAAACATTCGTAGAAAATATTTTCACATACATTTAGATATTTATTTGGTAGGTAATCCAATAAATTCTAAGAATCTAATGAATGCTTTTAAATATTTAGAGTGATTTATGATTTTCCTTCCGCAAGAATCTCTTTGCACTTGAAACTTAATGTATTGGAACTAATTGGCAACAGGAAATATTTTTTGTCTCCTTGAGGAAAGTGTGTTTGGAAAGCATTCCATGCTTTTAACCCTTCTATATTTACAATGACCTTCTAAATGGTTTATGATTCATATATGAAGCTCTGAAATTTTGGAAACAATAAAAAGTTTAATAATGTGTATTAAGAATCTATCTCCAAGGATAACATTCAATCTCTCTTCGTTACGGTAAACATTGCGGAAGTATTTGAGACTTCATGTGTAGCGGATGGAATTTTTAACAGAGCCGACGTGTTGTGTGTACGAAAGGCTTAGTGATTTTTTTTTTGAAACTTTTTATCTTTCTAACGCATATTTGACCTATTTAAGAAAAATTTCAAGAATTCTTCGACAAGGGATTTTGCGTTTAAAAGGCGACCTATTTTCGACATGATATGCTGCTTGAACTTTAACAATATTTCAATGTTTATTAAAGGAACACATCACATACAATATGGAACGAAAGATAAATTTCTTTTTAAAGTTTTTTTTGTTGAGATTAACTTTCTCGATTTTGCGAAGTTACAATAAATCATGAGAACACGAATTCTACACAAGGCTGAATCTTCTCATCTTATTTTTGAAAAGATTTCATGTAAACAAAAACGCTCACAAATTTCACCCCGTCTTAAAGATTATCTAATGCCAAAATTTTAAAAAAAATTTCCAAGATTTCAAAAGCCAGAGGGAATATAAGATAATTTCAAGATGACACAATTTTTACGCTTTCTTTATCACGCTTTTGTTCATTATTAAAAATGGGAAGCTTTCAATGTTTCGTAGACAAAAACAGTCTTAATCTTTCTTTATTGAGGTCAGGGTTTTTTAAATTGGACAAAACATAAAAGAAAAAGAAAATAATCAAGAACTCATTTGGAAGAAGTCATCGTAAACAATTAAGACCTAAATTTGTTCCATTATTTGCAGAAATTTGAATGTGTGGGCGTACAAATGTATTGTATTATGGTCATTCCTTCGTCAAATATTAATTAAGATTTTATGCTATGAACATAAACGTGCAAAGCGATAATAAAATAAGGAAGAATTTGTTGTTTCTCTTAGAACCATGAACGAGGGAGTCTTCCGCACTAAAATTAGAATTTGTGATAACGGAAATTATTTATTTTATGGAAGAAGATGATTCGTGTTCGTTGACCTTTTCTTTCACAACTCTTCTGAGCTTCATCAAGACAAAAAAAAGAAGATAAAAATTTGATGGAAATTTCTATATTTAATGAGCTTTTAAGAGACAGCACACTCCTTAGAGCGATTAAAAAGTGATCTAAGCTACCAACAGTTTTGGAAAGAAATGATGATAAATTACACAAGCAATGTTATGACACTTCAAACACTTGAAAAACATCATATGAAAGTTCTCGCTTGACACTAGTCAATGTAAATAACAACAAACACAAATATTTTACATCAACTGTGACCTGAAAATCTGTAGATGACAGACAACAAACAGCTTTGTATGTAACTACAATGCAGCAGAACATTAAATCTACATAAAGTAAATAACAAATTTCCTCTTAGTCTTATCCACATGGATCTATACATTTATGGGCAAGGATTTTATTGCATAGATGGTTGATAAATATTTTAAAAGTTTTACATCATTTTCTATCAGTTGAATTCGGTGGAAAGTGATATAAAGTAATCATGATCATGCAATGAACATTCTGAAAGAAATCTTGCATTTATCGTTGAAATAAATAATAACACGAATTTTGATCCCATCACTTTTGATTGACGGTTTGTGACAGTTGATCATCTGAACAGGTTCACATAGATTAAAATTATATAACGTCGAGCTTTCTCATTCCTCTTCTCATTCAAGTTTTAATGTGAAAGCATATCTGGAAGAAATTCGAACAATGAACAATATTGTGGAAATAATTATTCCTAAATTCAAGAGAAATTGTTTGTTTGAAATTGATTTCTTGTTCCTTGGCCTATCAGGATGTTCTCCAAGGCATATGTTAAATTTCAAGATATTTGTGGTATTATTTCTTGGAATAATATTACAAATTCTTCCAGGAATTCTATTTTTGATTAAACATTCAGATGATATTCAAGAAATGCTGATGTGTGGCTACGAGTTCTTAACTTTCATTATAACAATTCTTAAAATTTTCATGTTGTTCATTTTTCGTAGTAAAACTGTGTCAGTTGTAGATGATCTAAAGTACATTTGGAGTCAATGTAAGATTGGAATAAATATTTATCGTTTATGCTTGTAATGCCATTAAGAAACATTTTATTTTAAAGCTTTTAGAAGTTCGAACTCTCGTTGGGCAGATGCTGGAATGAAAGTGGAACACATCAGTTTCATGTACACTAGAAACATGTACATTTTAATTTTTGTTGCAACTTTCGTTTATACAATTTTTCCCATTGTAATTTATTTTTTATTTACTGATCATGACGATGCCAACAACACTCAATGGCCGCTGCCAATAGCAGTGCAGTAAGTTGGTTCACTTTCTAACTAAATAAAAATATTCTTTACAATTTCTTCTTTTTTCAGCTATGGAATTAATTTTTCTCATTATCCATTGATTTATGTTTTAGTTCTTATTGTTCTGATCCCACAATGTTGGATATTTATTAACGCGTGTTATGGAATTGAAATATTTTTCATCAATTTATTGTTATTTTGCTTTTCATACTTTCGATTCATAAATTTTGAGATAAAAAGGTTGAGAAAGGATATGAAATGTTTCTTAACAAAAGATGTGGATATTGTTAAGAGAATATTGAACATTGTTGTCATTCATAACAAAGGAATCGCAATATCCAAGAAGATTGAAGAAATTTTAAATTTACTCATGTTAGTTTTATATGTTGTCAACACTTTCATTTTGGGATTCTTGTTTTTGGAGTTTCATGTGGTAAGTATGGTGATTAATGTCATTTTAATCATTAATCAATATTATGATCATCAAAAAATTATTCACGAAAGGTTTCATGAAATTAAGAAAGTTCCTTTTACATCCTTCACTTTCATTAACTCAAATCGATTAAGTGACATAGAACAGAAAAAAAAAACTTTTATATTTATATAGGTACCTACTTGAAGACATTTTTGTGTTTCTTTTTAGATTGTAAACGACACCATGAATTTTGTAAAAGTATTGATTGCATTCATTGTCATTCACTTGATTCTTTTTATATTCTCATACCTTGGAACTAAACTAATGGATGAGGTAGATAAATAATTTAATTTTAAGAATTAATAAATTTATATGTATGAAAATATTTGAAGAGCGATGCTATTGGCTTGGCAATCTACGACTTACCATGGTATCAAATCAAAAATTATGATGCAAGAAAATATTTGTTATTGACACTACTTCGATCGCAAAGGCCAATCAAAATCACAGCAGGAAAGTTTTTCCCTGTGAATCTGCAGTCATACTTTGGAGCTTTGAAAGCTGCTTACGCATACTGCACCGTATTGTTGGAGGCAATATAATTTATTTATAAACATTATATTGAAAATAAAAATAAATATTAAATGTTTGATGTTTCAATGTCATTTTAAATTTTTCAATTTAAAACTTTATTAAAAACAGGATAATTTGAAAATATTTTAATAGAAATTGACAACAGAATCAAGAAAAAAATCATTCAAGAACTCCTTTTCTATCAAAATAGTAAAGCAAAAATCGCAATCTGTCTTTCAACATAAAATTTTTGAATAACTCTTTTCGAATCATTAATGAATCTTCTGTCTCTTCTACAAATGCACTCATGTCCTTGAGTAAAGCAGGAGCTGCAAATCGTATTGGAAGAAGGAGACATGAATAAACAAATCCAATGACTCCGCATTTTAAAAAAAAGTTGTGAACTTGAATAAGGGATGGAATGGGTTGAGAGTAATTGAGTTTGATTAAATTTGCATGTAAATTTTGTTGATAGAACTGCAATAGAATGTCAATTTCGTAGTCTTTTATATCATTCGATGAAGATGTGAAGATTAGATAAGATAAATCAATTCCTGGCGATCCGAAATAACTCAAACCGAAATCAGACTGGAAGCAAATTGCAGTATAAGTAAGTAGTTTTGTTTTTAATTAAAAAACTTACAAATGAAACATCGTTTGGTTGACCTGTCTCTTCGTCATATTCAAACAGTAAATTATTCATCCACAAATCTCCATGGCAAAGAACGTAAAAATCGTCTGGTGGCAATAAAAATGCTTCTGTGCTTTTATCAAACATATTTTTTTCAAAGTTCTCAAGCTTTCTTCCAAGTCTCTTCTCATCTTCATCTTTGCTATTAATCATCTCTTCAATCAATGCTTGCATGCAATTAGAGAAAAGAGAGTAAAAGATTTTTGAAGATTCACTTATGTTTGGTTCTTGATGATGGGGAAATGTTTCATCCTTCTCGGTAGAAAGAACAGCAGAAGTTGCATGAAGTTTTGCTAACTTTTCCAAAGTTAATTTTAAATGAGTCATGTCTAAGCCACGTTTTCTATCAACTTTGATGTATTTTTTTGTTGAAAGTTCCTCAAGTAAAATGTATTTTGGTTTTGGACGATTGTTAGCGACGCAAATTGTTCTGCAACGAGAATTACTTAACATTGGATAAAAAAATGAACCTTGATTTACTTTTCAGTAAGCTTCGTGTTATCGTCAACTGATAATAATAATTCTTCAAGTTTTGGCAAAACATCTTGATGAAAGAACAATTCTCTTTTGAATGGATCGTACTTTTCTAAAGTTTCTTCAATGTATGGATTATAAAATGATATTTTTAAAGTAACATTTCTGCTCCTGAAATTGATTAAAATGTTTCAATTTTTAGACACTTATTAAAGAATTGAAATAACTTAATTATGTTCACTTTACTTACAAAAGCTCATTAGAGCTGTTTGTGTAATTTATTTCAAACTTGATAATGTCACACCAAAAATGTTTATTTCGATTTGAATCTTCATGAAGCACTTCGAAAGTTTTCAAAAAAATTGAATCATCTTTGAACTCCTGTCTCAAGGAATTTTCAAAGAAATAATTGTTAATCCATAAATATTTTTCAGTAATATTTCGAGACATCTGATGAAGTTGAAATTACCGAGGGAACTAAAGTAGATGGATTTTTTTTTTCATTCAATCGGAAATGTTTTTCTTATCAAGTTATCAGATAATGATTATGATTTAATAAATTATATCAGTAATGTCTTTGATAATAATTAAGTAACACTGATAATTCTATTTTAAGCCAGAAAAAAACATGCAATGGTTAACATAAAAAACATATAAAAATATTTATGATAATCATAAACTTTCTTTATGTAAATTCAACAATGTTCACTTTTTCATGAGCACGTTTTGTTTTTGAATATTTTCTCCCGCGATAATTTGAAACAAAAGCTGTGTACCCACTGATATGAATTCATGTCAACTCGTAGTTATGTGTTATTGATAAAGAATATATTGAAACAGTAGTTTTAAATCAAATTCCATTATTATCAAATGTTCTATAATATAAATCTCATAATCTCCTCTTTATCCATCTTTGTTGTTATTCAGTAATAAGTTTTGTAAATTCTTCCGGTATTTTTTTCCCAGACTTGAATTCATAAATAGAAAGAGATAGCTAAATAAACTGTCTCTCTCTCTCTCTCTCTTTTTTCCATGTTTACAAATTAATTGAAATTGGTGTCAATAGAAAATTTAAGTTTTTAATTGAATAGTACATCCTAAAACAATGGCAGAAATTTCAATCTCACCGAAAGCTTACATTAAAATGATATTTCATGCAGGTATTTGCAATATTTTAAGATCAACAGAGTAAAGTGTCAAAACTGAAAAATTAATAATCATTCCGGAATTTATTATATTTTCAGCTAAATATCCACACTTAGCTGTAAATGGATTACTACTGGGAGTGAAAGGGAATGAAAAATCAAAAGTTGAAGTAGTTGATGCTATTCCTCTGTTTCATCAATGTCTTTACGTTTCTCCTATGAGCGAGGTAGCTTTGGTACAAGTTGAGTCTCGAGCAAGTAGCGAGGGCCTTCAAATCATAGGATACTATGCTGCTGCAGAGAATTTCTATGACAATACAATTGAAAAAGCACCAGGACTGAAAATCGCTGAGAAAATTGTAGACACAAATGGGTCGGCTTATGTTATTATGGTATGTGGTCAAATAAAATAAAAATTTCTTTCCTAAGAAAATTCTCTTCTCACTAGATGGATAACAAATCAATATGCATGGACATGAAGCATCCAGGGATAAAATCATGGCAGTCAAATGATGGAAAATGGACGAAAGTTAAACATAATTTAATTGATTCGCGTCATACACTCGACGCTGTTTCACTTTTACTTCAACGAGGAGCGATGAAGGAAATTTATGATTTTGACAATTATCTTGATAATGTAGATGATTGGACGAACCAACATTTAAATGTTGATCTGAAACAAATTCTATCAATGCATTAATCAATTAATGTATTAATTTCTTTAGAGTGATTTAGTTTCATTTCTTAAGTCATCGATTTCATTTCAGACTCCTGTGTGTACGTATAATTATTTCCAGAAAACGTATCAAACCTTGGGACAGATTTATTCAAAGTTTTGGAAAGGGTTTGAGTCTATCATTAATATTGGTTTTATTATTAATTATTATAAAATATTTCTTATAATAATAAAAGACCGGTACATCTTGGTTGTTGTACAAGCTTAGAAATAAAGAGTTTGTTTGTGTTACTCCCTACTTATTGAACATGAACGGTCCGAAGTCTTTATTGAGTACCAGCACGTCTTTAATTATGTAATAATCTAATTTAAAAATTACTTTGAAACCTTTTTACCCCCGGCTATTAACACTCACACTTTCTTACGAATGAAAACAAAAGTTTTTAATTCCCAGTAAATTCCTTCATAAGAACTTCAAGCAGATTTATTTTTAAAATCGAAAGTTGCAAGTAAATATTTTGGCATTTAAACTACAGTTCGATTACAGAAGATATTAACTATTAAGTAGTGCTACTAATAGAGATAAACAAGATACTAATCACTGAATAATTCTAAACTGAAATATCAAAAATTTTAAGCTTAATCTTCGAAGGGCTTTTCTGGAAAAAGTTTTTAATGAAAGCTACAAATTGATACGCATATTATGGTTCAAAAATTATCCAAAAGAATGTGTTTGAAATGAATCATGATGATTCAGATTTTAAATTAAAAAGTTACTTAGTAAACTTAATAAGATTACTTTAAAATAAACAATTCAAATTAGCTAAAATATTTCATCAAAAACTTAATCTTGAAATTCTCAGCATATTTGAAAAGTTATATAAAGCATTATATCATAGCTATTTCATGTTAAAGCTATTTATCTTGTGATTGAGAATATGTAGTAAAACAAATGTGTAAACAAGTCTTAAATGGAATGAAGAGCACAATTTCATTAAAATTCTTTAGAATAAATTTTAGTCAGTAGAATGCAGTAACGATTAAGCTTTAAATTGAATTTAAAATAATAAAGCTTTGAAGTTCACTTCTGATACATTTTGTTATATTTATAAGAGATTTTTAAGACCGCTTGACACACGTAGTCACATCTTCTGTTATGTAGCGTGAGCGGCTCAGTCGATTGAAAACTTTTATAGTGAACGGGCGTATATATCATACTAAAAATAATAAAAGGAGCTTTTTCGGAGTTAAAAAGTGTCCTAATAGTTCTTCATCAATAATCGTTCATCAGTTAATACAAAAAAAAGGTTTTGTGAAGTGAGGATTAATAGTTGAAATATTTTAGTGTTAAATGTTACATCATAAAACTTGAGCGGGTCTTTGAGTTACAAATCATCAAAATATAAATTCCATATAATTAAAAATTACTTCATTGAAGAATTCCTTTAATGGATACAAAAATTAATCAGTGCCGTAAAATATTACTAAGAATAATAGTAAGAGAAATTTCCAGACGAAAGTACAAAGAACCTTCAAAGATTCGTTGGTTCTTCGAAAAATTTTCAACTTGTAGCTGCGCCTCGAATGTACTTACATTGAGCTTTGATTGAATAATGAGATACTCATAATTCATACTTGATTTCTTCTGTGTGATCTGTGATAATTTGATAAGAAAAAAGTGGTTTATTTTCTGGTCAATCAAAACCCGAGCGAAGATTTATTGCATCATTGAAACTGTATCTGTAGTTCCTTTTTAAGAAGAAATTTTAATATGTGTTTGCAAAATGAATCTAAAAATTCTTTTTTTATAAGATTCATACTTATCGACAATTTGTAAAGCGTTAGTCAGCTTTCCGAAATTCCATTTGCGTAAAGAAACTTAATGAATCATGCTTCCGAACGTGTTTTACTGATTCATTTGCAGGTCACAACTATTCGCTCCTTTTTTAAAATAATTTGCTACTTGTTTACGTCTCATTGTCAGATGTTTCGAATTTCTATTGAAAATTTTACTTCTAGCAAAGGGCGAATTGACGAATAATCAATCTCAAATCAATGTAAAATAATAAAAATAATCTAAATCAAGATAAACAATTTGAAAATATTTTGTTAATTAATTAATTTAAAAAAGTAATTAAGTTTCTGTAAAAGTTCATTTCATTGTAATATCGATTTTAAATGCACAGCATAGTCTACGAATTCAAAGACCTTTAATCAAGTTCACGTGCTTTACAACTGACGACGAGCTTTTTACTCTTATAAATGTTTCAACAACTTTTTCTAGTGAAAACAACTTGCTATTGCTTTGCTCGTGCCATCACAGTATTATTTGATTAAATTTACAATTGAAACTATTTAAAATCGAGGACATTTGCGCAAAAAAAGACATTTAGAAAGCTGAAAATGATAATCAAATTAACGGTGTCGTTAGTGTTGATTTTTGAACTGATTAACATTTCAATATCTACTAATGTGCATCAATCAGTTCAAACTAAAGGAAATAATCATCAAGTACGAGGACAGCTTAAAAGGAGATTACTGCCAGATGTAACATATCTTTTAAAAGTTAGTAATAATGGAAATCAACAAAAATTCCTTCGTTTGATGAATATGATTGAGGTCGATGACTCCACAAAAGTCGATGGCAAGTATTTGGTTTATAAATTATACGCAGGGATGAGAATTAAGTATTAACTTGTCAGAAATTTAAAGTTAAATCAGAATTTAAAAGTTTAGTTAATTGTTGAAGCTTCACATTGGAAATCATGAGAAAATATCAAAACAAGTTCCCATCCCTGTTTATATCATAACTATCGGATTTATTTATTTCTTTCACCTACTTCTGTTTAATTCATCAATCAATAAATTGTTGTTTTGAGGAAATTACCATGAGAGAAATAAATTTGAGAAGACTTACAAGTATCATGAAAACAAGTCGTAAACAAAACTGCTTCATTATTATTACAGACACACCTTTCACAATAATAATTCCTCATTTTGATGATACAACTTTAAAAGAGAACAAAACAGCGTTGACCGAATTCATTTATGAACATGTTATTCCTGGAGTTCAAGTGAAAACATTAGAAACCGGAGATAGTTATGAAAATTTAAACAACAAAACCATAACCATCAGACACTTATTCTCGGGAAAATGGACCGTGAATGATGAAAACGTACTTAGATTCAATAGTATGTCGGCAAAATTAATCTCATTTATTGAAATTGACGGCAATTTAACTAACCACAACAGTGATATTGAACAACCTAGAAGTCAACAATATAATCAGTAAGTTAAACTTGTAAAACCGCATGTTGTTCCTCTAGTTTCATGAAATGAAGAAACTTTCAATTAACAGATACAATACACCAGAAAAACTTGTTCAACCTCATGTTAATAAATCAGATTCATCGACAAGAGAAGCGAATGCAAATTACTTGCATAAATATTTGTCCAACATGGAATCACGCACAAGAATTTTTCAACATTTTCTCTCCAACAGTAATTTGTCAAAGATTTTTGATGGTAATGCGAAGAATTTATTTGATGAAATGGTTTTGTTATGTTTATGATTGAATTATTCCAGATACAGCATTTTCTTATATCATTTTCATTCCATCTGACAATGCATTTCAAAGATGGCATCCAATTGACTGGGGTTTTTATCCATTCAGTGTTCCCGAATTCACAGAAAAGATTTTAAGCAATCACATCGTTGAACAGAAGCAGCCAGTGAAGGTTCAAGAAAAAGATCAAAAACTGAGAACACTTGGTGGAGAATATCTGACTTTTAAGAGTGAACGTAAAATTATTCTCACATTTATTTCTTTTCAAATCCAATCTAAGATTTTATTTTATTTTCAGCAAATCCATGTGTCAACAATATTTCTGTAATTTCAAATGCAACACTTCCAAATGGAAATCAAATTTTCATCATTTCCGAAGTTCTCTTCATGTCAGATTCAATTGTTTCAAAGCTTCATCAACAAAATAAAGACAAAGAGACTCCACCGTTATTGGCTTTTCCTTGGTTTGGATCGCAATTTTTATCGCATTCTTTCTTGACTCTTGAACGTGACAGTCGATTTACACAAATCACAAGGTTTGTTCATGATCAGAAGTTTTTCATTTCTAAATTTAATCATTGAAAATTCTTTCTTTAAGATTGTTAAGTAGTACAGAAATTGCTCCATCAATCGTTGCATCTAATTACACATTTTTCGTTCCATTCGACGATGCTTTTGAGAAATATGGATTCGATCTTTTACCCGACGAGGTTTTGAGTTCTGAAAAGGGAGTTAAGTTGGTTTTGAATCATTTTGTGAAGGGACGGCTGTATGATCGAGACTTGACTGATAAAAAGGTTCTTAAAACAGTTGGTGGAGATACTTTGAATATAACAAGAGATGCAAATGGAACTGTTACAGTTAATGACGCAAAAATAATTGAATCGGAAGTATTTGTGTATAACTTGGGCACAATGTTCTATATCGACGATGTTCTTTATCCAAATTTACTCAAGAAGGAGCTAAATGAATTGCAACATACCACAACGAGTGACAAAAACAGTGACAATGCAAGCGTAGAAGATTTTTTTACGACTGAAATTTCAATCAGTGAAAGTCGTGAAAAATCTTCAACAACATCAAAGCATGAAGAATTCTCTACATCATCACATAGAGAAGAAATGTCGCCGCCACAACGTCGAACGATGCTTTCTGCTTTATTAGTCACAGAACCAGAAGCAGAATACATTTCAAGAACGATTTCACGCTCAGCTGAAGAATTTATTGAAGGAGCTGATGAAAGCCAAGAGATGCGCCATGAGATGCGAAGACCGATGAGATTGAGAGCGCCTTGCAACACACCTAAATAAATTTAGATGAAATAAGATAAAAGATATTCTTCCTTTCTTTCAAATTTGATGATAATCTCTTAAAAAATATCTCATAAAATTTTAATCTTTTCAAACTTTCACTTTTTCTATCGCCTTCTTTATAATTTTGTAAGAAATACTCGATTAACTTCATTTTTCCTTTAAACTTTTTTTATATTTCTTATTGTAAAATTGTTATTTGGAACAAACAACTCAATAGTTTTATTTTATGTTTATATTGGCAATTCATACAATTTAGAATAAATAAATAATTGGAACATATCATTTGAATATCTAAAACATTAAATTTCTTTTTATTATACTTTATGATTTATTTCACATTTATTCAATAAATTATTCTTTACTGTTCCTAATTCCTTTTATTTCGCTTATTATTATCGCTTATTATTGATCATAAATTATTAATGAGAATGAATAAAGTTGAAATACTCCATTGATAATCTTAATAATTATTATTATCTTATCTACAGAGATGGGCAAATGTTCCGTTCAACTCGATTGACTGACTGACTGACATGTCAATGTCTTTCAGTCAGTCAGTCAGTCAGTCAAAATCGCGAACAAAAATATTCGCTTGTTGGGACACGTTCATATAAATGTTCCGCTCAAGTCGTTTGACTGACTGAGTGACAAGTCAATGTCTGTCAGTCAGTCAGTCAAATCCCAACTCTGCTTATCTAGATTGACTTCATTAGTAATGAAATTTTTTTATAGAATTTATAGCTTCCCCTTCATTTGTTAAGATAATTCAATACTTTGTTGATATTTGAATAGAAAGGGCTAAATTCAGTTAAAACTTAATTAATACGAACGAAAGTTCATGTCACCACCATTCAATAAAAGAAGTAATAATTGAGATAATTTCTTTGATTGATTTATTGACGAGAAATGTCTCCGGAAATATCATTTTCAGTTCTCAGTTTGCAAGTAATCTAATTTTAAAAATCTTGTCTTAAATGTAAACATGTTTTCGTTGTTGAAAACAAAATAATCAATGAAAGTGTCAGTAACTTCCTCGACAATTGACAGCTAATCTAACATTAATAAACAAAACCCAATTTGATTCTCTCTGGTTGAGAAGAGAGTAAGCGACAGCTGTTCACCCGATGTGCTACATTGCGAATGCGCAAAATCTCTTGAAATCTCGATCTATAACAACACTCTCTATGTTGCCTAGGTAGTTTCATGTTTTTATAGCAGAATATCAAGCCATATGCTCAGTCAGAACTGAACACAAATAGTTACTTTTCTCTTTCCGGTTTAAGGAATTAAGAACTTGAATCGGGATTTCAGTTATTTTCGAGCTTTCGTGGATAAAAAACGTGTTAAATATTCATTCTGATTTAATATTAAAAAAACATTGCTGATATTTTTATTTCATTCATTCATTTTTTCTCTTATAAGACGAAGGTTTTTTCTGCCGCAGAGAAGGAGAAGAAGAAAAGGAGTTGAAAAAATAAATATTCAGAAAATAAGCATCAAAATTTTAAGACAAAGGAAGAGTTGAAGAAATTGATTGAAGTGTGAGACATAAAACTCAAATTTATGAGTTGCTTTAACTAAAACGTCATTGCAAAGGGGAGGATTTAGTGAAAATATTAATGATACATAAAATAAAAGTGATGATAAATAGCTAGGAGGAAGCCACAATGAATGAAAGAGTTATCGGAGGTCGAGGTCATAAAATTAGTCCGATTACAAAAGGAACATCAAAAATAGCATACAACGTTGGCTCGTGTCCCAAAATCGATACAAATGATCCCGACAATTATTTGAGTTTTGGAACTTTTCTTCCCTCAAACGGTAATTTATTTCTCAGATTATTATTTATAGCTTCGAATACAATTTTAAGCGTCCCAAATCAATAAATTTGACTGTTTTTTGGAGAAAGAGTCAATAGCATAATAAATTTGAACACGACACATAATACAATTGAAAATACTTTCACGTGAGAAAAATGTTGAGCGATGGTTTGGTGCTTGATTCGTTTGTTTGTCGAAAAAGCTTATGAATAAAATTGCTTAAGCTTTTTTCGTATTTAACACGATTATAATAACAACGATAAATGGTCCCATAATTTTATTTAAAATATGCAGGTCAAGGTCAAGTGTTTACGTAGATTAAGGTGATGAACAGAGATTTCAAGGTGCAAAAAGCTGACGTGTTTAGAGAAAATTGTTTGCTTTAATCTATATAGAGAATGACATGTAAATAGCATTAAACACTTATGTAGATATTTAAAATTAGTTTAATGCTTCGAAGCTTTATTTACAATTCATGAAGCTTTAAAGTCATCCAACAATAAAATTGTTCATGTGACTGCTTTCAAATGCATAAAAATGAATGTTTTAGTGTGAATGAAGTCACATAAGCACATTATCACTATTGTGAGACACATAAGTAAAATGTTTTAGAAGTGAAAAACTTTAGATGAGATGACAAATTTTTTTTCTCCTCGTGTAACATAAAATTTTACTAACTTCTATTTTTATCCCTCACAACAAATGATGAAGAAAGAAAATGAAACGATTAAATTCACACATGAAACAACCATCGTCGTTTGTTTTTTTTTGAAAAAATGAGACGAGTTTCTTATTAGATATGTGAAAATTGGCGATTTCTCTCGTCAATCTCAATTCATGAATGCAAAGAAGAGACAACGTACCCTTCGACGAGATTTAAATAATTTAAAAATTTCTCACCATTTCTAAGTAGTCGTTCGGTAATCTTCAAAGGAAGAATCTCCGCAAGTTTCGGGAAAGTAATTTTGAAGAAATAAAATATTCATTTGAAGTATATAAAATTTAATATTTTTGAAAGTGAAAGTCCAGATCAAATCATAAAGAATGAATTTGATGTTTCGAAAGAATTTCCGTGAAGGAGGTTCGAGTGCATCCAAATCAAGCGCAACAAAATTAACTAAAACGAATCGTACTGGTAAAAGATCTCGTGATATGAGCTACAGCGGACCAAGCACTGATGAGTCTTTTACGCAATATCGAACACATCTCTTCTTCAATGCTAATCGGTCCGGTTATCAGGACGACAATGGAGGTTTTTGAAAAATTTGTCATTTAGTTACCGCACACGTAGTTATTGAGCTTCAACCTAATTTTTTCCAATTTTCAATACATTTAGTTGCGTGAAAAAATGCTCAAAAAATGAATGCTGATATATTCTACAAGCATACTTACTTAAGTAGAATGCGCGAGTGGGTTGAACGTGAGATATCATAGTAGATTTAAAATCTTAAATTTTCAACAGATTAAAGACGTAGCTTCTTTGAGCTGAAACAAAATAATTATTAAAATAGCGTAAATAAATATTTGGTTGTGACACAGAATGCTTGAAGTTCATGTATTTTTAAATATCAACCTTAATTCAAGATTCTAAATTTAATTAATGACTAAATTTATGGCATTTGAAAGCATACATAGATGCAGTTCAATTAATTTGAGTTCAAAAGAAAAGCAATACTTTGATATGTTTCAAATAAAATACTTAATTATAGTAGAAACTTACTCATTCCTTGACATAAAGATAGTTCAAGTTTTTCTTTTTCAACGACTTTCATAAAAAGAAAATTAGAAAATTTCTAAGAAAGACGAAAATAGAGAAATTTTCTTCACTTTTGCTTCCGAAATGGAGTTTTCTTCTTATAACAATTTTCATTTGTGGCAATTTCATGAGAAAATCTCTGTCGATAGTTTAAAGAAAAATATTTCCTACCAAGAATAGCTAAATTGTAGATAAATATTCTCATTAATTCACGCATTTGTCTCACAAAATCAAATATTTAAATACATAAATGTTAAAAAGATAAATAAGAATCAGAAACTAAATTAATTCTGACATGATTTCATTGTTCTGTCTTGATATCAACCAACATCTTTTCCTGTTTTTCTATTTATCATTGTTGTAAGATAAAGCACTGTTCTTTTTACAAAATTGTCTTGTTTGTTGACAGCTCTGTTACCACCTCTGTTGTTTCTTAGTTTCATGTTGCGAAACCTTCATCATAAAATCCTAATGTCAAATTTTTCGAATCCTTGCCAATCCAAAGCCTATGTTGAAGTGTACAAAAGAGATACACTCAAATGAAATTTTTCAGAGTTACGATGTAGTGCCATATCTTCACCTATCTCACCCAGCATTGAGCATACGAACATCATTCCTGCATCCAATGTTATTGAGCACGGAGATTTCCTGGATGCATACAGCACCTCTTACCAACCTCTCATACAAAGAAATTCAATGGGTAATATTAAATGGGATTGTGGAAATAATGATAGAAGTACTAGTGAAGCACAAACTCCTCAAGTAGTTACAGGCACAAAAGGTTTGACACCTTGTCCCCGAAAGAAATCCCCGATAAACTTTATTTAACAACTTTTTTCTTTATTTGGTTCTTGTGAATTTTAAATTTGATATCTAATGGATTTGTTAACAAATGTTTAGATATTCATGCTTGATCAGTCATTGCTTTCTAACAATTTAATTGGTTATTAGGCATCCTAATTTCTCATCGTATTAAATACTTTTTTAAATAACTTAACAAATATGATCGCTTGCTTTTTATTTATGTCCTACAAGTAGAAAGTCTGAACTCAAAATTGAGTATTTACGTGTAACTAAAACTTTTGTCTACGGCTATGAATGAAATTTGCATTAAAATTTCTTCAACCGAATGAAACGAATAAAAATGTTAACAGACAGATTAAATAAAAAGCAAGCATTGTTAGGTGTTTAGTTAGATATTTATATGAGACATGGCAAAGGACAAGAAAGAGTGATGATTGCGTCAAAGATTGAAATTTCAATGTCTTAAAAGCCCTGCAGTAGTAAAATTCATGTACAAGAGAAATAAATTGTGAGAGACACAACATGAGTCTTCCGCTAAATTTATTTACATTATTGAAGGGTAAAACGTTGCTGTGTACTTCACTTTATCATAAATAATTTTCGATATCAACTAAAGTTTTATTCAGTCTTCCATCAATCACCATCTTTTATTCACAAAGCATGTTTCAAGCCTACGTATATGAAAATAAGGAATAGCCTGGGAAATAACAGTTTAAAAACTGAATTCATTCTTTATAAACTTAGATGATTAAATATGTATACTTAATTGGAAATGACATGACAACTCTGGGAAAAGACAGGAAGCTTTAAACTTCATTGAGCTTTTAATGTTATGTGTTTTGAAATCAAAAGCCAAAGTCATGGCTCCATTTCAAATGATAATTTTTTCATCGGATGCTTCAGCATTCCGTCTTCTATCTCAATCACTTGAAATTATCTTGATGATGAGAATTGAATCATTCAACGATCAAACTTACTTTCTTATTTATTTTCCAATATCAATTTAAAGCTCTCTAGAACGAGATTCAAATTCTTTATTCTTGACTTAATTTTATTTCTTTCTTTCTTTTCTTTATTTGTGCTTGTTAATTTAGTTAGTTTTAGTGGACAAAAAAATGGCACTGCCACAGGAGCTTTCGTTTCTTCTCGAAGCGAACCTATTTCGTTATCAACGCTTGATCGCGATTGTTTTATAATTCCTGTTCGGAGCTTAGAGAGATTTATGCCAGCTGGAATATCCGTGAGAATTTTTTTTAATTTTCTTAATTCTCTTATCGGATTAATTTATTTTCATCTACAGTTGCCTGCAGCTGCACCAGAAACCAAAGATCCAACATACAAAGCCAGTTCCTTATCAGTACTTGAAGTTTCTGATCCTAAAATATGCATTCTCGCACACCTAATGAGTCCATTGGAGCCACTTGACCCACTTTTAGAATCCCCGCTTTCACATCCACTTTTAAAGCAGAGAGCTGTAGCATCTGAGTTATTACACGAGGTTAATACACAAAATATTGTTTTCGCAGATAATTTCTTCATACTTTGTAATCTTGTATTAGATTCAACAGGGAAACAATGCATCTGGTGGAATGTTACTAGCGAATATGGAACGACATGGTATTGAATATCAATTAAATATCTATCAAGTTGTAATTATAAATGTTGTTATTGGTAATTTAGCGGAATTTCCATTTATCGCTTATTATACTATCAACACAACGCAAACAGATCCTTCAACATTTTATTCGAATGTACGAGGTGCTTCTCTTACTAAGTTTGAACCAAAAAACACAAGATACACGGCAGCTCATACATTAGACATTTATAGTGAAGTTGCTTCTATTTGTCGACCTCCTTTGCTATTGGCACCAAGTGAACAAGCAAATTTAAAGAAAACTCCAACGACAGCTTACATTATTAGTGTATACAAGGTTTGTATTGATTTAGCAAAATAATGAATGCTTACAATCTATTTTATTTGTTGTAGGTTTTTGAAGGTGATGACGGTGAAAGATTTGAAAGAAATTGGCTATATTGGACAGGTGACAATTATTTCTATACAAATATTGATAGAGTAGAAGTTGCTAATTCCGGCTGGTTTTAATACCGTTTTTTTCGGTATCTTAAAACCGTCTTTGGATTTTTCATGTGAAAATAAGAAAATGTTTTCAACTTTTAGCTTTACATCTAGGCTTTATACTAAATTTAAAGCCTAGATGTAAAGATAAAAGTTGAAAACATTTTCTTATTTTCACATGAAAAATCCAAAGACGGTTTTAAGATACCGAAAAAAACGGTATTAAAACCAGCCGGAATTAGCAACTTCTACTCTATTAACTTTTTTTCTGTTAATAAAAAGGTGCTAGAATGTTATATCGATACCTGCCTCGCAACGCAGGTTTACGAAAAATTACGTTGCATAAATGTGAGATAATTTACAGAATGATCATTGAAAATTGCTAAAATTATTTAATTTTTTAGCTGTAGCAAAGACTGGTGACAAGATGTATCTTCTGATATGTGAATGCTCAGAACTTCTTAAAGATTTGTCAGCAGCTGCTTATTTAGTTCCGGCTATGAGGGCTCGACTATGTGGATATACAGCAATTTATAGGCCTATTCAAACTTTTTAATACTTTCGCCTTTTCTCAATCTATTAAATTTAACTGCGATATATTGTTAAGAAGACTATTTAGAATGAATAGAAAAGCTAATGACATTCTGCTCAGAAAACTCTTTTAAAAAATCTTAGATTGATATTAAAATCGCACGACATATCGACCAAAATATTTTCACTTTATAAACAGTTTTCAAATAATCAACTGCATCTGAAAAATGCTCAAACTTAAGAAGCTTTCTTAATACCTATTGCAATCAAAACTAAAATATATTAGAAACTTTAAAATATCTACATCAAAGACTTAAAAGTTTTCTAGTTTTTATTAAAATGATTCTCGTGTTCAAAAAACTATAAAAAAACAAAGAAAAGCAATACCAAATCATTTTAATAAATTTAATTATGAAATGTATTTTATAAGACGTTGATTTTTAGTCCAGAGTACGTTAATATTATTTAAGTTTGTCAACAGATTTGAGATAAATTAAGTAAATCGTTATTGGATTTTGTTTTCTTTGAGATTATTTTAAGTGAATTCATCAAATGAATTAATATTTTAGACATCTAAATAATAATATAAATATTTTAAGAGATTAATTCAATTGGATTATACGTACAAAGCTGTGATAATTAAATAGAATGAAAAATAAACAAAGCAAGTGCATAAAATTATGTTGCAGCGCTGGTTTATGTAGATTTGTGTAGTTTGCATGAAGCAGAAAAAAATGTAAAATTGTAAAAAGAAAACTTTTAGTTTAAAGTTTTGTGAAGATTTTTTTTTGAATCTCTGTTCGATATAAAAATGATTCACTTTAAATGTTAATTGTGGAATATCAGTGGTGTAAGAAAATTTGTCTGTAGATATTAAACTAAATTCAATTTCTAAATCAATTTCGCATGTCACTTACTTGGCGGCTTAAATTTTAGAAATGAAGAATAGTTAAATGCTTTTCTGATGTATCGATTTTTTCAATCTCAAGTTTCTTGCCTGAAGAGCTTTGAAAAATGCAAATAAAAAGATTTTTCTTTAATTGTTCTCCTTTTGTTTTTTAATTCTGATTTGAGAATCTTTTAAATTACAAATTTTATCATCATCATCAGGATTGGAGGGAAGAGACATTTCTCTTCCTTACAAATTTTATGTTTTCTATTATTAATTATATGAAAAACTTTTTTAAATATCTTCTAATATCCTTTATGACCTCTGAATCTTGTTCTATTGTCAAGCTGAAATAAAAAATAATTCAATTTAAAATATTGTTTTATTATTGAATAACAAACCTTACCAGAGAGCGTTTGCATTCAAAGAAAGTGTTTCGCAGTACTTGACATTCATTGGGAACTGATCCATCATGCATGTTGAGACATTCTTTTGGTGTTTTCTTATGCTAAATTAAATAAGTTAATTAATAATAACAAATGATGCAATTTTTCATTTATACTTACAAGTTTACAACAATCACTCTCAAGTAAACACATTTTAAGATCTGCCCTGACACCGGCACATGCAGATTTATCTACTAACTGATCATTGTCATATTTCATCATCTTGACTGTAAATTGAGATCAGAGAATTGTTTTCTAAAGAATTTGCTTTCCTTCCTGAAAGTTTCAAAATGTAAACATAATGAGAGGACCAAATTCAACTTTCAAATTTTAATGAACTTCGTTAATATTTTAAAAGCTTTTATTAAAGTTTTAACAAATTTTTATTGAATTTGATGATTAACTTGATCAAAGAGAGAATTTTTATGATCAGCGACATTAGGAGTAGTTTCATAAGTGCAAATGGTGACACCATGATGATGAGCTTCACTGAATTCTCCTTTCAGGCCGATGTAGTAAATTCTAGTTGGATCATCATTACGTCCGAAATTTACTGGGAAATGAAGTGATAAGTGATGAACAGAATGAAACTTCACAACTTGCGTATTGTATTCGATGGACCCTGTTAAATCTTTCTCCAATTCAAACTCTTGATCAGCATTTCCTGTGGCATCATCAAATGTCATTTTGGGACGATTTTTGAAGAGTCTCACTTTTTTGGGATGTGAATCATCGTTTGCTCCGATAACTCTAATTCCTTTTAGTTTAATGTTTCCACAAAATGGTATGTTAAATAACAATTCAGCATCACAATCAGACTCGACGAATGTCTCAAAATTTAATCTGTTTTCATAAGATTTGAAAACATTTTTAGCACTTTCATTTTCAGCTTCATTTAAGCATTCCAAATTATGCATATCGATTTTTTGATACAACGAATACTGCACTCCCATTTCCAGAGGATCGATTCCATCTGATTCATGTTCACAACTTCCATGAGAGTGAGAATGAGGCATTTTAAATTAGTGTTTTTTTTTTCTTGATATTTGCCGGGTGAACTTGCAAGTTTAGTCACAAAATTTATGTCTGCTGGGGTTAGCTTCATAAAGTGAATAATTTCACTACATCTATTTATTATCCGTTTGTCACTTTTAAAACTGTTTACATATAAATTCATGAAGAGATGAAATTATAGATCAATCACAGATCCACTATAAATGAAACAATTAGTTTTATTTCCAAAAATACATAACTAAAGAGTTCCAGAAGAAAAGAAAATTACGAAGTCATTGAACTGGAATTTTATTAATTAATAAATAAATGTCAAAAATCGTGAAACCAACATTAAACTTGAAGCAGTTTATGCTTAGACAAGAGGTGTTGAAGCTGTATAGAGATATCTATAGAAACATCAACAAAGTACCAGATGAGGCAAATCGAAAGGAGTTGAAGATCTGGTTGAGGGAAGATTTTAGGAGAAATAAAAATCAAACAGAAGAAATTACAGTTAAAATGTCGATTCAAGTTGGACTTAGATATTTAAAAGAACTTAAAACTTCTTTAGAACTCAGCGGTGTCGAGAAAAAATAGGCAGATTTATTTACATAAAAGTTGTGTACAATATTTTTAAAATCGATAATAGTAAAGTTATGGATCCAAATAAATTAATTACAAAAGATAAACTACTTTTATTAGAATGAGATAAAGGTAATTTTGCTATCAAAGTATTTATTAAATGATGACCATCAAGTCCATAGCATGGAACGACATTAATTACTGCTAGTCCCGAAGAGAACACAATAAGATATTTCAATAAAAGTGCAATTGAATTGCCAATCCATGGCTCGAATTTCTTTGTCTTTGGTACAAAATCTGAGACTTCAATATTGCTGAAGATTTCATAAGGATGTCCGTAATAAATCATATCTTTTGTTCGATTCTTTCTTTTAATATGATTCACTGTCGTTGAATTCGGAAGAATTGGTTTGATGCAAGAAGTGCTTTCAGGACATGAAGATGTTTGACAATAACTCTTTGCATGTTCCACTGTTTTTCTAATATTCAAGCAAATATATTGAGGCAGTCTCTCTTCGTCATAATTCTCAAAACAATTCAGTGCCGTGTTTTCAGGACAACATGTAATTGTTCCATCTTTACGATGCTCTACTTCATGAATCGATTCTTCATTCTCGTGTACGAATTCTTCACTTACACAAAATCCTGGATGATGTAACATCGCTTCTTTCAAACAGTCAATCCATTCGTTTTCATTTCTAACTTTACATCCATTCAAATGTGTTATTGCATCGCCAACATACAAACCATTTTCACCTTTTAATGGAGCATTTGCTTTAATTTTTGTAACAAATACTGCTTCATTCATTGTGTAAATTGGCGACAAAAATATTGGGAGCAGTAGAAGAATTATGTAGCACCACGCAGCTAAAACTATGTTATTCCAAATTCCAGCTGAATATATTTTGATTTTCTTCCAAAATTTTGCAGCTTGAAGATGATCATTATCGATCTGAGTGTAAGCAATAGGAACAATAAATATTAAACTAAGTCCAAATCCAATCACTGGAATATCTTCTAACACAGCAGCAATTCCATGTCCTAATTCATGCACCACAGAGCATATAAGAAGTGCCATTATATAATAAATAATTTCATTCAACGGAAGATTTATTCCTGGTAGAAGAATTTCCAGTCGTGACATTTTCTGATAATTGTTGTCTGTTGAAGTTGAAATACTTTCATGTGATGAACCGGTGAAAAGTGAACCAATTACAATGCAAATTGCAAAAGGAAGCATAGCGATAGTTATGTAGCTTCCTATTTTAAATGAGTATCTATAAAAAAGTGGCATTTTTGAACTCCACTTAACAATTGTTCTATTGAATCCAGTCATGTAAATTTGTATGCTGAAGAATCCGACTGAAATTCCTGATCTTTTAAGGAATTCAAGATATGGTAGCATCATGCAGCTTTTGAAGAAGAAGTCAAAGAACATAACTATTCCATATATTGAGCACACACAAATTAGAAATATGTAGAAAAACAACATTATTTAATTTATTGATTACTCTATTAATTCTTCTCGAAAGAAAAATTATTTGTTTAGATATTTATGTTTTTCCCCTTCCCTAAGAACTTCTGAGGAGATCAAATTTTTAAAAATTTAAACAATTTGAAAACGTTAAAATTTTTGTTTTTATTTTAGGAAATGTTTTAAAGAAACATTAAAATTAATTCTTAAAGATTTGAAAGCATGGTCAGATACAAAGTTACCAGCGTTTGCCACCGCCGCCGCCTCCACCTCTTCCACCACCACCTCGTCCTGAGAAACCGCCACCTCCTCCTCTTCCACGTCCTATGCAAGGAAAATTAAAATTGTTAAATCGATGATAAAATTTTATTTGAAAATTCTTACCAAATCCGCCACCACCTCCTCTTCCAGAGAATCCCCCGCCACCACCGCGACCTCTTCCTGTAATTAAAAATTCAACACATAAATATCCTTCATTATTGTAAACATAATAATAATAAATTTATTACCTCCACGGCCACCTCCGAAACCGCTACCTCCGAAACCACCACGTCCACCACCTCTTCCACCATCTTGGCCTTGTCCAGACTTGTCTCCCTTCTTTTTTCCAATTTTAGGTTTTGGTGGTTGAGGCAAAAATCTCATCAAAGGTAAAAGTTTTGCTGGATCGATGAAAAGTTTTTGTTTGGGAACAAAACTAGACGACTTCATATTATCTGATAATTTTACTGAAACTGAATAATCACGTAGTGTGCCGAAGATTTCGTCAATTTTTCCGATTTGTGATTTGTTTTCTAAGAAAATTGGTGCATTGAAATAAGGAACGTCCTCGATTTCTGATTTAAGCACCAAATCATCTTGACAAGAATAGTCAAAGTATCCAAATGGAATTACACGAGCTGGTGGGCCTTGATCAAATTTTCCTCTATTTCCAAATCCACCTCCGCCACCACCTCTACCTCCACGACCACCTGTGTGAGAAATTATGTTAAATATCTTTACAATTCAATAAGTTATGTGAACTTACCGCCTCCTCTATTAAATCCACCACCGCGGCCACCTGAAAATATTTTTTCATTGTAAAACCATGCGAAATCTACTGTAAATTCATGTCACTTACCTCGACCACCACCACCTCCACGGCCTCTAAAACTCATTTTTATTATTTATTTAGTTTTAGCGTTTAGAAATTAAAATTAAATTTGTTTGTTTATGTTTTTCGGCGACGATGTGTACATGTGTATACCAATGAGACAAAATTATGTCTTTGATTTAGAAAAGCTGCGTACCCATGCATGTTCTTTAAGTGATTAACCCCTTTGCTCTCTGTTTTCTCTTCAGTGGACTATTGACCTGCAACATAAATGCAAAAAAGTGAAAAAGAAATTTTATAAATTATTAGCACTATTAATCTATTTTTATAACATTTTTAATAAGGAAAGATGAAAATTTTTCAAGTGAATCAATTGTCTCTAGTGAGAAATCGCTTGGAGACTCAATTAGCTAAGTTTTCAACGAATTCTTCAGCTGATGAGAATTATCAATTTCTTCAAAAGTCAAATATGCCAACATATTACTTTCAAAAGTCTCTACCTCGATTACCGATACCAAAAATAGAGAAGACTCTTGAGCGATATCTAGCTGCTCAACGTCCTCTTTTAACTGATGATGAATTCAAATTCACTGAAGATTCCTGCAAGAAGTTTGTTAAGTCAGGTAAATATTTATCTTGTGTACATAAAAAGTGAAATTTTAAATAAAAATTACCATAATTGATTAGGTGGATGGGAATTACAAGCGATGCTCAAAGAGAAAGACAAAGTCAACAGCCACACAAGTTACATTTCCGAACCTTGGTTCACAATGTATTCAAAAGATCGGGCGCCGCTGCCGGTTAATTATAATCCGATAATCATCATGAATCAAGACCCGAAGCCGGAATATAATGATCAAATACTAAAGGCAGCAAACGTTGTAATCAGCTCGATGAGATTCATGAAGTCATTGAAAAATGAAATTCTCGTTCCAGAGATTTTCCACATAAATTCAAAGAAAACTGACACACCCGAATTCCGATCTAAAATCATGAAATTTCCTACATTCATTGCAACTTATGCTGCATATTTTTATAAAGCATATCCATTAGATATGAATCAATATAAGGGATTGTTTGGTGCAACGCGAATTCCTAAACGTGATAATGACGTCATTTATAGAAATGAAAACACAAAACACATTTTGGTGCTTAAAGATGGAAACTTTTACACAATTGACGTTCTGGACGCTAATGGAAACATTCGTGAACCAGAATTTATTTATTCGCAATTAAAATATTTAGCATCGAAAGATTTGCCTGCGTCTTCAAATCCAATCGCTGCTTTAACAACTCAGAATCGAAGGATTTGGGCTTCAGCGAGAAATCATTTGATTTCTTTGAGTGCAAGAAATAGTGACAATATGACACTTATTGATTCAGCCTTGTTTTGTATAAGTCTCGATGATACTCATTATGATAGTACGAACCCAGTTCCAACGATAAGAAATTTCTTATTTGATGAATGCAAGAATCGATGGTACGACAAAAGTCTTTCGGTTATCATTGATAAAGATGGAACAACTGGAGTGAATTTCGAACATTCTTGGGGTGATGGAGTCGCCGTTCTAAGATACTTTAATGAACTTCATAAAGACACAATTAACAATCCTTTTGTTCATCCAACCACTCAAACACATCGTGACGGTGTTGAACCAACCGTCAAACTTCTCGAATTTGATTTCGATGAAAAAGCTGAAAACGACATTAAAGTTGCAATTGAAGCACATCAAAATGTAATTAATTCAATTGACATGAGATATCTTAAATACGAAAATTTGAACAAATCGGAATGTAAGAAATTCAAAGTTAGTCCCGATTCGTTTATGCAACTCAGTTTTCAAATGGGCTACCATAAACAAAATGAGAAATTTGTTGCAAGTTACGAAAGTTGTTCAACTTCCGCTTTTCGTCATGGACGAACGGAAACAATTCGTCCTTGCACATCTGAAACAAAGCAATTTTGTGAAGCAATTTCTTCGAAAAATCCACCATCGAACAAGGTTCTTAGAGAACTTATGGATAAATGTTCAACCAAACACAATCAATTAACAAAAGAGGCTGCGATGGGTCAAGGATTTGACCGTCATTTGTTTGCTTTAAAAACTGCCGCTGAACGTGTCAGAATTATTGATAATTTTGACATCTTTAAAGATCCAGCATACGCTCGAATTAATCATAATATTATATCGACAAGTACATTAAGTTCTCCTGCACTTCTTGCAGGTGGATTTGGACCTGTCGTGAAAAATGGCTATGGAATTGGTTACAGCATTCAAGATAAATTTCTTGGTTGTTTAGTTGCCAACTACAAGAATGAAACTGACGGAAAAGAATTTATTGAATGCATGCGTGAATCATATGATCAACTTGCTGAAGTCGTTCGATCATGAAAATAATTATTTTCGTTTTAAAAAGACATTGGTGAAGGGTAGAAAAAATATTCGAAGTGAACTTGTTGAATTTTAATAAAAGAAAAACTTTTAATATTTATTCAAGTGGTAGGTTTATTAAAATTACTTTTAAATTTATTTTCAGGTTTTCAGAACTTGAGTTATGTTCCACTGCTGTTATTACTTTGATTACTGTTGTTATTGTTATTAGTTTGATAAATATTCTTTACAATCAGATAATCTCGTATGAGCTTGAAAAGTGTGTAGTAATTGGTAATGAGTAGAAGACCAATACTGATAATGTATTGATATTCGCGGCTATAAAACAGAAGTATAAGTTGGAATAAAACTGTCATCACTTGAATGCTGCAAATGATTAAATATAACATTGAAGGGTTCTTAAAAAGAATATAAAAGCGTTGATGACCGCCATCAGATGGAAAAGCGCTTGTGCATTCAGAAATTGATTTATAAACCTCGCCAGAGTATTTCACATAACTTCCATAAGGGAAAATTTGTGTTTTACTCCAATTTTGTGGCGGTGCATGTGTCGCTCTAGGTGAAAGCTTCGCCCACTGACCAAGATGAATTGCTGACCGATGTAAAACGTCACAATATTTAATTGGAAAACAATAACCGGCACACATCGTAAAAAGACTGATCCATGTGAAGAAGAGATGTTGTGTGACCCAAAACTTACTGTAGAATAAATGCTTATTGACAAAACACCTGCGCAAAGCTAAATAAATTAAAATGTTTGATGTAATTTTTTTGATATTCTCACCAAGGAATGAAACTCGCATAATAAGAATTCAAAACTGATGTGAATATAATTTGCTTGAATCGATTGTTGAAATCGCCTCTTAGGAGATAAACTTCTTGCCGAATGTCCATGGCATTATTACTACAGCTGTGAACAGGTTCTTGACCACCAAGATATGGCATATCTTTGTTGTGATTAATCTTCAAAAATGGATCAATTTTGCATTTGAAAATGACGAGATATAAAATAATACTAGAAGAAATTATAAATATTATTAATAAAGCACTCTTTAAACTAGTTTAATGAAGCACTTACGGATACAGAAGATAAAATATGTATACGATGTTCAAGTTCTGAAATATTTTCACATTACAAATTAAAAAAATGGCTTCCAGAACTCCAAGAAATAATATCTTTAGTGACTTCTCAGCTATCGGAAGATGTTTCACAGGGCAACTGATTTCAAGAATTTTCATTAAAAGACAATAAAAGAATCTCCGACCAATCATTACAAAAATAAACAACACAAGACTGGTGTCGATTAAATAAAAATTCTGCAAAAGTAAAAAAATAACAATTAGACGTGTTCATGTTTAAATGTGTTTACTTACGACTGTGTAATTTGTGTAAGAGTCAGGAAACCACCATACAGATCTGTAGAGATGCACGAATTGTGAACTGGCAGCAATAAGTGTAAACATGAAAATGATAAATTCATTGACAATTTCATTTTTCTGTGAAACGTTATGAGTTTGAATAAACTGAATATGTTTAATTATCGGCTCAGAAAACTCGTTATTGAACGATGAATTTGCTGCAAATGTTGGAATTGGTGTAGGACGCGAGCTTAAAGGAATTCTTCTCCTGCTCATATTTTCAATATTTTGAAATATGTTGCGCTGGTGGGTGCGAAGTTGCACAAATCGAGAGTCAAGTAGAAAGTCAAGTTTTTAAGTTCAAGTCAAAACATAGAATATTTAAAAATCATAACAGAAATATTGAAATTTCTTATTATTGTTTATTTTTTATATAATTCCATGAAGATACATTTCCGTGATCTTTCACAATAACAGAATTTTCCTCAAGAGTGTCACGTATTGAGTCACAAATTTTATACATTTCTTTGTTCTTTTCTTCTCTCGCTTTGAGTCTAATGTCGTTACGAACTTTAATTATTGAATTAATCAGATTTTCCATTTTAACGTTTGTTGAGCTGAAAGTTGGTTCGCCTTGACCAACACCAAACGTATTCAAAATTTCGTTTACATAGTTTACAATGCCTTGAACGATTGTTTTCTCACTATCTGAGGTTTCTTTAATTTCGGAATGACTATTGACCATTTTATTCGTCGTATTTATAAGCTCGACAATCTGTCCAAGTGCTCTAGACGTGTTGAAATCATCTCTAAGGAAATAATCAATTTCCTTCCTACTTTTTTCAAATGTTATTGTCAATTCTGCTACATCAATTGAACCATTAGGTTTTAATCCATTTATGAACGCTGTTGAATCTTCTCGAAATGATTTAATTCTATTTAGAAACATTTCAGCAGTTTTCATCAATTCGGGACCGAATTCAATAAGATTTCGATAATGCGATAATAAAATTGCCACTCGGAATTGATCACTCGAATTATCTTGTAGGAATTCTCTAATCGAAACAGTATTTTTGAGGGACTTCGACATTTTATCTTTTTGACCTTCCAAATGTAAATGTCCAGTGTGGATCCAATTTGACACCCAATCATCAACTGAATGATAGACGCAACTTTGAGCTTCTTCGTTCTCGTGATGAGGAAACTTTAAATCTATGCCACCAGCATGAAAATCGAGATTCTTTCCAAAAACTAGACTTGCTAGTGTTGAACATTCAATATGCCATCCAGGACGTCCTTTTCCCCATTTGGAATCCCATGAAGGTTCATTTGGCTTTTCTGATTTCCAAAGTGCAAAGTCAACATCAGTAGATGAATTGTCTTGGGAAATATTTTGTAATTTTCCATAATTATTGTAATTTGAAATCTTAAAATAAACTGAATTGTCTTTTCCTACTTTGGTAAATCCTTTTGCTTCAATGCCTTCAATAAACTTCAAAATTTCAGGTATTTTATCAGTCACTCGAAGTTTTATATCTGGAGGAATAATGTTAAGGCTGTTTAAGTCTTGCCAGAATTCTTGTTCATATTCTTCAGCTATAACTTTCCAACTTCGTCCCGTTTCATTGCCTTTCTGAATGATTTTGTCATCGATGTTTGTAATGTTCATGCACGTCACTAGGTTCACATTAAAATGACTTCTCAAGATTCTCTGAATGATATCAAGACGAACGAAAGTGCAAGCATGACCAATATGTGCAGAATCATATACCGTGGGGCCACTAAATTAAGTGTTATTAATAAATTGGAAGAAACTTTTTAATCTTTTAACTTACCATGTATACCATGATGAATACAAAGGATTCCGCAATATTAATGGCACTTTACGTTTCAGTTTACTATTGTAAATGTTCACTCCAAGTTCAACTTTATGACAAAACCTACGAGTAGATGAAAAAAGGGAATTCATCGGAAAGCGATTATTGTTCTTGATAAGACGATAAATAAACATCTATAATGCTTCGTACCCCCACAAGTTTGCCGGGAAAATTAAAAAAAATAGAAATTTATTGAAAATTATTTTGGTCACTATTATTGAATGACACACTTATATTTAATAAAATGATTAGAAATATCGATGAGAACTCGTTTTAATAAGAATGTACATAAATTGAATCTGGCATTTGCATTTCATTTCTATTGAGTTTCGTTAATGCCGACACATTCATCACAGACGTTGAATTGTACAAAACATTGTAAAAACATAGAAACAGCTGATTCACAAATTGTTTCTCTTTGTTTACTTCATAGATTCAAGAAAAATAGTTAAAAAACGAATATTCGGAATTAAGATAAAATGGCAAATGAAGAAGTGTTTGATGATGACTTTTATCAAGAAGATTTCTCAACTGCAACAGAATGGGAAGCATTTGTATCAAGATTAACTGACATACTTGAATCATACGAAGTTGTTGAAGAAGAACCATTGTCAAATAATGAATTATCACTTTGTGAATGGTGTGAAGAAGAAGAAAGTATTGTGTTTAATGATTTTAACTTGAGTGTGATACGTTATAAGGCTAAAATTCCACCTAAACAAGAAGCATCTAAATCAACACAATGTCAGGTCTTCCAGGATTTAATTTCCATAAAGAACGATCACTGCCTTTTGGATTTTAATTATTTAAGGCATGATTATGAAGTTTTGTATGCTCCAAAGCCAGCAAAAATTCATCCTCTTGCAGTTTGGTATGGATTGCGTGATTTTATAGTTTTAAAAAACAAGAAACCACTTCATGACCTCAGCAAGATTAAATTGCTTCAAAGTTCAATGAGAATCTCTGTATTTGATAGCAAATGCAATATTCCAACGTTTATCCAAGCTCTATATCATGAGCAAGATCTCTTCCTGGGCATTTATGAGTACAAAGAGTTTCAATTGGCCTTCGATATTGTTCATTTAAAAACACCTCCACCGCCATGTAAATATTTATCAGGCTTGATTGAAATGTTTAAAGGAAAAATCGGCATGGCTTATGTTAATCCAGTGACAGTCTCTGTATGTCTCTCATACAGTCTCAAGAACTTTTTATCAGCAGCATATTCATCAGACAAGAAAAGTGACAATGACGAATGGGATAAAATTGATTTTGTTAATGTCGTTTCGAATCTTTCATTTGGAGTTTCAATCGATCCAGTTCATGAGTTAATTTTGTACACAAAATGGCCACAAGTAGGTGAAAATGTTGTGTTCGATTCAGAAACTTATTCAGACTTCAATCCAATCAATGCTCCAAAGTGGAGCATTCGAACTCGTTTCGATTATACGCCAGTTTGTTATCTTGCTGACATGCTTCACGATTACTTGACATTGATAGAGTCACAAGAAGCTCTCTCCGAATATTACAACTTTTTGTTGTCTAAAAATCGAGCTGGTGACGTTGGAAATCCATTTGCAGCATTAACAGATTCGAGGATTCCAAGTTTACCTTCAGTGTTGAACACTGGAAGTTATTCAATTGATGGTCCAATCAACGAAGATCAAATGCAACAAATCTTTTCTTATCTTTTTCCTGAAAACAACGCTGGAAAGTTTTCCTACGGAGATATTCAAGATAATCAGGTGAAATAACTTTTAAATTGAAAAAATAATGAAAATAACGAAATTGATTTATTTAGTTTGATCCACAAAAGATCAAGTCAGCAACTCCTGATTCTCTCGTTCATCGTCTTTCGATCATTCTCGCTAATATTTACACATCATTCAGTGGACGACGTAGTGTTGCACAATTCTGGACAGAATTCACACAGAAACTTCGTGAACGTGTTGAAAAATGTCTTCGAATTCCAGGGTAAGGAAATTTCGTAGTTGAATTTTAATTAAATTTTTTAATTTTTTTTCTTTAGAGTTGCAAGTGGATTTCCTGACATGAGAACATGTTTGCTGCATCAGAAGCTTCAGATGTTGAATGTTTGCATTGAACGTAAAAATATTCGCGAGGGAAGATTGCCATTCGCAATGCAACAGCAATTTGCACAACAAGAAGGAAAAACTGATTCCGATGATGAATTTTTTGATTGTGATGATGATCGTGTCGTAGATGATGAAGGTAGTTTAGTTAACTTGCAATGCAAAATTATTATTAAAATATCCAAATATTGAATTAACAGCTGCAGCAACGCAATCCCCATGGAATCCCGTTGGGCGAATTTCAAAGCTTGGAAAAATGTTATTGATTGACTGCGATGAGCCACTTTACATTCCAGTGACACAAGATCCAGTTCCGAAGACAGAAGATGAATTAGAAGACGATGCTGAAATGTTATTGAATGTTTCAGACAGTGAACTACGTGCACAATTGATGAGTGCTTCACTTTTATCTGATATGGAGAGTTTCAAAGCAGCAAATCCAAAGGGAAAACTTGAAGATTTCATTCGATGGTATAGTCCAAGGGATTGGATAGAAGATGAAGCAAATGAAGACGAATTATTTGGCCGAAAAGGTCATTTAAGTGATCGAATGATGATTCCTGGCAACACATGGCAGACTGTTTGGAGTTCGGCTAAACCAGTTCCGGCACGACGACAAAGACGTCTCTTTGATGACACAAAAGAAATGGAGAAAGTTTTACATTTCTTGGAATGTCAGACACTTGGAAGTATTGGAGAATTAACAATCGCGCCTCTCTTTCATTCTGCTTTGATTAAACTTCAAAAGGAATCTGAAGAAACAAAAGATTTCCTTCCAAATTTTAAAGAAAAGGAAAATAAGCTGAAACAAAATTGTTGCATTTTATCACGAGAAAAATGGATCAGCTCGAAAAATGTCTCCAGAAAAAAATGGGAAGCAATAACGAATGATTTCTCCGAATGGGAATTATCAATAAATCAAGGAAAAAGTATAATGAAGAAATTGTACCAAGAAGATTATAAGCTGAACGATGATGTAAGTTATTTAAATAATTAATTTTTACTCATCTTAAAATTAATTTTCATTAGGATATAAAGTTTTTGAATTCTCTGATGAAATGTTACGACACCGAACTTGAAGGTGGAGCTAAAAACGATATTGGTGTTCGAGTGATGAGCATGTTTAATGAAGCAAGAGCTTATCAAAATGAACAACGACCTGAAGATCATTCTTGGGTGAGTTCAGTTTTCATTTAAAACTTAACACATTTCTGTATATCATCTCTCATAATTTATTAGAGTCTACCTGATCCATTTGAGAAGCAATTTACGCTTCGACAATTTGGAAATACAACAAACCAAGGAACAGGTGGCCCACAATTTATGCGAGTGATTCTATCAGGAAATGAATTCCGATTATGTGGAGCTTTTAGTCAAAATACAACATTTGTTTATGCGCCGTAAACTTTTATTTATAAATTTAATTAATAATCAGCTAATTAAATTCAATAAAGCATTAATGTTATTTCAAGTTTGAAACCAAAAATTCTTTTGATTGTTCAAATTTAAATATCTGACATATAGTGAAGGTTTAAACCTGCCAGCAATAAAAAAATAATTTGAAAAACTGGAAAGATTTCAAAGAAAAAATTATTCAACCGCTTTTACTCAAATTTTCCTTTTTCTTCATCCCCCCTAACTTTGGCATTTTGGCGGGACAAGTTTTATACCCCTGTATGTGCTACAAATTATTCCAAACATCAACATATAAGACAAAAAATTAATTATCATGGGAATTCAAGGACTTTCAAAGCTCATTGCAGATTGTGCACCTTTTGCTATCAAGGAAACAGAGATTAAGAATTACTTTAGTAGAAAGATTGCAATCGATGCGAGTAAGTATAATTATATTTTTTAAAAAATTTATTTCAATGCTAACAAACCGAATTTTCTCAAATAGGTATGTGTCTCTATCAGTTTCTGATTGCTGTGCGAGCAGAAGGCGCTCAATTGACGTCTGCTAGTGGTGAACCTACTTCACATTTAATGGGAACTTTCTATCGTACAATTAGACTTCTTGAGAATGGAATTAAACCTGTTTATGTTTTCGATGGTAAACCTCCAGACTTAAAAGGAGGCGAATTAACAAAGCGTGCAGAACGACGTGAGGAAGCACAGAAAGCTTTAGATAAAGCAACTGAAGCTGGAGATCAAGCTGAAATAGAGAAATTTAATCGACGTTTGGTAAAAGTTACGAAGGAACACAACAATGAAGCGAAGGAACTTTTGACTTTGATGGGTGTACCTTATATTGAAGCTGCTTCGGAAGCAGAAGCTCAATGTGCTGCAATGGTAAAAGCTGGCAAGGTATATGGTGTTGCAACTGAGGATATGGATGCTTTAACGTTTGGCTCGACTGTTCTACTTCGACATATGACATTCAGTGAAGCTCGTAAAATGCCAGTCCAAGAAATTCACATTGACAAAGTGTTAAAAGGTTTAGAGTTAAGTCAGGAAGAGTTCATTGACTTGTGTATCCTTTTGGGTTGCGATTATTGTGATACAATAAGAGGCATTGGACCAAAAAAAGCTTTTGAATTTATTACCAAACATCGATCAATTGAAGAGATTCTCAAGAATATTGACAGGAAAAAGTATCAAGTTCCTGAAGATTGGAATTATGAAAAAGCTCGTCAATTGTTTAAGACACCAGAAGTATTAGATTCTGCTGAAATTGACTTGAAATGGAAAGAACCAGATGAAGAAGGTCTCGTAAATTTTCTTTGTGGGGACCGCCAATTTAGTGAGGAACGTATTCGTTCTGGTGCAAAGAAAATAATGAAATCGCTAAAGACCGCAACTCAAGGACGTCTTGACAGTTTTTTCAAAGTTTTACCATCAACCTCGCCAGCACCAAAACGAAAAACAGAAGAAAAAAAAGGAAATGCAAATAAAAAGCAGAAAGTCAGCGCAGGGAAATCTGGAAGGAAACCGAAATAAATTAAGACCGTTTCACTTAATTTCTCAAGACACTGAATTGTGCTTATTAATGTTAAATATTCTTGACAATTCAAATAAACTTTTTGTTGATAAATTTAACGGTTTTTTTAACTTTGAAAAAATTCCTTCTTACATTTCTTACTAAACCTTCTTGACCACCAAGGGATAACATTCGTTGACCTTCTATACAAAATGTGCAAGGGTTTTTGTTTATGATGTCTCGGGAAAATTGCCTCGTACCCCGACGGTTCGCGCGGATTTGACCTTCCATACAAAATGAAAAGAAATGTGTCCGTGTAAACATTTTGTCCGTGTAAACATTTCGATCGTAGCGCCGCCACTGAAACGTTCTCGGACAAAAGATCAATCAAAGTTCACTTTGATTCCGTGCACGAGATTTATTTCCGACCACGAGATTTGCGATGGCAGCGCCGCCAATGATTAAAACAAGTAAACCCTAAATCGTGTTTTTCAAATATTTTAGGATTGAAGAACAAAAAATGATGCGTAGCATATTAACCACATCAGGACGGCTAAGTGTTCTTAACCCAACAAGGAGCTTTGCAAGAAAAGGACCTAGCAAACTTTTGGATCAAAGATTAACAAAATTTTGCGAAAAATATGTGGAAAATGATCTTGAATCGTTTGAAGAAACTGAATCAGATTTCATGAATGTTCATGAAGCTCATAAAGACTTTGAAGAGGAGGAGAGAAAATTTTCTTACAAGGTTTCAAGATTAATGGTTGGACGAAAGTATTTTAAGGAGAAAACAAGAAATTTCTTAACGTGGTTCGAGAAAGATCAAATCAGAATTCTTCATTCACAAGATTCCAAGAAATGGACAATAGATTATCTTTCAGAAGCTTTTCCAGCAGATCCAGCCGCTATTAAGAATGTCATAAGAACTAAACCAAGACCAGTAGATGCAAACAGTATAAAAAAGCACGATGAAGCTGTAAAGAAAGCTTGGGACTTGTTCAAGAAAGGTGAACTGGAATTGGATTCAATGATGTCGGAGCATCTGAAGAAATTTTCACATCGAAAATTGGCTGACAATATCCCGTTGGAATCTTACCAAAATGAAGGAGTAAAACTTCCAAAACCGAAACGAAATGAGTTTGAGTCAATCATTACATCTTGCAAGAAATATTCAAATTCGAAGAACGAAGAATCGCCTGGAAAATCTCAATATGCTCAGATAGAACATCCAAATGCATTGAGATTTCCTAATAAACGATCCAGAGATCCTGAACAGACTTCCACAATTTTAGAAAGTAATAATCTGCACACACAGCAAGTGTTAACACTTAAAGAATACCAAAAACTTGCACCAGAAATCGTAATGGAAGATTCCGAGACGGAAAGTAAATCTTTTCCATTAGATTTAAAATCAATCAACGATACAGATACAAAAATTTATAACTTCACTGGATTGAAGCATTATCAACCTACACAAATCAGAGAGAAAATAAAAATCCCAAGAAGTATTTGGAAGAAGGATAAAACTTATAAAGTTGAAGATTGCTTTTATGACGACAATGGAGAATTTCTTTATCGTGTTCCTGGTTTAGTATGAAGAATTTTTGTTATGTTTAATAGAGAATGAATAAATTTGTAGATTTTTCGTTTTACTAAGAAATAAATGGTTTTTAAATCTAAATGTCTTCTAATATTCTAAGAAAATATTCTTTTCAGGAAAAAGTTGAGCGTTGTTAGAGAAAATTTGACATTTACTCGACATCTCTAAAATTTCATCAGTCACCAGTTGAACGTTTGAGATGAAACATAAATTGAAATGTGTCTATAATAAATATAATTTAGGTAGTAAACTTCAATAACTAACTAGATTAAGTAGTGGTTAAAGAAATCAAAATTTTAGCTCGTTTACATTAAGCTCTATTTTATTTATTCTGTCTTAGGTAGGTATTTACTAAGCTGACTCTCATTCAAATATTATTATGAGCGAGTAACAAATCGCTTAAAATTTTTCACTATAAAACTGAGAAGCAATTTTTTGAGCGACTCAGTTGAATTTGGAATCTCAAACTTTTCGCGATTAAATAAAAGATTTTGTTTAAATATAATTATTTGCTTGTTACATTGAAACTTCGTTATAAACAGCTTGCAATTTTTGATTTGTCGGAGAAACTTTTCATTTAAAATCTAAAGCAAAAAGAACGAATTAAATATGTGCGGTTGCTTTGTGTGGAGTGATCTTTGAATGAATGAACATTGATAACGTTTAGCGTCAAGATCAGTGACAAAAGGCCAGTCACGAAAGCTTATCAATCAATGAATCGTCGTGATTTCTATAGTCAGTTAAATTTGAACAGCACAGAAGCAAAGTCAATCTTCTCACGAGTTTAATACGTTCAAAATACAATGAAACATTCATTCGATGTGAGTGGTCAAAAGACCACTAAAAAATGGCCTCAAATGGTTGCCGGATTGTCAGCTGCAGGTGGTGCATTTGCCGTTGGTTCAGCATTAGGTTGGCCTGCAAATGCTTTGCCTTTATTTGTAGATAGCAACAGTGGATACTTTCCATTAACTGAAACAGAACGCGGTTTGGTTGCGTCAATAATCACAATTGGATGTGCCATTTCATGTCTGCCGATTGGATTTCTTATGAAAAAGTTTGGAAGAAAATGGACAATGTTAAGTCTCGTCGTGCCTTTTGTGATAGGCTGGGCTTTGGTGATCTTTGCCAAAAGCTTCTCAACACTTTTCATTGGAAGATTCATTATTGGCATTGCTGGCGGAGCCTTTTGTGTGTCAGCTCCACAATATTCTGCTGAAATTGCAGAGAAGGAAATTCGCGGGATTGTTGGAACATTTTTTCAACTTCTTATCATTGCTGGAATTTTATTTTCTTACATCACAAGTGCTGTGTTGTCTCTCTTCGTCTCAAGTATAATTTGTGGGGCGATTCCAATAGTTTTCGGAATCATTTTCTGTTTCATGCCAGAATCGCCAGTTTATTTAGTCATCACGAAACAAGATGATGAAGCAATAAAAGCATTCAAATGGCTCCGAGGCAATGCTTATGACCCGCAAGACGAAATTAATGAACTTAAAAATGACATTCTCGAAAAGGAAAACAATCAAGTCACATTTCTTACTGTTGTGAGAAGAAAATCAACAATTAAAGCTTTGATTATAGGATTTGGATTGATGATTTTCCAACAGATGAGTGGAATCAACGTCGTTATTTTCTACACGACAATGATTTTTGAGGTGAGTTATAAATTCATTTCTTTATTATTTAATAATTTTCCTTCCATAATTCGTAGTTGGCAAAAACTGGAATCGATGGAAAATTGTGTACAATAATCATTGGAACAGTTCATCTCATCGCAACATTAGCTGGTGCGTTATTAGTCGACAAAGCTGGAAGAAAAATTCTTCTTCTAATCTCAATTATTGTTATGACGATAACATTGATATGTCTCGGAATCTTTTTTTATATTTTGGATAATGATCCAGAAACATCTGAAAAACTTGGTTGGTTACCTTTAACATCGCTCAGTTTATATTTAATTGCTTTCGCTATCGGTTACGGTCCCGTGCCATGGTTAATGTTAGGCGAAATCTACACGAATGAATATAACGCGATTGCAAGTCCAATAACTGGCGCTTTTAATTGGGGACTTGCTTTTATCATCACTTCAACATTTAGCATGATAAGTGGCGCAGTAGGACTTGCGGGAACTTTTTGGATTTTCGCTGCTCTCAGCATTTTGGGGACACTTTTTACCTTCTTCCTTGTTCCGGAAACAAAAGGCAAATCAATAAACGATATTCAACGAATGCTTAATGGTGAATAAAGCTTAGATTCACCTTCAAGGTTCTTCACATTCTCCCCTTACATAACATAAATATTGATAACATTTTATTTATCACTAGAAAATGATTTATAATGTTTATAATTTGATCGTGATGTTAATTTGTTTGTGCCAATTAAATGACTATTTTATTATTAAATCAAGTCCAGTTTTTATTTATAAATAATAAATATGTAGATAAGAAATAAAACTTGTTCTATTAAATTGAGAATTTTACTAAAACAGAAGTTAGAACTTGTTTTTTGTTAGAGAACGTCTGCAATTTCCGTTTGATTCAAATTTGATAAAAAGAAAGATTTCATCATTCCAATCGCTTTTTATTTCCTAATTCTTAGACTAAAACTTTCAAGAAAAAATCTCGAGATTTTTGAATTAGAACATCTCTGAGTTGATGTTATCAGTTTCGTGTATTTATTTATCAGCTAATCAAATGCAACAAAGAGAGAAAAAGATTCATTCGACAACTTCACACAATAATAAACTTCATAAGTACTGGTGATACGCGCTATCATTGGCAATAAGTCTCTCTCGTCATCTGATCAGGGCTGTAAGAGTTGAACGTGTTCATGACATTCTCTCGCCAACTACACCAATAAGCTTCAGTTGATGTCTCGACCATAAGAGAGAAACAGAAAACAAACTTCAAACCTCTTATTTTCCTTTTAAAACGCTCGACATTCACAAGTTTCAGTTCATGTTTAGTGCTTGAAATCGTCGGACGTGTTCTATTATAGCTCGCTTAGAACGGAGAATAAATGTTATTATTTGCTTTTTCGATTTTGGTGTTTTGAAATTTATTTAAATATCTTTTTTAATTGCTTGAAAGTGTTCATTCGTAATAAATAAATTTATTGTTAAATATTTAATTGATCAGAATTTTCCGATTTAACCTCCACGCTTCAAAAAAAGAAACAATTTAGCAAAGGGAAAGCCTCAGAAATACTTCAACATAACTCACTAATTGTGTGTTTATTCTCTATTAGAGTCTGTTTAATTTTTTTTCTCTTCCTCAAAAACAACTGAATAGTAAGTAAAATAATCAGCAGAAAATTGTTGTTTAGTGTTTACTCGGTAGAATGTTATACTGCTAGTGCTATCAATTTAAAACTATATCAAATTATATCAATTTGATGACTAAAAAAGCTTTGAATTCACTTTTTTGTTATGGTTTTGACGGCTGCAATCTGCATGTGTGATTTCTAATAGAAAAATTATTTTGTTTTTTCCGCACAACGTGTTTTGCTCAAGATATTGTAGGCCATGTGCAGTAATTTAGTTTGCAATACGTGAAACAATTTATTTTTTATCAAGATTTAGTCTCTCTTAAGAAACGACAGTTGTAAAGATAAGTGAGTGAAAGTGATTTAATGAAGCTTCAAGCTTGTAGTTTATTTAACAAAGAAACATTAGATCGAACAAATTGTCTCAAATATCTGAAACTCTCGTCTAATTTCAACAAGGAATGTCTTTCAAGTCACTCGTTATATGGAATATTGATAAAAGCAAACAAGTTAATAATGTTTGCACTAAGCCAAGTGTTAAAGCTGACAAACTAATGACCACGCAGTGACCTCTAAACGTGACGTATTGCGCGAAATTCCCTATAAAATTCGTTTGTGTGCTTCATTTGTATTCAAAGTTTTCCATAAAGTATTTTGTAGCATTAATCGACACAACACTCAATCTTTTACATCAAATATCCATTCGTTCGCCTTTTTTTTAATATTTATGTGTAAGTTCAAAGATTCCAACTTCATTAAAGAAATTTATTTCGGGAGTTTCTTTTATTTACGTAGTTATGCTAATTTATGGATTTTAAAATATTTTTAAACCTTATGAAATGTCATGATAAGTAGAAAAGATTTGTGAGCATAATCTGATGAAAAGAGAGAAAGAAATAATTAATTAAATAGAATTTCTAAATAAATTTGAAAGTTTTTTCAAGCATTTAGAAGAAGTAAGAAGGCATTGATGTCTCTCCATACTAGCAAGTTCCTATCGAATTCCATTGCAAATAGCAACAGCAATAAAAATAAGCAAACCAGTCTTTCTACCTTGCAATTGCATTTGTACATTGACATTAATTTCAAATGCATCATATTTGAACAAGTTGAATGTATGAAAGTATTCTTAATAGTCTCATCTGATGTTTATACTTATTTAAATAATTTTTGAAGCAACTTCTGTCATGACAATTGTGAAAGATTCATTCGATGCCTGTTTCTACGTTAATTTAAATTTCTTTTTTTTCCATTGGACAAAATTTGCCTGACGAAATAATCTCCAACGGCATGCCGGTTTGTTTTTGTTATCGAAGCGATAATGAAACGTCCAAATACACTCCAAAATAACATTTTTAATAAGTTATAACTGACTGCTGGTCTTATCGAGCACTATCGAGACTTTCCATGACTGTAATCAAACAATGGAGTAGAATATTAACTTATCATTAAATATTTATCTGAAACTCTGAAATATTTCTAAGAAAAATTCGCAACAAACAGGAAATTGAGCCTTCTTGTTGTAATATTTTAGATAATTTTAAAAGGGAACGAAGTTATCAAGTAAATCACTTACCCACACAATAAGTAAATAAACTGATAATTGGGCTAACTAATCTCTATTGCAATCTTTTCCGAACGATACAAACGCTTGAAATGAACACATAGGAAATAAAATAATAAAATGAACAAATATCCAGATAGAGATATGAAAGTTGCTGATTTTTTATTCAAATTGCATTCGACAAATACGAAACTCCTTTTATATCAAGCTTTAACAGCTTCAGTGTAAATGAATAATTTAATAAATGTAAAAAGTGCATCAACTGAATATTAAAATAAATTATCTTCATTGTTAACCAAACATGTTTAAATTCCGCATGTGAAGCGTCATTGGAAATCCCAAATATCTATTTCGAATCATTCTTGTCATAACTTATGAGTGATGCAATCAATTAACTGCTTGTATAGTAAATTAATTGCCATGTTACACAATTTTTGTCAGGTCGAACACTCAATTCAATTCATTTCAATTGAATTCACTTCTTAAACGTTTTTTAATATCAAAAATATTATCACACACTTTTGAGTATGATAAGCATTTGATATCCCAATCAAAGTTAACACTTAGAGTCTAAAAATATTAATAATGATAGACAATGAGGGTGGGTGCGAAATGAAATGTTAAAGTTTTCACTTATGCACGTGACGACCTTGAATGCATTTAATTGTCGCATGAAAATGTTCAACGCAGTTCGATTCCGTAATTTTTATCAATTTCCCGAACGATTGTAAATAAATTGATGGTTGAACATCAACAGAGAACTTTTTATAGATTGGGAGAAAACAGAATCCATTGAAATTGTCTGACGTTGATAACGAGCCCTTTTTATGTTCCAATGATCGTCAATTGCGTGACAAAGAAATGTTACGTCATTCAATAATAAAAAATTCTGATTGACATAATTAAGAATTGATTTATACATTGAAGTTGTTTATGTTCTGTTATCAAATACAAAATTATTGCAATTCAAAAGATTTATTTAATGAACGGAAATTTAAATCAAGCGATGTGAATTGCCCGTGAAATCCGCACTTATGGCGTTATGTGAAGTCAAATTACATTCGTTTAAAGTACAAAAATATAATCAAAAGTCATCGAATTGATCTTTCGTCTTTAATGAGTTGATAGGAAAATATTTGAGAGTTAATATTGACTAACGAGGAATTGCAATTAAACCTTTAAATCCACATTCCGGTTCTTCTTCTTTCAACACTTTTCCTGTTTCTTTAATTCTTGTTAAGAATGATAGACAATTGCGAGTATCAGTAGGAGGTACTTTAGTTCATGTTTCGTGTTGTCATGCAATGACCGACGAGAGATTACTTAAGTAGCTTTATATAAGTTACGAAACACAACTTGACTCTCACGATACATGTTATTATTATTGAGAATGTTCGTCACTGTAACAAAGATGATTACTTCACAACTTTCTTATCTAAGCGGCTTTATAGATATCTTCCCTATTCTAATCATTCGTCACCAATTGAGATTAGTTTAATTAATTGAACAAGTATTTTTCTTATCACATACACTTGTTGATGTTATCTTTCATGATAATAAATACTTTTTGAAGATATTAAAAATCGTTTAAACTTCTTTCATATGAAATTTTAAACAATAAATCGACGAAATTTTTTGTTTGAAAATAAAATGTTACGTGATCAAAGACAGTTGAATAACAATTATTTGCAAACTCATTTTTTTTTTAATGTGAGTGTACTTAGAAATATTTAACTTATCCATGTGCAAACCAACCTTGACTTTGAAATTTGTTTATTGTCTGTTCAATCGAGATTTTAAAAGACATTCAACACTAAACTGTCGGTGCTGTAGTGTGAATTTAGATATTTGTAATTAAATTAAATATTTTCTTTTCATCATAAATTTTTAATTTTCTCTGAATCTGCTGCTGCAAGAACCTCGACTAATGATATGAAAGTGAACAAAAGTCACAGCGGCATTCATAAAAATGTAAATTTCTATCCAAATAAGGTTTAAGATATATTCAAATCAAAGATAACAAAAGAGTTTGAAGCTGCAATCTTCTTAAATTTCTTCCATTTACCTAATTCCCCGTATTTATCTAATTAGAATTTCAAATTCTCTTCATTTGATTAAATACCATGAGAAAACTTGTTCTCTTTAATAGAGTTGAACATACTTTTACTATCAGCGGATGTCAAAATTTACTTTAATTGTTAGATATTTGGAAAAAAAGAAATGAAAAGCCTGTAAAAACTAAAAACATTCGAAAAATTGTTTGTTTGAACAAATTATGAAATGTTTGCGTTAAGCTTTGTAGAGCAACAATATTTACCAAATAGCCTCGTTATCAATTACCTATTTAAAGTTATGCATTGATAATTCTATTATTTATAACATCAAAAAGTCTAATCTAGTTCCACGAAAAATATAATTTGAAGAAAATACTCAACGGTAAATTAACGTGACACGTGTTCAAAACAAGAATGTTTTGGTTGGAATAATGGAAGGAGAAGTTTGGGATTCATCACTATCTAGTCCATAGGATTCTTCAATTTCATTACTTATGTGGAAAAAGATATCACAATTACGCCATATTAAGTCTTCTTACATTGATTCAATCAAATTTTGTTGAAAAGTTTTAATTTTTTCGAAAAGAAATGTTTTTAATGTTTTCATTTGAATGTTTTCTTCGAGCTTTCAATGTTGCATCGAAATATCGAAAACAACGGCCGGTTTAGAGAGACTTCAGCTTATTTATAACTTTAAGTTTTCTCTTGTGATATTTTTTCATTCTTTATGATCTCAGTTTAATAACAAAAGCTGGAGAGTAAATATAGTGACTTAAAAAACACCAAACCATGTCTGAGTCTCAAGTAGTTGACGAAAGATCTCGGCTTTTGCCGGCAATTCCGCATCGGAGTTATGTTTACGCAGATGAATTGGTTGTGCTAATATTTACAAATAAGAGGCAACAAAGATAAGCAATTAAATCATGATTTTCTTTGTTCTCTTTCCAGAGTCCAATTCTCGAGCCAGCTATGACGAGTTATGACGTGAATGCTGGTCAACCAACAAAGAAATGGCCACAATACGTTGCCGCATTAGCAGCAACTGGAGGCGCTCTTGCTGCTGGTAAGTAAACGAAGTTCTCTTTGATTACAATAATTAAAGAAATGTTTTTATAGGCGCTTCACTTGGATGGACATCACCAGCTAATCCTAAGCTTGTAAATGGCACAGAGATGGAATATGACTTCCCAGTCACTGAAGATCAAGCTTCGTGGATCGGTTCATCGCTTAATTTAGGAGCAGCAGCTGTGTGCATACCCATTGGGCTTCTCATCAATCTCATTGGTCGCAAATGGGCTATGCTTGGTTTAGTCATTCCATTCACTATCGGATGGGCTCTCTTAGTTTGGGCTCAAAATCTTGCCATGATGATCGTCGCTCGTGTCTTTATCGGTATTGCTGGTGGTGCATTTTGTGTCGCAGCGCCTCTTTACATCGGTGAAATAGCACAGAAAGAAATTCGAGGACAACTTGGATCATTCTTTCAACTTAATGTTACGATTGGTATTTTGTTTGTTTATGCGGTCGGTGCTGGTGTGAGCGTCTTCTGGCTGAGCATCATTTGTGGAATTATTCCACTGGTTTTCGGTCTGATCTTCTTCTTTATGCCTGGTAAGAACTTTCTATGAAACTATTTGAACCATTTGAATGCAATAAAATCTTTCAGAATCTCCAACATATCTTGTCAGGCGTGAGAAGAATCAAGAAGCATCGAAAGCTTTTAAATGGCTTCGTGGTGATCAATACGACCCTGCTGAAGACATTGCTGAACTTCAAAATGAAAACGAAGAACAAAAAGCGAACAATTTATCAATCGCTGAAGCCTTGGGCAGGAAAACTTCAGTGAGAGGTCTTGTCATAAGCTTCGGTTTGATGTTCTTCCAACAAATGTCTGGAATCAATGCTGTGATCTTTTACACGACGGATATTTTCGCAGCAGCTGGGACTGACATCAATCCAGAGATTGCGACCATCATTGTTGGTGTGATGCAAGTTGTAGCAACGTTTGTCTCAACACTTGTCGTTGATCGTCTTGGGCGTCGCATTTTGTTGCTGATGTCGGATGCTGTGATGGCCTTATGCACATTGTTCCTTGGAATTTACTTCTTCATGAAGCAGAACGATGAGAACAGCGTTGGTAACTTGGGATGGCTGCCGATTGTTGCACTTTGTGTCTTCATCGTGATGTTCTCGTTAGGATTTGGACCTGGTAAATGAAATTAAATTGAAAAGCATTTCAAAGACATTAAAATTGTTTTTTTCTTTCCAGTTCCATGGCTGATGATGGGAGAATTGTTTGCATCAGACGTTAAAGGAATTGCCGCTCCATTATCGGGAACACTTAATTGGCTTTTGGGTGAGTCATCAACGACTTTTGCAAAAAACAAAATGAATTAATCATCGCATTCTTTTCAGCTTTCGTTATCACAAAAACATTTGTGAATTTGAAAGCTTTGTTGGGTGATGGCCAGACGTTCTGGCTGTTTTCGGGACTCTCAATACTTGGAACTGTCTTCGTGTTCTTCATTGTGCCTGAAACGAAAGGCAAATCATTGAATGAGATTCAGAAAATGTTGGCTGGAGAGAAATCAACTGCGGAAGTTGAGGAGGATAAAAATTAAATCGTCGATTAACAATCATCCTAGTCATCCCAAATTGCATCCCATAAACTGATTTTCTTTCTCTTTTCATTCATTTCAACGTGTGAATTTATCAAGGAAAACAACAAAAAGCCAAAAACATTTCAATCGCATATCTTCTTACTTCACTTCTAAGAAAAAAACATAAAAAAATTGTTTGATGTTCAAAAATAAAAGAAAAATGCCAACAAAAGCTAAACTTGATCAATCTTCATGCTCGATTAATTTAACGACTGCACTTTAATCGTTTGTTGACATTTCTCAACTTCTTGGGACATCAAATAAATCTTTTGTCATCTTATTGATATTCTTTTTGTAAAAAAATATTAAATTTTTTATTGCGCAAGAAAATATTCTGTTTGAGAGAAAATATATTCCGTTTAAATATAAATTAATCGCCTTTTTATTCTCCAACTTGAACTTCTTTCAGCGACTTTCCTTTAGTTTCAGGAACGAGATAACAACCGAAAAATATTCCAAGAATGTTGAAGAAAGTGAAGATGAAGAAACAAGTCGAATGTCCAAGAATTTCATGAAGTGGCGGATATAAAATTGTGACGACAAAAGCTAAAGTCCAATAGAATGTGCCTGTCATTGGGACGATAATTCCCTTGATATCAGTTGAGAAAAGTTCGCTCAAAATCAGCCATGGAACGGGACCAAAGCCGAAAAAAAATGCTGCGATGTAAACACAAAGTGCCAATAACGAAATCCACCAAATTCCATCAACAGCACTTTCATCTCTGTCTTTTGTTCCGAAATAGATTCCCATCACCAAGGTGCACATTGCCATGAGTGAACCCGACAAAACCAACATCAATCGACGACCAAATCTTTCCAAAATGAGATATGCAAGAAATGTTGCGATGATTTGAACAACTCCAATCATTATTGTTGCATATTCAGGCGCCATTCCAACACGCGCGTCTTGAAATATTTCAGATGAATAAAAAATCACGACATTGATGCCACTTAATTGTTGAAAAAACATTAAACCGAAGCATAGCAACATCGATTTTATCGAAGATTTCCATTTTATGGCTTCACTGATGCTTTTAGATTTACGAATGTTTTCTTCTTTTTGTAACTCGCTGATTTCCGACGATACCTCGAAGCCTTCGCCACGAACACTTTTCAAAGCTTTCATCGCTTCCTTTTGCTTCCCTTTCATAATCTAAAAAGATGTTTTATTGATTAAATGAATGACAAATTTATTTGAGATACTGACAAGATAAGTTGGCGATTCCGGGCAGAAAAACATGAAAGCGCCAAATAAAATTGGAATAATTCCACAAATTAAACTCGCTGTTTGTGGGTTGAAGAAAGCTCCAAGAATGTAAGCCAATAAAATTCCTGATGTGATCAACAGTTGAAAAAATGATCTCAAAGTCCCTCGAGTTGAGTTTTCTGTTATTTCGCAGCAATAAATCTAACAAAAAATATTTTGAATGTTAAAGTTCGTTAATTGAAAGCAAGAATCAACTTACAATGCCACTGACGCATATCCCACCACATGCAATGCCAATCAACATGCGTCCAATTATCAGCATTGAAGGATTAAAAGGATCGATAAGCATCAACCAACCGGCTAGAAATGGCACGAGAGTCAATAACATTGCACCTCGACGACCAATCTTGTTGATTATGAATCCAGTTAAAATGCAACTTAAAGCTGCGCTGATGGTTAAAATTGAACTTGAAAGCGTCCACTCTGAGAAGTTAAAAAGATTCTGTTAATTAAACTGCTTGATTTAAAGCTTCATTTACCGATGTCTTTGATTCCAAATCCATAGCCAGCATTTTTTATCTTTACATGGAGATTTGATGTCCATCCTTACAGAAATTAAATGATGATGAAATTCAATTGATTTTATGAATTATTAAGGAAACACGAGTTGCAAAACATTAAGCAATATGTAATAAAATTACCAAGTGTTGTACCGACAGAGAGTGCAGCAAATATTGCTATAAATGAACATAAATTAAACCACATTTGAATATGAAAGTCTCGATTTCCCTTTGAGAAACTTACAAGACGTCGCAGGGAAATATTGCAATGACACTCCCATGATCATTAAATGAATCACTCTTAAACAATTAAAATTTAAATAAAAGTGAACTTCAGTGTTTGATGTGACGTTGAAGACTGACAGTAGACAAAAGGAAAATAATTAAAATGCAATAAGCTCTTCATAGTAATGAACTGTAAACTTAGAAGGAATATCAAGTTCCTTGCAGTCATCAGCATAATCTCAGATTCTTATTTCGTAGTCGTTCATTTCGTTTCTGCTCTCAAATTTTCACTGCGAATTTTCTTAGCAAATATTTTGATTCATCAATCTTGGATGAATTAATTAAATGTTAAACATAAAATCTTGTCTCAGACACATGACAGTTGAAAAATTCAGTAAACTTTGAATATTCCTTCAACAATTGTCAGTGAAATTAATTAATTGAATTGATTTTCTGATCGTTCAGAGATTTCGAAATTAGAGATCATTTTCAAGATGCTTAAATGTCCAGAATTAGAGGGCAATGAAGTGGATTTACAAACAATTATTAAGTCAATGTCTGCAATAAATTCAAAGTTAAAAATCAATTGTAAATCGCAAGAAATGGAGAATGAATTTCAAGATTTCTCAGAGGTGGCATTGAAGCATGAAAATTTGGAGAAAACAGACGACACGAGTCATTGCATCGAATTTCGAGAAGATCAATCAATTTATTCATTCATCCAAACATATTTTGACAATGGCGTGGAGGTTTACTTGTTACTCTTCCAATTGATATCAATGACAGTCGGTTTTATGCTTTCAAACCTTCTCAAATATGCATACATGGTCAAAAGTGTCATCGCAGCATTCTTCAAAGCTCTCTTAAAACCTCGTGAGACGACTTCGGATTCTGAATTGGAATGGGAAGAAAAAATCGCTCTAAAATTTCAAGGATCTCTTTTCATTTATTTTCCTATGGCACTCTCAGCTGTTTTGTATGTTTGCATTTGGCTGGTGATACTCACGATTCGTCTTTTATTTCTTAAAGTTCCCACGAAAATTCCTTGCATCAAAACTTTTTAAAATCTTCCACAATTCCAACATTTCGAACATGAAAATATTTAAAAATTAATAAAACTTCTTTGTGTTTAATCATATCAATAATTTTATTTCTATTTATGTTGATCTACAGAGTGAAGAAGTTTTAGAAAGCCTTAAGTAAAGTTTTTAAATTACGAAACTTATTCCATGCCACTAAAACATTTAAATTCCTTGCTTTTCTTACTCGATAAGTTGATAAGTATATTGGAGTGAATATAAACATCAATAACTAAATTTTTGATTTAAGAAAGGAAATCATAATTTAATGACAGTGAGTTGGTTTGTAGCTTTGTTTAAATCTGCCAGCCATGATCTTCTTGGAAAGCTGTGAAATTAAAAATTTATCGTCAAACATTAAAAAGTTTCACACATTTATTTCTTTACCCAAAAAGAATCCAAAAAGTGTCAAGTAGACAACGACATTGCCTAAAATGTTAAGGACACAGGCACCGGTTGCGATTGTTCCTGCCAGACACAAAACTATTGGCAGGGCAAAGGACGACAAAATTATTCCCACAGTTACGAAGATTGAAAGCTCTAGACATGATGAATTATCATAGTTTTGGCGTTTTGAGATCATCGTAGGGAGGGGAGATGCCATATAAAATAGCACTGTGAAGAATGGCCACCATCTGAAGAAATGTAAACAAAGACGACTTAGAAAAACATCAACAAAAATTAGTCATTTCATATTTCTTACTTGTTGTATTGCGGAAGGGCACAAGCAAGAATCAGGAAAGTCACTCCGATTGATCCGAAGAAAGCGAGTGTAATAAGGCTGGAAAATGTAGTTAATACACATTAAGAAGCTTTAAATACATTTAAAATAATTTACTTACGCTGTTTACAATTTTTGAAGACATGAAAAATATGATAAAGAAAAATTGAAATTAACAAGTTACACAAAAGTTTTACTGATAACAAATTTTGTCAGAAATCCGCATCAGTTTCATTTTCAGTAAATATTAATTTTTTACTATGTCCAGTTAATAGAAATTGCAAATAATCACCTTTTAATCCTGCCATTTTTTTCTGTTTTTATAAAAGTAATCAGGGTTGTGTAAAAAGTATGAAATGAACGTACAATTCAGTTGAACACATTAAATTTATATGGTTAAAAACTCCGCCAGAGGACGCTAAAAGCAGTTTTTAAATTTTTGAATTGTAAAGAAATTTTCTAATAATTGGGATAAATAATATTATAAACGCTTCTTACTAAATGATATCAATATCATAGAGTCAACGTGAAAGTAGAAAACGTTTTATTTCAGCAGCTAATCAACAAACTAACTCAATTAAACTAAAAAGCCGGCAACAGTTTAACTTTCGTCATTGTGAACAACAATTCCGCAAGAATGGATCATTTGTTTGATAATCTTAAAGAGTCAGATGTGCTTATAAAGCTAGGATTGAACGCAAATAACCATTGGATCCTGCATGATGAATCTCCAATAAATTTCCTTCAATATTTAGCAGCAAATTTTGATGATGACAACATTCTGACAACTGAAGAGTTTGAATTATACGAAGAATTAGTGAAGACTGGTCAATATTTAGAAGGTGATGATTTAGACAAAGCTATAAAAGAATTAGAATCAAAGTCTCCGGATATACTTTCATATACGCAAGAATCAGTTCAGGAGATGAGAGCTGAACTTGAGCTTTTAGAAGCACGAAACTTGGAAACTGAAGATCGTATTGGACGAATGAGCAAATCAATTGAGCGTCAAACATTGGAGGAAGAGGTGACAAATATTAAGGCTCTTGAGCAGGAAGCTCATGAAAAGAATCTTATAAAAGAATGCTTGGAGAAGTCAATTGAATTAACAGAAATTCAAAAAGCTAATTATGAAGCTGAGATCAAACTTAATCAACTTTACAATAGTTCGGTAAGCATTTTCCTAAATGTCAACTATTTAATATTCATTTGTGTCTTATATTTCAGCAAGAAACTTCTTTCTGGATGTGTCACATGCCATTAGATCAATTCTTTCATAAAAGTACTCAATTGCTTTCTGAAGTTGACTCGTCAGTTCGTAGAAATTTCAATGTTACGACATTTGTAAACGATCAAGAAAACAATCAGATAAATTCCAAAATCTCAGAAGTTCAAAATAAAATATTTGAAGCTACTAAGAAGAAGTTTGAATTCGACATGACAATCGCCAGTCACGAAAATGTCATTAAAAATATTGGGAATAATTCAGACTGTGATGAATTCGATTCTGAAGAACTTTTCAATGCTGTCAACGATATGAACGTTAAAATCGACAGTTTGGATCTTCAATTGAAAATATCTGAAAAGGAAGCTCAATCATTAGTGAGGAAGTCCACTGAATATGATTTAATGGAATTCTTCATTAAATATTACGATGAAAATCAAAAGAGAAATGCGTAAGCCTTCTAATATAAATTTTAGTTAATTAAACTTTAATAATTGTCTTTGATTTCAGTCAACGTTTGCAGACATTGAATACAATTGAAGATGTTGTTGAATGTGTGACATTGCTGTACGATTTCTTGTGGCTGACATTAAAATTAGATCTCGATCGTATCAAGAATCGCGTCAACAGTTCCAGCAGCTTACTGAAAGAAGTTCAAGAGCAAAATAAGAGAATTGTGAGAAATTGAAACATTCTTAAAATTTCTTTTTAAATAATTTTCTTTCATTTTCCACAGAGTCAAATGAAAATTCTTTCAGCTCAGGATCCAATTACACCAATTAAGAATTTCATTTTAAGTAAACTTCAACATATAATTAATGAAAATATGATTGTTGAGCCAAAAAAATTGTCAACCATCGATGGATGTCTTGAGTTGATGGAAGAGCAAGAAAATTTTGATGAGGAAATCAGAAAATCTTTGTTGTCAAATGATGTTTATAATCAGTTCAAGGATAACTTCGCTTTAATGTACGTCATAATTAACCTTTTACCATTCAAAGTTTTAATTTCTTTCATTTCAGTGAATCTCAAATCGCATCCTTACGTGAATTTGTTTATAAAGGTCCAACAAACCGACCTGTACTCAACGACGTAAAATATTATCAAAAAATTTACAATTGCGAGGAGAGCAACCAAAAGGCTGCAAAAATGTTTGAAACTTTAAGACGGAGTTATGAGAATAATTTTCTTAAGCCTTTCAATACTGACAGATTCTTTAAAATGGAGTATAACTTGTGGATTTATTTCCTCACCTCTCCAGCAAAAGTCAAGAAATGCATCCAAGAAGTTCAAAGAAAAGCTGCAAATTATCAGCAACGAAATGCTGTCGTCGGTAAATAAAAATTTTTGGTTTTTTTCGTTTCGAACTTTCGTAACTTTATTTTTACCTGGAACTGAATTAAATTCAAATTTTAAGCTTTTTCTTGTTTTTCATCTCTCTGCACTTTCATGAGGAGATTTATAAAAAAATATTTCCTTCATCTTCATGATTCAATCAACAATCATACTCAGTTAGAAATCAAAATAATTCAGAATGAAAGCAGGGAACGGAACCGGTTCAAACTTTCCATACAATTTTTAGGATTCCGTAACGGTTTTTGTACTGAAAATTGAAGCCGTTTCCGATCCCTGAATTAAAGTGAAAAGATTTTTCAAAATGAAACTTTCGTTGTTGAATTATCATTAGACATTTCTTGAAACTTCCCAGTGCATGGATAAATTAAACTGCCAATCTTAAATGATAATAAAACATAAATGAATCAAATTAAAAATGCATTTTGTTACATCTTGTTAGTTGTTTGATGATGAATTTACTTAATAAGTTAGGAATCAATCGAGTCCAAATTATGTTTAATGATTGAAAACTGTTTTAATGAAAACTTTTCTCTCTTTCTTAAATGCATGTACTGAGGGGATTAAATATATTAATTAATGCTGATGATTAAACGAATATCTCATAAAAATGGTGGAAAAATGTGAAACGTATGGAGGATTAGAAGTAAATTTAATGAAGTTTAAGCAGCCTTCTCTTGATCGATTGTTTCCTTCGTTGGCAATGGATTCTTTTCTTGGGTTTCAGCGTGCTTCAATGAAGTACGTTGGAAGCCTTCAATCCCAGTTATTAATTCAACTTGGGACTTTTCTTGTTGAATAGCTGTGGAGAAGAAACGAAAAAAGTTTAATTCATGATTTACTTTAATTAAAAGGAATTTTAATTGAAGAAAGAACATTCAAGAAAAAAGCAACTCCAAACAACTTTACCTTCCATAGGTGGAAGAGGATTCTTCTCTTCAGTTTCTGCATGCTTTAATCCTGATTTATCAAACTGTTCAACGCCATTTATTAAGCTATTGTGCGCTTTCTCAGCTGCAACAGCTAAAAAAGCGAAAGCACCACAAAAATAAGCGAGAAATAATAAAAACAAATCGTGCTCAAAAGATTCAACACAAAAAATAGTTTTGTAAAGAAAAGAAGAAATGCCAAAACGAATTGTTAATGACATGCAAACAATGAAATTGGAAACTTACCATCAACATTTGGCAAAGGATTCTTTTCATTGGTTTCTGTATGTCTCAACTTTGTTGAGTCAAAGCCTTCAATTCCCGCAACGAGTTGTTGAGTTTTCTCCATTTTTACGTCTGAAAATTGACAAATTTTTGTGACAATTTCTATGTGCGAAAATTATTAATTAACTTACCTTCAGCTGTTGGCAACAAAATTTTTTCTTCAGTACTGGCATTTTTAAGTGAATTTGGCGAAAAGGATTCAAGTTGCGATTTCAAATCGACAGCGACTTTTGGTAAATCTTTCAATGATGGTGCAGCCATTGTTGCTTCTTTTGTTATTTTAATCTTGATTGTTAAGACTGAAGACGAGAAGAAATAAATATTTTTCTTTTATTTGATTGTAGAAGAGTTTTGATGTTAATTCAATATTATTCAATGTGAGAGAGAGAAAGAAGTCTCACAGCTACAACCGGTTTTCAACTCTTCGTAATGTTGATAATGACACCAAAGGTTGTTGTTTAGAGGCAAAACTCGAAGAGTAAAATAAAATTATGCATCACTAGCAATGGTGAGTCACAAGTATCTGAAATATCTTCGAAAAGATTTCAAGAGTCTGCCACATTCGATCAATTCAATCAATTTTGTACTTAAAGAAATTTTCATAAACTGTTCATCAGATGATATTCAAGAACTGAAGATTTCTAATCGATCCATAAATTTTTATAAGTCAACAAACCGTTTTACCATAAGCGTGCATGAAAATCAGTTAGAAATATATAAAAAAAACCATTTTAGCACCCATCACTCATTTCTAATTCTTTTCGCGAATTGCGAAGCGAATATGGTGGGAAAAAAAGAAGAACAATAACGAAAATAAGGCGAATGTTGGAGCTTCTGTTGTTCTACATGAAAACATTCGCAACTTATGAGTCACTCAATTAATCATATCATAATGTGTTCATCTTTACGCCGCTCATCATTTAAATTTTATTCTCCTCATCTGCTTCTTATTAACATGCTTCACTGCAACATTCTTTATTCGATAAGCTTTTTGGACATTGTGACATGTACACGTGGGACTTTTAGAGATTGTTACGGTTCAATGAACTTCTGCGCTTTACAGAAATCAAGTTTCCATTTCGGCACCGATTACTGAAAGTAGGAACTCAAACTCTTGTTGAAATATTGTTCTGTGTTACTCCAACGCAAAAAAAAAAAGATATAAGACAATAAAAAATTATTTTGGGTTCATTGAAAGTTGTTGGATATTTCAAAATGCCAATTTGATGCAATTTAATATTCTGGTTAAACACATAAAGCCATTTGCAGAGTTAAACACGCCGAGGAATAATTTAAAATGTAACAAAAAAACGATTTTCTGATGATTTTTATTGTTGCATTTCCCTATTGCAATGCAGAAGCCGACATTGCAGTTGCGCAGATTTCACCGCTACCGGTACATTGACATTGAATGAAAGGAAGAAAAAGAATTTAAGACGAGTTGCATGCAATTTTCATTGTCTGAATCTTGAAGCAAATTGCATAACTCATGAAAATTACCCAGACAAGGAAAATATTGATTTTTCACCCTTGAACTTCCCACATGAATCATCCGAAACGTTTTTTGAGTCATCGACAGACAAGGATTGAAATTAGGGAACGAATGCATCTGTTAAACATCACGAGAGGGTGAACGAAGTTTCTTTATTCATTTGATTTATATGGGAATAATGAACGATCATTTATCAAAAAGAATTGTCGAGTGAATTAATAAAATATTTGCATATGTAGGTTACCAAATGAATGAACATGCAAAAGTCCGGTCTAAATAAAAATGATGAATAAATCTGCATGTAACGTCTGTTGAGGTCAATATCGAGAGAAAGGGAAACTCAAATTGTAGAATGTCACCATAAAAGGGCAACTCTTTCAAGCTTCAAAGCATTGTGGCTTTCCAAATTTGGATGAAAACATGTTTATGAAAGATTGAGGCATAAATATAAATGAAAAATATGTTCGCACGTCTTGAGAGAATTTAACATAAAAATTGCAATAATCATCGAGGCACAAAGGAAACTCTTCATTTACTTGACGTCTTCAATATGGGACAGTCATAAATTCATTAAGATTTCAAACATACAAATTAATAAGTTTTAAATGAATTTGCAGACCAACGTTAATTAAAATTCAACCATCAGCGATTTACTCACAATTTCGTTAAGTAAAGCCCCGGCTTTAAGCAAAAATGTGAACGGCTTTACACCGTTTACCAAATTTGGTAAGCATTGGCATATTTTTACAACAATAAATGTTTCAATGATCAAATTTTCCCTTTTAAACTTTAAAATATTATGGAAAACATGTGTTTGCTTGACGCCAGAATCTTCACGAATAAACGCAATCTTCGGATGCAAAATTGGTCACAGATGTAAATGCTAATAATGCACAAAACAAGCTTTTTGTTTAAACTGAATGCAAATCATTTGATTAAATTGTTTTCGACATCAGCACGTTTTTTAAAACTTTTTTTTTATCACGATACAACAAAAAAACTTTACAAAGCTGGGCGCGGTCGTATGTGAGATGTTTTAAGCATACATATTTAAGTATGTGCGAAATTAAATTGCAAAAAAATTTGTAATTTGTTTCATTTCCATTGATATCTGACAATAAGCAAATATCTAATTTGTAATAACAAAATATTTGAAAATTACAACTTAAGCATAGTTTTCGCCATATTTTGTGCGAGTTTTTGTGAATTTATCGTAAATGTCGAGTTGTTGATTCAATGAATTGATTACTCACAGGCTCATGAATTTGTATACAGTGAAACGAATCAAAAGACCGACAAAAATTTTTGAACTTTCACTTTCATCTTTCATATTCGAATCATCTCATTGGTCATCCCAAAACAAGTTCAGATTTGATAAAGCAGACGATAGCAGTAACTTCAGTTATTTGTTCTATAAAAACTTTCATATCTGAACTTGAAATTAATAAAATTCGTAAGGAGAATGACTTTAAGGTGTGCACAAGCTCTAAGAACTGATAACCGACAACTTTTATTGAACAACAACCGGCTTTGTCGATACTGTTGGATCGTAAATTCCATCATAAAATATCTTTTCAGTCAATATTCGTTCTTGAGATTCTTTTACATTATTTCAGTCGTCTACAGTTTGAAATTTATAATTATTGCTTCGTAAGAAAGTTTACAAGTTAAAATGGTTGAATTTAGCGAATTAAAATTGACACACGCGTTGCATTTCAGTTTAATTTTTTCATCGAGACTTTTCTTGATAACAAAATGAAATGATTGATAAATTTAGAGCTGATAAGAACGATTTTAGGAATTAAATAAATGTTTTTGTTGTCATACTTTTCTAGATGATTTGGTCGATGACTTAAGGATTTATTTTTTTTTTCGAGTCTAATTTAATTATTATTCAGAAGGCATTACAACTATTCATACATCAACCACTACACTATAATGTTCATGACATCCGCTGCAGATAAGAATGAATGAATGTATTTCCAAACTTCGAAGTTAAAAACTCATTGTTTTTAAAAGAAAGGAAAATTTTATTGTTTCCTCTTCTGAGTGCTGACTAATATCGCAAGTAAACATACTTTTGTAAACACTTCATGACTATTTAATCATAATAATTACCCAACAAAGACGAGGTTCTTCAATTTTTGCAGCAGATAATGAAAAGCCAATTTTTGATCAACCTAATTTGCATGTACGTGCTTAAAAATATTTATAAGTGCAACTTGACGACAACCGAAACTTTCTTTCTCGAGATCGAACTACCGATGCAATTATTGAATTTAATCATTCGTTTAACGATGTTTTTTTTGCGTTTATTAGTTTCGCCTACTTTCAGATTTTCTTTCTTTCATTTATGATTCATAATTTTGTTCCAAATTTGCCCACTTTTTTTTATAGAAAAGTAGAAGAAAAAGCTTGCGAATTTAAAGAAATTCTTTTTTCTTCGCATCGTTGGATGCCCATCTTTAATTGTATTTTCTTCCTGTGTTAACTAACAAGTCTTTATAAATAATAAAGTTCTTAAGAGATTGTTTAAATCTTTATATAGATCTAACAGTGAAGAAAAAAGAGTAAATCGCGAGGCAAATCATTCTAAACATTTGAATTTTAATTAAAAGCGTTGTATCGTTCATGTGTTGCTAATTAGTGTCTGGGTAGGTAGAAATTTTATTCTTAAGTAAATCGCTAGTTAAACATTTTTTATTTTTCTATCGTAAAGAAATTCACTACAAATATTGGCTTGGTTCCACCTCTTTAATTTAAAACAATGGGCTTGAAAATGGACTTATATCTTTATTGAAGGATTGAAAAGTTCAATGACCGATTGAACCGTTGTTGCTGTTTTAGGTTTGAGTTCTGCGGAAAATTTCATGCACAAATTCAGAAAAAAAATCAAACTTTGGGCGTTAATTTTAAGATATTTAAAATGTCGATCTTTCAATGCAACTTCATAAAACTACCGCAAACGAAAGCGACTCACAGTGAGAATATTTTCTGTTATTTTTAATGAAATACTTTTATTATGAATCAGTAAGTAACTAAGACTTTTTCTGAGGTAATTGATACTTGCCTAGTTTATAAGAGTATAAATCCTTAAAGAAGAACGTTATTACTTAGTACTTTAATATATTAATTTTATTTTGTTAAGGAAACAACACCCTTTCGCAACGAAATTCAGAACTTAATTGAAGACTGTGAACGTTAAGAAAGCCTTAAATCTATGAAGTTACTTAAAATCTACATACAACTTCAGCACTCAGTTAATTGTTCCATGAAATGAAGCTCCATGCGTGTGCTAATTTGTAATATTTCGAAACTTTCAAGTGTTGAAGTTCAAAGGGTATAAAATTTATTCTTCTAAGTGTAGCAAGTGACATCTCAGCGGAAAAAACATGAAACTTTCTTTCTACCCAAAACTTTGAAGAGAAAACACAGTTTTCATTAAATCTTAAAAAAAATATGGAAAAACCAGTAGTTTTGGCTCGTGTCATTAAAGTATTGGGTCGCACAGGATCCCAAGGACAATGTACACAAGTAAAAGTTGAGTTCCTCAATGATCCAACTCGTGCTATCATTCGAAACGTCAAAGGACCTGTTCGTGAGGGAGATATTTTGACTTTGCTTGAATCTGAACGTGAAGCTAGAAGATTACGTTAATGGACCAAGCTTTTTAAAAATATCAGTAAGTTTATAATAATCCAGTAGTGCCTAATGAACAAAATTATTAATTAATCATAAAATTCTCTTTTTAGGTTATGATCAACAACATCCCGATTTGAAAACATTGTAAAATTTTTGATAATCTATCAAAATGTTCAAATAAATCGAACCTTCCTGAAAAGAAATAAACCAAATGCAGTTTAAGACGAGTGAATCATTTTGTTATTTCCATACATTGTTTCAGAATGTCGAGTCAACTTGCAAAAATTCTGATATCCAAAATCTATTAAAAATATTTTCTTCGAAATATTGCTCAACATACTCGAATTTTCCTGAAAGTGAACCAACCAATTAGAGTTTGAAAGGAGGAAATCTAATTTCGTACAATGTTTCAAGATACTGAGCTAGTTTATGAAATAAAAGCATCAAGAAATATTTTTCTGCAAAAATTTCTCAGCCAGCTCAAACGTTATGAAAATGAATATGTTCCTGTGTAAATTGCAACGTTGTAGCATGAATATTTAAGACAATAGCATCAAATGATGCTATGTAAGGACAAAAGACATTTCAAATCACATTTGATTAATGTCAAATTTTACCTAAATAATTAATTCTAATTTCTAACAAAAAATTATTCTCATAAACAATATGATTGAAAACAGGACAAGAAGCTTCACATTGAGTTGAAAAGCACTCATTTTTATATGATTCATAATGAGTCAACAATTCAAAAGCTCAGGATTTTCTTTTGAAAAGCTTCAGTGAAAGCTCGATTTCCCCTAAAAGAATTCTCCACTTCATTGCTTTAAAATTTCCCCTTTTCAAAAGCTTCTCTTTCAACCAAGCATAATTTCCCCTAACGTTAATCCTTGTTTCTCCACATTTCTCAAAGCTCCTCTCACAGTTTCCCCTTAGAAAAAGTTGCTCAATTTTCTTTATTAAAATTTTCTCATAATTCTCTTCAGTATGTTTGTAAATTTCATGTAAACTTGACATATTTTTGGTGTTGTCAATCGGTGTATGTAATATCCCAACACAAAACAGAAGAGATAAATCTTTTTAAAGTTAAAATTTTGCGGTTTACCCGTTCAAGGAACCGAAAAACTCAGTGATAAATAAGAAACAAAAAGAGAAACAAAACTACCTTTTTGTTCTGAAAGTTTAAAACGTAGAAAGAAGGGATATTGAAATGATTTGAAAATGAAGATTATTTAAATCAGAAAAGGAGAAAGAATCAGAAATAAGTTTAAAAAAAGGGTGCAGGCAGGTTTTATTACGACGAAAAATATTCGATCGAATGTAAATCAGTTCCATCCATGTTAAGTGTAACCCATACTGAGTAATAAACTTAAATAAGGATTAAAGTGCACTTAATATCAAGCTATAAAGTGATTTCGGATATTTAACAACGATCCAAAACTGTGGAATAACAAAAAATAATTTTATTTCCAGCTTGTAAGTTGAAATGTCAGATGAGAACATATTATATAATGAATATATCTTTAAATTACATAAAAAGTAACGTGATTGAATTTTAAAACGTTTTTAATTCACTTAACTTTTGCTTTCAAGGGAAATCAAAAAAAAATTTATGTGAAATGTGCAAAAAATGTTTCAAAAGCTTTTCAAAGTGTGAAAAATTTCATAAAAAATTTTCGAGAATTTAAAAAATATTTTAAATTCAATTTAAATATTCTTCCAACCGCATTAACTTTAGAATGCTATTATCATTCTTTAAAATCTAAATAGAAACACGAAAAATTTGGTCCATTATATTCACATGAGTCTCAAACCAATGGATAAATTGTGACTTGATTTCGTGCCTTTTTTCATCTCAGGTTGAAAAATGGGGTTGAAAGTAAAAGTAAAACAAAATAAATAAAAAAATAAAAGCGTAGACTAAGTAGAATCAGTATAATTAATCATAAAGTTGGCGTAGAAGGAGCGGCCCCGGAATACGCTCTTTGGGATAGAAAAACTTTTCCTTCGTTCACATTTACGCTCTTCGCTTTCAATGTTGTGGCACTTTTTTCTTTTGATCACGTTAAATTTTCTATACGTTTCTTCCTTTTCCTATATCTACTCATCCTTTGTTGATTCCTCTATTCGTTCGTAATAAGCAATAAAAAAAATACGCAGCCACACACTAAACCAAGAAATGGAATTTATATGTATATCTTGAAAAGTTTGCTTATCCGAGAAAGGTAGTGGCGTAAAATGTTTCGTGTTCTTTTATCCTTCTTGCCATAAAATGAAGGATAGAAAATTCCTTTCAAACTTCTACGTTATTGCATTGTAATTTTGTAAGAGTTTAATACTTCCAGCGAAATTCGAGATTCAAGCAATGTTAAAACTTTTATTCTAAAGCTATTGTTGAAATTACAATTAATACTTTGTTAAAAGAATTAATTACAAAAAGTATTTCAAGACTCTTTCGGCGCTTTCTTGTAATATTTTGTTTTAAATCTTTTCTTAAGGTGAAGCTTTGTTTTACTCTGCTTTTTCTTTCCTATCTAAAGATTCCTTCCTTTTCTGTAAGTCATTGTCAATTCAATTTCAAAAAGGTTCATCTTCAAGATGGTTTTATATATAGAACAATAACGTAGATAAATAAAAACATTCTGTAAGAAATTTCAAAATGAGTTGCTGCTTTTAAGTACTCATTTTGTAAGGAAGGTTTTTTTTATGATACCATCTCATTTCTGCTACTCATTACACACTTGTGGAACTTTCTCAGCATAAAGAAGCATAATGATCTACATACAGCACATGTATTTGTATTTTATTGTTCTACATTAATGGAGGCTAGAGGAAAATATCTTTTATGATAATCACGTCATAATTGCAGAATTTCTCATTAGTTCAACTTACTTTGAAATAATAGTTTTGAGTGCTTTTTTAAGAATTCAGCAAAGTTTTCTTTGTTAACATGAAGTAGATAGTTGAGAGGAATTTAAATTGAAAGCATTTTGCTATCGTGAACAATATGGCATGAATCATTTAAAATTTATCTATTCGAAAAACATGAATATTTCAATTAAAGCACATTAAATCATTACTGAAGAGCACGAACATGCTTCAGTTTAAGTATGTTCGCTACTATTGATTTGTGGCTTCAACCGTTTTTAAATCACAATTAAATCTAATCTGATCGGAACCCAACTAATATTTACCATCGTACAAGTTAATAATCTTTAAATGACTCAACTCAAATAGATAAACTGAAGTCTATAAAGTAAACTGAATAATGTATCTAAATCTATGGCAAATAACAAACAGAAATAATGCATCTAATGGATTATATGATCTCATCAGTTAACGAAGATTTTTTTCCCCTCCATTATCATCATCATCATAATCAGCAGCGAATAAAACTTAAAAGCTTTTTATAAATGGACTTTTATTTTATTTTTTCTTCCTTCTTCGCTTAAAGTAAGTTCATAACACTCTCCAGATTCCTGATTCATCTACTAGATTCTGTTTTATATTTATCTCTATTAATGCTGATCATCTATTAAAATTAAAATTCCTCATAAATTATAATATTAACAACAATGAGAATTGTTATCATTTTATTACTCAACATAAAGTGATTCACTTGGGCTTCATTTTGTCTACCTGGAAACACAATAGTTAGATATTCGTTTTATTTTATTGATTTTTGTTGGAAATTATCATGTGTACTATTACAAACATTGCTTCGATAAATAATTTATAATCTACTTTAATAGTTGTCCCTTAGCGACCAATACTTTTAACATAAACTCAATTCCCAATGCAAAAGTCAATACCCATGAATCCATTTTATAATTAACAAAAACTGTTGTGCTCCAAGCGAGTTGATTATTTATAATTTAAAGTACGAGGATAATTTATTGACAATAACTATTTTAATTTTGTTTTTCCCCTTAACCATTTATTCATAAATAAAAGTTGCATTATGGTGGATCTAATAATTTAGATAAATACAATGTCGCAAAGAATTTATGGGTAAGGAAAAAGTAATTACAAGCAAAAACATTTCTGTTTTCATTCCTGGGGGAAGAAGTGAAGTTTGCTTTTTATGAATCCAATGTTAAAATAATTCTGCAGATAAATATCAGTTGAAGGTTTTTTTTTGGCTTCGACAATGTTTGAGCTTGAGCTTTCAAAGCGTTATCTTTATTTTAGTACATTCATTTCCACTACAAAGTATTTATAGTTCATGCAAAAGGTTTATAATTTTAAAAATTTACAAGCATACACAATGTATGTATCTTGTAAGAACAAGTTTTCCTTTTCTAAACCTTTTAAGTTTTGTGAACCATTTTTTGTATTTACATTTCCCAGTCGTAACCAAACTTTTCTTTATCACTTGATTCTTTGCAAATCTAAATAAACGAGAAAAATCTCTGGATGTGTAAATATGTTAATATTGCAACAAAGGATGAACCTACCTTTTCTTACTTATCTTTAGTGAATTCCATATGGGAATTTAACTTGATTTTCGACATATTCTCTACTCCGTAAATACATAGGTATCTCAACATTTTTATTTTATGGAAGCGAAATAAATAAAACACATAACGACCTTTGAGGCTCTACGAAGGTTCAAAACTCCATTAAATCCAATTCTCTCTACACTCAAATCATTTTATGCTTTTTTTTTATCAATATACACGTTATGGCTTCGAACATAACAAATTATGAGCGATTTATAAATATCATTACGACTTGATCAATGCTCATTTCAAAAATTTGTTCCTTAAGGTGCATTCAAGATAGAAAAAAGGCCAAAAGTGAAATTGTGGAATGAACTTTAAATTTAATTGAATTGCTTTGGATTTATAAACTCTTAAAAATAATTTCTTTAATTGAATGAACCTTTTAGGTGATATACAATCCATTTCAAGGGAAAAATATCATTGTGAATCATTAATTCAATGTTCTCCGTTTACCAATCCTTTCCGATATAATTTTCCTTGGAAAGTTTAGTTAATGGTGAAGGTAATGGGACACAGAAGTTACCGTAGATTGAAAGTGATATTGTGACTGTGGCAAACGACAGATTGAAACTTTAATTTCATCATAAAATAAAGCAAATGGCAAATCACAAATTATAAAGCAATTAACTTTTATAGAATTTCAAAAGAAATCATTTTCTATTAATTCTGTAGAGGTAAAAGAATCTCAAGATTATTTAATTGCATAGACAACCTTCATTTGAAATTGTCATTAGATATCTATCTAAATTGCTGTTGAAATTATATGAAAAACTTTAAATTTATTAGAGACACAAAGCTATTTCATTATAACAAAGAACTTGACTGGAAAATGTAGCGCGTGTGAACTTTTATTTGCTTCAATTTGCATAAACAATTAAAATACAATTATCGTTGTTAAAGGGGGGAAAAGAGAAAGAAAATGGTTGCAATAATCACTTTTAAAAGCATTTAAAGTGAATAGAAAAGCTTTGTTTTTAATAACATTCTTGAGTGTAGAATTATGCAAAAATTACGGCAGACATATGATTAGTAAACATTAATGTTATTTCAGAAATTAATGGGAGTTATTATAACATCAGGCAACAAGGATAACAACGTTTAAAGGAATATTATTCATCTATAAGTCAGAAGAAAAACTGAAAGTGACTAACACGCTTGTTGTCTACAAAAATGGGAAAAAAGAACTCAAAGTTAAAGCAAGATACAATCGACAGGCTGACGACAGACACATATTGTAAGTAAACATAGAAAACATTCGCAACGCTTTTCCTAAGCGCGTGAAAAATTTAATATTCTGGTGTGAGAATAAATTGTAGACGCTTCTCTAACATCCTCATGGTTTTTATCTTTAATGTAAAAGTAATTCATGAAAAATGTTTTAGCAATTAAGTAAAGCAAGAAGATCGTTTAATCGCACACAATGCAGAAATTTCGCTGAAATCATTTATTAGAAAGTTTTCAAGCAGAATGAAAGATAAATACATAAATAATGTGATAAATTACATTCATATTTCATGTGTTTCTTCAACTGTTTATGTGTCCCCAATAAAAGGGATAAGATTTTATTCATCCTAGATATTCTCTTCTAAGTCTGATTTATTATAATTATGTTGCTATTTATGTTATGTGCGTATCGAAACGAAGAACTTACACATTCATTTATGCAAGAAAAGCGGAGAATGTGTGGGAGGATACATGTAATTTTTACTGCTTGTAATAAATTCATCTTTCTTATTTTTTTTTGTTATCTTTTCGACAGTCACAGAAAAAGAGATCAGACAATGGCATAAAGGATTTCTCAAAGATTGCCCCAATGGTTTGCTCACAGAACAAGTAATTGATAGAGATATTTTCTGAACCGTTAATTACAGATTTCACAAAGATGCTTCAATTAATGAAACTTTATTTCCCATTGATTTATCTTTTCATCTAGGGTTTCATCAAAATCTACAAGCAATTCTTTCCACAAGGCGATCCAAGCAAATTTGCATCATTAGTATTTAGAGTATTCGATGAAAACAATGTGAGTTGGAGATTCTTATGAGTTTCAAGAAAAAGGAAATAACAACTGCCGACAAAGCAAATATTTTTCCTTTTTCTTTAAGTACTTTTGGAGAATTCTTATGAAATATTTTTGATAAGGGGATATTCTTAATGAGTTGCTTGGGGAAATTATAACATTCTAATACTTTTTTCTTCTATTTTTCTATTGTCTTTTCATTTGCGGAAACATTTTAACAGGATGGTTCAATAGAGTTTGAAGAATTCATTAGAGCGCTGTCGATTACATCACGTGGAAACCTGGACGAAAAATTGAATTGTGCGTTCTTTAGTAAAAAAGGAATAATTATAGAAATCTTAAAAAGTGCTTTCATGTTCTTACAAATATCAGTGGATGCTTTTTTTTTATTGTCAAATAACTTGAAGTTGAACATATTCAAAAGTTTTCTGATTGTTTTTCTATGCTAGTGTTGTGATCGTTAATTCACAATGATTGGCAGAAGTTAAGATTAGTTGTAATGTATTGAGAAAGAATATTAATGGAAAAAGCGGAAATTATTTAGCTCTACATCAGTACCTAGTAAATCATATTACAGCTACAGACTCACTTCAAGATTGATTATGACTTGAAGAATTAAATAAACTTCTAAAATAAAAGTCATTCTTCATTCGCGAGTTGATAGAAAGCAATTTTGTGAGGATGAAAATGTCTATACTAGAGTATTGCAGTCGAGCAAATTAAAAAAAGAGAATGAAACGCTTATCTACAAGTTTTGAAAGTTCAATTATTTTTCTCAATATTTATCGTGATGATCGTACTGAAAATGAACTTTCTGCAAATGTATATCAGAAACAGTTTGAATATAAATTGTCTTGAAAAAAGGATGTCATGTTTGAATTTCATGTCACGTTTTGCTTAATTTTATTTAAAACTTCCTAATGTACACTGACAAGATATAATCCAGGAAACTGGATACTTTTAAGCATATCTTTTTTACATGTACATATTAAATACATTGATATGGATACACTCACACACACACATATTCATCAAGGAGTATCATTGAAACACTATTCACTCCGAACAAAGATACTGAAAATATTTTAAACTTTTTAAACATCAATTTGATATCTAAATGTGCGATTTTTTTTTTCTCTAACTTTGTCTTCCTTTCTGCTATCTTTGTCGTCTTCAAATTTATTTGGCTTCAAGAAAAAAAAAATGAAAAGCTGCTGAAAGTTTTTGACATTTTATCAAAGATATTGTATATGAAGCTGTAAACTTTTTAAGTGTTTTTATAATTATAAGTTTTTGAACAAGAAATTATGATTATAAGTGTTTTTCGTTTCCTTGTTTCCGCTTTAAATGAAACATCAATTATGGCATTTAAACACTTGAAAGGATGCTTAAGTTGTTGAAACTTAAACTAACTTTGGTGTTTGATTGTCATGGTAGCAGACCTTTGCTAAATTTAATCATTTTTTCTGCAAACATTTCTTGAGCATATAACTTTATTATTGAAAAAATATCATTAGGGGCATTCCGGCTGTATGATGTTGATAACGATGGTTTCATAACGCGAGACGAGATGTATAATATAGTTGATGCTATTTATCAGATGGTGGTAAGTTTATTTACTATTTATTAAGTTAATGTTATTTTCTTGTCGTTGGGTTTTCCTTTTTGTTTCTGTTTTGATCCCCCACAAACATGAAAACTTGTTTTCAACATAAGAAAGGTAGAACTTACTTTATCTAAATATCTACAGGAAAAATTTGGGTACACAATGATGAAGAATTAATTCCTTGCTACCTTGTCTTATTAAATATGAATTTCTTATTATAAGAAGAATGAAAGTTGAAAACGTAATCTTTCAGAAGCGTTACTTAATAATTGATGTGAAATTAAGTCACAGATTTTAGATTTTAGCAATTTGATGATTTGAAAATTTCCGAGTGATTAAACAACAATTTCTCGCCAAATTTATAACAAAGATTACAAATCGGATCTGTTCGAATCTCTCAAATGTAAAATGAATTTTAATCTTAATGGAATATTTAATTCTTGATTTTATTATATGTAAGTTTGTTGAAAGATAAAAAGGAAGAATTTTCCCATCAAAGCTTTCTGTTTATTCTCATGACAAATGGCAATGATAAATCTAAATGAAAATTCACAGGGTCAACAACCAGTGACAGAGGATGAAAATACACCCCAAAAGCGAGTTGATAAAATATTCGATCAAATGGACAAGAATCATGACGATCGTCTTACTTTGGAAGAGTTTCGTGATGGTAGCAAAGCTGATCCCCGAATCGTTCAAGCACTTAGCCTAGGAGGCGATTAAGTTTTACACACTGTTCTTCTCTCAGATGCGCTCGAAACGACAGACTACTTTTATTGACATTCCTGCAAGTTTCTTACCCTCTTGCTTAGCAGTAGCTACCTTTTGCTGCTTGAAGTAGTTTTTCGTTCTCCTGAAATGAAAATGTCATAGAACTTTTTTTATGTTGCCGTTGTCAAAGTTAGATAAAAAAGAAAAATGTTTGTGAACCCATCGCATTTGTTCTTGTTTCTAGAAACTATGAAATAATTCATAAAATATCTAACAACATAGACAGGAGAATATCATGAAATATGCTGGCATTTGTTCTCTTTTGTTTCTCAATGTTGCTTCATAAATTCTACGATTATCTTTAATAACTTTTTTTTATTTATTTTCCAAGCAATGATTTATTAAAACGCTTGCAAAGTTACAAATTTAATCAAATGAATCAAACTCACTACATCAGGTATTTGATATACTCTTCTAATGGCGATGATTGGTATTTTACATCGTTATTTAATATTAAAAATAAATAAAATGAAGACAAACAACAAAAGAGAAAACTTACAAAAATATTAAATATTGACACATAAATCGAGCGACATCACATAATTTAATCGAAGCACAGGTGACGGTGAAGAAACACAATTTTAAACGAGGAGTGAGCACTTAATCGAATTAATTAAGTATTTAAGCAATACGAAACACCAAACAAAAGGATAAGAAAAATTAAAAGTAATGGAAATTATCTGAAACGAAAAAAGGAAAAATAAATTAATTAATCTTATCAAAATTTAAGTTAAATAATAATTAACGAAAACAAAAAAAATGTTTAATGAATGAATTAATTTGAAAAGAAAAATAATAATTAAACTTAACGTGATTGCAAGAATGTTTGTTCAAAGTGCATGATGATTAATAAATAAGTAAAATATGATAGCAAAAACAAAACGAAATAAAGGTGAAGATGGCGCTTGAATGGAGAAGTCAAATGTTTATGCTTTCGTTTTTCATCGAAATGATTTCCATTAAGGTGCAAACTACCTTTTAAAGTTGACATGTTTACATATAATAGAGTCAGTGTTGTTGCTTTTTTACTCTTTAAAATATCGAATCACAAAAGTTTGATAAAAGGAAAAGTTATTCAAAATACAAATAAAATTAGCTTAATGGAAAAAAAAGGATCTTAAGAAATTGAAGGAAAACAAAAATCAAATTGGACTATCAAAAAGAAAAGCTAAAGTGTGTAAAATATTTTTTAAATGAAAATGATGAAGATTCATTGAATTGCAAAAACTATCATTAATTTTCAGAACTGATGAACTTAAGTCTTCGATTATAAAGATTCGAGTTCGAGGTTTAAGTAGCATCTAGGATTTCTCGTTTGAACATTATTATATAACACGTTTGGCTATTTTGCGATCGTATCGAATAAATCATAAACAACATTTTTTCTATAACTTCTGTTTCATCTTTCTCTTCTCTTGAATCGCTACTTATGATTTGAAATGTTTGAACTATCACTAATTAAAGTGATAAAAGGCTTCCTCGTATTCAAAAAGAGTTTTTCTTGCCTTGTGAAATTACTAAAAGTAGATTTTTTCATAAACACTTTGAAACTGTTTTCCTTAGTACGGTAATTAATTAGAACTTTGTAGATCTGTAAGTAATGGATCTTGAAATTTGTTTTGCTTCGTCTTTGCAGTCTGTTTTGTTTGAAATTTCTGTGATAACCGTAATCATAAAAAAGCAAAATTTAAAGGACGAAAAATCTTTAGAAATTAAATCTGAAAATTTCACTACAGTAATATGTATAATGCATTCGATCTTTAATGTTATACGCAATACTTTTGAGCGTTTTATCTCTTCTTAAATAACATTAAAATTTTAACATTTAAAAGTTCAATTCTCAGTTGTATGCTGTCTTGTTATTAATTTATGATCATAATTCTTAAGTTTAATTACTATCAAACATAATTTTTATAGCATATTAACCCCACATTTCTATCCTGAATGTAAAATAAATTACATTAAATCTGCAACCACATTCAGGCCTAATAATAAATATTTAAAAAGCAGCGATATAAAACAATTCAACACTCTAATTAATAAAAAAATCTCAATGTGAATGTTCATCCTTAATGGCAAAACTTCATCTTAGTTGTTTTTATTTCATATTATAAAATATTATCTAAAAAAATTAAACAATTGAACATTTCTCAAAATTTTGACACAAAAAATTACTTGCACTGTTAAAAGATGCACTTTTGGGTAAATCTTTATGAAAATTTTAAATGAAAATTAAATTTATAAAAATAACCTTCCACTTACTAACTTAACTCTTAATTTTCTAAGGTTTTCACGGGAAGTTTCCATATGGAATTAAAATATTAGCTTAATAAATATTAAATCTTCAAAGTTTCTGAAAATACTAAGTAATGCTATTAACTACAAAAGTTATAAATGAAGTTTTCAAATGGAAAATGTATTAGATATTTTAATGAAAAAGAAATTCGATTTAAAAGGAAAACTTGTACATAATCACTTGAGTTCACTCAAAGTAATACCTATATTTTCTACTCAGCCTCATGAGATATTACAAATACAAGTTATTTCAAATGAAGATACAAATCTATTTGCGTTTACCCCCCAGAGACTTAAGTGTTATGAAAATATAATTTAAATCAATATTCTTTTCGATTGCAAACATAATTGAACATACATAGTTAACAGGAAAACCAGTCGTTATTTGTGTGCAGTTTCATGCAAAAAACAAATTTATTATGAATAAAGAAAAATTAAGATTTACAGAATTTGTTTGTTTTTCTTCTGTGGGGAATTTTTGAAATATTTTGTTACAGGAATCTTATAAGAAATGACATAACAAAAATAACGGTTTTTTGGAGTTTAAATTTTCAAAGGTTTGTGTCTTGGGTTATCTCAAATGTCTTTGCTAGAAAATTTTCCCAAAAAAAGTTTTTGTTTTGATTAGAAAAAATAAAATATGGCTTTCAATTTTGATCAATTTAACAACACATCATTTGTCAAACCATCATCGTCTGTTGGTACATCAGACAGATCTCAAATTCCTCCATCAGATTACTCAAGGATCAGTAAAAATGATGAAAGAAATATTTTTCAAAAATCTAAAATGAATCTGTCATTGCCGGCTACGATAACTCACCTTTGTGTTGCCAACGACTGGCTCATAATTCTAATGTCAAATCAACTGTTGTTTCGTCTCAACTTAAAGCATCCAGATAAGCAGTCAGAAGTTTTTCTTGAGAAATTCATAACAGGACAGAAAGTTAGCAAAGTTTTTCTTGATCCAACTGGAACTCATTTTCTTATTTCGCTTGTTCCAAAGTCATCCGGATATAGTGCAGAACTGATGTATTTAAATAAAAATAGTAACAAGCCCAAGATTATCAACAAAGTAAATATTATTGAAATAGAAGTAAGACTTTTAAAATATTAAATTAAATTTGATCTGATTTTAGTTCCACGATCATGAAGTGACTGCTGTTGGATTTAACTTTCAAAACACATCCGAAAATAGTACAGGAAATATACTTCTTGGGACATCGAGAGGACTAATATTTGAAGCTGACATCGGAAGTGATGGTGAAAAAGTCATACAAAATAATTGGAAACAGGTAAAGTGACTCAATTTGAGTGTTTCTGTAAATTTGTAAATTATTTTCTATCTCTTATTATCAAGCTGCCAAGCTACATTCCTTTTGGATGTAGAGAGATTGATGGTTTGGTAAATTAAATGATTCATTGAAATAACTTTCAAATTCAAAAATATTTATTTTGATTTCTTATCCTCGAAAAGGTTTTTGACATTGGCCGTGGTGAGAAAGAACCAGTCACTGGTTTAGGATATTATCGAGCTCCTGGAACTAACAACTACATTGTGCTCATTTCAACACTCGAACGTCTTTACAAGTTCCACGAAGTGCTTCAAATATTCGATGAGAAATATCCAACACTTCAAAATATTTTCACGCATTATTTGAATGTGCCTGAAGAGGCGAGAGATTTTGAACAAATGTCAAGCAAGCTGACATATTCTTCCTTGGATTTCATTTATCATCGGAAGTTTCCAAAAGCTTTTGGTTGGCTTACTGAAGGTGGAATCTTTCTAGGGGAAGTCCATCAATTGTCGAATAATCCAAACTTTATAACAAGTAGAAAAACAATCGATTTCCCTGAAAATGACAACAGCAGCTACTCAGCAAGCTACAACATGTCGAGACATCAAAGTCAAGTTCCAAATTCCTTCGTTCTTACAGATTTTCATGTTCTGCTGCAATATTCAGATCATGTCACTGGAATTTCTTTGATAAATCATTCGATTGTTTATGACGAATACTTTGCTGATCAATATGGACGACTCATGTCGATTGTGAAAGATCCAGAAAATGGAAACATTTACACATTCAGCAACAAGACAATATTTCGATACAAAGTAATTCTTTTGATGTTACTTTAATTCAGTTAATTAATTTTGTGAATTTTTTCCCAGATCAATGATGAACAACGCGACGTTTGGCGAATGTATTTGGAACAAAATGATTTTGAGAAAGCTAAAAAATTCAGCTTTCACAATCCTCATCATTATGATGTTGTTCTTTGTCGAATAGCTGAAGATAATTTCGAAAAGAAACTTTTCATGGAAAGTGCGAAAGTTTTCTCACAGACAAGGAAGAGTTTTGAAGAAGTGACATTAAAATTTCTTCAAATTAATGAAAGTCTTCCACTCATTTACTATCTTAAGAGTCGTTTAAATGATTGTAGCATTGAAGAAGATCAAATGCATATCACAATGATTGTCGTTTGGATCGTTGAACTTTACCTCACTGAAATGAATCGATCGACTGGAACAAGTTCATTGGAACGTCAAAAGGAATTTGATGAGTTTATGAGTCAACCAAAAGTTGAAATGTGTTTAAAGAATAATAGAAAATTATTATACGACATCATAGCTTCACATGGTGATAATTATAATCTAACAAGTTTAACGACATTGAATGAAGATTACGAAGAAGTCATGAATCATTATCTTCAAGACAACGAATTTCAAGATGCTTTGGATACTCTGAAAGTGCAAAGAAAGACCGAACTTTTCTACAAGTTCATGCCGATTATCATTGAAAAGTTGCCGAAAGAAAGTATTCAACTTTTAATTGAACGTGGAAAGAATTTGAATGTTTCAAGATTATTGCCGACTTTATTGAATGTTAAAAATGAAAAGCATGCAGTGGAAGTTGTGAAATATTTGGAATTCTCAATTCATTCGCTTGGCGTTCAAGATCAATCTGTTCATAATTATTTAATTCAACTTTATGCTAAGCAGAAAGAAGAAGACAAATTGATGAGCTACTTTGAGACGCAAGGAAAAGAAGTGTCGATGCTTCACTATGACGTTCATTATGCATTAAGATTATGCAAAGAATTTTCAATGAATGTTGCTTGCGTGTTTTTGTTGTGTCTTATGGAACTTTGGCAGAAAGCAGTCGAACTTGCACTCACATTTGATTCAAAGCTTGCACAGCAAACTGCTTCACAACCAATGGATCGTGCGTTGAAAAGGAAACTTTGGTTGATCATTGCAGAACATGAGATAAGCGGAAAAGACAACATTCAAGAAGCTCTTGAGTTACTGAAGATCTGTGATCTCTTAAAAATTGAAGATTTGCTTCCCTTCTTCTCGGATTTCCAAGAAATTGATCATTTTAAAGATACAATTTGTGATTCGTTAAAGGAATATAACAACAAAATCAAAGATCAAAAGAAGGAAATGAATGAAAGTGCGGAAGCTGCACAAACAGTCCGAGAGTCAATTCAATCATTCCGTAATCGATCAGTGACAATTTGTGCTCATGATAAGTGCTCAAGGTGCAGCAATTTCTTATTGCTGAGACCTTTCTTCCTTTTCCCATGTAGTCACAAATTTCATGCTGATTGTCTTGAGAAAAATCTGATCGAACTTCTCAGTAAGTTATTCAAATTTTCCTTTAATATATTTAAATAATTCATTTAATATTTTTAGCTCCCGAAGAAGGTCAAAAACTCATCAAACATAAGCAAAAACTCTCAATCTTGAATACACAAATCGAGATGGCGAAGAATCAAAATAATTCTGTACCAACATCAACTGTTGAAGCAAGAGATCAACAGAAACAGTACGTCGAGGATATTCTCACTGCTGAATGTACGTTGTGCGGAAGTCTCATGATTCAACAATTGGATCAACAATTTAACGTCATGAATGAAACGTGGTAATTGACTATTCATATTCCAAAAGTTCCCACTTTAATTATTACTGCATTAATGGAGTCATAAAGTTAAGAACAAAAAATGTATTAAAACAATTTCTTTATTTAAAAAGTTTGACTTTTATTTTCGAGATTTAAGGATGATGGGCAATTTGTTTGGTCTTTAATTAATTAAATAATCTGCATTCTCAACTCATTTTTGAGGAATTGCATAACTTGTGTAACGATAATTTTCTGTAATGCATCGCTGGTCATCAGTAAAGGCACAAGCATTGCAACATCTTCAGCACTGAAGTTCTTGAATGCTTCCACGACATGTCCACATAATCTTTCCTTTTCATGATCTGTCATTTCTTCTTTGATCACAACTGCAGCTGATTTGAAGGTTCCTGAGAAATAAAAACAAATAATTGCGTTCAAAGTTCAATGTCACCGATTCAATTAAGTTTAAACAAACCTTTCGATTTAGAATAGGCGTAAAGTCCACCAGCTGTGGCTCCAATTGGTATTCCTAAAGGACCTAAAATCTGTTAATAAATAAAATTAAATATTCGTAAAATATTTCTTGAATTTCACAATTTCTTAAAAATCTTACAAAAGCTCCGGCAAATGTGAACCCAGCAACTGTCAAGCTAGCTTGAGCAGAAGACTTCACAGTTACTCGAATGTCGTGGTTGTCAGTTACAATTGAGACGGCTTCGATAATTTCTCGCGTATTCACAGTCATGATAATTGCTTTGATTTAATGAATTTTCTGCTTGATAAGAATTTCACTTTGTTCACATCAAAAAAACCTTTCCAAAAGTTTCAATCAATGATTTTACAGATTTTAATGTTTTAAATTATGTGAAAATAAATAGAAAAACACTTTAAAAATATTAAATGCAACCTTTGATCGTTTTGATGGCTTTTCTTTATGTTTTGTTTATATTTTCCTAGAAAGCTCTGAGTATGAGTGAGCTGGAGTTCTCCACTACACATTAACTTCCCTCGTTCAACATTCAAATTCCACAAAACCGTTAAAATTTTAATCATTTTTCTACGGAAAGCTTTTAATATCCAAAAATATAAATTAAATGTTTAAGGCCAGTTCTTAATTTAGAGGATCTATTAAAACTTGTATAATTTATCAAGGCTATGCTCATCTGATATCATCTACGAGTTTTTTAAACATTAACATATTCAACATAACTCAAAATGACACAAATACAAGAAGTCAATGAGTCACTAATTAGTTTTGTCAACAAATTCAACAACAAACTGCTTCAATACGTAATGGAGTACATAAATAAAAAATACTAATATAAAATTCTTTTTACTCATTCTTTATTTTAAACAATTTTGAAGAAAAATTGCATTAATGTGTAGATATATAAAAATTACAAAAAAAAATAAAAAAATTGTTTTAATCGTTGAACTAAATATTACGTAAATTGTCAAATTTATACTGGGCTTCGTCTGAAGAAATCTTTAACGATATTCATAACACCGTTGAAGACGCTCTCGACCTAAAATTCATAAATGTTTTTAATGTTTCTTTATCTTTTATTCTTTCGTTACCTGCTCAATGACTCTTCCACTAATTCCATTATTAGCCTAAGTAAAAAAAGAGTTAATTGCAATAATGATTAAGGAAATGAATTTGAAGTCACCCTTGGACTTGGGCCAATTGAGCCTGGGTTATTCTGATAACCCCCTTGAGGTATCTTGAAATGTTTGAAGAATGTTAGAAATAAATCATTACATAATCATATTAACAACTTACTGCAGCAACTGCTAACACCAATGCTAAAACCACAAAAAAAACTTTCAACTTCATAGTTTTTACTTATCGATCTTGTTTATTCAAAACAAAATTTGCTACTAAAAGAAGAGCGCAAAATATTGATGCGGAAAATTTTATTTTTCCCCTCTATCGTTTGCAGAATGCGATAAACTCATCACAAAACTAAAATATGACATTCGTAACGTTTAAAAACAAGCATAGATATCAAAATAAATGTCAATTTAATCTGCTTTAACTTGTGCTATGCAGCATAGAATCGCTTTATGAATGCTTCTAGCGTTGAAGATTTTATCAATATTCCATGGTCAGAGATTTGTTAAAAGCTTAATTGACGTTGATCTGCGCTGAAGCGGAAATTAATGATTTGTCAAACTATCTAAGCTTTAAATTATCCATCACGAGAATATGTTATTATTAATTCGACATACGTATTCCAATTTTAATTAACTGCAACGAATATCCCAAGCTCCATGAAACTTTTTATCAAATTATTTCATATAAAAATGCAAGACGAACTGCAATTTTATATCACAAACCAATTTGATTTCCTAGACATTCAAAATGAAGTTTCAACCAACAACATTATTCATTATTCTTGTCATCTTGGCTGTAAGGAAATAAATTGCATCGATTTAATTAATCAAGTTTTTGTATCAATTTTTCAGGTTTCCATTCATGAATCAACACAACGGCCCCAACCTGACTTGAAAGAGCTCGTCGAAAAGCTTCCAAATGTAATAATGGAAATTATGCAAAAGTTTCCAAAAATTGACAAGGAAACTTTCCCCCAAATCATAAAAGAGTTGAAGTCAAGATTCCCAAATGTTGATCCAAGAGAATTTATGCAGGCAGTGAAGGAAGTTCTTCCAAAAATTATGCAAAACTTGCCCAACTTGGGATAAAAAGCTTTAATTAAGTTTCTCAGAAGTGCTGTTAAAAACGAATTGTGAGAATCATTAAAAGATGTTGAAATGCTGATTTTTGTGATGTTGCAACTTTATTAAAAATGCATCTGAGAAGCCGATCGACAAGAAGTTAACAAAAAAAATTCTTTGTAAATTTAGCACTCAAGTGGAAAACACTTAATGGAATAAAAATAAACTAAGCAATGCATGATTTCTCATTAATTTATTGTCTCATGTTTTCAATGTTGTGCGTCTGAAATGCGTCTTTCTTACATAAAGCCTTAAACACAAATAAATTATCTTTCTTTTTTTTACATTTTTAATATTTTCCTTTTCGTCATGAAAAGCTTAAGAAAAAAAAACTCTACTTATATCCTGTTAGGTGCTTGTAAACCTCTTGTGAAGTCATTGTTTGGCGGTAAGTATTCGTTGGTTGGTGGTAAGTATTCGTTGGTAGGTGGGAGATAACGTTTATTTATGAAGTTGGATTGGCTGTGTGGATTCTTGGTTGTCGCCACCGGGGGGGACTGCTTTCTGTTTTGTTGGAATCGTTGCTTGCTACCTGCATTTGGATCGATATCAGGGATGTCAAGTTCAAGTTCTGTTATTGGATGAAATCCCAATTCATCAGCAGTGTAACGAACTCTGTAACGTCTTCCATCAGCGCCAGTATATGAATAGCTTCCTTTAACTACAAGCGTTTTGTTATCTGCCTTCAATTTACCAACTTGTTCAATCTCAATGCCGTTTTGAGTTCCCAATCTAAAATAAGAAAAAAAAAATCAACACTCAAAAAACTTCGAGAATAAATCTTCCAACACTTACGCGAATTTAAAATTCTTCTTTCCCTGTACATTTTCCGAAATGAGTGTTTTGGTTTTCATCGGATCGCCAGTGAAGATTGTCGGTTCTTTTGTGTCTTCTTTACCTTGCGAGAATGTGAAGTCCTTGTCTTGAAATAATTCAGCATTGCGATCGGGATTAGATTTGATGATAATCTTACGTGCCGACGAATGGCCAATAATTGCGAGCAACGTCAGAAACTGTAAAGTGAGTGGCAAAAAATAATATTTAATCAATTTCTCACGTGTTCATTAAACAAGCACACAAAAGCAGTTGTTGGAAGTGTCAATGGATCATTAACTTTCAAACGTTCATTTGAATAATCCATTTGGTCAAAAAGTTTTGCTAAAATTGCCTCTTTTAGTACATTTCCATTTGTGATTTTCTTCTTATGTTCTCAGGTGCGTGTAGAGAAGAGCAAGCAAATGAAAGATTCTCAACGATGAGAATAATCAACAAAGCCACGGATTATAACTTTTTAAGTCGTCATAAACTGACTCAGCAATGAACATTTATGAGACTTTTAAATCATTGATCGAGATTATGATGGTGATTAATAAGAAGCATTAACTTTGAAATTAGCCATGAGAAAATTTGAATACATAATTATTTGAATACATTCAGGTGTTGGCTGTGGATGAGGTAAATGACACTTTCAAGTTAAAGGCGATTAATGATGATCAACCTTTTAAATTTCACTCGCAACTTAACATTCAAAGAAATCTTTTCTCAGAAGATGCTTTGAACAAATACAACATACAGATGTAAAGTTCTTGTGAAGTAGTTCTGACTACAAGTCAAGCCCATTGAGACGGTAAATATTTACATGAAAATTATTTAACCAATTTAACATCTCCTGTTCCCATCTCACATTTTATAATGACAAAATATTAAATGATTTCAATTAACTTAGTCAAAGAAACTTGGGATGATTTTAGTCTTTTTTTTTGGGATGTTAAAACTCGTTTTCTCCCACGAGCTTTTAAAATGCTAAAGGTTCTAATTGAACAAACGAAATGAGTTGGTTCAAAAGTGAAGTCAATCTTGATAATTGGAGAATGAAATGAAGAGTCACAACAGTAAACGAAATTAATGTTTCCCTCGTCATTTGACCATTTCATGAGCGCCAGTTTGTCTCTTAGAAACACGAAATAAGAAGCTCAAAATTTAACGCCAAAAAGAGAAGAAGCGTTTCACAAATTTAGTTTTGTCATTTTTTTAGTTAAACGACACTCTGTCACAGTCGTTAAAATGATGTAAGCAACCTCAAAGGAGTTTTTTTTCCTCTATTTTGCTATTTCTCTTTAATGGCTGAGTTATCGATAGAATATGCTAATTTGCATTTGATTTTGGCAAGCATTTATCATTTTTTCGGCATTTAAAGCGAAATGAGTGCGCGCATAAATTGCACACACGTCTAAGGTGCAGTTTAAGAACGTAAAATCCAAAGATTTATTGATAATAAACTTCGCACCAAAACATTTTTAAAATTTCATGAATGAATTTAAATGCGGAGATTTTAAAAATGAAATAAAAAAAGAAAAGCTTCGCACTCATCAACTAGTCTGGATTAAGTTAGACAGTCGCGTGACCTTCAAAAGCGATATGAAAATATAATTCTCGTTTTTTTTTCCTTCCATATGTTTTATAAAAACCGGCTTTAGTAATATTTGTCAAATGTCGTAACATCTGACGATATGAATGTTTTAAGTGCATTAGGCATATTGAATAAAAATTAATCAAGGAATCTTCATAACAATTTGGAAAATATCGAAAAGACGAAATATTGCCATCATAATGGAATTGCTTAATGTCATTGACCACATTGGGATGAAACAACTTAAAAATTTTATATGCAATGTTATAAATTTGCTCAACCCATTCATGTCGATTCTTAATGTGAATTTCTTTCTCATGAGATTAATTTCCAAAAAAATGCCTACGTGAGAAATGCTCTGTAATCTTCAAGTCCGTGAATATTTATTCTCTAATAAATTTATTCCAGAGACAACTTTATCTTCAACCAACGCGTTGAAAGCTTTTTTATTTCGTTTTCTTGTTACCGATCGCTTTAAGCAATCTTCCTGTGATGCCACATGATTCATGAAACATATCATCAAGTCCTTAATTATTTAGTTGCTGTTTTCTTGTGTTATTAAATGTTCATGTTTGCGAAGCTCAATAACGTGCTTTAATAGTTCTCGTAAGCTGTTTAAAGTGATCAATCATCAAAGATTATGTGTCGGAAGCGCTATATGAGTCATTAAAGCGAAATGAAAAAAGTGTTTGTATGATTCAATCGAGTTTCTACTTGGTGTTGAGGTGTTTCAAGAACTTATTAAATTAACTCATAGGAAGCATCTAAGAAGCGCCGTCAAATGAGAATGAACAAAAAGTCACAACTTGACATTGAAAATCTTCTGTTTTTAAATTTTTTCTTTCGATATCAATTCACTAATCATAGAAACGGATCTCAGATTTCAATTCATGGCTTTATTTTTAATCAAAAAATAAAAAAAGAGGTGTGTTCAGAAGTATTGAGTGACATACAGTTTGTTAAATATTTAATCGCAAACTGCAGAAAAAAAAGCTTTAAAAGAATTCAGAAGAAACCGAAAATCCACAGTGAAGAAGGGAAATCAATAAACGCAATTCTTCTGCTCAAAATGACTCGTTTCATGAACAGCAAGTATACGCAGAAGTAAACAAATCAAAACTGTTAGTTATGTGGTAAACTTCAAATCAATATTTATGTTTTATTAGAATGAATTCAGATTTTGAAAGCTTAGGAAGTGAAGCTTTTAAACATAAACCATGACAAGGATATTTCAGGAAACTGGCGAAAAACAAGTTCGTTAGATATGAAAGAACGCGCTTTACCGCTATACCGTAAAATGATTGAAAATTAAGATAGAGTCAATCATTCGATTTAATTAACTTGCTTTAATAAGCTTGTTGTTAAAGCAGTAAACACGTTTTTCAACGTCTTTTGATGATTATTATCGCACGTGTAACGTTTTATTCACTTTTGTCCAATTCATGACAAAAGGAGGCATTTCATTAAATTTTTTATTTGCGTTACTGTAATAAACACGTCTAAAAGCTTCGACATTAAAAGAAATAATAAAGTCTATGTTTAGTAACCATTATTATTGAATTATGTTTTAGTTCTGCGCTATAAAAAAACAGCTAAGAACGAACAAAAAAATAAATAAAATTAATCCCTTCTTTGTTATTTATTACACTGAACAACGACGTTCAATGAACTTTAGCGAATTCTTTGAAAACAGTTTAAATATCTGGAAGAGGTCTGTAAATTTCAGCAAACAATTTCCTGGTTCTCCTTCGTGTTTTTGATGTTAAAAGTGGGGAATAAATAATACGTTTGATACCGATGGCATTAAATGTGAAGATGAGACACGTTTTCGACCGAGATCTTTTTTATTTTCATCGTTCGCCGGTCCAAATGTGTGCTTCTTTGTTCTTTGGCATTTCTTTATCGCTTTGGTCAAGTTTTTCTCGACCAGTCAGCTCCGAAAACATATTTATCGCTTGATCTTGTCTTGATTCGTAAAAATCTCTGGCGGCTTACAGTTTGAAGAATCAAATTATTCTGATGTTAATAATTCGTTGAGAAACCAGTCAGGTAAACACAAAACGCATGCCTGTTGTCTTTCAAATTGACCAATAAAACAAACAGCTTCAACAAGAAGTGAAAATTATAAATTCATCAGTTATTTAAAACAAGTGATTTTGGTCTATAAAAATCCGCACACCTTTATCAATATTCTCAAGTTATGAATTATAAACTAGAATGATATTCATCAAATCTTCAGATATTGCTTCCGGTTAGGGCTATTAAACCTGAATCAATAAAATTAGTACGCACAAAATTCTCATTCCAGTTTAAATGATATGTATGTTAATGAGCTTTAAAATTGATTAACTTATTTAGAATAATTTGAAGGTTCATTTGCTTATTGGCCATTTGACATTTAAATATCAGTAGGAGATCAATGCGATCAACAAATTTCAGTCTAATTCTTCAAAACTTTCTTTTATTTCCTTAAAATATTGACAGTGAGTGCTTCTGATGAATAAAAAATCAAATTTTTAGATAAGTAGCAACCGAATCATCTTCTATTTTCGTCTTAACATTTACTTCCTGTCAAACGTAGCACAAAAAGTTTAACAAAAACGTTCGATTTTGCATGATGAATATTGACAACTTAAACACTTTTGTAGACACGAAAAGAATTCATTATTGTTAATATTGGAAGATTTGCCAAAAACTTCTTTTTTTTATCTTTTGCATTCATAAAAATCCTCGCTTTGCCTACAAAAAATATCATTTAAAAGTCTCGCGATAAATTTTATATTGATTTTATCCATTTTTCTTCTTTTTTTTGCGAACAAGATGATTTAAACGATGATAATTTGTCAATTAAATGAATCAAGTTGTATACATTATCTTTCATTGCCATATACATAATGTTAACACATGCACATCTTACGACGATGAAGAAGTTAAAAATTTATTCTTCCAGCTTTGACGTTACACCAGACACCAAATATTTAGTATTCTTCAGAGAATAAATATCTACTTACACCTATGACTTTCATTTTTGTTGAGAAATATTGAAGTTTATGAATGAGAATATGAATTTCTTGCTTAGTGACTAACTCAACGTGTTTTAACAATTAAAATGTTTCTCTTCAAACGGAATTCTATCAAATTCTTATGGGTTCATTAAATTATAAAAAATATTTTGTTGTTTCTCAATGAAAGTACACAAAACTTCTCTCCCAAAGTCGCTCGCAGAATGTACACTAATGACAGAGACTAATTTGCACCCAACCAATTTAAATGAACACCGAAATGATACTGAAAAGTTTCCATAAAAAAATATTATTTTAAAAGATTTCACACAGCTTCATCCCTTCTTAAAAACTTCTTCAATAAGCACAACTCGCACGACAATATCACAGGCAGCGTTTGAAGAAAAGAAGACCGAAAAGATGAAAAAAAACAAAAAAAAATTGATTTCAGCAAAAATATACACGATAAAGAAATATCTCGTTTATTTTACACGTTTCAACAGTAAAACTTGTGTGTGGGCCTTTTCTTAGGAAAATAAATCTTCTCTAGTTTGGTTGTCTTTGAAGAAGCTTTTTGAATGTCTGCCAAAACTTAAACTTTTTTTAATGAAAATTGTAATAATTCAAAAGGTGGATAACTTATTTGAAATGAAACATCAGAGCAGCAGATATCTATCACACATCACGCGTAGACTAGAAATTTTAATTTATAACTAACGATCGATCGAATAAATTATCAATGATTAAAAGTGAACGTACAATGTGGAACTTGTTTCTGTTCTTTCCGATGATGATGGACGAATTGAACTTTTTTCTTAATTTATTCTATCTATCCTTAGTTTTTTTAGCTCTTTGCTCTTAACAAAAAATAAAATAAACGAGCTTTAAAAATCAACTAGAATAGCCGTGATATTTGATTCTCACAACTTTCAATGATGTCCAGATATGGTTTTTATTCCGGGTGAAAATCTCACGTTCTGTCTTTAGATATCAAATTTAAATGAAAAGAAGATGATAATTCCAATTTATATAACATTGATTGCTCCATTTAAGTCTTAATTTCCTTCTTCATTGTACATTTCTGATCTGTCAGTGTCAAATGTGATCTATCATAAAATCTCATCTAATTTATTACTCAGGAAGTGCCCTTAATTTATTTCCGAATAAAGATCACGACTTGATTGTATTCCATCAAAAAGACCAAACTGAATACAACATTTTCTCTTAATTTATTCATTTCTCACATTAAAAACATACAAAAAAAGAAGCATTTAGATACAAAAACAAAGGGAAATCTAATCGTACGATGCATATTCGATGATAGCCAATAACCGTTTGTGCACGTGAAGCAAAAAAAGCAAAAAATCCAGAATGAGTCTCTTAAGAATCTGCCGCATCACGTTATTAAGAACTCAGAAAACGAGTTTCGTGGATTATTGAATATCTTTTATATTCTAGACATAATAAAACTCATTCAACTGTCATATTAACAGTTATTATCAAAATAGCAAAGTCAGTTATAATTCTTTGTATTCTTGTTCACATATTACGCATTACACAAAGGTGTGGATTTTTTTTAATGATTCAATTGATTTCTAAAGTTCAACAAAGAAAAAAATATGATCAAGTGCTACTTGAAAAGCGACTCATCATCCATCAAAATATTGCTTACATTAACTTCCTCCTGCACATCAAAACATGTTTATAAGAAGAACACAAAAAAGCAGGCATGCGATTAGCTTTTGATGAATCAATTCCAAATATTGCCTTACTTAAGCAAGGCCTTGATTAACATCAACATTCTCTTCTGCCCTTGGTGCGAAACATTTTCTTTTAAGTTTATTTAATTGTTGAAATCATTTTGATACTTATTTACATTGTAATACGATCATAAATTCAAATAAGTTACAGGACAGATTCTTAAAAATTTTATTGACTCTCCAATTTAAAACGAATTTATGTTAGAATGACTATCGCAAGGTAGCAAAATGACACAACAAGAACAAGAATTGTTTCTTGATAGATAATAAATTTTCAGCCATTTTTTTTTGGTGTTTCTGGCGAAAAACAAAAATTTATGACAATATTAAATCAAAGAATAAATTACTTTAGTCAATCAACAATAAAGTTTATAGTTAGTCATTTTAATACTTGCCAATCTGTCACTAACAATCGACAGATCATTAAACTTGCTACTAACATCAGGTGGCTATTAGATTAAGTCTTTGAGATTGGAACTAATTATTCTTCTGATCCTCTCTGAATAATACTCAAACTAATTAATTTTGATTCTTTAATTCTAAATTTCATCGTTGTTTTCGTAACTTTTATTAATTTTATTGAATGTTATAAATTATTTTTAATTAACTTTGATTTTTTTTTTTTTATCAATGGAGCGTGATGATTATTAAATGCTATTAATTTTATTGATCTTCGAATGTTGTTTATTAAATATTTTATTTAGCTGAAGTTCAGTGAAAACATTAACATTATCTTGTACTTTTAATCTGAAAGATACTGAAAACGATGAGTTTTAACCGTGACAAGCAAGGCGCTCTTAAGTCTCGAATTGGCGATCTTTACTAGCACAAACACGTTTTCTTCCATCACATTCGTATGGTTAATTATTATTGACTGGGCATGCCTTTATAGGTAAGGTCCCAAAATGTCTATCGCGGATTGGATGTTTCATAAAATGACACATAAAATGAATATGCAAATTAATTAAAATTTTTGCCATTTTGGAGAGAGTTTAGAAACAACTTTTCGCTTTTAAGCAAATATGTAAATTCTGACACACATTTTTAACCAAAGTGCTTTGAATTCTCTCAAGACTTCTTTCGACTTCTTAAAGAATCTTGTGAAGAAGATTTCGCTAAGGGCACATTAATGTCATATGTAGGCTGATCATAGATTAGGAAACAAAATGTCAGCGTCGAATAGAAAAAGGAAAAAAATGCTTTAAAATTCGTTGCTTATCAGTGATAAAAAGTTTTTGGAATGTGGAACAAGATCGTGGCGCAACCGGAGGAAATTCGACTCACTTTTCCTTATTGCTTCTTGAAATTTTGTTAATCTTCCTTAAAGATATCCGCGGGGTCTTACCAAAAAAAATACTATCGGTTTGATTTTTATGGGTTTTATTATTTTCTTCTCGTAGCTATTCTTGTACGACAAAGAGTTGACCAGATGAGCAGAGCAAAAAACTTGTTTGAAATCAGAAGTGAGACTTATTTCGTGGCAAGTTGTTTAACAGGTGTCAGTCGTTAATATTCCTTCTCTCAATTCATTTGCATATTATTTTTTTCTTTACTTTTTTCTTTTATTTTCGCAAACTTCTGCGAGCTATAAGTTTCTTGTTCTCAATATGGTATCGTTTATCAACTCTTGAGAGCTTCTTAAAAGCTTCTTGGATTCCATATTGTAAATATGTAGCTTAGAAAGGCGTCGTCGAGATCAGAAGAGTTTATCGCTCTACCCAACCCAACCTCTCATTCTTTACATTTATTTTTTTAAATGTAGCCGTCAACAAATTGTGAAAATAAATTTTCATAAGAACTTTACCCGATTTTTGTGTTTTATTGATCTTTTTGGTGAATTTCTATCTTCAAATTTATCATTCACTCTTCCCACATTACTTACTTTAGAATTAAATTTATTTACCTTTCAAGGTTTTTGAATTTCGACTCAATGTTCTGATGATTGTTAAAGAAAACAAAAAACGAGTTAAGATAGCAACAGAATATCTTGTCGAGTCGCAAAATTAAGGGATTTAAGTACCTTGATGGAGATAAAGATGAGACCAGAACAAACAACCATTCAACGAGTAAAACATGTTATGATTAAAAATCGAGCTTTTTTTCTTTATTATGAGGTTCTTTCGAAGAAATATTTATTCAACAATTTTTAAACATGTTTTAAATTTTCCATTGTTATCATAGATTGAATTTAAAACAATATAATGTGTGCAACCATTTCTATAATAATTAAAATCAATAAAATGCTGTAACACAAGAAAGAAAGTTTCATTAATGTATTAGATATAATAATTAGATATTTGCTGCTATAAGTTTTCGCTTATCTTAGCATTTTAAACAAATCAAACAACTTAAGAGAATCTCATTCTTTTCAGAGTTCAGAAATCGAAATTATGATAATTGAAAAGAACCTCCTGTTGATTCCGTTAGACTTGACCAGGTTTTTGTTTTGTTAAATATACTTATTAATATAAATGTTTGAAAAATGTCAAACATGTTAAGAAATAGAAATATTAACGGAAGATTTGGCAACCTTGAAAAGATTCTCTTAATTTGATGATTTCGTTCAGAACGAAGAACTTCTACGAGTTTTTTTTTTGTTTTATTTTTAACAAGATGTCATTATTTAATATTTTATTCCGTCAAAACAAAACTTCGATTTTTAATATGAAATAAAAATAGAAACGGAAAAAAATCTTCATTTTTATACAACAAATGCGGATCACGACACTTTTTCATCGGAACATGCATCTGAATTTAAACTACAATCATTTGATTTATTAAACATCGAATTGTGATACATTTTCAAGTGTTTTTTGCTATCTCTCAAAAACCCGGTGTTAAAAAATGTCTGTTTTTAATATATTTATGTACATGAGAATTATTTCCTACAATCAATCAATCATTCGACTCGAAACTATGCAATATTTATCCAACTGTTCAATAATCTTTTTTAATTCTTATTTTATCATCTAAAATATTTATTTATTTAATGTTTTTTTGTGTATGCACCACAATTAGAATAGCACACGATAGTGCTTCATGTATTTATAACTCTTTTTATTTTGTACATTCCCCAAAAGCTTCTTTCTAAAAACATTTTTGTGGATTTCTTACTACAGTCGAACCTCAGTAGAATTCACGATATGAATAAAAATTTAACTTGAAATGTCTCTTAAGTTGGATCAAAAATTGAAGAATTTCGATAGAAAGTTCTCCATAAATAGTTCGATTATCATACCACAACCAATAAGACTCATGCATTTACTTATTGAAAGAAAAAATAAATAGAAACACCAGTTATAAGTTTTTAAATTGCAATTGATTCACAGAAAAGTATTTTCTTTTTCAATTATTATAAATATATTTCATTTTTCCCTTAAATATTTAAGTGGACACTACAAAGGTTCAATCGTAATACAATTTTATTCATAACAATCTGATCTGGTAGGGCAACAATGATGGTAGGGATTTGCATTTTTTTATGTTTGTCTATGTTGTTGTTTAATTGCTTAAGAAATTGTAAAGTTATTATAGGTTTTGATGGGTTTGCATTATTTGTTTGTTAGAGAGTGAAAACAATACTTCTTTCCTCATATTTAGTAGAGAATAAGTCAATTAGGGGTCGCATGACATTTGTAAAAGTTCAACTAACTATGAAAATCATCAACGATATTTCGATGACACAAACTTAGTCGATAAAAATGATTTACAATTATCCATCGGTAGGTTGAATTGCTAAACTTTCTTTTTTAATGAGAAGAACTTTCTTTTCACGTTCTTATTTCTTTTTAAAGAATAAGTATCAGCTAAGAGACTTCTAAGTAGTGTTAGTTGCCTTAAAATTTTATCCTAATAAACATTGCAAGACGAGTTTTTAAATATTTGTTTTCTTCAAGTAAGTTTTTTTTAAGTTTTACTTGAAATTAATGTTAATCCCTCCAAAGATTTCTTTTTCTTTTTAATTATTAAATACATAAGAGAATAAATATCAGGACTTTTGCTCGACATTTTGAGCCTAATTGTTCGAGTTTTGTCATAAAGATATTTTTTTTTTCGGTTCGGGTTCGGGTAATGTCGATTGCGAATACGACAAATACAAGTGACAAATGAATGAGAAAGTCCTGAATTTATGAATAAAAGTTTTAAATCTAAATATTTCTTCTACGCTATTCGCATTGAAAGGTTTGAAAAGGCGGAACACGAATAATGATAATGATTACCAAATTATTGAATCATTAGAGGAAAGAGTTTGAATAATGACATTGACTGCGTGAAACTGATTTGGGTCTCACTCTCGGCGGCAGTGTCCATTTTGTGACATCCTGTTGTCATAGAGATTCTTTCGATGGTACCCAAATAACAGGACCTGCTTGAGACCAGATGAGCTGTTTTGTTTTACTATAAACATCTTCAATGGTATCGCCTTGAACAACTCCTAATAATAATGAAATTGAATGTGATTGAGTACAATATAACAGTTTTATAACAGTTTCTTACCTGTGAAGTATTCGCCAAACTCGTGTTCCATTTTCAAAGCCCGCTCAAAAGTTTTCTTTGCTTGTTCATCAGTCATGCGTCGGTTCATTTCCCTATAAAAAATTATAATTTTTGTTTATGAATAATCTGCTTAAACATGATTGAAAGTTCCACTTACATTATAGATTCAACTGACTTTGGTTTAATAAATATAGCGATTGGATATAACTGTGCAACTTGTAATCGTTTAATAGCATTGCCAGAAACATCGAGAATGCAATGCTTTCCTTGCTGTAATTAATTAAGATGTTTATTTGCATTAAAGATATTTTCCTTCGATTTAATTCAAACCTTTTCAGCAACTTCACGAACACTTGCAACAGAAGTTCCATATAGATTGTCGTTATATTGACCAGCTTCAATAAACAGATGGTTTTGAATGTCTCGTTCCATTTGTTCTCGTGATGATACAAAATGATAATCCCGTCCATCAGCTTCATAGTCTCGTTTTGCTCTTGTTGTGTCTGAAATTATTCATTTAATTAATTGAAAAGTTTTAATATCTAAACAATGACTTACGTGGAACACAACTTCCGAATTTATCAGGATATTCTGAGATTAAATCATCGTTGATACGGTCCTTTAGTGGACCCAAAATAATAACTGGTCTGCTGTAGCTGATCTGCAGTCGATGAACAGACTCATAAGATAAAACATTCTCATCAGACACTAAAATTTATAAACGTTTGAAGAAATTTAATGGAAATCGTCAATAAATTAAATGCATAATTAGATTGCGCTTTGAAAAATTTCAGTATAAATCTAAAACTAAATCTATTATTGAACTATCAATGACACAAATAACTGGCATGACTTTAAAAATAGATAAAAATAATCGATGAATTTAACACATAACGTTATAAAAATTAATTTTAATTTAATCAATAAAATACTGTGAAAATTGTTAAAGATTTCTTGCAACAACAAAGGCTTGACTGTAAAGCATTAGATACAATTTCAATAATCTATAAAACATCGTCTGTGTGCAAAGCCTTTGCCTTAGCAAGCAATATGTGCATAAGAAATGAATTTAAAATAAATAAAATTTACTTTGTACTATGCAAATTAATAAAGTAAGAAACATGAGACGATAATCGCTTCAAGTAAATAGATATTCACATTATTTATAATTTATCTAAATAATGCTCTAAAATTTGTCTATTCAAATGCAGTTTGTGTTCATAAATAATTGCTAATCTTCTTAATAAATAAATCTGCAGATATTATCCTAATAATCATTTATCGAGCCATAATCACAATCACGTCATGATAAGAAGATTTATATGAAAGCTCGCTGCACTAATGTGAGCCTTGAGTCAAAACTCTTTAATTAAATAATAAATAATTTTTCCCTCCACTAATCGTTATTAGGTCAATAAGAAATAATCATTTAATTTATGAAAATTCTTCTCAAGTAATATTTTAAAACGAAAAGATTAAAATGATGTATAGTAAGATAAATCAGACTATCAGAAGTTAAATCTAATGTATCTAGTAGATTAGAATAAGTAGATACATAAAGTGTTTTGAAAAGGACAATCTATTTAAATCGCAGATAATGTAAAAGTTAAGAAGCACGAGCCACTACACATAAATATCCTTAAATTGTTTTGTACTTAAGTAAATCAATTGAAGTCATAAGAAAAGAAAAACTCATAAGAACAACATTTAAAATAAACTTTGATAATTGAAGACAGAATTTGGGTTTGCGATTAATAGTTCTAAATAAGAATTGAGTTTAGTTTAATGTTGAAGATTATTTATCTACAATAATTCTTATTATCATCTGATCAAATATTTTACAAATTTCAGAAGTTTTTGAGGTTTCCGGGTTTGAATTTCATTATTTTTAAATCTGTAGGTAACTAGGTAATTTATTTATACACAATAAACATTTATAAACTTAAATCGTGCATACTTATATTCATGTAGAAAGAATCATAATTAAGAAAAATTATCTATGAATTGAAAATTTTTTTTCTAATGTTTATTTAATGTTTTAATCGTGTCTTTGACTATTGCTATTAAGTAACTTTCCAATTAAACTTTAAGTTACTTTTCAACATTTTTTAATTAATTAGATACAAAAAGAAGTAAATAATGAATTGTTTGAAAACGCTATTCATAACCATTTAAATTAGACACTATTTTAACATAACTTTGGCTGAGCATTTAGATTGTAAATTCACAACTATAAACATCAATAATTAACGTTTTTTATTATTATAGATAATTAACAATTAAAAATCAATGAGCTTATTCATAAAACCACGCGACAAAAAAGAAGTTTTAGTAAAACGACAAGCAAGGTGAATGTTGATGAAACGAAAAAGATCCTTTTAAGATCATCTATTTAAATAATCACGAACTATTCATCTAGAAAGACAATAATTGATTTAAATGGGTATAGAAAAGAATGTCGAATGGGTGAGATAAAGTCTTAATAAAACAGAATAAGTTCTAGTTAGATATTTCCATGCTTCATTATCGATTATCTAAAATCTATGTCAGTAAATGGTTAAAATTCCTGTGCAATAAAGTGTTGCTAACAAATAAAAATTATATTGTTTCCTTCCTGTTCATCATGAGAAGACTCTTCGATCTTTTCATTGTTTCGGTTATCGAAAGGTTTGGGAAAGTTTTGTGCTTTGTCTGATTTTTTTAGGGATTTCATACAAATTTAAAAATTGTACCAATCAAGGATAAAAGAAAACAAAGTAAAATTTCTTATGAATTGTATTAAGTACTATTAAATTAATTTTTGTTTTGGATAAAATATGAAGGGAATACTGAGGGCGAAGCAAGGAAATAAAATTTCGTGTTTTTTGGTGAATCTGAACAAATAAAAGGTTGATGCAGATTTTAATAAAGAAGACATGACTATTTGAAATGGTCTCAATTAAAGGACAAATGAGACTTCTTTGCGCTTGACTTACTATAGTCAGCATCGCTATTTTCCAAGTAGATCATCGTTATTTCCTCCATATCCGGCAGTTCCACTCTGTAGATTATCTCGCCTTTTAATTTTTATTCAACGAAGTTATAGGCGAATCAAATTACAGAAGAGATTTGCATTAATGTAAAAGATTAAAAAATATTGATCAGAAGGTTAGTAGTATTCATTTCATATTGCGGTTTTTGTTTTGGTTTTGCTATTTTAACGAAAGAATTGGTTTTGATTACAAACTTAAACTTTTTACTTATTTATGCTTCCGTATTTTAATCGCACTGATCAATAGAACTGAGAAATTGGTTGATGAATGTACAAAGTCAGTACATTTGAGTGTTTTGACAATTGGCATACAATATTTAATCAATTTGAGTGGAACGAGAACGTTTTAAGATAAAAAGTTATTCAGAACTGTTTTTTATTTATCTATAAGTAAATTGTGGATATCTGCAATGTTTTGACAGAGCAAAAAGCTCGTTTTGGTCTTGAGTAATTTCTAATTAAAAATAATGAATAAATTTAACTAATGTGCAAAAATTTTTAATTAAATTTACTTCACATTTTAAATTTCTAATGATGAGACTTTAAAGAGTTCAACGCGATTTTGTCTTTCTACTATCTATGTTCTGTTTGTTTTATTAATTAAATAAAGTTTAATTAAAATGTTTATCTTAAGTAAATTCTTGTTCACAATTCTTCCACAGATGGATAAAGAAAGAAAGAGAAACGTTTAACGTGTAACAAGTAAATAAAATTAACACTTGACGAAAAACATCTTACGAAAGTTTTGTTTTTGTTCTTTATATCTACTAGATGTACATGAATATCGAAGTTAAATTAATGTTAAACATTTTATTAGATAAGAAGAAAGTAAGAAATAAGATTAAGGAAACAATATTAAGCAACGTTTGAAAAAATTGTGTCAACATTTTAATAAAAATCTAATAGATTTCTTTCTTAATTTAAATAATTAAATTAAACAAAGTGCATCTACATTTGATGCTTTCGTTATATGTAAATAACATTCTCTTGCTGTTGTTCTATGTTAGAACAAATACAACAGAAAAGATAAATATTTAATATCAAAAAATAGAATAACCAAGCCAATTTTCATATATAGACAATGATGTTCACGTAACTAACATGGAATTAAGTACATAAGCAGAGTTATGAAAGTTGTGAGGCGAATAGTAAGCTTGTTTCATATTAAAAAACTTACACCGAGACAAAAATAAAATGTGTGCCAATAAAACCAGACTCAATAAAGTTTTTTCTTTTTGCTATAAACTTATATAATGACATTGATGCTTTCAATGTTACAACTATAACTGATAGCGAAAATAAAAACTTTATTGCATCTGACTTTACTACTACAATTTTATTCTTCTCAATGTAGAAAATTGAAAAAAGTTTTTTGACTCTTTTGCTACTTATTTTATTAATTTAGGAAAGGAAAAAGAAATCAGAATATATTTGCTTAAAATATTATCTTTCATCCTCCTCTTCCACCCTCAGCTCAAGTAATTGAAATTTATAGTCTGTAAAGCTCATAGAACATAATACATCAATTACGGTCTGAAGCAAAACAGCCGTTAAGATTAATAATATTAACATATTTATGTCATTGTTTCGAAATAGAATCAAAATTTAAATCGACTGTCCAACTTCCTAAATAGTGAGCACAATAAGCTATTTTAACAGAAAATAAATCATATGCAGTGATTCCTCACAAAAACTTTGTAATAATTAAAGAAAGAAAATTAAATGAATATACGAAGATTTGATCAGTTTAAAATTTATCTGTAACACTACCAAAGTATTTCTTTTAGTAATAATTTATGTCACTTAAAAATAAAATAAGTAAATAATTTTTCTTTTTTTGTAAATATTTGAAAAGTTGTAAATTAATTGATTTTAAAAGCAACAACATACCTTCAGCGTTTGCATCGTCCTGGGTGTAACATAACATAAAAGCTAAAGAAGAATAAAAAAAGAAAGAAAATTTCATCAATTCAGAAAAGAATTCAGAAATATTGTAAGGAAAGGAAGAAATTAGCCAACTAAACATCCCATAAATGTCAACGACAGAAATTGTTAATTCGATTGTAAAAGGAAAAATCTCTCAAGAGTTAGAGAAGAAAATTATAAATTAGTGTACACGATCTACACGATTATTCACTTACGCTGTTCGCGTTGCTCTGAATGACCATTTAGAGTATTCACATGGTCAACACCGTTGCCGTTAACTAATATAAAATCATGAATGAAAACAAAAAATGACAATTTTAAACAAAAACAAAAATTATGAAACAAAAAACTTTTGACAAATTCATTTTAATGGAAAAAGTTTAACGTTTCCGAATATTTTCTAATCTAAACTGACTTCATTTAGAAAGAAGTTTAATAATAAAATTTCACTTACGTTCTTGATCGGATCCATCTTCATTCTTACAATCTTCTCGACTTTTCATGAATGGGAATCGACGACTAAATGAGAAGTTTTTGTTCTTCTTACGATCCAATGTTGAAGTCTGTTGATGGAATAATATTTTTTGCTTAGAAATTAATTAACATACAAGTGAGTAAAGTAAACGTCACCTTCTCAACATTATTTGGCTGATATCCTTGGAATTTAACGCTTCGATCACGCGCTCTTTGCTTTCGTTCCCATCGTCTTTTAGAAGGAATTATTCCGATATTCTCTTCTTCACCATCGCCCACAACTCTCCTTGCTTGCCACCATTCATCATCCGATGCGTTAGTGACATGTAAAATGTCTCCATGTTTAAAAGGAAGACCTTTTGTTGGCAATCCATCATCGCGATTTGGATCGTAATCGAAAAGCGCTCGAACATAAAGTGATCGCTTTTGAGATGTTCGAAGAAGTGTTCCAGTGCTTCCGATTGCTTGAACTGCAGCAGCTTGTTGCTTGAGTTCGTGCACTCTTGCTTCGAATCTGTTATAATCTTCGGGACGATACTGAGCGATAAGTGTGCCCGTTCCACCAGCATTCTTCAAAGCTTGACCAGCCTCTTCATGTGTTGCATTCTTTAAACTTACACCATTGACATTTATTAATTGATCACCACGTTTCAATTCACCACCAGCATCTGCCGGTCCACCAGCCAGGATAAACGACACGTAGATTCCCTGCATTTGTTCAAATATTGTGATAAAAAACACAAACAATTGACCAACAATTAGAGTCCGCCAGTTAAAATTGATCAAGCAATAAAAACAACATAAAAGAAAACAAAATGCAAATCAAAAACACGAACACACTTTAAAGGATTTTATACAAGCTACCTGACCGTCTTCACCACCAACAATATTAAAACCAAGACCCGAATTTCCTTTATGAATAACAATTGTTCGTGGTTCTCTGCAAATGCAATTTCAAAACTTTTCAGTAAAAGAATTTTTCCATTTTAAAAATATTGAATTTACCTGGTGATGTCTTCATGACTAACAGCTCTCGGTGTACCTGGTGGAATTGAAGCTAACACACTGCTTGATGCATGACGCGATGATGAATTCTCTAAAACTGAAAGTCGATCAAATATTTAAATCATTAAATCAACTCATTAATAATTGAAATCTCACCTGGTAATGGAGATGCATCACGAACATCCTGACCAACTTTATTCATAGCACTCAATGATTGAGAATTTGTTTGTTGAAAATTTGATGAGCTTTGAACAATGTGTTGAGGTTTCTGAACTGATAAAACGACTTGACCAACGATAGCTTTTAATGTTGCTACAGCATCATCGTGTAAGACATTTTCCAAGTTCTTATTAAATGATTTGGTTTTAACATTGAGCAACTTATCGCCAATACTAAGACGACCATCAACAAATGCCGCACCACCTTCCATAATTTTAGTCACATAAATTCCATTATCACCAGGAATATGTTGATTTCCAATGCCACCAGCGATGGAGAATCCAAGACCTCTATCGCCTTTGATGAGATCAATCTCAGTTGTTTTCGGAAGATTTGTTACTTTACGCTTAACAACCTGTAAAAATAGAATCAGAATTTGTTTACATTTACATTCATAATGAAGCAAGTAAACAATTCTCACCAATTTGACCTTCTCGCCGGCTGTTTTCAATGCCTCCACAGCTCCTGAATGTTGAACATCAACAACCGATGTATCATTAACTGACAATATCATGTCATTGACATGAACTCGTCCATCGGCATATGCAGCACCACCAGGAATAACTTTAGTGATATAAATTGCGGTGTCAGTTCCTGTGTGTGGTGTGTCTGTGCCTCCAGCGATTGAAAACCCCAAACCACCCGTTCCTCGTGATAAAACAATTTCTTCTTCCATCCATTGATCATCTCCATTTGTCTGAAAAGCAAATCAAAAACATTTTTATTGCAAACTTTCAAAAATATTTCCAATTTGATATATGATCACGATTTTCGATAACTCAACTCTTGTTTTTCTTTTCAAAAACATTTAAATGAGAAAATAAATTAAGTTTGATGAATAAAAATCTTTCAAGTGTCGGTGAAACTAAACTTAAAAAAGAAATCTGTTTTTAATCATTCTCCCATGACTTTGAAGCGGAAAATCAATTGAGTCATCATGACTATTCGTGACATTGTGCAAAGTGTAAGAGAAAAATGAAAAATTTTCATTCAAGCTAGAACAAAAACCAACTCAAGTATTCCTTTCATGAAATTTTAATCTTTTTAAGACGTTTCTTATGTATGTACATCTAAGCAAATTTCATCGACCGCACTATGAAACGACGAAAGAAATTCGTTGGAGTTGTCATATTTAATTATGAATGAATTATAATGAATAAACTACCGTTGATCTCAAAATAAAACAAAACACACACATACTGAATAATAAAGTCATTAATTAATATTTTCGTTGTGAACATGACGATTGTTTGTTTGTTTCAACGGAATCTAAGAATGATCGTAGTGAACCGAAAAAGAAAGTCGTAGATTGACCGCACCTGCGCATTCAGTAACACCGGAAACACCAACACCATAAGTTCAGATTTGAAACTAACTAATGAACCCGCATTAAATCATAAATTCAATCTAATCCGATTTCAAAGAATATTTTTTAATCGAAAATTTATGAGAAATAATAAAAAAATATTTACCGTAGTATCTAAATTAAAAAGTGATGAGACTTTCTTTATGAGTCCTCCTTCTTTCTGACCATTTTTGTTTTTCTTTTTCGTCATTTTCTCAATTTGTCAACTTCACAATGAACTTGACAAAGTTTTTTTTTCAAATTTTAACTCACGCAAAAGTTGGAAAATTTTTTATTACTTTTTTTTATCTTAGTAAGATATTTCTTTCCCTTTTTTCTTATTTTAACTTTGAAAAAGATTCAGATTTCAGCTTGAAGCACTAATAACACTGTAGAAGTAAAATAAAATTAACACTTTTAATTTCATGTCGATAAACTCGAAATGAATTCTTTCACTTTGTTCCAGACAATTTTCAATTCATCTATAAATGTGCAAATTTCACCAGAATCTTGCGATCTTTAATTGTGAAGTGTAAATGATTGGAGTCTTAAATTCAGAGAGTTTTCAAATTAAAAATATTAAATTTTGCTCGAAAAATTTTCATCTCCAACTGAATTCTATTTTTAATATTTTTGTTGTTGTTTTTCTTTCTTGTGCAAATTTTTTTGTCAGTGAATGTGAATGTTTAAACCGCTGAGATTTCCATTTCACTATCACTACAGTCGACATGTATCTCTACAATGTATGTTCAAGAACATTAATGTTACGTGTTGAAAAAAATTGCCGTCGACTGAATAAAACCATTTAATTTAAAGCATAAATACAAAACTAGAAGATCAGATGTTCTGAATGCAATTTGATCAGTAGTTTCATTCATTAGACAATATTTCAACAGGATAATAGAGAAAACTCTATGAAAAACTGATTATAAGCCACGAGGAAACACCCAAAAAAAAATAATTTATGAGTTGCCTTAAATTCATTTACCACTTGATCGATAAATATACTTTTTATTTTAATAAACTCCTTTCATCAATTTTCACGTTGGAAATATTTCAAGGAATTGATGTTAGGTATTTGTAACAATTAATTCTTTTAATAGGATAAAACTTGCAAAAATATCTATTTTAAGGTCACCGATCAGATCGAGCAAAATTTTTCAATTGTGAAATATGCACATAAAATGAAAACTTTAATTTAATACAACACATTAAAGCGAATCATGAAGGCAAACGATATGATAAGCTTGTTTCGAAAACGATTGAAGGCACTTCTATTTTTCCGCAAAAACTTTAAAATTACAATGTTTACACAAATTTACGACTAAATACTTTTGAACGCACTCGAACATTTCTAAACGTTTGAAAAAAGGGGAAAGAAGGGCGAGTAAGTTTATGAAAATTTACATGAAAGTTGGTGCGCCTGGAAGTTATGTGAAATGTTTTGTTTGCTATAGAATTAAAATTAATTCCACTGATATTCACCTTAATTGTAAAATAATGAAAAATGAAGATAAATTAGAATTCTGAGCGATAAATATAAAATAAAATGATTCTTTATAAAACTTTATGAATAATTTGTGACAGGTTGTCATCCATTTCTCACAATTATAAGCCAAATTAATGTCTAGGTAGTCTTAACATTGCAAATATTACCGACATCGTGGAAGTAAGCTTATATCATTACCTACCTTTTTTACAGTTTGATCTGACTTCTTTTTAGACTCAGATGCTAATGCTTTGTCAACGTCCGCATTTTCATCGTTCTTTAATCGACTCTAAAATAGAACATGGAAATTAGTTTAAGAAAAATCAAACCTAAAGAAAGTCAGTTGGATGATTTCAATGTTTAAAACACCACACGATGTCAAATTCTTACTTTAGCGAAACAACAAACAGCTGATGATGACTTATCGTCGTTCGAATTATCAAATGCCATTGCAGAAGTTGTTGTTGAGGGTTTTATGAGATTTTTTGGAGTACTTCCGTGTAAGACTCCCCTTTGTTTCTGACGACCCCCTCTTCCAAAAAATGAAAGCCTCCGGCGGGAATGTCGAACCACTCCCAATGTAGATATCCAACTGGGTATATTCATTCTGGTAAGTTAAATATTCGGATGGTTTTGGAGTTTGTGTCTTTCTCTGCGTAACCATCACGTTGAATCAGACTTTTTAGTTTTATTTCGGATTCACTTATAGTAGCTTTGTTTTTTCTTAATTTAGCTAACTAAAAAATACCTAAATCATAACAATTTGAATAGTGTATTCAAAAGTTTTATGGCTTCTTTTTTGGCTTCCTTTACTTCTTTTATTTGTTTTCTATCTCATTTGTTACGATCATTGTCAAAGTCACTTAATAATGAGTAATTCACTTTTGAGATTTACAAGTAATCTAAATGAGTTGTAACAGCAGTTTATAATCAAGAGCTTTGAAGGAAATTGATTCACTTTGACTTTTTCACTCGTTCTCCAATTCATAGAATAAATGAGTTATCTAAAATACAAAACACAATACCTAAGTGAAAAAAAATGAAAGAAATCGTACTTTTCTTTCATCGGATTATCGCAACAGCTATTAATAAATTTCAATGAGCATCTTAAATGTTTATCGCTTCACAAAAGAAAGCTTTTAGATGGTCGAGTACGATAAATTCCCGTCAGACAAACAAAGAAAGAAAAAATATTAATTTCACTCGTTGAAAAACATGTCCGTGCATTAGATTTTCATTTTATATTTCAAGTTCGAAAGGCGGCTTTTAAACAAAACTAAAGGAAAAAGACTTTTCACAATAGCAACAGATGCTGAAAATATTTCGAAATTTTAAAAGTTAATGGGAACATAATATAATTTTTCCACATGTGCCAAAAAACATTTTTTTACGCACACCAGCACATAGCGAGGAGAAATAAAACTTCCATCACATAAGAAATCGGATATCTCAAATACCATTAAGAAAATGTAAAATTTATTTTCTTTTTTCTTTAATGTAGACTTTCATTTTATGTATTTTAACTTTTAAAAACTGCATGAAGGGAAAACATTTCTCCTTTATCCTTGCATTATTTAAGACTTTTCAACGAATTCAGATGTTCATTGTGCACTCCTTTCCGGTCTTGATAAAACTTTTCTTTCATTAAAATATGTATGTTTTCATTGTCACATCTTCCAACCCTAAACTTCTTAACCAAAACACGAATCAAATGTTTCTTACTCGCAATCGTCTAAGAAATTCTTTTTAACACCAAAGTCTGCTTTGATGTCTACTAAAAAACTAAAATTTTCGCTTTTAACATACACGATAACTCTATAATTCACGTTATTGACAGAGAATACAGAAAAACTGAGAAAATTTCGTCAACAAGAAAATTTTTCCCTAAAAGCTTAATTTCGAAACTTATACAATCTCAGAAAAGAAACTCTCGCTTGAAAATTTTAGAGAGAGAATTTTCCTCTGAGAAGAAAAACATTTTCTTTCCATTGTTCATTCAGCACAAATAAAAATAAAATAATTTTCATCAAGCAATTCTTCTTATCTTGAATACATGGATACATTCGAAGCAAGATAAAAGTTTCCCAGCGGAAAATTGCAGACAAAAAGAACAAGAAAATATATGAAAATGTGTTGAATAATTTTGTTATTTAATTTAATTCACGTACAAAAGAAAACAAAGATTTCTTTATAAGATAAAAAGTAGTAAAATGTTAATGAAGATTCACTAACGAGCACAGATTTTCGACTGTCATCTGCTCGTGATTTGATTATCAAAAGATTGTCCAAACATTTAATCGGAATTCTCTCTCAACTTTTGATTTCACAATCATTTCTTTCATAAAATAATTCAATTTTAGTTTTAAACATTGAAAACATCTGTAAAAATCGATCTGGAATTTATGTTGTCTACTTACTTGAGTATCAGTCTGAAACTGTTGATTTTCTTTAAGGTTCAAGAAAGCCTGAGTCAGCGGTAAATTTGAACCATTAATCTGAAATCAAACATAAATTATGTTAAGGAAGAGACATAAAATTTTATGCTGATGTCAACTTACATCGATATCAGTCAATTTGGATGAATTTTCATGCTCCCATTTCGATGCAATCAACAATGTTTCTGCAGTTTTTTGTTGTACGCTTTTTGATTCATCTAATAATGTAAGTTCATAAAATTCCTGAATATCTGTGAATGATAAACAATTATTTCCTTTATTTAAATAAACAATCATTCATATTAAATAAAATTCTTTGATATTTTTTACGAGTTAGATGAAAGATTGAAATTTTTATTTTTGAAATTGATGAACGGATGGAGAAATAAAATTATGAGATAAAAATGTTATTAAACGAATCAAGTAATTGTTTTTCATCTTATAAATGTGGAATGAATATCAGTAGAGAGAATATAGACGACCAGATTATAAATTGGCAAACTTTTACGATTGATAATCAGGTTGCAGTTTATTAACCATAAAAATTCTCGTTTTACATAATTTTTCATACTGGAGTGAAGGTTTTCTAATATCTTTTTATAAAATCTGTTCTGTTTCATGTAAATGTTTTCTGTCTATAACCTTTCTATTAATAGATATCAATTCTTTAACCCATACGCTGAAAACAAAAATAGAAAACCAGAGCATGATCAGGGAAATGTTGTAAATGAACATGCGTAGATTAATTTTTAATATATCTAAATAAATATGTAAATTAATTCTTCCAATAAATCACACTCGTAATTTTTGATAGAATTTCAAGGGATTTTACCTAATAAAGCTTGAAACAGCCGTGATTTGAAGATTCGAATAACTCGTTCGATAGCAATTCGTAACGCTCTATCATGAGGGCCTCCAAGTCTCGAATGATAATCCTCGAGTAGTTCGAGTGCCCGATGTGCTTCTGCAATATTAAAAAACACATGACATTTGAATTGATTGAAATATGCACGAAACGAATTTGATGATTGATTTGAGGCGTCTTCTTATTTAAAACGAAAGAACACCGAAACGTTACAGTTTTTCCGGTTTTCACTTGTTATTTGACGTGATTTTCTGCTAATCATGATTAAATCTTATTGTGGCGTATGACTAATATCGAATGAAATCACTTTCATTTCAGACATTTAAATTAAATATCATTATTTACATCACAATTATTTATTTAAACTTCGCAAGTTTATTTCTATGTTAACTTTAAATTGAATTTTAAAATATTAACAGAAGATAGAAAAATAAATATTAAAATATAAAATAACAAATTTTCACAAGTCAATAATTGATTTTCATGAGATATTTAAACTTTCCCTGGAAGCGGAAATCTGTATTATTCATTTTCGCCAAATGAAAGATTGATTTCTTTATATTTCTTTACTTCACAACTGTCTAATCAACTTTTCAGCAACATCAATTTTGTTTACATTTGAATTTTTAAATAGATATAATTAAAACTGGCAGACTTTTGGTTTCTAAAATATTTAAGGTTTGTTTAAATGAGGTAAGCAGATGAAATTCAAAGAATACTTAATTTCATCTGCCACTAGAAGTTTAACTATACCGATCAAAGAATTTTTGTTACAACTCAACCCATTCACTAAACTGAAGAAGTTTCACAGAATTTGAGATTTTGTTAAATAATTTCGGTGATGTGAATGTAGAAATTTTCTTTTCTTTTCAACCTTTACACAATTCTCTTAATACACTCGTCCTAATTACACTTTAATATGTCTTTTATTTGAACAGAATTTTGATCAAGTTTCCTTGATCACGTTTTCACATCAACACACACTACCACATTGAGATTTCTTTTCTCCTCGTCATAGATTGATTTCCTAAATTTTCTCCTTGATTCTTATAATTGTTACAAAAGATTTTCTCCACTTTAATAGATCCTACCTTGCTTTTTCACTGGCATATTACTGTATCGAATGAAGCAGAAGTTAGTAGATAGCTGTGTATGATAATCAGATGTTTTCCTTTCAATAGAAATTGATTTTTAATGCTTCGAGAAAAGATTATTTTCTCCCCGCACGAAATTCTTTCTCTTCTTGAATCTCGAAATCAATAATTTTTTCTATCTATTTTCCTCTTTTCTTAATGATAATCCTGAAACAATTTTCCCCACTTCTTTCCACTCTTCACACTCCAAAGTGGCACAGCTTAAACTTTAATTATAAGCAGTAGATATTAAATAAAAAAAAATTTGCCACTGAAACGAGTTCCACATAAGATTCCTTTTTCCTATGTTTGAGCACACACACAACTAACTTATGGAAAATGAAAAGAATTTTCCGACGTACAGACTCTTCCAATTACTTTCTAATCCCTGAGAATGATGTTGAGTAGAAAATTTAAAAAATTGCGGGAAACATTTCCCATAAAAATATTTTTTTCTTAATTCTCCTTTGATAATTTTTAAATGATCATGAACATGAAATAACTTAACTTTTTTAATATTCCAAAACTTATATAAACTATTAATAGAATAAAATACGAAGTTCACTACTTGTTTTCTGAAACTATTGTTCCATCTATTGAGTAGATTCTGCTACTCAACATTTTTCCCTGACAAAAGTTGCAGGGTTATGTAATAACAATTTTCAGTAAATATTCAGCACATATTTTTCTCAGCTAACCTTCTTCAAAAACTGAAACTACATTGAATACCCAAAAGAAATAATTAAAATGGCTGAAATATTGAAAGAAAAACTTAAAATAGGTCCAGCGAGTAATGTTGAATATCCTATTAGTGTTTCATATTGTGGAAATTGCACAATGCCAATTGAGGTAAATTAATTGTTGTTTAATTAAATTATAAATTATTATTTACCATCATTTTAAAATTCGTTACAGTACTGTGAGTTTTGGCCAAGTCCAGAATACGAGAAATGTAAAAAATGGCTCGAAAAGAATCTTCCCAACGAATTTGCAAAACTTGATGTGAAAGGAGAAAGCAGTGAGCCGGCTGCAGGTGAGGAAGAGGAGAAAAAGAGACAGAAAAGAGGTGGCAAAGGGATGATTAAAGCAAATAAGAAAAAGGATGATGCTGATAAAGATAGAAAAGTTTGTTTATCAAGAGCACCTCGAGGCAAAAAGAAATCAGTGACGGTTGTAACAGGACTTGCAACATTTAGTAAGAATATTCTCACACGATGAACACGATCATGTTTAATTTTAAATTTATTTTTATATTTTAGGTGTAGACTTAAAAGTAGCAGCAAAATTTTTCGGGACTAAATTCGCTTGTGGTTCTTCAGTGACAGGTGATGATGAAATCGTTATTCAGGGTGATGTCAAAGACGACTTATTTGATCTTATTCCTGAAAAGTGGCCAGAGATTGCTGAAGATTTCATTGAAGACTTAGGTGATTCTAAGCGTTCATAAGAAACAATTGAATTTAGTTTTAAGAAAACATTTGGGAAAACCACATAAATCACAATTGGTTGAACAATCATTTTTTACCAAGATATTTACTGATTGAGTTAAAAAAGTTCATGTTCTTCGATAATATTCAATTAATCACATTCTTGCCTCTAATAAATTTCATTCTCCTAATTGAAATTTTCCTTCAAACTAAAATTACAAACGAAAATTCATCATGGAGAAAGAAATTGTTAAAAATATTTTTTTAAATGATCAAAACGAATTATTTCCTGCCTCCAAATTATAATCTTAATAACAGGATTAAATCTTTAAAATAATTAAAAAAAATTAATTAAAATAACTTCGATGTGAACTTTTTCATCTCAATTATAAAATGTGCATGCGAGAGATGCTTTTTATCTGAAACTTTTGAAAATGAACACGAGTAGTGGACACGAGGAAATTAAAAGCCATTCTAATCTAAAAAAAGAAAGAAAAAAAGAAAATGAAGAAAAGAAAGAAGACGAAATTAACTAAAAGTGATTTCAAAAAAATGCTCCAGGTGAGGCTCGAACTCACAACCCCGGCATAGCTCGTATACTGACATATAAGTACCGTGCGCTAACCAATTGCGCCACTGGAGCCAAAAGGGACCCTTAACTGGCCGTGACAAAGAACGTTCATATACTTGAGCTCAATTTTAATTTTAAAATTCTATTATCTTTAATTTTAATTCCTTTCAAATTAACATTTTTCTACAAATTGTTTTAAGCTTTTTGTTCTCCTTTATTTTGTTCGTTCCACTTTCCGTTCGTTTCAAAATTGATTTCATCAACATAAATTTGAATCATTGGATGAAACTGTTGCAAAGCTCGTTTAGAGACAAGCAACAAAATATTTACTGATCTAAATAAATACTGTGGTTTTTAATTAATTGATAACTATAGGTTTTATATATAATAATATTCCCATGAAAAATGAAAATAAAATTGAACTTTCTTGTAAATAATGTAATGTATTGTATTAAATTTTATTATGGTAATAAAAATCGTCTCTAACAGAATGTTTTATTACAAGTTTATCATGTTATCAAACAAGTCGCACATTTTAAGTCGATAAAGCAGTTAGATAAGTTCCGGATACGCACAAGTTAAAATATATGGTATGCAATTTTTTATATTGCTGCCTTCTAAAGAACTTGAAGCAACTGTTTAGTTATCATCAACATAAAAGTGTTATTTCCATGTCCATATTTTGGAACATCAGTTGCATCGGTTTTACTTGAATATTTATTTTCCGCATATCGGCATGTTTATAGAAGCAATGAACACATTTTTTTTGAGTTAACAGTACGATGCATGTCCAAGTTTATCTACTTAGTCAACAGTGAAAGAGAGAAATTGAATCAAATGTTTTGAATGATAGTCGAGAGAAAACTTGAACATGAGAAAATATCTGATTCATAAAAAGTTTAAATAAAAACTTGTTGAGAAAGTAGAGACAAAAAACTGGAAGACGAAGAGAAGGAAAACAACAGAACGTCTTGCTGAATAAACTCTCTTCAGTTTAAGTTTAACATTTGCTTCGGATGGAAGAAAAAGGTTAAACGTGGTGTAAAATATAAAATAAAATTGACATTAGGAAATAATAAAAAATAATAATCGGTGAACTAATAAAACAGCAAAGTTCATAAAAACCTGAAATTAAATAAAAATTCTGAAAACTTAAATATAAAAATGATTATTTAAAGCTTTTAAAGTTGTGACCTCAATAAATTCCATTACAAGAAAACGGTGAGAAGAGTTTTTGACTTTTTAGTAAACACCAAAATTATTTTTGTGCAGCAAGCAAATTAAAGTGCTATTAAATGCAGAAAACTTAGGTGTGATAAATTAACATGATATTCAAAATTGTAGCTGTGTTCAAGTGTAATGCTGTTGCTTTTTACTACTTACTGACCTTTCTTTTTTTGTATTCAAATATTCAATAAAAAAAAGTTCATTGTATTCCCAATCGCATGTGAAATTCAATTTAAACATTGGAATTCTTTAATCATTATTTATCGATTAAAGACAATTATTTAACTTCGTACCGATTAAATTTGAATTGCTCCATTTTTCCGAATTCTTCGAAGTGAGTGGCATATTACGAAAAATTTTAAATAAATCTCTTAAGTTATAGTTCACGTAATTTTTTTCTTAATTTTCTTCACTTGAATGAATTCAAAAAGATTTTGTAGAGCAGCGAACTTTCCTTTAAAAGAAAGAAAAAATAAAATTGCAATTTAAAGCTTTCCATTGATTTGGAAACGATCGTTTTGCTGGTTTATTAAACTTTATCAATGTGAATTAAACAAAAGAAAATAACAACATGGTCATCGTAACTAAATATTCGTGATCAAACTTATAACACTTATCTAAGTTTGATAAAATCAATTTAAATATATTTCGTTGTTGTTGACGGAAAAGTATCAGTTGTAAAGTTTATGCTTAGCAAACAATAAATAATGCTGAAAAAGCTGACATAAGTGCAAAAGTGAAATAAACAAAAGAATTTTCATCATTTCGACATTTCAGGTGACTTTTCAGTACAATTATGACTATCGTGTTAGATGTAAGCTTTAATGATGAAAGCAGTTGCAATAGTCAAAACAGTGCAATCAAAGAGAGTAGTTGTAAGAAAGTAAAAGATAAGCGCCATAATGCGGGTTCATCGAAAGAAATAAAAACGCCAGCGAAAGTTAAGAAAAAGGTGAGTAAAATCTTTGCTTTTCTTTTTTTTTCAATTACTGGAACTGCAATCATCTAATGAAACGATTATTATAAATAATCGCGTTTATGCTGTTACACGATTTTCTTGAAAACTTTTCATACGCAAACACCAAACATAAGCATAAGAAAAGAAATTTATAAGCTACAAATTGCAAGACTAAACATCAAATTAGAATTATTTAATTTATTTATAACCAATTCATTCTCTGAAAATTAACGCAATAAGTTTGTTTAAAACAATTTGCGTTGGGCAAATATTCCAACAGGTGAATCTTTTTTTCTCCCTTTTTTGTCAAGAGAAGCAACAAACTAGGTAAATGTGTTAGATTAGAAAGTATACAAAGAGAAGAGAAGAAATTTATTCACGATCTTGTTGAGGAGAATAAAATAATAAAGTAAATATTTATTGTCAATCGGGAATAATTTGAGGAAGCAACAGAACATTTCGGAATGTTAGACAATCATTTCATCCACTTTTTTCTGTACATAAATTGTTTCATAAAACAACATTTAAGTTCAGTTTTTATGATGAACAAATATCTCCGTACGCTTATGTCGTTGACCTCAATCTTCAATACATATTTATACTATAAATCGTTTCGACACAAAAAGTATAACTTTCTCCAAGAATATTCAGTTTCCCGTTGCAGTAGCACGTAAAGCAATTTCCACAAAATAATCCAGAATAAATTCAAATTTTCTAATCAAAATATTGAAATGTAAGAACAAAAAGCAAATGGTGGTTTATAAAAAATAAAGCAAAATACGTAATAACGGAATTAGACAGCTTTTTTAGATGTCATGCATAAAAAATACAAATTGTTCTTAAACAAGCGTAATTTTTCTCATCAAATTGAATTAACTTTTTTTGTGCGGTTTCTTTGTGTATTTTCTGGGCCTAATTAAAAGCAAAACTGATTTTTCATTTTTCCCACGCGCATTTAAAGTCAGTAACCGAATGAAAGCTTCACTCGTATTCGTGGTTACACTCTTAATAATGAAAATTAATTTTATAAAATTGAAAATTTTCTTATTCTCATCAATTTCAAGAATGAAAGATCATCGAGCAAAAAGCTTTCAAGCGCGTCATCAACTTCTCTTTCAACAGCAACGACAACGACGTCTTCTACTTCACCCGTTTCAATCAAAGACAATCTGATTGACAACAAAGAAAAGCTTAACGATCTTAATGACCAAATTTTAAATAGTCAACGTCATCATCATCATCATATGATGCCACGAACTAGCAGCGCTTTTACAGATGAAACTCAAAGTATCTGCAGTCATGATTTCAGACACAATTACAACGCATCTCATCATAAATCTGATTCCATCATGTCGTCAGATTCTGACATTAGATTCACAAGAAAGAAACTCGGCGATAATCAGCGATGTGGATACATTTTGATTTTCAGCTTTCTTCTAATGCTGCTAATATCTGGGTTGATCTTCTATGCCGGATGTAAGATTCAATTCACTCATTAGATTAACTTTTCTTTACACAAAATTATTTACAGACATATTACTACATCAGAAACCACTACCAAGTAGAATATTTCGTGGTCGTATTCGCGTTATAGAAGGCGATTACTTCATAATGAATTACACTGATCAAAATTCCATAGAGTTTTTTGAGAAAGCTCGAGAATATCGCGAACGAATCAATTTATTGATTTCACGCTCAGATTTTAGAAAATATTACGATGGTTGTGAGATTCTTGCACTCGATGGTCATGTATTTGAGGAAGGGAGTAACTTGACGAACAAAGATCTTGTCATTCATTTTCTATTGAACTTCGATGCTAAATCAAATGAAATGTTCAGTAGCGTTGAAGAGCTTCGAAGATTGTTTGTGAACGAGTTTCAATCGTTAATCGCGCCAACAAATGGTGGAAGATATTTCAAGAATCTTAAAATGGACATTAATGATTTTCAGCTGAAAGAAATAAATTTTGGAAGATTTGATGACATTTTTGCGACATCATCGGCGCATGTTGATAGTGAAGGAAACTCGATGAACATCGATTTAGCTTCAGAAGAGATTAGAACGTTTTCAACACGTACCTGCGAACCTGTAAAACTTAAATTTTGTAAACAAATTGGATACAACATGACAACATATCCAAATTTGTTGGGCCATCAAAACCGTGAAGAAATCGAAAAAGATTTGATCGCTTTTAGAGAAATTGTCGACAGCGAATGTTTCTTACAAGCCTACGATTTTCTTTGTCATCTTCTTCAACCGCCATGTGAACATGCGTTGGATAAGAAAAGAAATGAAGTTGTCGTTAAGCCGCGGTTTCTTTGTCGTTCATATTGTACATCGTTTACCGAAGGATGCTTCAATCGAATTCCTATAAAGTTCCGTCCATACTTTGATTGCGAAAGATTCCCTGAACAGTCATCAATTCAATCTTGTCGTAATAAACCTGCATGCGTCACAGATTTGAAGAATAGTGGTCAAGGTCTTAGAATCTGTGATGGAATAGCCGACTGCCCAAATTTAGAAGACGAGGTAACGTGTTCGTATTGTCCTTCAAACGCGCTTCATTGTGGTCGAGGAAGATCTTGCGTCTCACGTGAGATGCGTTGCGATGGAAAGTTCGATTGTCCAAATGGAGCAGATGAAAAAGATTGTCGTAAGATATGAATACACAAATGAATACATTTTAATTCAATACAATTCTTTTATCTCTCTCTATAGTGTCGATTTCGCCGTTGGTTGAATATCTCGTAAAACCAAAACCGTTCATTCCCCATCGACCACAATTTTTTCATGAAGGTTTTGCTGTTTTTTCTGAGAAGGGAACTGTTGGTAAACTTTGCGCTGAAGGAATGGAATCAAATGAATTTGTGAGAACAACTGTGGCAGAATCATTATGCAAAGCTTTGGGCTATGAGTGTGTTGATAGTTTTTATGCTTAATTAAATTTTATTTTTATTGTTTCTTTTCCTTTCATCAATTTATAGACGAGTCAGCTTCTCAGAAATCCGGAACGATACAGAAGAAGGCCAAGATAATTATGTTAGGGTGTTGGATCCAAGAGCTGCCGAGATTTCCTTTGTTCGTACGAATTGTCAACGACGCGAAGCTTTTTATCTTGGTTGCAGTCACTTAGAGTGTGGGATTCAGTCAATTATCGCATCTGACAAGAACGGTTTGTCACTTCCTAAAATGGCAATGGCTGGGGATTGGCCATTCCATGTAGCATTGTTTAAGAAGGAGAATCATGTGTGTGATGGGACATTAGTTGCGAGTCACTGGGTACTTACAACCGCATCATGTTTCCAAGGACAAACAAAGTCAATTTGGACTGCAGTTTTTGGCAATGTTCGGATTGGAACGACGTCACCGTGGACACAAAAGCGGAGAATTGTATGGGCTAAATCATAATTAAATTAATTAACTCACATTATATACAATTTTATTCTAAAGGTTGGCATGGTTAAATCACCTGTGGAAGGATCAACAGCTGCATTAGTGAGACTACAAACGCCCGTTGTTTATTCTGACTTCGTTCGTCCAATTTGCCTTCCAGACGATGAATTTAAGAGAAATAAAATTGCAACAGATTATGCTCCATTTCGTAAGTTGACAACATTCACAGTCTGTGACATTTAATAATTTAACTTCAATAAAAAATCAGCAGTGGATTCTTTCTCAGCATCAGCCAATCTGGTGGGTGTGCCGTCTGCGGAGAAATATCACACCGAAACGAAAAAGAAAATTATTACTGAAGATCGACAATATTTTAAAACGTCAGAAGATGAAGTAAATGTTGACGATGAACTTGATGAGAAAACAGTTTATCATTATGTGGTTGCATCGGAACTTGTCGACGAACATATGAATCCGATAAAACCTGAAGCTCAATACCAGCAAAAAGGAAACTTTTATAAAACTGATGAAAACATTTTAAATTCTGAAATCGAACATCAATGGAAGCAGTGTAATACTTTGGGTTGGTCTCGTCAAAAAGAACATCTACAAAGAGTACAGTTGAATCTGATCGAAATGCAGGCATGCGAAAATATTTCCATTACAACTGTAAATTCGCTTTGCGCTGAAGCTGCTTTCCATAAACAAGATTGTAGTGTAAGCACATAAATGAACTGATTATAAGAACAAATATATATAAATTAATATCTTGTTTCCTAAATAGGAAGAAGAGTTTGCAGGCAGTCCAATTATTTGTCTTCTATCCGATCAGAAACGATGGAGTTTAGTTGGAGTGTCTTCATGGCGAATCGCATGCACTCATAGCGGAACTGAACGACCAAGAATGTATGATCGAATTGAGTCAAACGTTTCATGGATTCGAGAAATTATTAATTCAGTTATTTTTTGAAACTTTCGATATTCTGAATTTTAAATATTGTGATAAGAAAGTATAGAATTTCTTACCTCTATTTTTATACTTTTACTCAATGATATATTTCGCTTTAATTTCTACTCCAGCTTAAATTGTAAATTATTATAACATTGTTGACGACAAAGCATGCATTTCATGCTTTTTTTATTATAGATATTTATTCTGCCATTTTTAATAAAAAAAGGTAAAATATTGTTAAGCTTTTAATTGTTTTCTTTTTTATTGCAAGAACAATTCAAACTTGTCTTTGCTAATTTCAGAAATGATTTCGATTCATAATTCAATTTGCAAAGATCTTTTCTTTTCGCACGATTCTATTGACAGAATTCAGGAATTTCAATAAAATTTCTTAAAGAATCTACTGCACTCAATCATGAAATTCTTTTTTAAGTGTTACTTATTTCAGATAATTTCTCTTTATCTCCGTGAATATTTTAATTGTAACCTGTTCATCTGTTCAAACATATCGTCATCATTTTCTATAATAAACTTCAACTTATTTATGAATTCAAAACAGAAAGACTTGAAAATATTCCTGCTACTTGTTCTAGTTAAAAATTTTCACAGGCTTTTCAAGAAAATAACAACAATGTTAGAATAAAACCTAATTTACAAATATTTTCAGACGCCTGAAGAGTATGGAAAGAGACCCACCGAAGCGTTCATAAAAAAAAATTAACAACTGATTCAATCGGATGTTTTAATATTATTCAAACAATTATTAAAAATCTTGAATAATATTTTTCAAATCCGTGTTTTTATTTTTAATTATTTCAATTATCGTCTTCAATACATACAATTTCTGGTGAATAAGGATTGAAAGCATCAATGCAAACACAACCATCTCTTGGAACATCTAATTGAGATTTCAATATCATCCATTTAGTTTTTCCTTCAGGACACCAACCGTTTTCAGGCATCTCATCACCTCGAAGTTCGAGATTTCTTTTTAAATTTTCATTGATGGATTCTTCAACAGATGCTTGCAAATGATCAGGACATCTTGGCCCATCATTAGGATTGATTTCTATTACAGATTATTGAAGGATTTAAAATTTTTTGAAAAAGATTTTTAAGAAAATCCAACCTTCTGCTGGTGGAAATTCCATACATCTACATTTGGGTGGAAGACCAAACTGAGTTCCATTAAAGATCCATTTATCTTTGGTAAGACAAATTCCATCAGCAGGTCCATCTTCAATCAAATTACTCATAATGAATTCCCGCAAAGGTATAAAAAAATCGTAATTGATAGCATCTGGGCAGATATTGAAGCATTTCTGATTAGCTGAGAAAACGAAAAAAATATTTAAAACTAACAAACATGAGAATATCAGCCAAATTTTCAGAAACATTATTTAAACTGATAAAATTAGATGAACAAAAGTTGATCACTTTGTTTAGCGTATAAAATTTAACTGATTTCGGTCTCCTCGGCCCGCTCGGATCCGAGTGCGTTCAGTTAATTTCCAATCGACATGGTTTGTATGTGTTGGTTGATTGTTGATGTTTACATCTGAATTTCATTTTCCATACAGTTCTTAAAAATTATCTTGCTGACGTTTACCTCAAATTTTTATTTTCATTTAAGGCTTCAGTTGATAAGAGAAAGCCTTGAAAAGAGCCGGCTCCTTTTAAGAACAGTTAAAAGGATCATTTTTTAACAATGGGAATACAAAGTAAATCAAGTATTATTTAAAAATTGAGATTTATTTATTTCTTGTTTTCACAATCTGCAGGAATCAATCCTAACAATTTAAAGTATGTGTCACTTTTGACGTTAACCGTTCAAAACTCTGCTGTGAGTTTATGTATGAGATATGCAAAGACACGAGATGGTGATATATTCTTCAGCTCTACTGGTAAGTTATTGCCTGCAACTACTTGAATTGTCGAATTATTCTAACTTAAAAAAATGTTTAGCTGTGTTTTTAGCGGAAGTTGTTAAACTGATAACATGTATTGGTCTTGTGTTTATGGAAGAGGGGACATTTCTTAGATTAAAGGCCAGTGTCCACAATGCAATTATTAAAAATAAAGTTGATACAGTAAGTAATCAATGATGAATATCTATTCCGGAAATAAATAAAATATTTAATTATTCTAGATGAAAATGACAGTTCCAAGTCTGATCTATGTGCTTCAAAACAATTTATTATATGTCTCAGCAGCAAATCTTGATGCGGCCACATATCAAGTGACGTATCAACTTAAAATTCTTACAACAGCCGTTTTTGCAGTCATCATGTTAAGGAAAAAGTTAATTCCAACACAATGGGGATCACTTTTGATTCTTGTATTGGGTGTTGCACTTGTTCAATTATCTCAAGGTGGTGAAACCAGAATTATCAACGTCGCACAAAATCGATTCCTTGGATTCTCTGCAGCACTTGGAGCTTGCTGCTTATCAGGATTTGCCGGAATTTATTTCGAAAAAATGTTGAAGACATCTGATTTGTCAGTCTGGATGAGAAATATTCAATTAAGTCTTCTAAGTCTTCCACTTTCTCTTCTAATGACAATGATCAATGATTACACTGCCATTTCCAACCAAGGATTCTTCTTTGGATATGATCTTTTCGTTTGGTTCCTTGTTTTACTTCAAGCTTGTGGTGGTCTCATCGTAGCTGTGGTTGTGAAGTATGCTGACAACATACTCAAAGGTTTTGCAACATCTCTTGCCATCGTCCTATCATGTATTGTTTCAATTTATCTCTTTAGCTTTTTGTTAACTCTTCAGTTTGCCTTCGGAACTATTCTTGTTATAATTTCAGTATTTTTATATGGATATGATCCTAATAAGAATAACAAAAGTACTAAGAAAAGTAGTAATCATGCTGATGAAGAATCTCTTCTTGATTCTGAACCACAGAATGTATAGAAAATATCTACATAATTTAACAAGCAATGAAAAGAAATTTAAAAATCTTCACAGTATGCACAAAAAAAAATTGTAGACTTGAATAATTTTCTTGCTAAGATATCTGAAAATGTTATATTAAAAATATCAGATATGTTTTTAAATCCGAAGAGAATTTTCTATTTTAAATCTTTTACCATGAAATCTCTTGAAAAATTTTAAATTACATTAGGATATTAAATTAAAAATTATTCAGTAATTATGTAAAACAATGAAACTGAAGACAAAGTTGTACCTTGTACTTACTTACGATTCATTAAAGGAAAATCGAAATAAATTTTTACTTACTTTATGGAAATAATTTTTCGAGACTTTAATGACAAGATGTTTGAACAAATGCTTGCTAGACATTTATTAATTAGTAATATTTTCAGATATTCTTAACGATTATTTGCTATCAGCATTTAAGTTTGGGAAAACCTGTATCAACATGTCTTGAGAGACCCGGGATGAAACAACTCATGATCAAGAATTCATATGACATTCATGTTTCAACTTAAAACGTAAACACAAATTATCTTCAATTTCTTGATATTTGTGTCACTAAGGTGGCTTGTTTTCTCAACCATTAACCATTGTCATGAGCTTCAACGCTTCTTCACTCAATGCTTGAATAATTTGTTTTCCTAAAAAATTGCGTAAAGCAAATCTTGAATGATATCAACACTTCATGGTTTAAATTTGAGAAGCTTTTATTTTTCATAATAGGAAGTTTTTGTTGTAAATTTAAAATAATAGAACATAATTTAAATATGCAGGTAGGAAAATAGTTTTACATCATCATAATCTTATAAAACATAATTCCGAGGACAGGAAGACTCATAATCCAAATATTCTTCTTCAAATTCGTCGATCCATTACACAAATGGTTGTCGCAAACTTCACATACGCTAAGATCATAAGCATTCCCTTGTTCAAAGCATGGATCTTTCCTTGGGCCAACTCTAGCACATTGTCGTAGTGTTTTTCTATTTCCAAATTCTATTTAATAAATACAGACAATCTTAATTGTTACAATTTAAATGAATAATCATTGTGACTTACCGAATGTTACAATTTTTAAACAAGCATTTCTTTGATATCCAATCAACCGAGAATCATCACAAAGCTTAAAACATAGAAATATAAAATTATAAAACCTTCGAGTGGGAAAATTAATAAAAGTTATGTTTATTTATCTAATATTGACAAGAAAAAATTATATTAGTCATATGATAAATGGAGTTTTAATCAATTATTGTCAATTATTTTCTCGAGAACGAACATCATGACTCTTAAAGGTTAATCGAATCGGAAGCGACAAGAGTCGCAAACATTTATATTCAAAATAGGTTGTGATGAAAGATGTTCTTAATGATTGGATGTAGCAATATAAAACTTAGTCATGTTTGTTCTTAATTTAATTCTGGGAACTTAATAATTTCGACTTTTCTAATATCCAAATATTGAATTTTCTAAGAAAAAAATTTCACTTTAACAAAGCACGTCGAAGAAAGAATTTCCTCAACTATCTAATTAAGATTGATTTTTAATTTAAAACATCAATGAATAAATCAACTCACCTCTGTCCTTACATTCCTGTCATACATGCTGTGACAATTTGGATCAAGATCCGAATCACAAACATAGCATTCTAACGAAAAACCTTAAAAAGTTCAACAATTAATTTAGAGCGAGGATTTCTATAAAATATTTTTAGAAAATCTTTAAATTCTACAAACTTTTCGCAACAAATATTGCTAGCACCACAAATAACAAAGTAAACTTCATTTTTCTTTTTTAATTCGACGTTTTACAAGATCAGAACCATGCGTACCCAACAACGATCTAAGACAAACTGAATAAGTGATCACCAATTAAGGAACTTCCTAAATATAGAAGTTAATAAAAATATTGGCTACGAAAGACACCCAAATTGTATTGCCCGAAGCATGAGTTTGCTTCGACAATCATATGCTTTGCTGGATCGTTTAATTTACCGATTATGAGTGTGAACGCAGCAACTTCTTCCAAATACAAGGCTGAATGTTATCAAGTCATTTGTGTTTGAAGCGTTGAGTGTATGTAAATTTAATTAACTAATTTAGAGAATGTGTCATTTTTAATTGGCTCTTTATGTAGTTTACTTCATGCTTTCTTCATCATAAAAGTTCATCATAGCAGCTTGTCATGTTTTCATCACTTCATAGATTCTAAACTGATTTTATTTGGATTTTTTTAAACATCGCTGGTAAATATTTAGAGGAATATTATGAAAAATACTAAAAGAAACATTAAAACGAGATTGTTTTGGTATAATTGATTAATTGTCGATCCATTCGCATGGTTATCCATTCCGTTACAATCGTCAAATCGGCAATGCATGCAATGACCAAAAAAATGTGGATGATTTTTTCCCCGACAGGCATCTTGAGTATCTCTAACTATGACACATTTTCTGTCAGTTTCGATGATGTTATTTCCTAAAAAAATATTTCTTTTGATTAAATAATTAACAATTTGCAAACGACAAATTACTGAATGAAGTATTTTTAAAACATTCATAATGTTCATTCCATTCCAGTTGGCCTGTGCACTCCTGAAGCCATAGAAATTTTTTTTATGATAATTATAAAATTTTCTCATTTATTTTATTAAATAAATTGAATAACCTCAGCTCTTATGGAAGTATTCTTCAAATCATGACATTGTGGATGAGTTAACGTGCTGCATGAATAACATCTTAGTCCATAGCCTTAACAACATTCAAAGTTGCTTTGTATTGATTATGGATAATTAATTAAATAGTCAAACTCACTCATCATGTTTGTTTGTGATATAAAAATAATTAAGAATAACAAAAACTTATATCGAGACAATAAAATAATTTTTTTCATGTTCAAACATAAAACTGAGAAAACTTTTTATGATTTATTTTTATTTGCAAAATTTCCAAGAACTGAAACTTCAGAAAACAATTTTTCTTACAATGTAAAATAAAAGTTTATGCCAACAACAATTTTCCAACATGAAATTGCAACATATTAGGAAGACTTTGAAATGTATTTTCAAGGAATTCTCGATTATCGATACTTTATTGCAGTGTAAAGCATTAAGCATGAAACACGTCACGTGTAATTACAACAGGTGCACTAATTAGTTAACTTATTATCATTAATTTATAAACGATTGAAGATGACTTGCTTAATCAGCTAGTAAGGACAATTCATCATTTACTAGAATATTTATTGGCAAATTGATTTCTGCTTTAATCATGACGGTTTATCAAATTTTAATTTAATCACATTTTAGACCCATCAACAATGGAGGCATTAAGACAGTTGACTTGAATAATAATAAAAGAAATCATGAAAGAACATGACAATTCAAAGTCGATTTCTTGAAAATTCCCGACGTGAAAATCATAAATTAATTATTTACTGGACGTTATCATTGAGACGAAAAAAATTCCGATGAATATTGTCTTCAACATGTTTTCAATAGTGTCGAGACCAATTTAGTAAGCAAGGTTGCAAACTTGAATGAATGCGAACATAAAGAAAACTGAAGTATTGATTGGGAGATGTTGACATAAGTAATAATTAGAACGACAAGTATCGTGAACGATATTGATAAATGTTCTTCTTTTCACCTTAATAACCTTGACAAAGAATATCAAAAATATTGATCATCATCATCATCAGAGTAGGGAGTGTACTAACCAGTACAATGAAGCGATTAAGAATGTAGGAGTATGAACCCCTTCTTGTTTCGCTCCCTATATCTCGTCATTTGATGACTGATGTAATAACGTGAGATATTTCAAAACCTGCTGTTTTACATTCGATATGGAATCTTATGTTCGTAGGTCTAGAACCGCGCTGAGCAAGGAGATGGGGGTGGATTGGTATTTATTCTGCAAACCTTCAGAGATAAGATTCTCTGAAGATGAGAACCCCCACCAGCCATCTCCCTGATCTCACCATCAGCCGAAGAAGTCGAAGGAAGTGCTCCGGAGTCTGGACACCCGTTCTCGTCATGAAGAGGAGAAGATCCTCCAGATCCACCTCCGCGAGCCCCTCAGCATTGATGACACTGTGGTCGAAGATCCTTAGTCTTGTTCTAGAATGTACATCGCAAGATGCTACAACATGTTTCATAGTTTCTTCAGTCATGCCTCTGCAATATCTACAATTTATAAGTTGCGTCCTTTGCATTGAATTCAAGTGTTTGTATAAGCAGCAGTGTCCTGTTGAGACCCCCATCATAACTCTTAAATCGTTTCTACTTAGGTTTAAGAGAGATTTGGCTCTACGCGTATTCGGTTCCTTCATCATCATTTTGGAGTGTCTTAATCCTGAAGCTTCATTCCACCTTTTATTTATTTCATTTTTCACCCATTTCTCAATTTTCATATTTGTGCCATCTCAATCAAGAGTTTAAATTTCTATGTACTCTTTATCAATNTTGCCAAGAAGGCACTTAGCTCATCCGCAAGCTTTGCAGCATATTCGAGACAAGTTTGATCACCTTTCCCTTCCTTTAAGCGCTTTTTCATCGCTTCAGTCCTACGAGCCCTTTTTGTTTGTTCGCTCTGTGTTCCACCAGTCAGGTCGATATTTACAGAGCTGCCTGTATCGCTCTCTCCTTCCTCCGGGTTTGTTTTTGAGTTTAAGTTCTCCATGTTGATTGGGTCTCAACTTACGGCCGCTATCGCAGAGCCCGCGACTCAGATACTTTGTTGTGGTCCCTCGGTTGCCTATATCTAGTCGCCTAGACAGTGAGATCGAGCAAGGGTTGATTCTCGTCCTTATGAGATAGAGAATTCAGAGCCAGACCATATCTTTGCCTTTCAGGGTGCGAACGTACCATAAGACCTGCTAAGATTTTAACGAGACGGAGACCTTTTACTACCTTAACTACCAGTCATTTCGCAGACTGTTCAGATCTGTTACTCAGATGGCAGAGCAGTAAAATGCCAGCACCAGTTGTCGCTTTGTGTGCTGTTATTCCTTTAACCTTGATCGGGATCTTTACTGGAGAAAATCCCAATTTGAATCTGACACACCTTCCCTTAGTTTCATTTTTGGTCCGCCTCGGCTATTTGATTTCACCGATACCACCCCAAGCTGGCAACTGACCAACTTAAGGAGGAACTCCCCTATCCGCCACCCGGGGAGGCGCCAGGTTGGAGAAGAAACAGTAAAACTCCCATCAGTTGCATTGCTGCAAAAGATACTTCCTGGAGTCGGAAGGTCTATGGACAGTCGGAAGGTCTATGGACAGTCGGAAGGTCTATGGACAGTCGGAAGGTCCATGGACAGTCGGAAGGTCTATGGACAGTCGGAAGGTCCATGGACAGTCGGAAGGTCCATGGACAGTCGGAAGGTCCATGGACAGTCGGAAGGTTCACCATATGTATTTTGAAACTCCATACCGGCCGGAGTAACTTAAAATTATGCGTTAGCATAATTTGAAGCTCCCCATGTGGAGCTTCCCCATCTCCAATTTATAAATTGCGTACTTTGCATTGAATTCAAGTGTTTGTATAAGCAGCAGTGTCCTGTTAAGACCCCCCATCATAACTCTTAAATCGTTTCTACTTAGGTTTAAGAGAGATTTGGCTCTACGCGTATTCGGTTCCTTCATCATCATTTTGGAGTATCTTAATCCTGAAGCTTCATTCCACCTTTTATTTATTTCATTTTTCACCCATTTCTCAATTTTCATATTTGTGCCATCTCAATCAAGAGTTTGAATTTCTATGTACTCTTTATCAATTCCTTTATTTGCAAGTCTATCTGCTTCTTCATTTTCCGCGATACCTTTATGACCAGGAACACACCAGAGTTTCACTTTGTTTGTTTTAGCCAGCGTGTTGAGACTATGCTTGCAATTTGATATAGTGTTGGTGGTCGATTTGACATTGGCTAAGCCCTTGAGAGCCGCTTGACTATCCGAGGCAATGTTAAAAGTTTTATTTTTAGTTCCACTTAATATATCTTCAATGGCTGCGAGTTGGATGCCCAGGACTTCAGCTTGCATGACCGTAGCAGAGTCGCCTAATCTAACAATTATTTCTTTTTTCAGGGATGGGCCAAAGGCTCCAGTAGCGGTCTTGTTGTCCCTTTTGGATCCATCAGTGAACCATGATATACTTATGCCTGCATGATCTGACCAGGGTATGCCATTTTCTCATGAAGCTCTGCTTCCAATAATCACTTCATAATTAATCTCTTCAGTTTGTATTGTAAACTTTTTGTCCGTTTTAGTGTTGAAGTCTAAGTTTCTAGCAAGATTTTCAATCGTACCGTGCCCCCTTGCATTATTACCAAGCCAGCAGTTTGTATTGTATAGTCTTATGTAAGTTTTCAGGGTCAATTCGTGGATTTTCAGGCTTAAAGGGTCATGTTCAAAGCAACATTAATTGCATCTGTAGGCGTGGTTCTAATAGCGCCAGTAATCATCATTCCTGCTAATCTTTGCAGAGAGTTTAGTTTTTTCTGCACTGAAGATTGTTGAGCTTTTTTCCACCATATAATACTTGCGTATGTAACTCTGGAACAATTACCTGATTGTATACCCAGAACATCATTTTTGGTTTTAACTCCCAGTTTCTACCGACTAGTGATCTAGTCGCCCACAGAGATCTAGTGCTTTTACTTATGACGTGCTCAGCGTGTTGAATCATATTTAACTTACTGTCTAACCAGACCCCTAGATATTTCACATTCTCGTCTAGTTTTAAGGTGACACCTTTGAGTTTCACCGTAGTTATATCAATATCCTTCCTTCTTTGTGTGACTCTTAAAAGTTGCGTTTTTGAGGGATTAACCGATAATCCGGATTCCGAACACCATTTTTCTACAACTTTCAATGCTTTGTTCATGCGTTCGCAGATTGTGTTGGCGAAGGCGCCTCTTACGAGAATTGCAAGGTCGTCAGCATATCCCACTACTGTGAAATTTTCATCTTCAAGTTTTTTTAATAAATCATCTACAACAATACACCAAAGAAGTGGAGACAAACATCCGCCTTGCGGCCATCCTTTAAAAAAATATTGATTATTGCTTAGAATATGACAAAATATTTCCTGCTTGTGATGTTTATAAACTGAAGTTGAAGATAACCTTTCGACTCGCGAATAAATTCAATTTTAATCTACAACGTTTATCACTTATTGATTATAAAGACATATTTTGGATAATGATTTATTTTTTAATTGTGCTAACGACCTCACGATTTTACTTTAGTTTTTAATTAATTAACTAATTTGTAATCGACAAATAATTAATTATGCTTCAATATAAATCAACTTGAACTTTTAATTTCGAATTATTTCTAAACAGATTTCGTGACAACTTCACCAACAACAACATTAAATTTTTTATGTTCGCATATTCTTTGAATTTATTTGTTCACCCAAATTTAATCTAAAACGCTTGCTGTCTTAGGAAGATATTTTTAGGAACTTTGAATAAAATGAAGACATCTTGCAATTCACTGTCACATATTTTATAATATCAAAGTTCATCATCAGAGTAGGGAGTGCACTAACCAGTGCACTAAAGCGATTAAGAATATAGGAGTATGAACCCCTTCTTGTTTCGCTCCCTGAATATCAAAGTTTACATGACTAAAACAGACGGGTTCTGTCTGGCTTAATCACTTGAATAATAAAATGAAAGACATCCTGAAAGAACACTCGTTTTACATATGCATATCAATTTCACTTCTCGATTGATCACCACTTTAATTCAAATCTTTAAGAAAAATTTCATTTTATTTAATTAAAAGGGGCTATGAGATTTTGAAAATCATCAAGTCACGATATTTGTATTGGTCAGTTTTGTGTGATTAATGAATAAATAAAAGTATTTAAGTTATTGTAATGACATTTATAATCTACGTTCAAAAAGTGAAAATTTATCCTTGACCCAGTTCATTTATCTAAATATTTACACAAGTTAGTTAGGTATAATTGATAGTCGATCACTAATAAATAAGTTAAACAATGAGTTCAGTTAAAATAAATTTTCTTAGAATGCAAAAATTGATCATAAAAGTTTACAACTCATGTAGAGGTTTGAATATTTTTTTATTTTCATAATTTAAGCTTTTACATCATATTTTAGGTTCATCCTCCTACTAACGATAAACGTGCATGATCTGATATATCTGTCATCGAAGGAGCACTAGATCCAAATCCACCATTATAGTTATTTGATATTGTTGGATGGAATCCTTTATCATCTGCCCTATAACGTACTGTAATATATGTATTGCCATTTGCAACATACGTGCAATATCCTTCCACAACAAACACTTGTTTATCTCCAATTGTTTCAAATCCACCAGTTTCCTTTCCATGTTTGTAATCATAAGTATAATATTCATATTTATATCCACCATTTGGCAAGTGTTTATAATGATATTTCCAAATCTGCCAGTCGTGCTTGCGTTTCTCATCTTCTGAAAGAGCACAGTTTACGGCTGCTACAATGACTATTAATAAAATTCCCTAGAAGAATTTTAAAAAAAATAAAACATTTTAACTTTCATCAGCACAAACGAATGAGACTTGCAATTTTTAACATTTTGATAATCTTCCTGACACAGACGAAAAGTTTAACTGATACCAATCGTCAATTCCACAAGACTTTTTATTTGAAACTTCAAATTCTCATAAGATTTTAACCGGTTTAAAACCTTTTTTTTTCAATAATATATTCAAAGTTTAGTTTAACATGTTTGAGTTCTATTGTTAAAATATCAACTGGTGGGTGTAAAAAATTTCATCTCAACTCTCACCTCTTTTAGTTCGTAATCAAAATTTAATAATTTCGAAATGATATTTATTGAATAAGTTTATGAATAACAATTTTTTCAATTTTAACTTAAATGATAAACATGATACTTATGCATTGTTTCCTGAATATCTACAAATTAACCAAAGCTTTGTCTTTAAGCGACTTCAAAAATATTCTTTTAACTTTTTCTCCTACTAAAGTTTTCAAATTTCTCATTGGAAATTGCAAATGTGCGGAGTCGGTTTGTGGACGTTCATTTTCAGATGTTAGTTGACGACCATCCCCGAAATGCGATGCTCAACTCACACTTCCTGTAGTTAATTTTTTTTCTCCAAAAACAAACATTTAGATATGTCAATTTTGCGTGCAAAAACGTTTAATAAAAATCAAACTTCATGTAAAGAATTAATTTTATTTTATTTTTTTAAATTTAAGCACCCTAAAATTAACTACTAATTAACAATAACATTGTCACACTGAAGTTATTTTATTTTGCCACTGCATTGTGAATGAAACCTGACTTTAGTTTTACCTTTTGGTAGGCATTTGTTCTGAGTAATAAATATTTTGATGAAATCAATGAGTATAAGAAGGTTTAATAAACTCTCCTTAAAGATTAATAACTTTTGTTAATACTATTAAAAACAGTGATGAGTACAATGATTGATGAACTGAAAATGTTTTGGCCGAATTGCATAAATTTGAATCACAAGTGGAGCAATGCTCAGCTGCTTTGATATAATTGCATGGCTTATACAAATCACCTTCAAATTGACATGAACGCGTAATATGATCAAATCCCTTGACTAAAAAATGAAAAAAATAAAATTGAAAGCATGTTAAAGATAAAATTTTGTTACTTACTGTCTTTTACAACTTTCAGGCACACTGGCTTAACATTCAAGTTATTGCTGTCAGATGAATCACAAATCTAAGAAATAAATCAAATACGAGTCATGAATGTTTCATTCATTGTGACATCAAATTTTGACTCACTTTTGTTTCCATTTGAGAACCATCTTCGCAATTTCCCTCTCGTGAAGTCATGCAAGAGAAACAATTGAGAGAGCTACCTTGAAAAAAAAGTAATAAAAAAAGATCACAAAATGAAAAGCATCGTTCGATTTAAAAAATTTCCGATGTGAATATCTTAAATTACTTACTTGATGTAATCATTGAGACGAGGAAAATTCCGATGAGTATTGTCTTCAACATGATTCAATTGATGTCAAGATATATTCGGGAAATGTTTGTTGTGATCCTGAATGAACGCGATCTGAAATAAAACTAAAAGTTTGATTGAGAGAGAATATCTAGACATAACATTTCAACACATTGAAGATATCTGAAAATATGAGAGCGAGTTGTAGTCATGGATATTACGTCATTTTGGCAGAGTCGAATTCATGCTCGAATTTGTGTTTGTTACAATCTTCAAATGTAAATCTGACTCAAGCCGGCAAATGTTCTTCGTTATTAAAGTATTTAGAAATATACAAATAACATTTGAGGTTTTATGATATTAAATCATAATACTATTTCTGCTTTATTGAATAAAACTAGCAACAACATCATATTTATTGTTTTGTTTATATATTCAATTCACCTTGCTGACCTTGAAAAATTCTTTGCAAATTTCAAACAAAAAATGTTAAAGATTTTAATTCGTTACTTAGAATTCTGTGAAGCAACTACACACAACAGTGAAACCACTCATTTCAAATGATGTTTAGATTTTGTTATAAAGTAAAACATTCCACACAAATATTATATACTGCTAGCGAATAAATTGGATCTAATTAATCAAATTGTTTTTTCTGCTAGAGTCTGCCGTTGTTAGTTCACTTCACCACTTACTAACCAATTCAATATTATTTAGAAATAAAAGTTCTTTTTCTTTTTGTATTTGTTGTGGTTTTTATTATTTTCCTTTTTCATGTCTCCATGACGGAAAAAAAATCTGCGTCGCAATAAATGGGCAAATATCCTAAAAATATCCTTTTCACTCTTAAAAGAGAGATTCTCTATAAGTTTTATGGTTAAAGCAGTGTTTGTAATAAAGAAAAAGCATAAAGCTGTCTAGGCGCCAGTGAGTCCCTGCGTGCGATTTTTTTTTCTTATTTACTTCATCGAACCCTAAAGAAAACGCCCTTAAAAGAATATTCTTGATGTTGATAAAATCTAACTTTTCCTTCCAATAATAAATATTACGTTTAATTAACATTATTAATTAAGAGAATTAAAAAAAATCTTCATGTTATGCGTATTATGACTTATTTGAAATGTTTAGAGACCTTGAAAAAGTATTTCTAAATTGAGAATTCGCCTCGCGTGCAAATTAGCGACTTAATGATGTAATGATAATATTTAAAAGAAAATCAAGTATTGGTGACTTAGAAAAACTTTATGAAGAGTGCGATAGCAACTGGAATGAATGTTGACCAGATGTTCATCAACAAATGAGACGATCCATTGCAAAGGTCTTCTTCGCAAACTGAACAGTGTTCAACATTGTCCTTAAATGCTGAACAAGCGTTATATTGTCCTCCTTGTTTTGAACATGAACCTTAATGGATAGAAAATTACAATAATTAGTAAAAAGTTTTTGTTTTAATATATTTAAAGTCAACTTACGAGTTATTGATTTTGTTCCCCCAACTGATGATGTTGTTTTAGATAGAAATAAAGTAAAATTGTTAGAAGTGGAACTAATATTTAATATTAAATTAACATACTATTAACAACAGCCTTCATGCACACACTCTTAACGCCGATGGTTTTTTCAACTGATAATTCAGTACATTCCTGTCAAATTCAAGGAAAATTTGTAAATAAAACTATAAATGATGTGTTAATATAAAAACTCGTTGAATACTCACAGTTGCTTGAATATCTTTCAAGTCATCTCCACATTTGGGATCTCCAGGGAAGACGCAGTTATAGCAACGTATAGCTGAGCCTTTGAAATTAAATTTTAAAATGATTAAATAATGACGAAAAACATGACTAAAATTAAGTTTATTTACTTGATGTAACACAAGCAGCAACAAATACCACAAGCACGACAAATGATTTCATATTCACTTTTTAACGGATGATCACAATAAATATGTAAGATTGAAAGTTTAATTCGATGTTGCTCCGAAGACGACTGAAGTTGAACTAACAAAAATATCCTCGAAAACGCCGACTGTCGCCGAAAAGTGAGCTGCAAAAATATGCGTATGCTCACAGAGTTGAATTCGAAGAAGTGAAGTCACTACTCGCTGTGACGAAATACAAATCTGGTTTACAATACTAAGAGACTTGACGTTCATACAAAACATCTACTAAAAACCTCCACCCTCTGATATTTTACACCTTTTTCCCGCTTTAACCGGAACAATGAAACTAAATATATTTAAAGCAAACAACAAAATTAACACATCTATCCACTATTGTTAGTTTATTTGCAAAATATTTGTTATTTTCGGTGTAACTGAATAAAACTCATGAGCATACTGAGTCAGTAAAGCGCAAATCCAAATTGGGAAAATTGAGAGACTCAGCTTCATCTACTCAGAAAAAAAAGCTTCGTTCTCAAATGTCTACTTTCTCTTTCATTGATTGAGATGATGCATCATGGACCTATCTACAACTTTTGATGATTTGAATTGAGATTAATGTTTAATTAAGTTGAACTTCTCGATGATAAAAATGCATTTTGATTAGTTAATTTGACTTGAAGCTTTCTTTTAAAAGCTTTCCATTCATCGTTGGTTGTTATTTAACTTTCTTATACAAAAGTCTCTCGAAGAAAAGTTTTCTATTCAGACATTATTCTTATTATTTCTTTCTTTTTCATTGGAAATGAGTCACGCTTGTTATTAGTCTTGTTTTGTATTCGATGGTCTGCTTATATTTAAGTATCTAAATATTATTTATAGATAGCTTTTTCATGTTTCTATTCAGAAATTTCTTCAACTTCAACTTTCTGAAGAACGAAATATAATTTCTAACGAAAAAGAAAATTCATTATTTCTCCCTCAATCAATTAATCAATTTTTATTTTTGGACATTGGTGCTGACAATTTATTAGTCTCAAAACATTTCTAAACATTCATTTGAAGTTTCTTCACGAAATACATAAAAACAAATACAGTCAAAAATTGGGAAATTTAAAGATTCTGCACCTGTCATGCCAGTATGGTGTTTACACTTCTAAGTAAAGCGAAACATATTTTTGGAAATCGCACACATTTCAAGAGTTTAATGTGATAATTGTAAGAATTAACGACAGGTTCAACATTGAAAAGATCATCAACCAAGTAGTGATTGATGTTTTGGATGAACCGTTACAGAAGTCTTCGAAGCATTTGTAGCATTCGCTGTTAGGATGATGTGTCTTTACAGATTCACAACTGTCATCATAGCCAGTTTCTCCACAAAATCTTGAAACATATCCAAAATCTAAAAAAAGATTTTATGAAATTATACTCAAATTTTAAATATTTATGACCTCAGAGATTTACTTAAGTTCATTGTTAAAATCAATTTCTTCTCCTTACCTTCTGATTTGTTCAACCTGACTTTAATACAAACTGCTTTTGCGTTTATCGTTTTCTTATCATCAAGAATTGGTTCTTGACATTCCTGAATGAATAAATTATTAATAATATTTTTTACACAACATGAAACAAAATATTATTAAACCTCTTTTCCCAGTTTTCGAGCTCTTTTACACTGTTCTTGTTCAGTTGTTTTGCAATGATGACAAAATAATGACAAAGCTTGAAGTTAAGAAATAAGAAAGAATTAAAATACATTAAAAAAGAAAGCACTCACCATTAGTTACAAAAATTAACGAAACTCCAACCCTTAATATAAACTTCATTTCGATTAATAGAACTTCTAAGTGAAAAGTTAGTTTGACCGCGATAAACTAAATAAAATTCGGAGTTGTCAGACGAAATATTAACATGTAAAACATGTTCAATAATTTCCCAGACCCCCTAAGTGACATTGTTAAATTTGGATATACAAAGTAGTTAAGAAGGTACAAGAAGGATAACAAAAATATGTTTGTTAAAATGTTATTTTGTATTTTAAAATGAAAACATGTCGTGATAAACTGCTATCGATAAAACAAACTTCATTTCGGTGTTGATGAATCATTGGGAAATTTATGCATGTACATAATTTATGGGTGCAGTTTTGCATGTTTGCAAATCATCGTGCAAAATATTATTGTTACGAATCATAATTAAATAATTAACTTAATAACATTAGATTTAAATTGAATAAATATAAAAGAAATTTTCCTTAATATCATTAACAATTTCATGTTGCAAATCGTTCACAAATATATTTTATAGCAACTCTGAAGCATTAATTTCTGAGTTTGATCAGCTGTTAAACGATGAAAAATATATTTTTGAAAATGTATGAGATACCTAATTGAATTAAACTGAGTAAGAATTATGGGAAATGTGTATCTACTTGAATCAAGACATTATTTATCTATAATTAAATGATGATAAATGTTTCAACTCATATCCAATCTTAAAAACATCTTTAGAAGAAATTTTTCCATAATTTCAATTGTCAAACAGAAATTTTTAAGAAAATGTTTTCCAGCTTAATTATAGTAAAAGGTTTGAGTCTTGGGTGGAATGAAATTAAATTTCCGTATCTCATTTTTTTCTCTGAGAATTGACTTTTGTACTCGTTTCAATACGCGGCATGCAATACATTTTTGATTTTCAAACGAAGAACATGTGTATCCTCGCACTCGACGAAAACCGGGATCAAAGTTATTGAGACAAAAGTGAAAACATTTCAAACACAAATATTTCTGCAATTTAAATTGCTTTAATTTTTCTCACACAGAAACCATTTCAAAGTTACGGTGCAGTGTAGTGAAAAATCGACAGATTAATCAAAGGTTTCACTCTAATATCTGTAACTGTGAACAAAATTATTTCGAGAAAGAAAAAAAGAGAAACATAGGAAAAAGGCAAGAGAGAACAAGACATGTTCAGAATTTAAGTGTGCAAAAAGAATAAAATAAAATCATATTGCGTAGTGTTTTAATAAAAAGAAAAAATCAAAATAAACATTCAGACTTTATCTTAATCTGAAATCAAAATAATTTGGAAAATCTAAAAAAGTTGAAGTTATAATTTCAATAATTTGATTCTTCGAAAGATTAATTTCAGTGGTAAGTTCATCAATCATTTGCTATATAGAAATAAGTTTGAAAACATTCATTTAACTTTACATTGTTCATATATCTCAGAAAGTTCAAGTGTTCGCATGAAGATTGAAAAAAGAAAAATCAATATTTTTTGCCGGTAGTATGAGTTTGATTATCTTTGTGTTGAAGTTTGGGAAATTTCGTGTGTTTACGTTCAATTGGAATAGAAGTTGAAAATTAAAATAATTCAGTTTAAAATTTCATATAATTATCTATTGGCACATCCTTGAATAATATTTGTAACATTGAAATTTTATGAATGATAGAAAAGAAATATAATAAATGCTAAAAGATGCGCTTGAAAATAAAGCTACGATTTGCTTCATGCTCTTTTTCGAAAATCGCAGCAGAGAAAATTTGCCAGCGTTATTTCAACCTAAAAATTTCTGTTTTGCTTATATTGTATACTCATGTAATCAGACCATAAACACAAAGATATTATGGAGCATGGTGCAACAATGAGAGACTACTATTAGCACTATATAAAATTTTACACAAAATCATTAAATAAGCCTTGATTATTCATATAAGCGAAACAAGAATAAGAAATCTTGTTTTCTTGAAACTAAAACAATAAAATTAATCTCAAATATAATTTAAGCAGTGTCACAATGCAAACGATCTGGGGGAACAAAATTGTTTGAAGAAAATTTATTGATTTGTGCCTGAAAATGTTTCCCGTAAATTTCCCCTGTTTATTTTGAAGTTCAAATCAATTTTGATCTATTACAATAGTGATGAGGCACGTAAACACAATAAAAGAAAATGTGAGCAAGTATTAATGGAAATTGCAAGAATCGAAAGACTAAGATTTACAGTTTGCTTTCATCCATCAATAAATGACATTTTCTCGTGAAAGAAAAATGATTCTTTGAAAAAACATGAATCTGTGTGAGGCGAAAATAATCAACTTTGACAGCAATGTATACGAATTTTCAGACAATATTTTGAACATGAACACTCGTTAGTCTGATTTAACGTAAATTATGAAAAAACAACGAGCTTGAACGCGAAATGTAAAATCTTTTGCGTGATATTTTTCTTAGTAGATGTCTTCGTTTTCTTTCATTCAAATGTAAATGTACCTTCATTCATTTTTTTTAAAGTAAATCATTTAAAAATAAAGTCTCTTAACCCCGAACGCCAGGCTTTTAATATACTCTTACTCGAAGCATAAAAATATGTGTTCTCATAGTTCTCTTGTTCAAACGTTCACATGTCACCTAAAATTATGACAAGAAATACTTAAAAACGTAAAATATCTTCCTTTGAAGATTTCCCTCACTTCAAGGGTCAGAAAAATCAAAAGAAATAAAATTTTACAAATCTTTGACTCAAAGCAAAAAAGTATGAAATTGAGAGAAAATAAAAACATTTAAATTAGTGGTTAATCGAACGGAAATCATGTCACTTGTAGAAGAAAAAGTAGCAACATAAATAGAAAATGTACAAAAACTTTCATTACAAGCATTAGAAGTGTTTCTTGTACTTTCTTAATTTGTGGGATTTCCAAAACTTTTTTTTAAATTTTACGACTAAAATTAAAACAGAATGCTTTCAAGTTATTAAGGACAGAACAGCAATGAAAATAATGTAATCGAATTTGGTCAACACATCCGGGAATTTCATGTGTAGAACATATTAATTGTCTTTTTCTCATACACCCATTGGGCTAAATAGATGAATTGTGTGTAAATAATCTGCGATTATTATGATTGTTGTTATTTTCATTATTCGTTTTTTGATATTTATGCGAAGTGTGTAAATGAATGAAAGTGCTAAATGCTTTTTCGAGTAAACATCGATATTCAAGGTCACAATGATTTTATTCTGAACTTTGAAGTAAGATCAATGATCAGCAAGAATACATTTACAGGATTTGAATAGCGTTTGTCATTATTATGGCAATAAAACTGCCAGTTTACAAGTTGCTAGAATAATGTTGTTGGATTTTATTGGTTGTACACTGTTTTCATTCTGTTTTACGATCGAACAGTGAACATGAGTCATTTGGTTACCGAAACGTCTGATCATCATCGATTGTTCTAACAAAAGAATTCTAAATCATGTCTGTCGAAACTTTTGTATCCACATGATGACTCAAGAATGAGCGAATATTTCTTTTTATTTTATTTGAAGTGTATAAATGACCTTTAGATTTCGTTTTTATTTCTTGCGTTATATTTTGGCCAACGAGAATTGTTTCGTTTTTGTTATAAATGAGATTTTTGAACGTGATGAGGTTGAGACAGATTTAAAGTTGAAAATAAATAAAAACTTTAAATTAATGTTCTTTTTTATTTTTCATTTCAGAACATAAATCGAGAAGGAATAATCAAACAGCGACAATATGAAATAAATTTTTATTATTTATTAAAAGTTTATTGAATGTTAATAACATCGATTAAATAATTTTAACTTCCTATTTCCAATAATCTTCCAATATTTAAGATGCTCTCTTATATGTTACCCGTTGAAGAGAAATCTCAAAATCCTCGAAATTTGAGCTTAAATCTCAATATTCCAAATTCAGGACATATGCAAACTTCATCTGAAATCAATCAACAGGAACGAGATGATTTGATTGATGAGAATACTAAACTTTTAAGTATCGAGAGACAAGATTACACTGCAATTCTTGATAGCAAAGGAAATTTGAATGGAAACAGCAATAAATATAATTACAACATGAATATAACCAATAATAACTTATGTAGTGAAAATATTTTAAAACCTAACGACAACAAAACAATCATTAAGAATGGAATTTCCAGTAAAAGCGAAGATTACACAGACACCGAGTTAGCAACAATAAGTGAAACCAATGTGAATAATAATGACGAATCAATCAGCAGCAGTAATGATAAAAAAATAATCAAAATGTCTAAATTAGGAACCAAAAACGTCACTTTGAAAAGGTGAGTTTCCGTTATCTTAACTGTGACTTTGGCAATGAAGAAACGTTACGATTGAGATTTACATCAAAACATTTTAATATTGCAAAATTTTACTACGGATAATTATTAGTTTTTACTGACTAATATTCTCGTAAGCTTTCGATCTCCAAAGCTTGAACAATAAAAAAGTAATAAGATTTTAATTAAAAGTTCAGTTACTATTGTTGCGAACAAATTACAAAAATACACCAGCGCAAGTCGTTTTTCAAAACGAAAATTAAATTTCCATTAAAATGAATTCCAATTATAAATAACTAATTCATAAAGTTGTCGTAAACTGCAAAGCTTTTCCAATAAAACTTTATTTTCTTTTTGTGGTGGAATATCCGATATTTCAAAGTATGAAGAATAATAATTGCGAAAAAAAATATAAACCACATATTGCTAATCCATCAGTTGTGTTCAGAATGACGTCACAAGCTATTTTAAAAAACAGAAGCACAAATAAAAAAGTACACACTATGAAAAATGTTCTGTCTTCATTCTTGAAACTGCGACGTATTTTGTGTTTGTTAATTATTCCATGAACCTCTTATGTAGATCGATATTCTTAATGATTTTCAATTAAACTTTCTATACATTTGTGTCAGTCTGTTGAAGAAGATTAAACTTGCTAAAATGTTTCGAATCAGTCAAACATGTCCATATTCAATTGTGAATGTATGAGACATAGAGTGGGTGCAGGAAGCTACAATATCTACTTAGCCCAGCTTTTTTTTCGTGTTTTTGTCTTGCTGGCACTCGCTCATCTCAAAAACATTCCAACTTTCATATGCGATTGAATAATTTTCATGACATTTTCAGATGTTTTTTAGTAATCTGTGGCATTAAAGACATTAATCTAGCGGAATAAATAAATTTGGATTTATGTGTATTCACCAGAGAAATCTCAAAAATATTTTCCGTTTCTCTTTTCCTTTGAAATTTTCTTCCTTCATGGCGAGAGTGCGATTAATAATTATTTTGAACTTTTATGTTTGTATTAAGAAAAAACCAATAAAATTAAAACTACGCACGTCACTTTCATCAAAGTGATCAGAAAAACATGAAAGACTCCAATATTTATCCTCACATGACGAAGTGTGTGTTTAAATATTGATGAGGTGGAGTTCTTGTCAACAAACGCTTTGTGAATTCTTTCAAATGATACAGACATAAAACAGAAGACTAGACAGAAGAGTCTTGATCAATTTAATTGATTATAGTCATACTCAATGATTCAAATATCACCTAAGTCTTGTATAAATCGTAAATTATGAGTTAATAATGTAATGAGGGAAGCTTCATGGAGCAACAAAGTCAAAGAGTTTCACATAAATAATATTAAACTAGACTATGAAACGTGCTCTGATCTCATACACCGTAAACTATTTGTTGTGACAAAGTTGATTTATTTTTATGTTTTGCAATTGCATTATTGAGATTTTTATGAAGTTTAAATGAGATATGCAAAGTATGCATTAAGTAAGTAGTAGAGATACAAATAAATTTATTCAAATACTTCTTTATACTTTTTGTAAAGAATTTTAACAAATTCTTGTTACGACAGTTCTCAACTCTAATTTCTGAAAACAAAATACATGTATCATGTTGACGTAGATATATTTATGGATACTTTCTCAAGTAAAAATAAACGAACGACTTTTCTGCTTCAATATAAATCTTTAACAAAGGAATCTTCTGATATGGAATTGATAGATAAGACCAAACAAAAGATTAACCACCTCAAGTTGAGTCATTATTGTCACCGTTACATTGTGAATTCGGCAACATAGCAAAATATTCTTTATTTTCATCCAAGTGTCACTCAACTGCTCAACAAGAGAAAATGTCAGCGTGATATGAAAAATTTAATATTTTCGTATGATTTAGTGTAAAAAAAATCTTAAGAATCTCTTCTTCGAGAAGAGGTTGCCACAGAAACATACTCGTTGTTCTATTTTTAATAATATTATTCCAAGCACATAACTAACAGTTTCTTTTCAAAGATTTATTCCACTGAAGATTATTTAACTTTCCATTTTCTTCTTGTTCAATTAAGAACGACATGAAGTAGAAATATTTCCAGTTGGTGGTTTTATTTAATCACTGAATGAGAAATTCAACTAAATCAATAACTTAATCCTTTATGATAAGTGAATCAAAGTGAAAAATGAAGAATATCGACATGTGTTTTAAATAATCCAACAAAGAAAGAGAATTAAAAAATGAAGAATGAACTTAATTAGTCTTGTCTTAATCATAATCCAAAGTAATCTCATTCATTAAATGAATCAACCGAAATAAAGAATAATAATAATAATAATAATTTGCAAAACGTTTGAATGTATGAAGAGATATTTGATTGAAACTCATTTTTATTAACTTTGTAACTTTATATTTAACAAGTTTGCGCTGTTTTGATGAAAGAATAAGAAAAGGGAAAAGATTTTGCATTATTATGCCGGTCGTCTGGCAATATTTTTGTATCAGCATTAATTAGACATGACTTTCTTTTCACATTCCCACAAGCAAGAAAACAAAAAATAGACTTTTCTCTCGGCATTTCTATTTCTAGACATAAAACCAATGCTTCTCGTGAGTTTAGTGACATGAAAAGGGAAGTTAAAGTAATTTTCAACAACTTTTCGTCTCTTCTCTTTCCGAAAGGAAGAAGATTTTTGACATAAAACTCAAATATTTTGATTCTCTGTCGATTGCATAACAAACAACATTTTTACGATATAACAAAAGCCATAAAATATAAAAATCGTGTAAGTTAAGATTTTCATTTACTTAACCAAGTGACAGAAATCATAACGAAACTTATCACTTTGCGAACACGAACATTTTGAACTTTAAGTTCACGTTTGAAATTGATATGAAGTTTAGAAATTAAATAAAAGAAATAATCACTAGTAATGAAATAAAAAAATCAAATTTACCAGATGAATAAGCTTTGGTAATAAAAAATTGTCTGTGATAATTGATGAAAATTGAAAACACTTGAGCACTTGAAAACAGATAATAAAATTTTCATGTTTAACTAATAAAATATGAAAGTTTCTCCATAAGAACCAATTTCAGTATTTTAAATTAGTTACAGACTTTAGAATAAAAGTCAAGAGTGAATTGATAAAATATCACGACGGACGCTTCGGTAATGAAAAAAGTTTGAATCATCGAAACTATCAATGTGGAAGAAAAAAGTTTCTTTAAGTCCATAAATGATGAGAAATTTGATCCAATTAAGCAATTTCCAATTCTATCAGTTGATAGATGAGCTATCAGTTGATTTGTGTGCATATGTGTAGTAGAACAAAATTAAGTAGACACTTCCCGCGCTTTACACATCAATGGCGTTGATTAAATTAAATTTTTATGGTCTTTTAATTTATATGCTTTCAGTCGCTATGCACAGATATGTGTTGTGTAATTTTATAAACGATATTTGATCAAATCAGGCAGGCGAATGAAAATTTTCTTGTGCATTTAAACAACAACACTCAACCACAATTTATTTACATTGAGAATTTCTTAAAAAAAGTTGTCGATTAACCGAAATACTTTACGACAACAATCCCAATCGTTTAGCAATGTTGTTCATGAGTGAAATAATCAGCTCAGGTTACTCGCGAAATAGAAAGCAATGTTTGTGAAGAACATAAGAAATAAAGAAAAAGGTTTTGCGGCAAGACATTTGAGATCATTCAAGAAAAAAATGTATGAACGGATATTTGAAGTATTACAAAAGTTTTCTACAACTGAAGTGAAAGAAAAGTTTCAACGCAGTTAAAATTGATTGGCGTGAAACTGTTCCACGAAAGATTTTATGCTAGAGAAGCATAAAAATAGCCACAAAAACATGATTAACAGAACATTTAAACATCATCATGAAGCAATAATCGTGATGATGATGAAAGAATAATACATCTCAGCCTTTGTAATAGATCGTCTTAGTAATAAGCGATGAAACGAAGTCGAACAGACAACAAAAAATATTCTTTTCATAGGTTTTATGAATTTACAGTTTTAATTGCAAAACAATTTCTTTTCTTTTAACTTTTTTTGAAAAATTATTGAAACATTCACATCGATCTCAGGTTTCTTTTGAAATTTCCCATGCTGGGATGTCGGGGCACACTTCATGATCGATCACATTTGTAACATGTTTAGCATTCTCTATGAGTAAATGATGATATTGTCCATCACGGAAATTCCGTTCTGGCCCAGTTTTCGCAAAGCATTTTATAAAATTCTTTGCTAAATCGTAATCAAAGTAAGACATTTCTAATGATGCCGCCCATCCAATCAACGCAATTGGACGATCACATGTTAAGTTGAGGAATGGCGTTATCACATGACGGAATAAACATCGCTTTATTAATGTCTTCAGTTGAGAGACCTGAAAGAAGAAAGGAAAACAATTAAGAGATGTCGGCGAGTTATCTTTCATGTTTTTATCTCTCACTTGATCGTCATCTGCACATGGATGATAAATGCCAATAATTGCTCCATGTTCAACATTGTGTAGCCAACGTTGTACTGGAACGTAACTATACTCGCCATATCTCGCCCATAATGGTCTATGCGGTCCAATGGTTGGGATCTTTTCAACATAATTTATCTGAATATTCATACATTTATGTATAGGAAAATAACGTTTCGGGAGATTCATTAAGGTCAAAATTGGCTCGACTGAAGTGTTCGGACCACAAGGTTCACTTGTTAGGCATTTTGTGTGCATTTCCACTTCACTTGGATTTTTCGGATCAAAATCAACTGAGATGTTTCTCTTCAAACAATTGAATAAATTAAAACAAAACAATTTTATTGAATTTTCTAGCTTACTCTTGCGTTATCACAATGTTTAGAAGCAACACCCATTCGTACACCTTGATTATCAGCTTTTATGAGTGTTTCAGCATCGATTTTGTTTGTGTGGAGATATAAAAGGCTTTTACATGATGCATCGATATTTGATAATATTTCGGGCGTCTGATCGTCTATAAAAATAGTTTCTTCACTTTCACACAAAACTTTAAGAAAACTTGAGAAAAATAAAATTAAAAACGAAGTCAAGTTCATGCTGACTTGCACTTTAAAACTTTTTTCTTTAATCTGAAATAAAAATTTATCCACAATGTTCTTTGACATTTATTTTACAACTAAAGTTGAGAATACAAAGTCTAGTTTTTGATCACGTAATTGAAAGAAGAAAGACGAAACGTTATCAGTAATTTCATGATAGTTTAATAGCTTTTTTTATGTCATATTGACACACGATGAGCTAATGACCTTAAAATATTTTCAGTTTATTGAAACCAACTCCCACATTTTCTGTTTCTTTCTATTAAAGCGCCAATCGAACTCAATCATCTTGATGATTTCTGATAAACTATTTTGACGCTTTCTCATTGCCCTTGAGCTTATTTATAAGGGCGCCCACAGGTAAACAAAACGAAAGAAAATTTTCGTAGATGATTTTCACAATACCTTTCCAACGGAATGTTTCGACAGGTTTGCTTCTTCTTCACTCAGATATTTTGAAATGTAATCCAAGAGAAAATCAATGAAACCTCTAAAGAAAGGTATAGAACAGTGAAAAGAAATATCAAGAAATGGCGCAGTTAAGCTTAATGTTTATATATTCGAGCAAACCTACTTAATCTCACGCATCGTAACAAATGTTTCGGTTTGTATAAACTGTAAAGGATTTTTATATTTTCCTACTTTTCTGCTTTCGAAGAGTTCGTGACGATTTCCGGTGAGGAAATGCGTTTTACAACAAGGAAATTGAAACAATCGATAAGCGAAGTCTATTTAATTTTGATGACTCATTAAATATCTCCTCACACTTATCTGATGTCATCCCGCCATTTGATTTTTTTTATGGAAATTTGATAGTTTGCTTAGTGAAAGCTTTATTCCGTTGTATCGATATTCGTATTGGAAATGAACATATCCTTCTGTTTACTTAAACATGATACAAAATGGGCGATCGTTTGTTACAATAGAAGATAACAGAACAATAGAAATATGCAAAATCATTTTGATTTTATGATTGATTAAGCAAGTTTAATATGATTTAAATTATGCTTTTTATTTGGATTTGCTTCGGAAATTATAGTTATAAGCTAATCACCAGGTCAAATCTAGATTTAGAGCTTGGCCTTAATAAATCTTTCTCTAAATGTGTCCTAAAGTCACGAATCACCATAATTCACCTTTGATATTTTTACGGTTACTTCTTCATAAAGATCAACATTTACATTCCTGGTGACTAGTGATTGGCGAAATTTAATTCATCATCGTAATTTCTATTTTTATAATTTCGCGTGTTATGCAATAATCAACTGGTTTTAAACAAATGTAATCATGCAACTTTTACCACTATAAACTCTCAGTTTCATGGTATTTTTACTTTCAGTTTTTTTTTCATGAGAGTTGCGTGCAATAAATTATAACCCAGTTTCACTTACTGACCTTTTTTCTGATTTTTTTTCTTCTTTCTTTTGTCGCCATAGAGTCTCCTTTGGATCTTCAAAAGGTTCAATGGTTGAAACTTTAATATTTGAAACACCTACTCCATTACAAGAGAACGATGAACGACAGTTCTTTTCATCAGCAGCCGAACCAGAGTCAGCTAACCAGGAGAATGGACTGAATGATAGTGGCATTGAGATGCAAGAAGAGTGAGTATCTAAGCAATTTCTTTTATTGAATTTTAAATTATCAAAATAATAAAGGGTCACGACGATACAAGTGTGCTATTTCCATTCTTCTAGTGGTAAAAATATCATAAAACGCACCCTTAATAAAATGAATAAATATTTCGTATAGACCTGAAGATTAACAGCAGCGCGCCTCAAACGTATGAAAGTGTGAGTTGTTGAAATTGTGTTTTATTTGGCGAACACTATCAAACAAAATACGTTCTATCTGTTATAACAATGTTTGTTAGGTTTGCGTCTTGGAACTGTAAAGTCAAAATTGTTATACGCTCATTTGTTTAGTTGCTTCTCATCCTTAGCATTGGTTACAAGTTTTACGTGTTAAAAAATATTATTCCATTGAAATTTCAAAAAAAAAAGAGTTTTGCTCATTAAAAATCAATTTATAATATTTTGCATTTTATCCGGAAAATATTTAGGTTTGGAAAAACATTCACACAAGTAAAAGATTGAAACAAAGTCACGAAATATTATTCAGTAATACAAGCGCATGTCCAAAAATAAAACATTTCTGTAAAAAAGAGAAATATAAAAGAAAATTTTTTCTTTCCACTCGACGAGCATTTCAATTTGGTTCAATTAAAGCCAAAAAGTTGTGGGGCCCAAAACAGAAGTTGTTTTTTATTTTAGGAACAAAAAAATAGAAAAATTCCAAACGAAGAAGCAAAATTTAAAGGAAAAATATTTCTCAGAACAATCTAATCTTATCGAAATAGGTACTTGAAAAAGAAATTTTAATATTGTGAATGAAAAAGTGACAGAAAAAGTGTAGTTTAAAAAGATTGAATACTGAAGAGGTGACTAATCAGAACAAACATTGGATATAAACGATAAGAAACTCGTTGCAAAAAGAACTAAGGTAAAGTCAGTAAAAGTTATTCCAACCTTTTATGTTGTCCATTGTTGCCAAAAGAAGACGAAAAAATATGTTTCAAGGTCAATCTGTGAATTTTTCCTCTCATCATGATGTTAATGAAAATTTCCGTTCATCGTGAAATTTTATTTTGGGTGTGTTTGATCGAATCGATTTGCGACGTTTATAAGCAACTTTCTTTTCCATGCTAAAAATGATAAAGGAAACTACAATTTATGCAAATTTTAAACGATTTTGGTAACATTAGTCGCAGAGAAAGAATAGTTAATAAAACAAAAGTCTAAGCAACAGCGCAAACTCAAACAATAAAAAACTTCACAAGCTGATATCTGTTGGCTTTGGCTATGGTTTGCATTGCACGTTCAATTGTTTCATTTTCTGCTGCTTCTCATCTGATTCTCGATGGATGATGTCACATACGAAAATATTTACATTTTGCAGTATAAATCAGCCAATTTTGAAATTTTGTTCTCCCGCTCGAACGCGAGTTTCTAGCTACAAAGAAGAAATCATTAAAATTCGCTTCAAAATAAGATTTCTTTTTTCAAGATGATTTGTTTATCATAATGAATTCGAGTATCCTCATACATTAAACGAATATCTACGTAAGAGCAATTTTTGAAACATTTTGAAGGGCAAACTGTAGAGTGGAAAAGTCAATTTTCTTCTTATTTCATTTCATTTAAAAGAAGAATTAAATGCCAACTACGAAAATATTCAATTGCTGATTTTATGTGTGGATAAGTAAAAACAATAGTTTTTAAATTACTTTATGTTATCATCGTTGCAAATTTATGATGCATTCATTCATTACTCGATCCCCTTTAATTGACTTTTGTACTCTGACCGCAGATTCAAAATGGTTGATGGGTATAAGTACGAATGCTATTTTTCGTTGTATTGGATCTTGCGTGTGCTTCAACTGATTCGAACTTTGTTTACTTATTTCTATTTTCTTTCTTAATGATCAAAGATAACGATGAATTATTCCTGTGCGTTTTGAAGCACTAACCGAGTTGATGTTTTGCTTTGGCAGCTGCAATTTATCGAATAAGAATTAGAACAGGCTTTAAAGTTCTCCTGACTTTCCCTAAACGATACTTAATTTAAAGCTATTAATCCACTAAGCATTCATTTTCAAAAAGGCCGCACAGCAGTTGATTTCACTCATCCAAAAAGTATTAAATTCTCTTTTTTGTGGATATTATCGAGTTGTCTGGCAACAGCGTAATTTCTCATACTTATCAGTTGAAATAAAAATACCGAGACAGACTTTTTTTATCTGCTTTCAGATATTCAATAAAGATCGAGGAATATTTTCAGTTGTTTACATAAAATCATCTGTTGAGAAATCTTTTAATTATAATAATAAAAGAAATAATTTTGGATCTACCGTTGCTAAGTAACAAAACATTTGTTTGTCGTTAGTGTCGGCGAACGTAAAGCTTTTGCCGGCATTCAAAATTTGCTTCAAGAGACGCGCTATCTAGATCAACATGACTAAACTCTTTATTAAGAGAAACCATTGTTGATGAATGGGTTTTCATTGTTGAGATGTTTTGTTAAAATAAAATGAAAAATTACAATATTTCAATGAAACAATTAAATATCTCTCATAATCAAAAGTTTCTTTTTTTCTTGATCATTTGATTAATGAAAATATTATTTTCCCATTCTCTTCATTAACATTCCTGGAACATATGCAAGCGTAGGTGTTGTAAATTTCCCTCTAAGGAATTTTTGCATATTTTCTTTTCAATGTCGATTTGCAAGAGATCATCGACATTTTATTTTTAATTCAGATGTTTTTTCGGGGAGAATCAAATGATGTGATGACATAAGCAGTTTCATTTCTGCCATAAACATTCCAAAATAAGATGAGAAGAAACGAAACTCATACAAGCAAAGATTAATTGAAAATTATATAGCGTTAACCGGAAAATCGAATTCTTTTCCCATGGAACCGAAAGGCAGTAAAAAGAGGAAGAAAAAAAAATGCCACAAGCACTTTCTTACTTAGAGTTGGTATGTACACATGTATTGTTGTAATAGCATCTGACGAATAAAAAATTAGACTATCCGGTTCCGAACGTATATGCGCTGTTCCAGCAAAATAAAAAAACTTCTGCAACTGTTTATATCATTAAAACAGAATTTTTAAAGCTACAACAGTTTTAAAGTCGAAATCTCCATCAGCTTGAAGCGTCGGCATTAATTTAATAAACTCAGATTCACACGTAGTGGGTGATATAAAAGTTAAAAGTCACGATAAGGGAAGTCAAATACGAGTTATTCTCATTATTCTTAATGATGAAAATGGAAGAAACGCCTGACTGCCTGCTTCACTTTTATAATTGAAATGACGTAATATTTAAAAGCTAAAAATAAATATTTTGAGAAAACATTATCGCTTTCCATATAACGCATAAGAAATAAAATTCACGAGTAAAGAATAAAGTTTAAAAAAGCAATTTTTCGCACTTGATAAGATGTAAACAAAGCACAACTGATGAAGCAAGCAGAATATTGCGTAGGAATTCTTTCCTCATACTTCTTATAAACGCTGCTCATTCTTTTAAGAAAAAATTAGCTTTGACCATTCATATTTTTACGTATTTCAGTCATTAAGGGCATAATGTTTACATTCTACATTGAATGATTTAATAAGCGCTGTTCAAATAATTATTCTCGTTTTTAACTCTTTTTGAGGCCATTTAAATCTCAATTTACTCATTAAAATGGCAGCACAATCTAACGATGATTTAAACAAAACAGGTGAATGTAAAGTAAATTTAGACATGTCTGGAATAGCAAGGAGAAAGTTGGGAATGTGATATTGATTCCCTCAATTATATTGTAATTAAGTTCAGCAGTGATTTACTAAATCATCTTTGAAGTTTCTTTTAATTTCATGATGACAGTTTATGAGAAGTTAAAATTAGAAAAAGTTAACGATACGATAAGGCTCTTAATTGGATACTTAAATCACTTCATAACAAGATTATTTTAAGTTCACATCACCATTTAAAGAAACATGTTCATCGACAGCGAAGCATACTTTTCCTTTAATGTCAAGTGACTTAAAACCAGTTCCAAAAATGCGGCTGCATTCGATTTTTTTGGGTGTCAAGGTCAAAACCTTCAGATGCGTGAATGCAATAAGTAAAATAACAGATGAGTGCGACATTCGAGCTTTTGTATTTATTTTTATTCAAAAAGTAACAAATCTGAATATTTTCAAAGCTTTTTTCCGTATTCACAACAAACAACGACACAAGTTTTTGAGGAGATTCATTGATACTCCGCCTTGTTTGCCATTTATTAAAATTTGTTTAATATTACATCATCTTCCGATTATTGTGACAAAAAGCGCTAAAGGTCGAACTCAATTAAAAAGTTATCAAGCTCTAGCTGAATGATGTACACAATGTCATCATATTATTGTTTTTCTCCGGGAATTATAGCAATTCTGATGTGTGGAGTCTGGCGCTGACTTCAATAACATCGACTTTCAACGACATTGAAAGTTGACACATGTCGTTAGATAATCATAAATTCTACTTCATGATGTTTGCGTTTTTTTGTAGTTAATTTGATGGTGCAAACGCAAACATTTTTCCCCACATCAATTGATGTGAAGTAATCAAGTCAATCCTTTGTTGTTTCTGTCCAATCCAAACCAAAGCTGCTATTTTACTATGACATAAAATGCATGGTTACGATTATAAAATTATGACGCATACTCACAACTATGTTGAGGCCATTGCGAGTAAAAATCAACTTCAAATCAAGCTGATGTATGACAAGTTGCCTAACTATCGGGCGTACTAAATGAATACAGTGAACTCTCTGAGTAAGGAAACTCTTAGGATATCCTGGAAGAGGAGAAAATCTTCATTTGCATCATTTTAGCATGAATCAATTTTCTAATGAATAGAAATTTGTTTTGGGGAGAATTGTCTGTGTTGAAACTGACTGAATTAAATATTATTCAAGAACGTCTTTGATGAATTTTGTTTGTTTACATTTCGAGAAGACGAAACCTTGCATAATACAAATATTATTAGGAGTAGATAGATATTTAGATCAGACAAATTTAAATCGTGTTTGTTTATAAACTTGAAAATTTCTTAATGACTCAAAACGTCTGGCAATTGTATGTTCCAACGACAAGAAAATTTCTAAAAAATTTTTAAAATTAGTTTCATCAATTCATTTTTCAACAAAATCATTTTTTTTTAATTATAATTTCAGATTAGAACGCTCGAAAGTGCGCGTAACTTTTTTCCAAAGCAGCAAGCCGCAACAAATCAGCCCTCCCTGCAGCGATAATCAATTCTATTTCGGTGATAATTATTTTAACAACAACTCATTAATAGATTCCTTCTTACTAAACTCATCGGCGAACGAAGGAGATATTAGCAAAATGACGGCAGTTATTCCAACAGATTACAATAGACAACTCAGGTAAGAATAATCGTTAATCGCCTTCATTTTATTGGCTTAATTTGAATGTATCTGATTTTATTTAAACGCTTGGAAAATACAATTGTGATTATTTCGTCAACTAAATAAGCCCAACCTTATAATTACATTCAAACCGTATATTTATCATGCAATACCCAACCTTCTAATTAGATTACTTTATTTCTGTACAAGCATATTATAAACTCGCTAGAGAGTTTGATTTGATTGAGCTTCAAATTTCAGCGGTCTTCATGACAAATTTCGATTCCATTAGTTACTCATCTAATGTCAAATCAGTTGAACTTGCCTAGAGTCGAATCAATCAAATTAAGATAAATTTCTTCGACAAACCGCAAGATTTGATGAAAAAATAACAAATTGTTAGGAATTGAATTGCTAAATTAATTTAATTATTGTTGAGTGAATTTTTTGCGATGTATCAATTGAGATGTCATGTATATGTCGAAGACATCTTATGATTGATCGAATTTTTTTTAATAAAAATCGTGTAAATTAATTTAGAGTGAATAAAGAGTTTTGTTTTGTAACTCCAGAGAAACGACGTAATTCATTCATAACAAACAGAAGTCAAGTTTATTCACCCCGCAAATCTTTTAAGCATCTTTGAATGTTTCAAGCCTTTTCATAATTATGAAAAGCTTTTCAACATAAATAATTTTTTTCGTTTTATATTTATGAGATGCTTAGCACCTTTAATGTATAAGCTAACAAAACTTTAACTCTAATCCCAGCTGGTTGATGTTAATCTCCATCCAACGATTTTATCATTTAATTACTCAGTTCGAAAAAAATATGAAGTGGCATTTATAAAGACGCTTCTTATGCTCACATGTTTGTTATTAGACACTGAATAAATTCTGCCATATGTATACATAATTAATCTACCAGAAACATAAATTCCATCAAATATTTAAAAAACGAAAATTTTATTTTATTTCAAACAAAAGAATTGATAAAGACAACAAAGTTATTAAACTTGTATTTGACAGTTTACAATTGTCGGATTCTTGAATAATTTTGTATGCTTTTAAAAATGTTTTTCGGTCGCTAATAGCAACTTTGACGTTTGCAAATATGAAATATGTACGTAATATATTTGCAATAAATTTCTTATGAGAAAAAGAAACAACTTTTATTCAAACGTATAAAAAAAATTGTTTTTTCATTTTTAATGGAATTTTAGAAGACGAGAATGTTTACAAAGTTTGCATAGCGTTTTCCAAAGCTTGAAGAAATAAACAATTTCTGATGAGTTTCATGATGAAGGCGCTTGCGCTGAAAAATCTCACTCTCCAATAAATATCTCGGAGGAAAAGCAGCAGAAGCGAAAAACATTTCCACAGTTTTTGTTTTGATGTTATTCGAAGTGTACGCGAAATTGCGCGGCATATTCCAAACTTCAAATCCCACAAAGTTCTCACACTCTTTAAAAAGTGAGAATCGATGAAAATGTAGAACAGAATTAATATTAGAAACGGAGAAAGTGAAAAAGAAAAGAAAATTTGACATTTGAGGGATTTATTTCGTCTCAGAAAATATAAAAAATGTGAAACATCATCCAGAATAAGAAAAAAAATTACACAATCACACAACTACATTCACTTTGCTCTCAAATCGAGAAAAATCTGCTCGTACAAACTTAAAACCGAAAGAATGTATCTTTTAGAGAAGAGTTAGAAACTTAAAAAAATATTGAGATGCCTCACAGTGATGTGTGTGAAACTAGACTTTGTTCAATATAATTTCGACCGAAGCAAATTCATGTGAAAGTTTATGTAAAAAATTCTTTTGATCTTCCCAAAGAAAATCCATTGAAAACGCTTATAGATAAATCATGTTTACATTTTCATGGAAAGAAATGATTAGAAATGCAAAGCAAATGGTTTTAAAGCTTCGAAAATCGTAATCAGAAAATCTCAATTCAGCGCAAAGAGCAAATCAGTCGCTGCTAATTTTTCTTTTTGTTATCCTCTAACGAGAGAAAGTTTTCTTCTTATTGTTCTCATTCTAACGAGGCATTGTTTTATTGATACTTGATTTTCCACATCGATTGATTGATTTTTCGCATGTTGGTTTTTATAGGGTGAGAAATTACTTCACCAAATAATGACGGCGATGTGTATGTCGGTCAAAGCGGCATTTTAACGCATTTTAAGCGTCACAATGAATGAGGCGTGAAAAGAAACTATTTTTACCCCACTAACCCACATTATAAGGATAAAGTTTTCCTTTTCAAACTTGACATTCATTCTCATAAAATCTGAGAGTGCGTATTATTAACTGGCGATGAAAAAACAAATTTTTTCTTATGTTTTATGCCTAAAATATGTTCTATGATTATCATAAATACTTTAAATTTGAAAGCCAACTAACAACCATATCTTTCTGACAATTTCAATTAATATTAAATGGATTCATTAAGCGAATTAATTTAATAGTTGAAGCTCGTAATCGAGTTATTTTCGGTATTATAAATTGAAAGCTAAAAAAACAAAACTCGTAAATTCAACGATTTTGCTCGAGGCTTAGTTACAAATTTCAATTTTTCTGCTTTATACTTCCTATGTTTGAGCATAAACAGAGTTATGATTGCATGTTATGAACATATTTATTAGTATGATAAGCATGTCGATGACTATTCAATCAAAATTCTGTTTAATTTAGAAATTAAATTAATCATTTTGTTATAAAATTCCAACTTTAATCACTACAATTAGAAGCAATGTTATGCAGTTATTGTTGAAAAGTTTAAAGAATATTTATAAACGATGATAAATAAACAAACAATAAGCCCTTCTCAATCATCGCATGGTGGAACTTTATATTACATTTACAAAATACCTAAAGATGAATATCATTACAAAAAAATTGAGAAATACAAAACTAGGTAGAAGAAATTTCAATTCACTTTAAGTTTGTTTGTTGATTAAAATCAATTTTTATAAAATAAAATGCTTTCTGTCATTACAGTACTGACTCAGGATGGGACAATCCATTTAGACCTGATGGCGATTTGTCACGAGAGGCTGATGAGATAGTGAACCTCATTAAAGGTAAATAAACGATAAAAACTTGTCATTTTCATTTACTTCACTTTTATAATCTTTGCTTTTAAAGGTGGAAAGCCAATAACTCCAACGGGTGAACATTTATTAGTTAATGAAAGTCATAGTGAAGAAAGTCATGAAAAGAATGGGAAAATAGTTGTTGATGGTGCGACAAAACTTGAGGTTAATAAACTTTACGAAATCTTTTAATCTTAATTAATTTTCCATTTTGTTCTTTCGTTTTAGGTGTCGCCACTTCAGAGCCAACCTAATGGTACTAAGTCACCTCAAAAGGGTTCAGCCAACGGCGATGCAGCAAAAGAGTCACAACCCCAAGTCTCTAATCAAACTGTTCCTGGGCCACAAACAGCAAGTTCCGTGGTAATCGACGAAAAAAAGAAGAAAAATTGCAAGTGTTGTGTGATTCAATAGAAGGTCCCTGGGCTGCTTTTTTAATTCTGGTCATGTTTTGAAACTTCTTATATCTAAAGATTCTTTCCTTAAGTTCAGCATTTTAAGCAGCAAAATCTTTTTATTATTTAACTCATAAACTTAAATTTAAATGCTGAATCAAAAAGAAGGCCAATCATCATTTTTGTTTGCGAAAGTTCGCCTTCATCGAGTCGATGTAACTCCATGTTTAGTGATAATCATGACAAAAGCGAAAACAAAAAAGAGAAGAAGAAAATCAAAACAAAAAAGTTTGACGATGAACATACTCGAGTTCAGATATCTTAGCTTAATGATTAACATAAATTCATACAAACAATTCATCGTTTCTTTCTTTTTCTCTTGTTAAAGTAAAAGAAACAAAAAACCAAATAAAAATTTAACTTTTATATTTCTTTTGAGAATCTAATTGCAAAATTTAAAAAGTTTCGTTTAAATAAGTCGTGTTTCTTAGAATATTTATAAATTTTTTACAGAAATTAAATCATTGATGCTTGATCAATGACAGAGGTGATGGCAAGAAGGTTTTCTTGGAAATCTATTAAAACTTTTAAGTGTCACTTCTTTCTGAAAAAGTGTCATTAAGACCTAAGCTGATCACCACGAAAAATTAATAACACTCGCAGATATTTCATTAATTCTCTCTTAAATCTGAAGATTCTCAAATAATTTTTTGTTTTAAAAGTTTTTCAAATTTGTCAACTTTTTTTATAAGATAAAAAGTGAAATCAAAACATTGAAGAACATCTCTGACCACTCGATTGATTTTGTTACAATATCAATGATATGAGAATAAAAAAATAATAAATTTAGTCTGTATTCATGTGTAACGCTACTTATTGCTAGGAGAAACAAAAAAAAATTGAAATGAAAACTTTTTAAGTTTTCTAAAATATCTAAAAATAATTACTGTGCTTCACGTTTACATGATATCCATTTAAATTCAAAACATTTTCCATCATTAACATTTTTCGTTATTCTATTTAATTTTATGTCATATTTATTTTGTCAATCAATCGACATTCTCACATTTCCACAATTATAAGAAGAAAAACACACAACAAACATTTATGAAAAGGTCAAAAAATATTTCAAGAGCAGAAGTGATGGAAGAATTATTTTAAAAATGTATAACTGTTAATTCATCACAAAACAAAATGAGAAATGAAAAATTTTTGAGAAAAATATTTTATAAATAAATAAATTAAAATTATAAAATAACTGTTGAGTAAATTTTAAGCTATGACTTCCACCAAACAAGTGGAAAATTAAGTATGTGCTTATATTGCAAATCAGACCTTTAAAAAATGCTTAAAGTCCTAGTTAAACGCCTTGGAATGTAATTTACTGGAAGAATGGGAATGTCGATTTCTAAAAGATAAAAGTTTGAAAAATAGTAACAAGCGATCGATTGATTCGAAAAGAGAAAACTAAGTAAGAATTCGACCAACTCTAATCAGATTTAATAATATTTCTCTCACATTTTATTATTTTATATGTTGATGCGGGAGCTTACAAGAAAAATGAATGAAAATCAAACAAGAAGCAAGAAATAAACATAAAAATAATTTTAAGCAGTGACATTAGTTTTTCTAAAGTAACGATTTTTGTGAAATGTTGGATAAATAGGAAAGGAACGAAAACGATAAGAATGATGCCCGACGAGTTATGATGATAATCTCAATCAGATTATTTCTCATGTTGTATTGGAAAATACTTATGAAGATAATTTCAAGAAACTCAAAAAAGGGAAGAATTAATAGTGATAAATTTAATTCGAAAAAGAAAAATAAAGGTTTTCCAATAATCTGCATGATACAACGCGTGAAAAGCTTTTTCAGAATCTTTCGTTCAATTGCATAGTTTTGAAAGTAAGTCTTTAAAATGCAGATTAAAATCTTGGACTAAAAAATGTAAACAGATTAAATTCAAATAAAGAAAATGATTAAAAAATCAAACTAGGTATTTCTTTTATTATTTTAATTTTCTTTCAGATTTTAAAATTTTTAACAAAACTTGAGAAATTCGGATTAGATTAGATTTGTTGCATATTTTAATCTAATCTTGCCATCATTTAATCTAACCTTGATTTGATCTAATCTCAAGATAAATTCACAAAATTATTTTTCTTAAATATTTTTAATGCGTGGTGAAACACGTTTTTAATAATTTATAACACCAACTTAGAAAGACGATTAAAAAATTTCAAAGATCTTAAAAATCTGTTAGTATCTGAAAATCTAATAAAAAAAGTAATTTTCTAGTACATAACAGAACATTAAAATATTTAAGTATGAGTAAATAACATTTTATTTCATTACGATTTTTTCAAGATAAATAAAAAAATGCAAAGACAAAAAAAGTGGAAGAGTTATGAGAATATTTAGCCTATTTGAATGGATTCACCCTTTGAATACAAAAGAATGAAAGGAAAAAAACAATGCAATAGTAGAAGCCGAGACTACATACTTCATCCCTTCTTAAAGATGAAGAAGAAAAAAAACGCGTAACTGTCTTTACCTCAGTATGCAAATTAGAAATTGTTGCGTCAAAGGTGATCCTTTTGTTCAAAATGTTTTTTTTCCCTTTGAAAAAGATTATATGATGAATGAATAAATGAGAAATAACCTTATCTGGTGGGAACGTTTTTTTTTCTATCCTCTGGGTCTCAACGGAATGCATATTCTTCCTTTTTCTCAACTTCAGACATAGGAAGCGTCTTAATGGTTTTTTGCTGACGGCCAAATTTTCCCACTTATACAGATGAATAAAAGAATACAAAAGGATTCCCATGGCATAATCGTATAAAATTTAGAATTTGTTTTTAATAACAACGCGCTCATCCGATCACTTTCTTGATCGTTAAGGAAAAGTCTCTTGAAAGTGAATAATTTATCATAAAAAAACGTTAGGAATCGTGAGTGAAATTAATTTCAAGACTGAAATGCAAAAAAGGATCTTCTGAATCTTATTAAGATTTCTTCTCATTTATCATGAGTTTAACAGTAACTTTGCATTCAACAGTATAAATGATTATCAACGCCAGTTTTTGAGCGCAAAGTTGTTGAAGAAATCATTCTAAAACTTTCTCAAATGAAAACATTTTCATTGACCAACAGCCAACTCTTACATGCAGAAAATTGTCCACGTGCTTACCATTGACGAAACGAATTATATTTCGGTTAATTCGATAATCAAACTAAATTACCTAGATTTTGTAGAGTGTAGAGAAATTATATCCGGTTATCATCACAATCGTGCAGAAAGAAATTATTTTCGTGATTTGATTGAAGTAATCTCAATTTTACACTTACATATAGTCAAAACTTTGATTTAATCTTTTCTATTTTTATTCTTCAACATAAAACGACTCGATAGCATTGTTGTTCGATTCTTTATATCTTTTATTGTGGTGATTGAATACATCATAATTGCCAATCTTAACCCCTGATCGATCAGTCAATAAAATTATTCTTTTATTTAGAAAGGGTAATATTTCTTTATCTTTATTTAATAAAAGAATTTCGATACCTGTTTAAAGTAGAACCCTTTTCTAAATCTTCCAGATCTGGGATAAAAATCTTTAATAATAAAGAGTTTCGTGTTATAAATTTATGTTGATTTTTGCAACAAAAAGAATACAAGAAAAGAAACTATAACTGAGCACAGGCTCTTTGTGTTAAGACACGTGTCGATATAAGTTAACAAAGATATAGTTCAAATTTGCTAAACGGTAAATATTGTGAAATTATAAAAAAAATATTAAATAATGGAACACCTTACAATTCGATTTATTGCAGATCGTAATTTTTTCATTCAATTCTTCTTCTGAATTATTTTAAAAGTCTTTATATGGATTTGGTTTATTGTTGATGATGACTATAATATACAATAATTAAATCACGACAAACACAGTTCAGTGGATAGTTTCAAGAGTGATCATAACGTAATTTGATAATTATTTATTTATTGAGAACCTTACCTAAACATTCTAAGAAATTATTCTCAAGTGTGGTATTTTTTGCAATATTTAAGATACACTCGTTTAAATTTCAAATATTATTCACTTCAATGGTTAGATCATCAAAGAAGTTATAAATGCCACCCAAGTCCGAAAAGGAACATTAAAGGTTCTAAAATATCCCAACGTTATAAATTTTATAAAAGTTTCAGAACTTTCTCATACTTCATCATTAAATGTGTATCTATAAAAAGATTAGATTGGCCGATTTTGCAAATTTTAAACGAGTAAACAACTAAGAGACTTTCTTTTTTCAAAAACGACTAATTTAAAATATTTGCACAAATAAGTCATTAAGAAAATAGAGAGAGGTAGGCAGGCAGGCAGGTTATTGACCGTTGCTTTAAAGATGATCAACATGTGAAGGTATGCATGTGTTGGCCAAAAAATCACATCCATAAATTAAGATTAAGGATACAAAGTGAACAAATTTATCCTTGACAATCATTCGAAATCAATCTCAAATGAACAAGAAACAAATGAAACGAGAAAATAATTAAATCTACTTACAGGGTATGATAAGTTTAGAAGAAACCAGTTTAACCCAAAATATTTCTAAATTTGTAATATTGGTAGATATGCAAATATTATACAACAGATTTCTATTTTCATGCAATATAATACAAATATTTATATATTTAGTTTGGAAGCTGCAGGTTTCGTTCAAGAAACAAAATAAAAGCAGCTTAATCATATATCATATAATTTACATTTCAACCTGTTTTCCAGTTTAAATCAAGTGGTTTCAAACAGCTTTTTGGCAAAATGTTGTATTTCAGAAATTAAAATAAATCCATTTTGACATGACGTTTTAAAGTTTCTAGATTCAGAAAAAGTTGAATTCAAAAAATAGAGAAAGGAAGAAATAAAAAAAAATATGCGAGGTTTGTAGGTTATCGGACACTGAGCTCAAAACTTTAGTTTTGAAGTTGTCAACAAATTTAGCATAGTTTGAGTCAAGGCAATAAAATGTCTATTTCAGTTAATTAATTTCGCAATGTTGTAATTAAACTGAGTATCAAATATTTCAATGGAACTCGACAAATTTTTGATTTTCTAAATCATACAATCGATTATTTTTGTTAATTATCTTACATGTGCATGTAATCGAAACTAAAGTTTATTGATCTGATTATTTCTTAAAGAGAAAGTTTCCTGTTTCAATATTTTTGTCATCTTATAATGTCATTGCAAACATAAACATTCTTAAAGGAATATTTATATAAACGAAAGAGTTTTAATTCAATGTAAATTTAATTTTTTTTTGTTGTCTCTTGAAGTTCTAATTCACATGAATATCCTTCAAGTTCTCTATTTACGAACATATGGATTTCGAAAAATAAAAAATCCATTAGGCATTCAAATGAATTGAGTCCAAACGTTGTGTATCAAATCACATTCTAAAGGAAATCGTTGGCCACACTGCTGGAGATGAATAATTTTTTGTTCACTTTGCTTTAGATCACAACAACCGTGGTAAAAGAAATTAAATAAAAAAAGGAAGTCGTGAGTAGAAGGAGAGAAGAAAAAAAAACTTTCGATTTATTTGTCATTCAAAATATCGTTTCCTTCAAAAACTTTCTCATCAAGGACAAAATCTGTTGGGAAATGAAAACATTATTAACAGAGCGTCATCTTAAAGACGGTTGAAGCTGCCCAACATGTGTGATAATTATAATGTATAGATGTAAGATTTCGAAATGTTCACACATGTCGCTGTTGGGTTTTAATAGTCTAAATTATGTTCAAAGACAATTTGTTTTAATATGCAGTACCAAAATTCATATCCAAATTTATTCTAAATATCGAAATGTCTGGAAGACAGATGACAAATTTGCTACGAAAAGTATTCTTCACTGTCATGTTTAATAAGAATTCACTATTTTAATAATAAATGGAAATTCAATGTAAATACGTGAAAGAAGATCTTAAACGTGATTTCACTGCTAGATCATAATGGAAATCATCCCTCGGAATGAATATTGTTCTTATTGTATGAACTTATGGGTAGTAAAGTGATTTTAACAAAGGAAAATTAAATACCGGTTTTATATTATTTTCTTCAAAATACGCACCACTGACATTCAGTCTGAGAAGAGCCTTTTGCTTGAATACTGTGGGAAAAAAAAATTCATTCAAAACAAACGTCGCTGATGAATTGGGGTAGTGAGATGTGTGGATAGTCTTCGCAGGTAAATAAATTGTATTGTACTTAACATAATTTCTACCTATCCGCATAATCTGTTACTGAAAAGAATTTTGGTTTCCTTAAAATTATTCAGATAATTTATCACAAATAATTTTATTCAAGAAAGGAAAGTAAACAATTTAGGAGTTGAAATAATAAATCGGAAAACAAAAGGTGTTAAAAATAATTATTTTGACGTAATTATCAAAAGAAATCAAGATTGAATGTGAAATTCAGATAAAAGTTTTAGTTTATAGTTTAATGAGTAGTCGAATTGTTATCATCTGAACTGATCGTTTAACAATAAAACAAATTTGTAATATTAATTAATTATATTTATATAATTTCTCCTGATATTTTCAAATAAGTTCGTCGATCGCTACTGCAGAAGCTGAAAGAGTGAGATTTAAATAGAAAAAAAGAAAAATATTTGCCAATACTTTTTGATTTGATCATCATGCAAATATTTGTTTTTCTTTTTATTTCAAACGAGTTGTAACCGTTAGTAAGTCCACTTCAGTTAACAAAAAGACATTTTCATAATTGATCATGGTATTTTATTTGTTTTTATGTATAAAAATTTTAAGTCATTAAAATGACCCTGCAAAATCCTTACAGATAATCAATACAAAATATTAAAGATAATCTCAATATTTACATATGTCACAAAATTATTAAAATGTTTTAAATTATTTATTGATACCGAGAAAACCTTAATTAAAAAAGAGAACATAATTTATAGAAAATTAAGATGAAATAAATGAGTGAATAACTTAATTTTTTTTTGTTTTCTTATTATCTAAATTGAAATTTCTACTACTGAAATTATACATGATGAACTTATAAATATTTGAATCAAAATCATGATTGAGGTATGAATGTAAAAAAGAAGATATCATGCGATTTAAAAAAAGTGCTATTGAATCGTCATCATTTCACCAAATCTTTCTAAATAAAAAATAAGCTTAAAATTAATACTTCATCATTCCTTCTTCGATCATCTTGAAAATGATAGAAATTTTCATCAAAACTTTCAAAAAATCATACTAAAAGTTTTCTTTTGGCATGCGAAACATTTTCATTCTGATAAATGATTTCTACTTAATAAAATTCGTTTTGTTATTTATGATAATCTCTTTGAAAAGACATAAAAAAAATTATGATTAAGCAAAGTGAAGAATCCAACACAGTGAATATTAAACATCAAACTGTGACGAGATCATTAATTCAATAAATCATTTGACACTTGGATCTAAGTATTTAATTAATAATAAATAAACTATTGTCCTTTATCTTTGCCAACACTCACACCAATCCCAATCAAATGTTCTCCAGAAATTAATCCGCTTGCAGGTTGATGAGCGTAATTTCTAATCTGATGTAGTGAAATCAATTGATTTGGAAATCCATTTGAATTGTTTTGGGGAATATTTTTATTTTGGAACGCTATTGCATCATAATATAACGGGCGTTGCGCTAATTGATGATGCTGCAATGTATTCAAATGAGTTGGCATTACATTAATTGGCGTGAATGCTGAATTGCTAGTTGGTTTCGAGGCTGAGTCATAAGCAGATGATGTGGTAACAACAAGTGTACCAACTGAAGAGACTGGCACCGAGCCGATTTGCTGATTATTTGGCTGCGAAGCTTGACTGACTGTTGTAATATGGTGATGTGACGGATTTTGTCTAATAACAACTAAATCTTCAACAGCGTCTTCAGATCCGTTTGCGTTATTATTTCCATTGATTCGATGATGTTCCAGTGCTGTTCGATGATGACCTTGGATGTGATCACTTGTGTTTGAATTATGATTTTGTTGTTGGCTTAGAACGAAATCATATTGGCTTTGTTGCTGCATATTTTCGGTTGCCGAGTCGGGACTGACTTTTGGCCAATACGGATGTTCTAATGGTGTAGTGTTGGGCATTACATTACGAGATGTTATAGCTAAGCCATTAAGCCCTGAAGATGATCTTTTCTCGGCTCGTTCGATATGTTTTTGCAAGTGCTTAGCGAGATAAGTTTCTTGTGTATATGATTTTCCGCAGTATTGACATATATGTGTCTTGAGATGTTTCGACTCTTTGTGCTTCGGAATGTGTTCAAGAAGAGTCGTTTCATCGGTGAAGCACTTATAACAAGCATTACATTTATATGGCTTGTCAGTAGCATGGCAGCGTGAGTGTGATTGTAGATTTGACAGCTGTGAAAATGCTTTGACACATCCAGGATTGCGACATTTGTATGGTTTATCGCCAGTATGTGTCCTAATGTGTTGTTGCAAATGTGACAACTGTGTAAATTTTCGCTGACATATCTCGCACCGATAAGGTTTGATTCCTAAATGAATTCGAGTATGTTGAGACAAATAACTCGAATTTGCAAATGATTTTGTACACTGAGTACATTTATATGGCTTAGTTTCACGCATGTGTTGCTGATGTTGTAATTGATGTTCAGATTTTCCACCAAAAATCTGTAAGAATTAAAAAAAGATTATTTAAATTAAATTCTTAAGAAACAAAGACGAAATCATCTTCATGGGATAATATTCTTCCGTAATTCTTAATTTAAATCATCCAACCAAAAGTTGCTAACAAAATTATTAATATCGACCTTGATTTATTATTATTTTACTTAGTTTCAATCTTTTGCGACGTTGCCATGTTATTCATGAGTAGAAAAACCAAAAATTAAAAAAATATCTGTGTTTCGTTATTAAAGTATTCCAACAGATTGGAGATTCAGTCCTACAACTATCAGAAATGTTTTTTTCATTACTCTACAATTTTGATTCGTACTTACACAAATGTGAACTATTTACAATAATATTTATAAAAAGAATCCATTCATACATTTATTTTCTTTTATTTATTAAACTCTTATCAAAAATCGTCTTAGGACTCAACATTCTCGTTACGCTTGTGTTCTCGTCAACGACTTTATAATTTTAAAAGCTTAACATGCATACTACAACTTAAAATTTTGTTTCCGGTTTATTCCCTTATCTTTGACTGTTACTCATACAATATATAATGATTGTAGCATCAAGGTCATTTATGATAGCAAATTAAACTATCTTAATTTCATATTTTCTTCTTTCTTTCCAATGAAAGTCATTACACATTTTTTTTTCTTTCTCCATTCTTGTTATTCTCATATTTAAATTTTGGTGAAAGAAATAAGAGAAAGAACCTGTACACAGCTAAATAGCAAGATTGTTGTAAGAAGAAAGGGAAGAAGAAAGATTTAAAACAAACGACTAGATAATATTATTTATGAAATTTCGTTAGCTATAAGCGATACATGGTTTTAAAATGTAAACGCTCATTGACATGAGTAGCATCAATGACTAAACAGAAAAAATATTCTGGAACAGAAACTGTTTGAATTGAGGAAGCTTCTTGGATGGCTTTTAAAGCAAAGTGTTTTGCGCGATTCGGACGCAACGATGAGAACATCAAGACAAACTAATTTGTAAAGAGGATAAATAGACAACTTTTGAGTGATTTTTCTGAACTTACCTTAGCGTCGTTCATTTGTGCGTCGGTAATAGACAATGGAGTTGAAGGCGTAGATGGTGAACTATACGATTGATGTATGGGATCCAAGAGTCCAGATGAATTGTTGTTCGCGCTTGCACTTATATTACGATTATCACTGATGTGATTGTTATTATTATTATTCAAATTGTATTTGATGTCATAATCAGTCACAATACTATTTCTTAAGTCGATATATTGCTTATAATCATGAATAACGTCCCTCAAAGGTTCACGTTCATTCATTGATCGGTATCGCTGCAAATTGCCACTGGTTGCAACTTCTGCCATCAATGACGTGATTCAGCCTAAAGAAGGCTTAAAATTTCAAGTGTCTCCTTGTCTGCTACTTTTTTATCTTTTGTTTCAATTCTTTTTTCCCTAATTTTTAACTAATTGATATTACAAGTGCGACTATACCTTGAAATCAATTTTTATTATTATTGTTATTACGTTTATATCATTTTGCAAGGCACATTGCTTTTAATTAAAATCTCTTTCACTTTTTTCTCTGAAGATTGATTAAATTTTACAGCATCTTTTAATTTCCGTATTTTAAAAATATTTTTGTTTACACCAAAACATAATAAATATTGTTTCGCTATTTTTATATCATCCGAATTCAATTCTTTTTCGTTTTCAATGCTTGTATATTTTTTTCCTCAAAACATAAGGAAAATTCACAAAGAATTTGTGAAAATATTCTTCTTCCTTCTTCTTTTTTCTTGTTCTCTTCGTATTTTTTCTTCTTTTTCTATATATTGCTTCTGTTTTTTTTATTATGTCGCGACAGCAACTCCGCGTGCTTCACTAACAAAAACTCTCCATGAATTAAACTCGGGCCTCTGGCTCGAAAGAAAAAATATAAAAAATATTTTGGTCCTCACTAATTTTTTTTGTATTTGCGTTGTGTTGTATAATAGTTTTGACTGTATGATGATTTTTTTTCGGCACTCTGTGTATTCGATTCTCGAAAAAAAGTGTAATATTGTTCCTCTTTTTTATATTGTCGAGATAGAAACGACGAAAAAAAATCTCTATCGAACTTGTGTTTTTTATTTAGTTTGTATGCGAACGAATAAGGGAGACGAATAAAAAAATGAGCGAAACCTTAGCATGTGTTTGTGTGTCAAAGAGATTTTTCTCCGATTTTTTTTTTCAATCAAACGGCAACAACTTGGAGGGAGCTACAATTAAAGGGGAATCACATTTTTTATGAACCAACGAGGCACATGCAAAACTCTTTAACTGTTAAGCAAACATCTTTTCAGTTGTTGGCTCATTTAAAGGAGGTTGAAATATGATAACGAAATTATTAGCACACCATTTTCATGTAAGCATAGCTAAATGTTTCAATTTCCTACATCACTCAACAATCAGTCGAAATAATCCTCATGGGGAGAATTATTTCCTTTAACATATTTAATAATTTCACAACAGACATATTGACATAAAGCTTCAGAAAACGCGTTCAATGAGTTAACACATGGATGTTCTTATATTAAAGTTGTCAGATAATTCTTTTAAGCGAGAATATCTTTTTTTTTGCTCATGTTTCAACAAACCTAATACTAGATAATTAATGTTTAATTATGTACTAAATGTCAACATCAACTTCTGTTAATTATAAAAAAAGAAAATGAAAGTTTATTGAATGGAAATAAATTTGCTTCTATTGTCATCAATTTAATGAAATATTTAAGACTTTTATGCATTTTTATCAATGAAATATTCAAAATAATCCAAAATATCTAAAAATATTGAAAGAAACTCAAACCTAAATTCAACTTCAATTCATTTTGAAGCTTTTTTAATAAACTCACTGAAAAATAAACAGATTAAATTCATTCATATTTAGATATTAGTTTAAGCTTTTAGTCATGTTTGTCTGAGGTATTAAAAACTTTTCACTTGATATAGAAATTATCACACTTTTTGCAATTAGCTTTCTAAAAAACTGTTTTCATTTTTTTTAATAAACTTCATCAGAAATAGAATATTTATTTTAAATACTTTGTTATTGTTCCCAAAATAAGTTCTATAATTTTTTACTTATCTGAAGATTGAATTAATTTTTTCATGCTTTAGTAAATACGATGTGTGTTAACAAAAAATGATTTGAATACTCAGCTACATTACATTTCCTCTTCCTCCTAAGAGCAGCAGCAGTTTGTTGTAGAGATAGGAACAAAAAAATTATTTAGGTATTAGACAAAAAATATTTTTATTTCCATCGTGTTGTCGACAGCAAAAAAAACACTCACAAAATGATTTCGTTGCATTTCTCGTTTATCCTTTTTTTATTCAATGAAACCTTTTCGTTTTCAAAACAAAAGCATTTTTTGCTCATTAATCAGTTACGCGTTTTCACTTCCTAGACTTCTAAACTAAAACTCGTCTTTTCCCGCCAAAACAAGTAAAAAAAATGTAGAATGAGTAAGGGCTGATCATATTGCTTCTCACAGAACATTCAGCAGAAAAAAAAACTTCTGCCTGAAAGTCACATCGGATACGCGAGAAAGATGTGCCTCTTCATGAATAAATTAAATCAAACAGAGTTTTTTCTTGTTGGAAATATTTTTAAGAAAAAAAAAAATAATTTCCTTCAATGTATGACAAAAAAAAAAACTTTGTTAGATGTGGAAAACTGTAACCCCTCTATGATCATAAAACAAGTTTGAGGTATAAATACATGGAAGCGTTAAACTTTTTTTTTGTCATGAAATATATATAATTAAGTATATGTATGAAGAATATTAACAATTACGTCTCATGCTTAAGAACTCATGTAACAACAGAAATTATTTAATAAATATCTTCGTGGTCTTCATTCTTCCACTTCTGTTTATTCCATCTGACCTAATAGAATATTACAAAGCATTCCATTTACGTTGTGAATATTTTGAAAGCTCCGAGAAAAAATAAATGGAAAATATGAAAATTCGCTTTTTAGCAAAGACACGAATCAAAGGACGAAAATAGAAAACGAAAATGACTTGCCAAGTAAAGCAACCAGTTCAAGTTTACTTGTATGAATATTCAGTTGATAGATAATCAAACAATTTTTGTTCACTTCTCCATCAACGGCCTTGAATTTTTAAGAGTTTTAAGAATATTGAATAAAAATATAACGCGGTTGTATGTAGTAAAATTATTTTACCTAATGTAAATAATATTTTAAAAGTTTTTAATACATAAGACAACCAGTTTTGTTACATCAAAACTCATCAACAATTAGTCGTTGGAGCCATTAGACTTACTTCAAAGCCTTTTTATTTAATGAAGCTTTAATACAAAACCTATAGAAACATATAATTTGCTCTGTTACGCTAATGGACAAGTAATCAGCATCAGCTACAAAATATCTCCAGTGAACGTTTCATTAAGCAAAAGGTAGACATCAATTGCCGAACACGACCAGTGAAGATGAAAAATTCGTTCCATTTATTCATGCTTGCTAGGTCACACTTGCTGATAACCGTTCAATGGATTTTAGATGTGGAGCACTTTTCGAATCACCGGAAGTCCACTTAAACTTTGTAATTAATTTTCAATCAATATGAATACAGAAAAAATAATGAACGAAAGGCAATCGTAATTAGCAAGTGAAGGTCTCGCTGGTGGCGTCATATGTTAGTGTGTGTATGTATGCTTAGGCACAAAATTGAGTTCATTGCATGTCTTATATCTTTTTTTGAGATTTTTGTGCCCAGAGGCTTTGCTTTTAATGCGATTTCGCAAAATTTCAAATTTGTATGATGTTGAAATTCTTTGCTCTTCATACTGACATCTAATCATTTTAACAAAGGTAATTTTTCGAACACGCGACAATGACTACTTATTGATACAACGCCGAATGGTTTGTAGATTCGGTTATCATGTACATGACGATATCGCTTGTTTTTTCAAGCGTTTGCTTTATATGGATATCTGCATTCGCTCTCTGATAAAAAAGAAACATTATAAGCAGAAAATAACTCAATTTTGTGTGTAGCATTCTAGTTAGAGAGTGAATTTTATTTTTATTAAAATCAAAATAAATATTTGGAATAAGACAGAACTAGCGTGTTAAGTCAGATTTTCTCTTATGAAGCAATCAAGCGATGGCAGTAGGTCCGTAGTTATTATTCTAGCCAAACATAAAGTGATGATTCTTCTCATTTTAACTGTGACATGAAACAATCTTGCCAGTCAGTTAATTTTGTTTCTTTTCAAGTGAAATTAGAAAGCATGTTTTGAAAAAATGATAAATATTTTCAAATGGAATTTTCTAATTATTTGATATACTTAGACATACTTATACGATTGTTTTTGATTGTAAATGCTCTAAAGGCATGTGATACAAATGGAACTAGACATTTTGTTAAATAATTATTAGACACTCGTTAAAGGCTATGAAAAATATAAATTTATGAAAAGAACTTCGTAACCTGATATTGCTATGTCGCCAAATTTTCTTGTCAATTTTTTAACTACTCAATTTTGATAAAGAGCTTTCAGACATCAATTCTTAATCGCCATAAAATTATTGTTATAGACAAAAATTGAAATGGCTTTTCGGCATATGATATATCTGATCATCACAAGTCATATTCTCAACAAAAATGATCAAATCAACAACCAGACGATCTATAGTTACCATCATAAAATTGTGTATGTAATTTAAAAAAATATTTCAAATATTGTCTTGAGTGACTTCTTGAATCATCTAAGGCTTACAATTTTATTTCTCTCTTTTACTACTCTTAGATTGAAAAATATACTGTTGAAGTCTTTAAATGATACTCAGGTATAGAACATGATGAAACAAAAAAATCACTTACGTAATATGATAATAATAATTAGGATTCAGAAATTCTATGTTTCATTATAACCAGTTTATTTTTTAAAGACGTTTGTATATGAAACTGAAGTTATTTACGCTAAATTCATCAATGGAATCGACCAGAAATTCCAAAACATTTATAAGGTTTCATAAACATTTGTACATCTCGATGATGTTGAAATTCAATTTTCTTATTAGAATTCAATTGCATAACAATTTTCCCAACTCTTTTAAGTTTAAAATAACTACATAGGAATGTATAGATCAATCATTAAAAAGGGAACTTATGAGTGTCTTTATAATATCAAAATTCGAATTATCAATTCATGTTTTGTGCTGAGGTTATTTAAAGAAATTTAAATAAATATGCATTCAACAATCAAACAATGAAAGAATCTTTTTTCTTATGCATGCAATGTTTATGTATAATGTAGAAGTTCCCCTTTAAATAACATCATCAATTGTTGAGAATTTAGACCCTAAGTTGTTTAAAAGATTATTGAATTTATTTTCCGACGAAAGAGATATAATTTAGCATTGTAATTAACAGATAATTAACACTCAATTTCATGCTTTTATTGTGTAAGATGTTTTTATTCTGCGAACGGAAGTATTTAGTGAATATTCAAACACATTTCATTTCTATGAAGTTTTAGTGAGAACATTACGATAATGATAGACAAGTGATAGTGTAGATTTACGAATATGCTGCGTAATGTAATGTGAAATCTGTTTTACCAACATATTGTTAAGTTGCTACAATTTTTGTTCACAATATCCAAACATCCATCTATTTCATATTGAAAATTGCATAAAAATTTATGACCATTTTCACAAACTTCTTTCAGATGTTGCCTTCTTCATCATTGAGTGAAGAATATATTTTCTTTGCTGTGGTAAATGTTTCGGATGATTTATTGACAAAAATCACATCAAGGAAAAATCTTAAGCAGATATCAAAATATGTTGACCAACAAGGTTCTGAGTACAAAAGGAGAGGAGAGAAGGCAAATAAAAAAAAACTTTAACTTAAAGAAAACTGAAAACAAAAACTCAATACGTGATCGCAATAATCTTTTCGGTAGCATTTGCTTAGGTTTGCTTTTCGGTTGGTTTTTGTTAAAAACAGATTAATATTTAATTCATTTTCTTTCTTGATCAAGAAATATTTGGCGATTCTCTAACAACCAACACTCCTTCGCTATATTCGGTTTTGTTTTTTTTTCTTTTTTTTCGAAAACCTTTTTTAACTTGTTAAAACATACGAAGCAAAGGTTTTTACTATGAATGTCAAATTATTATTCAGCATGAGTGCTTTATACAAAGAAAAATAAAAGAAGGAACGCAATCAAAACACAAAATAATTTCCACGATATAACGGACAGTAACAAATGACCAAAAAATTCCTTCGCAAATTTGCACTAGGTAGGTAAGTCTCGTTAAGTTATTCGTTCGCATTGTCTAATTTAGCAAAGCAGCCGTAATAAAACACAAACAGAGATATCATTCATCGAAAATCCCATAAAGTGGCTTTCCTCAGTCTTCACAAAGGGAAAATCCAAGAGAAAATCCATCAACATAGAGACATGAGGGATGGGGATGAGAATACAAATTTCATCTAATTTTTCCTTGCCTTCAACCGACAAAACAGACACAAACCCGGCACAAATAAAAAGCTAACAATTCTTCAAAAATTATCCTGCTTTCCTTCCAAGTGAACAAATTCACTTGTCTCCCAAAATAAAATGTAAAAGTCCATCTAACAAATTGTCTACTGCTATTTATGCCGGTGAAAGTTAACATTCAAATCAGAGATAAATAAACATTCTTGGGATTCTTTAACAAGTCAAACTGCTGATGTAGGCTATTCAAATCCCCGAAAAATGCCCTGCTTAACGGGTGAATAAAAATAATTATGGGTATACAAGGATGGTAAATTGTTGGAAAAACAATATCCTAGAATGAGCTTTCCGGTAGCATTTAAATAAATTTGATTAATTTCATCTAAAAGTCCTTGTGAATTTCTCTCCTTTTTTTCATCTTTCATGACAATTATGTAGTGAATCATCTGGACAATGATGTCACTTGAGGCAACATCTAAAGGGGTTAAATAGGATCAACAGACAGGCAAAAAAAATCACTTTTACCTGCCCATTAGACATTAGGGTCATGTTTTCGGACAACCATCATCATCAGGCGATGAATAAAAACAAGTGAAACAAATTAAACTGATACAATGTGTGATTCTCAAGGGATGATTTAAGAGTGGCACATTAATCCTTCTCAGGATCGCGATAAGCTAACACAGTAACATATAAATTGCCTCCTTTCGTTGATTTTTATCATTCACTTCATTTGCATATTTGGAATGAAGCCAATTGAAAGGATGGTGATACCAGACACACAATCAGCACATGAAATATGGATCGATGGTCACTTTTAGATAATTTTTAGTCATTTTTCTTCCAAGATGTGTGTGTAAAGTTAAGGAAAGACATCGTCAGATTCAGACAGATTTTTCTATGTCTTTTCTTTCACACCGAATGATTTATGTCCACTGAACCCGAAATGAAAAAGTCCCGAGAAAACCATAATAGTTTTCCATCTGAAGTCACATGAATTGGTCATAAATAAATAGATTTGCCATGCAAACATCAAGAGAAATGTTTATCTTTAGCGAGGGTGAAAAGTAGAAAATTCCACGATATAATTTGTTTTCTTTTTCGTACCCCACCCACTACCGTCATCTTTTTTCTTCTTCTTTTCTTCTGCTTTCATGATACTTCCAGAAGTCGAAATTCTTTCGGTTCCTGTTTTACAAGTTGTTTTGACATTTTGAGAAATTAGGGGAGAATGAAAGAGACATAAATTTTATTTTTGCGAGCATAGAAAACTATTATGAATGTTTTGCTGCTATTGATATCACTCGGTGATGCTGCTTAGATGTGAAACATGTTTACAACATTCCACATTTGCATTTTTCGAATATTTTTTCCCGCCACACATTTTTGCAAAGAATAGAAAATTGTTTAATAAATGTTTGCTCTAATAATTTATTACCGTCGCTTAATGCTTCTCAAAATTATGGTGAGAATGTTTTGAGCTAAAATGATCACAACATAAAACATAAATATATGTCATGAAATTGCTTCGTTTTCCTTTTAATAAAATTCGGATCAAAAACAATCTAAAAGTTAAAAAGTCCTTAGAAAGTAAGTTATGAAGTTGTAAAGCATTAAATCTCCATTGAATCATAAAGAAAATGTTTGAAGTAAGTTTTAAAAGTTTTCTTTTCTCATTTATTTTTATGGTTTTATTGTGGATTGGCAATGTCAATGGTCTTGAGTTTTTTTAGCATTATCTGATGAACCGATGAATTTGACTTGTTATTTAATCCAATTCTTATGTATGGGGAAGTGTTAAAATTTCCCAAGATAGTAAAATCTTTATAAACATTGAAAGTTTTATAGAAAAAAGCCAATAAAAATAAGGGTTGACAATAAAGTGGAGATAAAAATATTTAAAAACAAAGAAAAAAGAAAGAATCGTTCCGAAAACTCTTCCCTAATCCAATCGATTCAACTTTTCTTTGGAGAATAAATTTTATCCTTTTTGGGAATAGCAACAGTTAGTCAATAAAGTTCTTGCTTTATGGCTTTATTATAAGCTATTGCATTTATTGAGTATTCTTTTGTCAAGATATTGTTATATAAATAACTGGAATTAAGTATTTGTAAGTAGTAAGAATTTATCGATTCTAATAAAAATTTAAGAGAAAATTCTTTGCTAATGAAAATTCACAGATTTTCCCTAAATATCTCACCTTAAAAGAAGATTCCAAACTTTATGGGAAAACTTTAACTGTAAATAAGTAAAAGTTAACAATCATTCTTTTAATTAACATTCCACGTGATTACACGCTTTTTGTGTAAACATTCCGATGAATATTGAACTTTGGTGGAAAAAGTTGTAAGAGCAATTCAATAAAAATCACGTGTTGAGAGCTCAAAATGTTTTCTTTCGTCAACATTTCTGATTCACTTTTTGATGTTGTCTTATAAATTGAGAATGTGTGTGCATTAAAAGTCTTATTCTTCTAACTTTTCTGTCTTCCTTTCAACATTCTTTTCCTTCGAGACAACATCAGAGTTAGAGAAAAAATTGTCTACCAGTTTACGCTTTTTATGACATATAAGTATGACGCGCAAAAACAGAGAAACAAAGTGGAGTAGGATATTTTTCAACACGAACAGGAAAAAAAGTATTTACTTTTTGTAAAAATTTGTTATACAAAAAAAAATCAATTAATTAGACTATTATTTAATTTTCTCAACGGTATATAACGTCATACATATGTACTGAGTCTGGGATTTATTTTCGACGTCCTTCTAAGTATGCATTAATTTTCGTTTATTATTTAGAGCGCAAAATCGAACATAACTTTGTTATTGTGTCATGCCAAGTTGCTGATTCAATGCTGTTTCAGTTGGTCGCTGCACATACACCTCTGTGCAATAAATAATTTCAAGCAATATCACTCCGCCTTCTATTTTTAGAAACTAAATTGAGTCAAGTACGAACAATCAAAAGTTGGGATCTAAAATTATCAATTGTTTAATAATTTAATTTTACTTAAATGGTGTAACCATTAATGAGGCAGGTTTTTTTTTGGGAAGATGATAATTTAAGATAATCACTGTTAAGCTTTCAAAAATTAAGTGACTGATTTTATGTAAATTTGATATTAATTTGGCAACATGTGTTTCAAAATAATTTCGTTTTTCCTCACAGCAGCGTTAAGCAACGGAAACGAAAGAGAAAAAAATGTTATTAAATAAATATTAATATTGAATCAATTATGAGGGGGGAATTCTTAGCGAACCGTTGGAATATTATTTTATAATTTTTCAGAAAACATTGATATTGAGTAATATTTACAACATAAACAGTTAGGACAAAACATGAAGTTCTTACCTCGAATTTAGATTCATTTATTTAGACATCAATGTAAATTCTATTTAAAATTCAATCTACTCGTATTTCTGCTTAAAATTATTTCTTATTTACATAGTTGCCAAATTTATTCAGCAATTAAACTCAATGTTTTAATTGAATCACCAAAAATAAATAAATTGGAATAAATTTGGTTGTTTCTTTTTTCTCCCAATTTTCCTTTTTAAAAGCCAAAAATAAACGAACAGTTGACTGGTTGAACTGAATGTAAGTAAGCACTACAGAAATGTCAAGCAGATGTAATTCACTTCTTTCTGAATTTTTATTTTATATTTTAAAAAGTCCACTTCCTGCGCCAAACTTGTCTTCCGACTATCAAAATATATGTTAACAGCTTACAATAATAAAAAGAAATCGAAAGAAAGAAATTTCCTTTGCCTTTCCAAAAATTTCAATGAAGGACATTAAATATTTGGATATCGTCAACATACTCACAATTATATTAAATGATGAACACAAAAGAGTCTTCAAGCAGATATTGTCTGAATTTTTACAGATCTCAAGATCAACTTGACTTACCTAAAGCGAAAAATAAATAAAGTATGTCGCTCTAAACATGATATTATGGCAAATTATACATTTTATCAAAACTTTTCCATGTGTCGCCAAAGATCAAACATTTATTTTGATGTTCACCGAAATAAGAAATATATTTGTTGAGAAATAACTTTTACTTCCATCGTTCATCATTCTCTTTTTCTTTCAAAGCAAATTCCAGTGGCTCAATGTTTTTAATCGATTCTTTTCTAAATCTTTTTCTTGAAGCTCTTAAAAATTGTTGAATTTCTTTCAGCAGCGGCTCGCTTCGTAAACAGCAAAAGCCTTAAATACGTGAATGCACAAATTTAAAGAAATGATTGGTCTTTGGTCTATCTTATTTATCAGCAGTTATAACGGTTCATTTTTTCTTGACGATTATTAAAATTCTCTCACAAAATTGTAGAATCAGAAATGTTGATCAACATTTTAGGTATATCGACGAAGAAGGGAAACTTTGGAAGAAATAAAATGAAGGTGTGCCAAACGAACAAGCAAACATATATCAAGTTGATATGCAAATTAAAGCAAGAAAACATTCTTAATAATCTGGGAAAACTTTCAGACGTAATACTACTGATAATTGAAACTTTCTTCATTATGTACCGTTGTTGTATTCCAATCAAACAATCAATAAACTATGATTAAGCAAATTTAGATATATTGCGTGCATTTTCGTGATTTTTAATTTCGCAACAAGAAGAAGTCAACAAAATAGCAGCGTTTTTCAGAATTAGAAATTCCCCCCAAAGTTGCTGTTTTGATCACCTAGTAGCATGAAACACGCAAAGAATTTGCTTGCTCGTTTGCTTGGTAATATTTTCGTAGCTTTTTGATCAACTAAAAATTTTATAACTCAACACAATCTAACAGAAAAATGTTGTAAATCCACAGCAAAATATTTCTATTAAAAGCAGACAAGCAAGCGAGTTGGATCCACAACACGAAATACTTATCTGAAGAAAGAGTTAAAGAAGAAGAAATCTTTTTATTAACAACATACGTTTAAGAAAAAGTGAAGAGAATGCTGATTTTATTCACATCCAGACTGATAACGCAAACTCCTTTTGTGAAATATATTTTACAGGTAACAGAGAACAGTTAAGTAAATCTTTCCTGTTGACAACATTAATCCTCTTTCAAAGATAAATTGCAACCCTTTTAATTCAGAAAGAGAACATTCTTAAAAGTGTTTATGGCTTGAAATAAATAACACATTATAAGACGATAGAGTCATTTTGTGATGTTGTGTATATAAAATTATATTTGAACATATTATCAAATTTATGCATGTAAACAATTTGCCCCCAAGATGACTATGAGGCAGTATTTTAAAACAGTCACCCTCTTGAAAGATTTAAGAAGTTTGTGGGAGATTTTCCTTTTTTCTTGTAAACAGTAAATCACAAACGTCATTCTAAAACATTCGTGACTTCTAACTTAGTGTTAAATAAAAGACAACCACCGAATGAAACCAAGCAAGTATAAGTTGATATTCTTTTTGTATGGTTTTTATTGTTTTGATATGCATATTACTTCTTCGCATGAAACTTCTTCTTCGTTTTTTCATGAATAAGAATATTATGAAGTGAACAAGACCTTTCTCTCTTATTCAATATTCAGTCACTTTATTTGTAAGTAGATTAAAGAGCTTCATGGCTTTAAATTTCATCTTTAAAAATAAAGGCTCAAGATTGATTGTCATCAAGCTCATTGTAACAATGCAGAAGGCCGGGAGTCTTGTATGTTTGTGACAAGTTTTTCTAACTCAACTTAATGCGTTCACTTGGGGCAATGATGATTTATTAGCTTTTATTATCGTCTTCTTTCTAATATTATCTCGAATTTTTCATGTCGCAAGGACATTTTCACCACTTAAATAATGATTTTTTCATCGATTTTCCTCTGAAAATACTTAATGCATAGGAAGATTTTAGTGTTGAGGAATGACGATACCACATGAAGATTTTAAGCATGTCGACTTCCTGAAAACTGAAAAATCGAAAGCAGGAGAAACATGAAACTTTTTCCTTAATAAATCAAATAGAAAATTCGAATTTTTCACGAATAAAATGTCAATAAATTAAAATAATCAAATACATGTGTCATATTAATGTTGTGATTATTAAAAGCCAAACAAATTCTTTTGAAATAAGATAAAATTTACGTTGCTGAAAAATCTCAAATGACAACTTTTTTTATCTCGTGTGGGTGGTGAAAATGTTTCTGTTAAATAAAGTTTCGTAAGTCATTTAAATACTTGAAAAGAATTTTGTAAAGAAAGAAGTAAATGAATGGGAAACCACAAGTAAAGCTCACATAAGATTTAAGACTTTGTGTTTATGAACATCTTTTTAATGCTATAAATAAGAATGTTTTAATGAAACTCTTTTGTTTTTAAAACATTTAATGAGGGTGAGTTTATTCCTTAAGAAATTTTATCATTTTAGATTTTAAAAATATTTTCAATCGCAAGTTTTCAGAATGAGACAATGTAATGTTTCAAGCAACAGAACATCGAGAGACCACCAACCATGCTCTGATTTCCTTGAATCTTACATGTGCATATTTTCATTTTCAAGAGTATCTTTTATTTGAAAGCATTAGAGAATATTTTATTTCTTGAAAAGAAGAAAGAAGACGCCAACTACTTCCGAATCAGCAAAAGTTGTCAACATCCTTTTTTTTATTTACACATCTATTCGTTGGTTGGAATTCGCTATATTCAAATGGTAATATGTCATGTCTTTGATAAATCTACGACTATCATCATTTATTTTGTTGCTGTTTACTTCACATGACAAGTGTTCAAATGATTCTTTTTGCCTACAAGCGAATTTTTCACATTTTGTTTCTGTGATTTTTATCATTCGCAAATATTTATGCATTTCCAATTCTTTAACGCAGCACTTTAAGTGTTTTATCATTTATAAAAATGTTAGTACGTGGACAATTTGAACAAATTTCAAAGACTTTTGTCTTTTAGCTGCGGTTAATGTTACTGTCATAAAAGATTCAGATTATTTCTATGATAAATTTCATTACATAAACTTAAGAAGGGCATATCTGGATAATTTTAAATGTCGTCTGACAAGAAGCATTAATGAAATTGTCATTTAAGGAAGGTCAAGTTTCTTATAATAATTCTCGAATTAAATAAGTGGAGACACAACTTTTGGTGCCTAGTTAGAATCATAAAAATTCAGTTTTGAAATAAAATTTCTAAATTAAAAGTTTTCATTTTTTAATATTTTTAACAAGATTCTAAACCTTCAAAACTCATAATCTTAATGATCATTCTTTTCTTTTCTCATTTTGTAAACGTAAGTTCTTGGAAATGATTTCTTTAGACAATTAAGAGTGAATAAAAAATAATTAACAGTTTGGAGGAAATTTTAAAGTTTAACCTTTTATGAATCTCTTTGCTTTTTAACCCAACCTGAATGTTTCGGGTAATAAAAACGATATTTAATTAACCACATTTTTATGCTTCTGTATGAACGTTACACATTGCAATACGAGTTTATGAAATATCTACTGATGATTTCTTAACATTTATGAAAAAAGTGTGTTTGAGATGTTTAAGTAAGGCGTTGCGTGCTCCACAGGGTTTGACTCTCAACATTATTATTCTTGCTAGAAAGAGAATAATTGTGAAAAAGTCATTTAGAGTTCCAACTTGATTATGTCTTAATCACAAGACATCTAAGGATGTGAAGAATTCCTCATTGGCGAGAGCTTCATTTAATATGTTGACGTAAAATTCTAGAAGTACATCACCGGATATTTCAAACTGCAATGCTTAACCACAACGAAAATCCCTGAACAAAA